AGGGATGGACTGATTGTGCTGTAGGGAATTGTGATGCTGAAAGACTACATGGCAGCTGTCCAGACGCATCATTCCAATCATTAACCAAAAGAATTGGAACAACCCAGCAGCTTCTATCCCATTTGTGGTTGCGTTTGCTGAGCACAAGTTAAACGTAATAGTATTGCTTGCCGGAATATAAAACACTTCTCCTACTCATGATTTATGGATTGAAGTTTTAAATATTAACACAACATAAATAGGCCAAATAGCTTTTATCTTCACTGACTCAAAGGCTCTTCTTTAAACGAACATAAAATCCTTCCTTTTGTAGATAAAGATGCCCATCTGTATTGCTCATGAATCAAGTCTCATTTACTTTGAAAAACTTAAATCACACTTGCCATGCTGGGAGGACAGTAACAAGCAATGACACTTCTTCTGGAGTCAGATACAGAAACCTGAAGGTTGAATTGAACTTTGCTTATTAGCTCTTGTTTTGTCTCTCCTGCCGCACACTTCCCATTCTGTCACTTGTTGATCTCCTGGGGCAGGGGGCAAAGCTTGGACTTTTAAAATTAACGGTTATATCCCACCATTCCTCCAAGGAGCTCAAGGCAGAATACATGATTTCTCTTACCTGTCCCCCCCCCCCACAGTCAATTTTAGCCTTGCAACCACTCTGTGCTGTAGGTCAGGCTGAGAGACCACCAGCCCTAGTGTTTCACGGCCAAGTAAGGATTTGAACCTAGTTCAGCACCAGTGGACTGTCCTAGTCCTAGTCCAGCATCATAACCATTACACCACAAGAAAAGCCCGCTGGGCCAGAGCAGTGTCCCACCTAGTTCTGCACTGTGTTCTCAGTGTGGCCAACCAGATATCTATGGGCAGCCTGCAAGTGGGTTCTGAGTGCAGCTCCTGCGGTTTCCAGCAACCGGGTATTCAGAAACATACCGCCTCTGGCAGTGGAGGTAGAGCATAGTCATCAGGGTTAGTGGCCACTGGTGGCCAGCTTTATTCTCCATAAGTATGTCTCTTCAAAAACCATCCATGTTGGTGGCCATCAACTGCCTCTTGTGGGAGCAAACACACCAGCTCTTGCTAAAAACAGGGGGCTTTATGGAAGCAGGCCTTAATGAGAACATTACTCTTTGGACATGAGTACCCCATCCTCATGGGACGCGGGTAGCGCCGTGGGTTAAACCACAGAGCCTAGGGCCTGCCAATCAGAAGGTCAGCAGTTTGAATCCCTGTGACAGGGTGAGCTCCCGTTGCTTGGTCCCTGCTCCTGCCAACCTAGCAGTTCGAAAGCATGTCAAAGTGCAAGTAGATAAATAGGTACCGCTCCGGCGGGAAGGTAAACGGCATTTCTGTGCGCTGCTCTGGTTTGCCAGAAGCGGCTTAGTCATGCTGGCCACATGACCCGGAAGCTGTATGCTGGCTCCCTTGGTCAATAAAGCGAGATGAGCGCTGCAATCCCAGAGTCGTCCACGACTGGACTTAATGGTCAGGGGTCCCTTTACCCCATCCTCACAATGCTGGGATAAAGAAAAATAGAACCTTGCTGCAACTGTGTTACATCAGTGACATAATTTCACATGGTTCCTAAAGCTAAAGTAGAGCAAGCCATCTCAGCAAAGGAACACATTGGCCTGCTTTTCAAATATGCTGATCCTTTCAAAGGCAATGAGCCCTGCAAGTGACTCTGTGCATTTGCAAATAAGAATCAGCAATTTTTTAAACATGCAATTGCCCCGGAACCTACAGCTGAGTGTTTTTGCCTTATTTACAGCCCAGGTTTTGTTCTCACGGGGAATGACTGCAATATTAATTAATGCTAGCCATTCATTACGGAAGTCAATGAAGTTAAAGGAGAGAGAAAAACTAGACGAAATTGTTTCTGATAAGCACAAAAGGTTGTCTAAGGTGACCACACTGTGAGGTCAGCACAGCAGAGGTGGGGAGGAGCAGGAGGCCTGGAAGCGTAACCCCTCCAGCGAATTAGTGGAGGGGTCAGGGTGAACGAGACTCATTCAGCTTAAGTTGGAGGGCAGCCAGAAAAGCAGAGGTAAGAGCACAGACAGGCACTTAAGGTTTTAAGGCTGTCTATCCTTGGCCCAGGCCTTTCCTACTTGCCTGTGTTTTTGTTAGCAGACTTAACATCCCCAAATGCAAACCTGCATTGTAGGGTATAGAATTATCACACTCCTGAGCAAGAAACATAATGTACAGTGGGGAAGAGGAAGGATGTTATGGAACTTATCTTGTTAACTGTTCATTTATACAAGTCATGAAATGTGTGCATTAGCCTGAACCATAACCCTTGAAGGTGGGGCCTGATTCAGAGGGACCATGTGTATTCTGCCACTCATCCAGCCTATGACATGCCATGGCATTCAGGAAAGACAAAACTAACCTAGAGGTGCCAGGAGACCAGCTCTGCCATAGGGAAAGGGAAAAGGAACATTAGATCAGCATCCCAGCATGTAGACTGAATTGGTTGGGGGTCTTGCACACCTAGGAAGCCTGCTTTCCCCCCTCAGTTAATTGTTCTGCCTTTACCCACTCCATACTTCCAACAAGTCCAGCCAGCAAAGTTGGCATTGGTACATTTTGAATTGGAGAGATGCAAAGGTTTACACTTTGTGGAAGCCACACCACCTTTCTAGTGCCTGCCTGCTGTTACAATGATGTAAAGGGAGGGATCAGTCCGATTCTGATCTGTGTCAGTTTCACATACGCAACTCTGTTCCACCCCGTTTTTGCATCAGTATGCAAATTATGAAACTGTACCAATTCATATTTAAGTATACATTCTTGACTGTGTTTTCTACACAATAGGTGAATTTCTAAATGCATCTTCCCTAAAAAATATTTCATTTTCTTATATTTGGATTCCACCGCGACGTACATGAAATTCTCAGAAAGCCATGTTCTGTCTATCAATGAAGCCTGTAGGAAAGCATTCTAGATGGCAGCTTTACAGTTGCAAAAACTCCACATTGTGGAAGCACAAAGATAAAACCTGAGCCTCTTCCTTAACAGGGCAACTGACATTTTTACTCTGGTTTTTAATTAGTGGTAGCTAACTTGGAATTTGGTATGGATCTTGTTATGTTTTGTAAATTGAAAGTTTTAACATGACCGATACTGCTAATATGTACATAAACTCTGAACTGATAATGTAAAAACCAGCAAACTTAAAAAGTAAAACCAGTAGATAGCCTTATTACTATTTCTCTGGGTTTTTTACACCAGCCCCTGTACTGTTGGGGAACAGCTCAAAAACCTTAAGACATATTACTACATCAAACTCTTCTAGCTACAATGGATTATTTAGCAAAATCTGGGCTTGCAGTGCTGTAGAATGCAAGGCCCTCTGTGAAGCTGTGATTTTCCAGCTGCTATTGTGTGTGGGAAGCATGTATCTCCTATTTAAATCCAATAATCTAAATAATTGAGGCTTCAGCAGTCCTACATTCCAATCCACTTTCTCCAGGCCTGTTGCTCTGTCTTCACATCTTAAGCATTGCAAGATCAGCCTTCTTTTCAGTTCTCCGACAGCCCTCCCTGGATGACTCATGCTGTAAGTTGTTGTTGCCCTAAGAGGGAATGACAGCAAGCAGAAATACCAGTGCTGTTGACATTATAACCCATGCTCAGGTAGGATCCCTCCCTCTCAAATGACTCAGTATTTCAAATTCTCTTAACATGGGAGTCCCCTGTGATGAATGTCTAACCACCACCCCACACCCTAGCTTGGGAGAAACTATCCAGGAGTTTCTGGAGACATGTTAGAACTTGGTGCTCTGGCTAGGCTACCAAAGCACTATTGTGACCAAACTTGGTATAGTTTGTTACTTAGAGGAAGGCACTTAACTTGAAGAAAACACTCTTCCTTTTTTAGGTGCTCATAATGGCGGCTTCTTAAGTGCTGCATGACAAATACTGTACATTCTTTCCAAAATACTGGCTTTCTAACCATTGCATGCAGCTACAATCAACACTCAAGCAACGTTGAAACCATCATAATACTCTTTGCACATGTCAGGACACCAAATCCTGAAGCACTGGGCCAACTGAACACTTAAAACGGTCTGCCACAAGAAGCCCCTAGTGGCGATTGCTACTGCTACCTAAAAAACCTATTTTGTTTAATCCAGGAATAAGGGCAGTGTGTTGCGGATCCTAGTTGATTTCTGGACATGTCTGACCTTACAGGCTAGCAGGGGTAGTAGTATTACAAAACTCCAGTGCAACATTATTTTCTGAGTTCTTGGTTGGTATAGCATTATGTAGTAACATGCTTTCATTTTATTCATATAATTAGGGCACTTTTCGTAATTTTGTTACGGTTAACTTTGCATGCTCCGACAATCACTAGCACTCGTCATGCTGCCATGTTTTAAACACTATTTGGAAGCAAAGCGAGTATTTTCGCAAAGCCCTCCGATTGCATTTACCAATAGCATTTGGAATAACCAATACACTTAAGGGTTTTCTTATATAAGGCAGAAATTTTAGAAAATGTTGGTATCCTTTAAGTTAGGTGTTGTCTCATACACCCCGACTTACTTCTAATACACAAATGTTAAGTCAAATCTCACTGAATTCAGTCAAATTTACTTCCACATAGAAACACTGTGGTAGAAATGTAGTCCAATTAAAGATGTAATAGCCAGGAAAAGGTCATGGTGCTAAACAGCATTTTCTGCTTTATATACGGCATTCAATGGCTTCCAACCATACTTTGGGAGATTTAATTGCTGCAACGTTTCCAGTTATCATCCAGGTGGCTTTCAGCAGGTATCAGTCACATCTGGTCTGTGCTATTTCTGCAGCGAGCTCCTCGCTCACCCTGGGGATGTCTCAAAAGAGCTGAGCCTGTCTTCAGGACATTTACTTTCTGGCTTTACACCACTGCACCCATCTGGAGAAATGTTCCTCCCAACCCCCCCCCAAATCTATTTCCCACCCTTACAAACCCTTAGTGCCCTTGCACAAACAACAGGGACAAGAGGCTATTATATATCATGCTTTTAATACAAACTTAAAAAAATCTGGAACAATAGAAACTGTACAGATTTGATCAACCTTTGTTGTTTTTTAACTAAATCTCTAGACACGCCAATGTCCTGTTCCAAAATATTGCACAACATTCTGAATACAAAACTCTGATTGTATTCCTCCTTCGCTAGAGAAAAAAGAAAGAAAAAGAACGAAACCCCCTCTGGATCCCTACTCAATGGCCCCCTGCATGTAAGAACCAAAAAACCCAACAAGAACAGCATGGACCTCTGCATTAAAAAACATACATAATTCTGTCCTCTTTGTGTCCATCCATACTCCAAGATCACACGTTGCTGATTCGCTCTTCAAAAAGGGTCAGGAAGGAGGGAAGCGAGGGGAGAAAAGGAGCTTTCACTGCTGCTTTTTTAAAATTTTCCTGAAAAAATATTTTTTTCTCTCTCCTCTAAGAAAAAATCTTGAAAAGAAAAAAGTTCAATTTTTTTTTACGTTAGAAATATACATATATTATATATACCTCTTACATTTTACAAATGTAGCAAATTATTCAATATAAACGGACAACAAAAAAATTAACACAAACCCATAAAAATAAAAGTTAAAAAAAATCTCTTTTTCTTCCTAAGAAACCAGGTAAATTAGTGCAGGTTTTAAAAATAAAATTGAAGCTGAACGTCTAACTCTTGAGACAACAAGACCAAAAAAGAGGCCGTGAGTTTCATTGTCGCCAGCACTGGAAATGCTTCTGAAGCACGGTATGTGTTCCTTTAGGAAATACAGAGGTTGGTCCTTCCCCTTTTCCTCCTTATGAACGCAGACTTCTTTTCAAAATGCAGTTAACAGGATAAAGCAGTGTGAAACATCACATGTTGCAGGTGCTAGTGAGGTTCTCTCCCTCCCTTCAATATACTTAAGCCTGAGAAGGGTACATAACCCCACCCAAGGCAGTGGCTCAGGGCAGCTTTCTGCTGCATGTGGAAGTTCTCGGCGGAGATTATGCTGGGCAGATAGGGAGCCAGCAGCTCTCCTAGGGAGGAAGTCCAGTGTAAAAGCATGGCAGTCTACAGTACATGTTGAGGGGTAAAAAGTGGGTGGCAGTGGTAATGTTGGGCGTGGGGGTGGGGTGGGGTGGGGGGAAGACAAACAAATGTGTTTACTGAAGAGGTCTAACGTGTCTTGTTCAGGTTGAGGACTTCTAGCTTCATGAAACTTCACCCATCACATTACTGCCCAATAGTATCTTCCCTCCTCAACCCCTTAGTGGCTCACAGAAAACAGGCAGAATGCAAATAAGTTTTTTCTTTTTTAGTGTCCTTTTCTTCAGCCCAGCAAAGAGGCAGGGGTAAGAAGGGGTACAAAGAAACAAAAAAAGGGCTCAACCAGGGGATACCTAGAGAAGATCTCCTGCATAAGCCACATCACTGTGGCCTGGGCAGGAGACATTTCCCATCCATTTCACCAAATGATCTCTAGTGCATCAGAGTTAGGCATCCTTCACAGGAGGACAGATGCTTGTAGCAGTTAAGGCTCATATACAGTCCTACAGGGAATCCTCAGTTTAGCTTAAGTGGAAACGCAAGTCTCCAGGTCAAGTCACCAGAGAGCTCTAGAATTGTAGCTTATTTATTCAATATGACTTTGCCAGAGAAGGTGCAAAAGCAACACTTTATACACGGTCCAAACCATGCTGTTTGGGGGTGGGGAGCAGATAGTGATGGTAGAGAGAATATGCCTAGAGTATGTAATCCACAGCCACATCTATGTTATCTCCCCTGAAGTTCTCTCTCACCCCTTATCGCCATAGATAAGTAAACTTTTGGACTCAGTAATTATCTCACAAGGCATAGATGGGGAAAGGTTTGCCAATCATCTGCCAAAAGAAAAGAAAAAAACTCACTCTTGAAGGCCACTACTGTCCCTGTCTTCCAGGCTGTCCTCTCATGACAGAAAAGGGAGATGCAGGGAATACCATTAGGATTCCTAGTTCAATAGCAACAATAAGGAAGGAGAGACTCTACATTCTTATCAGAGAACACTTTCTTCTCACCACATGTTGAGCAACATTCTACAGCAAGCCCACTTCATTCCTCATGCAGAGTCTCGAAATGGAACAAGTCCAGACTGGACCTGATATGTGGGGCGCTCTTCCGTACAGGAATGCCTGCTTCCTTTCAAATGAAAAATCATAAGGTTTTTGGTCAGAAGTCTTAAGAGACATGAGATTCAAAGTGCAAACCCTCATGCTATTCATCCAGAAAGCAGTCTGCACTGTAACTCCCTCTTCCCTGCCAAAAAGTAGTGCTATCATAGTCAAGAGCAGGAAACCATCCTTTCCATGAGAATTAGTAACCAAATGCTCGGCTGTCAACAGAAGAGCTCAGAACCCCATAAACCAAGGCAATTGGTCCAGAGGAACATCAATGGGGGCTGCTCAGGCACAAAAAAACCCTGGAAGGCCAGCTCTCACTCCTACCCTTGAAAGAGAGTGCAATATACATGGATCAATTTTTCTCACAAGTCAGAAGTGTTTGCATCTAGAGTCCTATTTATACATCATAGCATTAGCAGCTGACATGGGATCTAAGCTTCCCAAAGAGTATATCTAACTCCAGACTCTTAAGGGGGCTAAGGGGAGAGGAGGTGCTTACAATGGAAAACTGTAGGGGGGAAAAACCTGTCCCAGATGCTACAATGCTGCCCCTTCCAGCATTCCCCTGAAGCTAGAGGGGCTAAGGCCTTGCCATCACCAGTTAGCGCAGGAAGAAACAGAAGCTGAGAACTTTGTTCTACTCCCATTTTGCAATAGGAATACAAAAATGGAGTTATGAGAAATGAATACATTTGCTCCACTGTCTGGGCCTCTCATTACGCATTGAGAAGCCCAGGCCTACCCTAGGAAGTGCTTGAGACTTCACACATCCAGAAGCCATCTAAATCACCCCCCATCACTCCAAAACAGGGAGGGGGGGGAAATCAAGGTATCTGGCTGCAAGGGACATGACAGCACCCTGAAAAATGCCATCCTTGCAGTAAGAATATTTGAGAACCAGTTCCAAGAAGCAGCATGGGACATAATATAAAGTGGCTCTGGCTCCCACCACTGCTGGGCTGGAACAATAACCTTCCTCATTAAGTGTACAACAACGGATAGGAAAGAGCACAGGAAACAAGTTTAAAAAAATAATCAGTGCTTCAGCAGCGCTTCCTGGCATGACACAACGAATCAGGATTTGTCTCTTTCCAAGAAGCTATATTTATAAGATTTCAAATATTTCTAATTATTTTTTCTCTTTTTTTGGAAGTTATTTTCCCCAGAATACTCTCATGGTGGTCAGTTGGCCAAAACCACTGGCTGGAACGACTGGCTGGGATACTGCATGGCGTTCAGATTGTAGCTGAGTCCTTCCACGAAGGGTGTCTTCTCCAGAAAGAGGCTGTTGGTGCTGCCCCCAAAGACCTGAGCCATGTCAAAATTGCCGCCGCTGCCACCACTGGCACTGAATTGGGATGCAGGAGGCATGCCGCCGGCCTGGTTTTCGGTGGCTACACCATCAAAGAAGAGGCTGCTAGCTCCTGGTGATCCACCATTGTAAACAAACTCCTTGGCATTGGGGGAGAGCTGAGATTGAGGGGCCGTACTGCCCCCGATGAAGTTCAGAGAATGCATAGACAGGGAGAGACCTTTGTGCTTCAGCAGGCCGTTGGTGGGCGACCTGGCCAGGCGCTGCTGCTGCTGTGGTGGAACCCCTGTGCCACTGGTGGCTGCTCCAGCTCCTCCGCCTTTCTTCATCTTGGTTGAGCCAAACTTAGTGGCAGCAAAAGTGGCAGTGGTGAAGGTAATGGGCTGGGCAGAGCGAGGGATGAACGTGGGGCTGGGTGACTGGCCAAACGATGGGGATGGAGAATTGGACAAGGAGTTGTCCTGGCTGCCAATGGGGACGAACACCTGAGCGTCAGGATTGAAGCTGCTCTTGATCTCCTTGTCCAACTCAGCTGCACTGCAGCCCTCGCTGTCATCTAGATATAGGACCTTAACAGACCCTTTCTCACCAATCTGGTAGGAGACTTCAAATGGGTCAATCCAGACACTCAGTTCTTCAGGAACATTGGCCCGCACATCCTCTACAGCCAGCCCACTCCGCTTGGCTGCCATCTCGACTACGGGGTCCACCGTCTCCCCAATGTGAACACAGCGGTAGCCAGAACCCTTCAGGGGCTTCTCTGGGTACCAATGGCCTTCATATTTTTTCTTCAGCAGCCGCTCTAGCTCTTCACCAAACAAGTCGGCCCGCCTCCGTGGAAGCTTGTTGTACAGATATGAGATGATGAAGTTCAGAGCAACTTTGATCTCCAGATGCATACTCCCTTCACAGCAAGCAAGGTAGGGCAGTATATTAAAAATAGACAGCGGACACAAACATAGACGGATTTTGGCTCCAAACAATTCTGAAAAAGACAAAGAGAAATGAAATGTAAGGTGGAAATACTGTATCTTTAATACTGTTGCAGCACAATAGTTATACTTTTAGTTGCAGAAACTGATTCCTGAAAATTCAACATCTTAACTGGCAATAATAAATAAAAGACTGTGCAAAGTGCATTTGCACCTTGACGATTGTAAAGAAGAATATCCCTTTATGTGTTTAACACATACACATTTCTTTGGTTCTTTGTATGCTGTCAAACATTATTATTTATTAATTTATCTCTAGGCCACTCACCAGCCAAAAATTGCAAGGTGATATACAACATAAAAAGCTGTAAAACTACACAATAAAAAAATATGATAGATCCTTTAAAAAATCACAGTAAGTTAAATGTTATAAAGTAAATCAAACCAGCAAAATATACACCCTTGGAGTGCCTGAACTTCCTTCAAGAGCCTCAATAAATAAATACGTATTTTTTAAAGTGCCTAAAATTGCTAAGGAGACCAACTGCACCTCCAGTGGGAAGGATTTTCATAACTGGGGTACCACTAAAGAGAGGTGTTGCTGTCTGGACAATGCCATTGATAGCACCACTAGCAGAGCTTTCATGTAGTTGCTACTGTCTTAATGAGTCGAAGTTTCATTTTAAGACACTGGAGCAACGCAGATCAATACATTTCAAACGACAGAAACTAGTTTAGTGGTGATTCATCCCATTGTGGTAACACCAGTAATCCTTGACATTGTAATATTAAATAGATAACTAAAAGCTGAAAAGGTGTTTCTTCTGAAAATAGCTTCAGAAGGTCAACTCAGATAAACAGAAGATAATCCTGGATGGAACTAACAGTAGCTTCTGATCCCAAGTGATATAAAAACAAGGCATACATTCATCAGGAAGACTCAGGAAGGTTAGTACTATGTGGCCTGGAAGAGAACTTTAGGTCAGGCTTTCCCAACGTGCTGACCTCTAATGTTTTGGTGTACAACTCCCATCATCACTGACCACTGGCCAGTGATGAAACCCAAAACATCTGAAGGACAATAGATTATGGAAGACTGACTTAGATTCCCAAACACCAAATTTTCTTCTTTATCCCCCCCTTTTTTTTAACTAACATTCTAGGAGACCTCCAATCATCACTCATTCTATTAAATACAACTCTAAATGCCCCAGAAAAAAATAATAGAAAATGAAAGATATTTAAAATGAAAGCTATATGTATTATCTTGGCAGCTTAGCAGGATAGAGACTAGCTTTTTGCTTCCTTAGGATCACCTATAACAAGTGCCTACTAAAAAGCAAGGGCAAAGGATACACTCCAAACTTCTGACATATATGTCAAGCTGCTTCTTCTGGTGTGGTGCTTGGAGCTAAGAAGAAATCTAAGCTTATCCTGAAGAAGGAACAAAGAGACCTCTAACTACAGCATTAGGAACAACAAAGGAAGCTACTGGATAAGTTTCCATCTTACACGCCATTTCTGAACACTTGTGGCAGCTTATCTGCCTATCTGGTGTATGAACAGCTGGAATTAGACAAAATTGTGTGAAAGAAGGAATTAGCACACAATGACTGTACAAACTGTACACAGGTAAGATACTGAATTTTCTACCAGAAGATGTAGTGATTATAGGTGGTGATTCCTTAAAACCAGGGTTGCATTCGCCAAAAAGAATGCCTAGTTGCCATTTTGGGGCCAGACAGCTTGAAAGTTGTATTTTTCAAAATGACTTTTTGGTTCCTGAATTCATTCTGATTGTGCAAATAAAATATAATATAAAGAATTCTACAGGATGCGATGCAACTGTGTGAAAACATTCAAGACCCAAGGATTTCAGGCATGCATCTCCAGATGGTGAAGATGGCAGGCACCATCCTGGCGCCCGGGCATCTTCACCTGGCTGCAAGTGGCTGATAGCCAGCTGCAAAAAGCACCTGGCAAATTTCAAACACTGGCCACTACCAGTATTTGAGAGAGTAGACAGATTCATGGAAAGTAGCCCCATCAATGGCTACTAGTCATGATGGCTGTATGCTGTTCTCCAGGATCAGAAGCAACATGCTTCTGAAAGTTGCTGGGGAACAAGAGCAGACTATTGGACTTATGCTGCATTTGTTCCCATAAGCATTTGGTTGGCCACTGTAGGAAATAAACTGGATTTGATGGGCCTTTGGTTTGAACCAGCAGGACTTTGTGTTATTGTGTTTCACTAAAGCCTTAAAAAACTAAACTCTGCATTAAGTATGTGCACAGAAACCTGCCGATTCTATGCCTGCTGTATTATCAAGTTGCAGCAAATAGCCGAAGAGCTCTCTAAAAAAATTCCTCTGAATGCAGTCTTATATAGTTGACCATGGCCTGACCGCTAACAGCACAGCCCAAGACCTTGGAGCTTGTTTTTCAGGAGTTACTAAACCGTGAGAAGTTTTATCACAGCTATTTGAATGTGCTTCTTAAAATGGAAATTGCCACAGGAGAAATTTGAGTAAGGCAAATTTCTGAAAGGTCAACTAGAAGCAGAACATTTTCAAGCTAGGCAGTCAAACAAACTCTTTAAGATGGAGCCTTCCAATGGATTTCTGACTAAAGAACTATTGTTAAAGCAATGATCCTCAAATTTCTCCCCCTCCCCCAGATTTCTCCCCCCACGGGTCTTGGCAAACCCCTAAATTCTGTTTATGCTTCTTGCAGCAATTATAATTATTTGTAATTTTATTATTACATTTGCTTACTGCCATTTATCCAAAGATCACAGGTCAGTTCACAACAGAATGCACTGTGCTAAATACTGTATGATTTTTAATTGTATTTTTATTGCTTCTTCTTTTCTTAAATTGTTATTTTGTTGTACTACAATTTGAATTTCATAGGATTCTATAGAATTCCTTCACCAGCATGCTGTGAAACACCTGAATGATATTCAGTTTGGGAACCCCTACCATAAAGCACACAATCAGCTTGGAACAGAAGCTCATGTGCAAGTTCAACCCACACCACCCTCAGTAAACAAATAGGCTGCATTTATTCCACATATAGCAAAGTTTCAGTCTGCTGTACTGAAAGCTTAGCAAACTTGAGAGGGTAATACATGACTGGCATTAAGAGACCTTATATTTCTATAAGGATGCCACATTTTGGAAACTAGCTACTATAATTCAGATCTGATAGTATTTCTTTCTTTCTAAAGGGACACAGAGCTGTCTACAAGTATGTTTTCAGGAAATAAACTGTTTTTGCTTATGTACATGCTGAATGCCTTGGTCAGAATATTAAGTTACAGCTCACTTCAGAGTAATTATGCACAGGAGTAAATACCAAGTTGAAAGGGACATACTTGCAGATAAGTGTACAAAGGATTGCAACCTTCAGACCTAAATACCATTGTCCTGATTGAGGGGTGCTCTTTCATAGTATAGCTTTAAGACAGGCATCTACAGCTGGAGAATGGAAAGATTGTCTCTCACAGGAGTTCCCTTGTCCATCTGGCTCTTTCTCTCTCAGGGAAATGAAAGGAATGTATTACTTTTCTACACGCAGAACTTTAATGGTTGTGAGTCTTCAAAGATAGTACGAAAAACTACAGATATCTAATCTTCTACTCTTTGGCTATACCATGCTGCATTTATCACTGCAATGATAAATTAAATGTTTGTGTTATAGCATCTATACAAATAATAATCATCAAACACTAGCTGACCCCACATAATTTAGCACAACAGTCTAAATTATTTTAGAAAAAATGTCCACCAAGGAATATAAATCTAGCTTCCATGTCAACAAAATAAGCTTTATATCCATCAGGATTCAGTAATCCCTAGGCTGTTAATATGGCAACCTACACAGGGGATGACTGCAGGTGGCAAAGCATAACAGTCAATACGGAATCCCTTGTTTTCTCTGCAGAACTTCATCAATAAAGGTGCACATTACCTCAGGACAGCCTATGGTTCTGAAAATGTCAGAGGCAAGTAGCAATTTATTTTGCACGAGACAATTACAAGCACATGACACAATGTGGAATAATGAGCTACACAACATTTGCCTATGATTCGATGCAAGAACAATCTCTGGCATTAGGGCATAATGTCTCAGTAATACAGGCATTGTCAAGGTACATCACTTGCACATGAGGAAATTCTACAGTGGTCCAGTCATATTGAGTAAATACTTAAAATAATGACCTTGTCAGCCAGGTTTCTGACCCTTACACAAAATACGGCAATTATTGGGGGGAGGAAAGCGGTACAACGCTGGCTTCATCATTGCTTTACCCAATAAGCCAGAATCTCATAATAGTCTCCTAACATTTGCTTGCAAGCCACACCCAAGCAAAAGAGCAACCTTCAATTCAGTTGACCCCCACCTCACCAATGCACCCACTTTCAGAGGATAATCTGAATTAAGTACAGATGCAATACAAAGCGACGGTGCCTGGGGAGGGGCAAGCCCGAGGAAGACACGTTCTCGATCCACGATTGCACAACCCACTCCCTCTTCTCCTGCCAAAACCTCCTGCGTCTGTGGGCGTTATTTGCACAGGGCACCTCCCTCCCAGGCCTCCTCGCGCACGCAAAACTGGCATTACCGTCCCGCACGGGGACCTGCTCTCCGCCCGCCTCCTGCCCCACAACTTCAATAATCGCCTGTCCACGGATGAATGACCCAGCCAAGGAAGCCTCAACACCCATTAAGGCTGGCCCCCTCCCCTCCGCCTCGACTGGAGTGTCCCGGGAGTTGTACTACGTAGCGAGCCCTTCTTTTCTCCTACACAAGATGCAGCGCCTGGGCGAGTGACCTACTTTGCCTTTTAACTACCCTTCTCAATATGCTTTGCGCCAAAGCTGGCCCAGACAGCGAGCGCCTGCTCAGTGGAGCACGGCACAAAATTTTCCAAGGCGCATGCGCTCTCTGTGCTCGATTGCTCAACGCTTCTCCCCCCTCCACCCCCCCCCCGGCCCCAACATGCCATCTTGCATTGTTGGATTTCTATGTGGAATAACTAATTTCTCGGCCTCTTTCTCCCCCGCGCGGAGAGGCGGCTTGCGGGGCGGGAGATGGATTAAGCGGAGGAAATTTCAATCAGGGCTTATTGTTACGGCTGCAACTCACATCTGCTCCTGCTGGGTAGCTCAGAAGTAGACAACCCCCCCCCCAAAAAAAGACACACCAACACACACACGCAGAGCTGCTAGGCCTACGAAATAGAGACTTGGCAAGGCGTCCTTGCAATACTCGAAAGTAAATCCCCCCTAGTTCAAGTGCGCCTTGAAACTGATAGCCAAGGCACCAAGCAGGGAGATGCGGCCTGCACTGGGGGGGGGGGAGGAGGAAGGGCCGCTTCCCCTTCTCCCTCCCCAGCCAGCAGCCGGCCTCCGCCTCCCCTTCCCGAGGGATGCACGCACCAAAGAACCGCTTGCAGCCTCCTCTTTCGACCTAAAGGCAGGCACCCCCCCGCCAAAGATGGGCGGAGGCCGAGGAGAAGCGTAGGCCGAGTGAAGGTGATCTGGCCCTGACCTTTACCTCCAGGCTCTGGGCTCTCCTTTCAGGGCCGCCCAAGCTTCTGGGTCACAGGCGCCCCCGCCCCATAGCTGAGAGCCTTCCCTCCCGAAATCTCCCTTCTCAACAAGGGGGGGGGCGCGGAGGCGACACCCCAAAATTAAATTCGAGGGCAGTGCAAAAATGTGGCTTTGGGCTCCAAGCCGCCCCAGGCCCGCACCTGCAGGGCCCTCCGAGGCAGATCCCTGGGCCTAATTTACCTCACAAGGTGGCTGTCACGATGGATGAGAGGAAGAAGGCGGCCAAAGGCCCTTCCCACACCGAAAACTGCTCCCAAAACCGAGCCCAGGGCTGCCGTTTGGTTTTCCTGAGCCTCCCCTCCTCCATCCCATTATTAAATCACTGCGGGAAGGAGAACAAGTTCATCATCCCACCTAAGCTTTGGGGCAGCGGGATTTCTCCCCCCTCTTTACCCCGCACTATAATATAAACATATCTATATTTGCTTTGTTTTAGGTCTGCGTTTGTGACATAAGAAATCCTAAAGAGGCCCCCGGGGCTCTATTCCGAGGAGGGAGGGGGAAAGAAAGTTCGAGCACAAAACGGGCTGGAACCATCTTTTTTCCTGACAAAAGCCGAGCTTTTGAGTATTGATCCGGATTGAGCGGAACGGAGCGGAACAGAAACCATCTTTTTCCTCGCTCGGGTCCCAAAGATCCCCCACGGCCAGCCCTTTGGTGTTGTTCTTGTTGTTGTTGTTACCTCCACCACCGTTTACATTCTTAAAAAGGATCGAAATTTCCTCCCCTAATTGACACGAACCTGGGAGGAAGGCAGAGAGGAGGTTTTTTTGCACGATAGGTGGTCCAAGGACTCGATCCTCGCGAATTACCTGAGGGATCTGGGGTGGCTGTTGTTGTTTGTTTTTAATCCACTCCGGTAAAATGAGTAAAAACAAAATGGTGAACCGGGGACATTTTTCAATCGTTCAACCCAAATGACTTTCAACCTCCCTTCACGATGAAATGAAAAACATTAATCGCTTGGGGGGGGGGGCAAAGAGTGCCGTGTAAGAGACACAGCGCTATTAAGACTAAGGCAGGGATTCCTTTTTTCCTCCTTTCTTTTAAAGGGGCAGAGCAGATCTGCCTACGATGATTTGAGTAGAAGCCAGCCCTTCTCTCCTTGAGAGAACCAGAAGCGGAGTTGGAAGACTGGCGGCTTCTGAAAATCTTATTAGCACAATGCGATTAATTCGTTCCTTAAAGGAATATACGAGGCGCAGCAAAACCCCAACGAGATAAGCCGGCGTGCGGAAGAAAAACACCGTTCGAGAAAATATTTAAATCGTGTGACTATGGAAATCGTTCCTCTTCCTTTGCCCTCATCACCCCTCAATTCTAGCAATAAGCCATCACTTACTTCTTTTTTTCAGCACCAGGTGAGATGGTTTGGTGGCTTCTTTTTCTTTCCAGGGTGTTTCTTGGGAGTTCCTCTCTCACAAAGTGCTGATATGGTGGTGGGCGTTCGATTTTTTTTATATAAAAAAATTAAATGGATGCTGTTTTAGATAACTTCTCCCCCTTCTACAGGCCCAATCAGAAGTGGGGTGGGGGGATGTTGACTGGGGCGCCCCCTACTTCCTTCCTTCCCTCCCTGCGCAGGGAACCTGAAGCCACCCTCTCCCTGGCCCAAAGTGAGCAAAGTAAATGAAAAGTTTCACCCTTAGCAACCCTGCGCATGGATATTCCCTTCCACACCCAGGGTGACGCGTCCTGCAAAGGACAAGGAAGGGGAGGGGAGGGAGGGCAGGCTGGAACTACTTTCCCAAACACTGGCTTTAAATTAACCCGTTCTGCGCCGGGCGCGTTATATTGTTGTTTCAGATGCTTGGAAACGCCTCCCGTAAAGAAAGTCCGTCATTTGCCACGGATATTTATTTATTTTTTTGGTACGTTTTAATGAATTTCCCCTCTTCATTCTGTGACAGGCAACAACTTGTATTCAACCCTTCAGAGAACCCTCCTGAGAACAAACCAAATAAAATTTAAATAGATTGGACCCCTTTACTTACTTCCGAGTAAACCTACATAGGCTTAGACTGCATGAGAGAACAAGCTTTTATACTGAAGACTTTGCCCCTTGTAATCTGAGTTAATTAATCTGCAATAACTACCAACAAGCTTTCTTCCATACACACAATCATTTATGGAGACAGAAATGCTCCCCGCCCCATAAGATGTGCTGGAGGTGGGAAAATTCCATATTTCCCACCCTTAAGCCTCACTAATGGTGTGAGTGGGTGGTTAGCACCTTTCACCACCAATTAGTGAATGTGAATATAGAGACAAGGGTTGGTAATTATATTTGATTCTACTCTGCTATCTTCAGTTAGGGCTGAGAAAGATTTCAGACTAAAGCCCTGGAGAGCTGCCAGGCAGTGTGGATAATACTGAGCTAGATGGACACATAGTCTGATTGGATATAAGGCAGCTTTCTGCCTCTGACAAATGAAGCAAGAAATATTGTATAGCCTGATGATATCTATGCATGTTTATTTGGAAGAAAACCCCATGATGTTCAGCGGTGCTTACTTCTCCAGTAAGAACCGTAGCTTTGAACAAATATATACCTATTCTGTACCTCCTACTTTACTCCATTAAATGTTGATAATGTTTGTATGTCATCATACCAATGAAGGATATTTAAATTAGACTGAAACTGAGCAATCTCTCCCACATTCCACTGAACATTTTGGTTCACCCAGTCCTGTAACCCTCCTGTCTGGTGCTGTCAGATGCCAACTCCAGCCTCAGACACAGGGGTGATAAGTGATGTAGTCCAGCATTAGAAAAATGCTCACTGCAGGGTCAGCCCAAGACATTTTGCAGCCTGAGGTGTAGCACAAGATGGTGTACTTCCCATTTGATATACACAGTGCAACTGGACTGGTAGCTGGATTTTATTTCATCACTGGCAATGGGGCAGTGGCCTCCGCCACACCTGTGGGAAGCAGGTTCATTTAGGGCGGCCAGGCCATGTGGCAGGCGGAGCTCTGGCATCCAACAGCGAAGTGGATCTTGGAGCCAGGAGGAATGCCTGTGAGGCTGCCTCTGCTGCTTCCTAGCATCTGTTGCCTCATATGGCTAGTGGTAAGCATAGGCCCTGTACAAAAATTGGGTTCTGTGCTTAGATTTTTAAAAAATAAACATGCTGCAGAAATAACATTTTATAAAATGACAAACTAAACCTGTTTAGGATGGATTTGTAGATGAGGGCAACAGCGCTTGTACCACGGAGTAGGACCACTATTTGCAAACACATTATTCAGTTTAGTCAAGAACTGCTTAATGTAGGTTAATTCTTATTATAAAATATGTCCATAATTTTAGTCCACTAAATCAAAATCATGTTGCTTCCCTCATTTTCATAAGTGATGGGCTTTTTTCAACCAGGACAATGATGATAGTAGCAGCTGGCTTAATTATGCCATAAAAGTGTTTCTCTGAGCTGATTCAGTGAATGGAGGATTATAGTCAAAATTTTGTTCTTATCGACTCAATTGGCTCTTAGTACCTGTTTATATTACATTTACCTCTCAGAAAAATCCACCTGCACTTTAAACATACAATATTTTGACAGGTGAAATTGCCACTCTATAATACTTGTCTCTGTAAATCAAATTAAATACCCTGCACTTCAGATTTCACTCATCCTTTTCCATGCATTGTTCCCAAACATGAAGTTGGTGTAAGTGGGGTAAGCTTTTTAATTCCTTGTGGCCATCCTGAGGAGAAACCACTCTGAGGAGGCTGGGAGAGCGGCTTCAAGCCATCTTTTCTAGGATCTTAATTATGAAGTTCCTCTCAAACCTCTGCATGGCAAGAATCTTCTTTAAAGAACAGTAAGATAATTTCCTTTTGAGGGTGTTCTGCAGAATAGGCTTACCAAGAGAGAAATCCTATACATCATGTATACTCAAAAACAAGCCCCATTAAGTTCTATGGGACTTACTCAAAAGTAGCGTTTTCCAGACAGGTAGCTATGTTAGCTGGTAGCTGCAAAAACATCGAAGAACCCTGTGGCACATTAAAGGTAAACACATTTATTATGGCATGAGCTTTCGTGAAAGAGAATCCGTTTCATTACATGCAAGAGTCCACTCCTTTGGTGTGCAACGGATGACTTGTCTATATCTAGCATTGACAAAGTGGTGTTGGTGCGGAATCGGAGACAAAAACCTATTTGGCTGTTGTTCCTGTAGCTCTTTCGCGGAGCCATACCCTGCTAAAATAGTCTTGTCATAGCAGGAAATTGGATCCCCGACCATAGCATATTTCAAAAAATGGCAGCTGTTAGTTTCTTTAAAAGGGAAAGAGAGAGAGAAGGGAGGGTTTGCCCTTGCCTGGAAACCGGGCTACGACTTCACAGCTCTGTGGGAAGCTTAAAACTATCTGCTTTTTGAGTGCATGAACTTTCTTAAGAAAGAGCTCGCTTAAAATGCGTGAGGTAGTCTTGGCCCCTTCCCCTTCAATCTATGGAGAGGGCACTCAGAGGCACATTGCGCAGTCTCAGGATACGTTCTCGCTTCACAACAACCCAGACCTTTTGCTGGCACGGAAAACAGATCCTGGGGCTGAGGGATCTCTGCGATCCATTCCCCAAATGCTGTCCACCCCAATTTTCTTGGGAGTTATCCCCGTGGTTAAAACAGACTATTTAGATCTGCGTGTGCGCGAGCGTGTCCTATTCGTCGATCGACAAACCCAATTTTATTTTTTTCGTTGGAATCCGAGCGTAGAATATACGTATTTATTTGTAACACGGCGGCCTAAGGGGTTGGCGTGCGCCATCAGATCTCCCCACTGGCTGCCTTGCGTTAAAGCACGTGAACTGCAAGCTGCACAGAAGCGCACCTCTATTTCCCTGTTTATTTTCATCCTTCAAATGCCGGAGGGTATGCAAATCAGCTCACAGCCCCTAAACAAAACCCCACAAGGCACGGATGTCAGATGGCATTTTAACTATTCATGGAGCACGTTTCCCCGCTCTCAATTGCAGGTGCTACTCCGCACGATTCAGGGACTACTTTTTCAGCACTGCGCCTGTGCATTTGCCTTCGTCGACGTAACTTCAGACGCAAGCACTGAGATAGGCAGAACAACCTGCAAGGTGTAGGAGCGCAGGCTGTTCTAAAAATAACAGCACCATGCTAGCAACAGCCTTTCTATTGGCTGGAGTCGTTAGGGGGTTCTGCAGATTGGTCTGCTGCGTTAACCAGTAGGCTAAAAGCGGGGTGGGGTCGGCGTGTTTTGTGTGTAAAACTGGAAAGGCAACTAGGTTGCTGGGAAGTGTAGTTTTTTGCCTGTAGGTTCCCTAGGCCTGAAGTTGCCAAAGGAAGGTTAAAAACAAGACTTAAGGAAGGATGTGAAGCTGTGCTGTTAAAAATAAGGGACGTGTTGTATTTTATCTGCTCCCATGGACAAATATGCTGTTTAGTATGTGTCTCCATAGAGCATTTTATTGGTTGTTATAGGGAGTTGTAGAGACACATTCTCTGCATCTAAACCCCTATTAGCTATGGAAATTATTCTATGTTTTTCTTTTGCCTGTCTGTATAACACACAAGCAGGAAAGCAGGACAGGTTTAGACTGCCCTGTATGAACCATTTAGGTCTTATAGTAGATAAAGTGTCTCTCTACTCCTTATTCCTCCTATTCAGAGTTAAGCATGTGAGAGCTGCATTTACTACTTACAACAAAAGCCAGGGGCTTTGGCATAGTCCTAAAGCCAGTAGAAATATCTTCTACAGCATTCATGTTACTGATTTTTATCGTATGTTAATATTTATTACACCTCTACTAGAAGCTCCAGAGATGTAAACAAGCATATAAGGACAATTTTGCCAGTCACATAACCAGTGTAATCCTAACTGCGCTTACTTGAAAGTCCACATTTCAATGTTGCTTGTTTACTCAAAAGCACAGTTCAGTATTGAGCTGTAAGGCTGCATTCTTAAATATACATGCTTGGAAATAAACCTCACTGAAATTAATGCACCTGCTTGGGGCATACCATGGATGATTAATTAATATGAAATGAAATATTACTTGTATCAATAGGATAATTTGCCCTATATTATTAAAAATAAATTTGACATGTTTTAAACCTGGATTACTATTCCTGTTGTTCATTGTGCTGCTCATTGTGGGACGTTTACAGTTTCCTATGCATAGTAGGAAAACTTGGTGGATTGTGCCCAGAGTGAACATAACAGCTCCACCAGCTAAAATAACAATGTGTTTGTCCAACAGGATGTTAGGAAACCTGCTAATCCAGACAACAGAAAAGTAGAACAGAATTAATATACAGTTATACCAATTTGACTTAAATATTATGAGACTAAATATTATGTCCCTATCCTAAACACACTTAATGCAAGTCTGTTTAAGTTCAAATCTCATTGTCCAGAAGACTAAATGGAGTGCTCAAAAGGATATGTTTTTCAGATTTCATATAGTCAACTCAATCTACATCTAGTAAAATGAAATTACAGCAGCATTTCTATACACATTTACCTGGAAGTATTTTATTGAATTCAGTGGGACTTCATTTGTTCCATAAAAGTAAATGGACCTTAAGCTCATTTACAGCACAGTTCTATTAGAACTAATGTATCTTAAATCCTGGAAGCTCATATAATTAGAATGTAATAAATGTACAGCCCAGTATGCAATCTAGCATAACAGGTTATGTTCTATATGTAGGCTATATGATCATCATAATCATTATGTATATTAATAGCAAACTCAGTTGCTGAGTTACGACGGCTATGTAGCCAAAATACAAGAAGTAAAAATATCAACATGCTTGAGAGAACCCGAAAATAAGCAAAAGTAGGGAAAAATAATTATATAAATTGTAATAACATTTTGTTGCAGGCCCCACTTGTAATATCATATTCTTTTGCCAGCATATTTGGTTGTTTATTAGGCAGACAATGTTCCAAATATTTAAATAAAGGCAATGAATTTCCCGACACACCCAGAACTGTCCACTGAAATACTATGTAGAGATGCCTCAAGCATTAATTTTTCCATGGTTCATATGCTCTTTTTACAAAGGTGAAATATAATATTCCAGTGATCTATGCTATACTTGAAGGAATACATGCAGCCTGAACCACTATGCATGTTTATGAAAAAACAGATCCTTATATATTCAGTAAGGCTTGCTCCACAATACATTGAAATGCAGCACACACGTCTATTCTCAAATATATCTGTCAATGATTGCATCTATATTTCCATGATCTTTTCATCATTCGTATCCATTTGGAACCAGTCAGGGAGAATTAGGAAGACAAACTGAAATAGAAAACATTTTCAGCAAAGACACACAATTTATTATTAAATCCAGCTATTCCTTATTTTGCTTCTAGTAAACCAGCCTTACATTAGACTGACCAGTCTAGTTTCAAACTCACACTGCAATTTATGTAGCTTTTCTAACAGTGCAATATCCTATACATGTCTACTCAGAAGTAAACTCCACTGACTTCAGTGGAACTTATTCCTAGGCGAGTATAGGATTGCAGCCTAAGATTACATTTTAATTGATTTTAAATTGGATGAAATTGTTTTGCACTTTTTTTTAATTTCCCAGGCACATGGGCAGCCCTAATGGTATTTTATTATATTATTAAATCAGTTTTTAGTATTTAGTAATTTTATTATTGTATGTTTTAATCTGTAAATTGCTTTGGAACTTTTTGGTGGAAACTACCACACACATTTAATACACTTTAAAAGTAATCCAGAAAACTTAGTTAATATTGCTGCCGATGACTGAATAAATCCTATTCATAGGAGAGAGGAAAAACATTCCTTCCACCATACTAGATTTGCTGTGAGTTTTTAATACCAAGAAAGACCAGTCAGTCTATAATTAGGTGTAATTAGCACTTACTCATTGCCCAGCATTCTTTACCTTTGCATCACCTGACACTTACAACCCAAGGAAATTAGTTCTTTCCTGCCTTTCAAATGAAGAAACAGTTTGACAAGGAGCAGTTACTCACCATGAAGGTGCAAAACACAATATATACTACAAAGTCAGACTTATTCATCTCAAATCATCCTCCAATTTAGTTCTCTATATCTTAAGGTGAGAGGTGTGGACTTTTGTCAGGGGAGGAACAAGCCATTCTCCTCCACCCTCTTCTTGATTTATGGCATTAATAGGGCACCTGTGGCCATCCAGATATTATTGGACTACAAATTCCATCCCTCCTGATGATTGATCATGCTCAATGGGGATGATGGGATGTAGGCATCCAACACCATAGATTCCTCATCCCTCCTTTATGTCCATTTCCCTGAGTAGACTTACCAAACTGGGAATCATGGGGGCAACTCTGTTTTTCACAGTCTTTATGCCTTCCCTCAAGTGCTCACCTGACTTGGGAACTTGACTAGGTAAGGTAATTGCTTCCTTGACAAGGATAGCTGGGATGGCAAAGTCTGAGAAGCCATGAGACAGAAAACTACTGAGTTGATCACACCCATTTTAAGATGGTTACATGTAAGACTCAGGAAGATGATCGGGCATGTGATACACATGATTAAAGCATATTACTAACGGGCTATTATGGGCCATTCACATGAGCAAATTTCAGCTTAGTAGGTATGACTCCTTTCTTGGCCTAGACAAAACATTGCAAGTTTTATTTTCATAGAACTTGGCCAGCTGTGCGTCTAATGGGACACAAAGGCATAGATGTGAACATAACAATGCATTTTAAGCAGGGCTAGTTGAAAAGACCCTGATGTTGAGAAAGATGGAGGGCACAAGGAAAAGGGGACGACAGAGGACGAGATGGTTGGATAGTGTTCTCGAAGCTACTAGCATGAGTTTGACCAAACTGCGGGAGGCAGTGGAAGACAGAAGTGCCTGGCGTGCTCTGGTCCATGGGGTCACGACTAAACAACAACAAGTTGAAAGGTACATAATATATTCTCAGCACCAGAGAGCACAATTTACACAGACCTTCCTGCAAGTTTTGTTGTGTGTGTGGTTTTTTTATTTTTACAAATTGTATTATTGTAGGACCAACATGAGTACAGCATCCATACCATAAATCTTTGCTTCATTCTTTCTATACAATAATCTCACAAGGCAGGCTTTGGGCTCCATTTTCAGAGGAAAAGCCAGGCTGAAATATAGTGACTGGATTTGGGATTGGTAAATGCAGGTTCGAAGAAACTATTCTCCGTAGAGGCTGCACTGGTTTTTAAATCTTTTAAAAACACTCTTTAAACTTTGTAACTGAAGGATAAGGAGCCTATGCCATTAGCGACTACACATCAAGTGGTACAAGCTTTTGAGTACCAAGGTCGCTAAAAGTAGTGCACACTGTATCTTGGTAACATTGGTTTCCCTGGAGATTTACTAATTCAGGCCTGTATAATTTGTAATTCCTCAAGTTGAAAATAGCCCACCAGCCACATTATTGTGGCATGCCAAGCACTCCCCCATTCCAATTTTGGCAGGTCCAGGAAGGAAGTAAAATCAAGTTTATTGAGCCCCTAGAATGGCTGCCACATGCGGCTAGTGGAATGCATCCAGCTTGGTGATAAGACAAGATGTTTAGTCTCATAACAAAAAGTTGCAAAGAAATCAGAATAAATTTCTTATCTGAGCAGCCTGCTTTACATTGTCACTTTTGTTGGATTCTTAGGCATTAAACCAGTCTCTCAAACCTGGGTCCCCAGATGTTGTTGATACCATGGTCAGGGATGATGGGAGTCGTAGTCCAACAAGTTTGAGAAAGGCTACATTACACAAACACATATCAAATTTAAGATATCTGTGCCAAGTAGAAGCAAAACTCCTCATTAAGACAGCAGCTCACATTAAAAGGAATGTCACTTTGTATCAAATATTTTAGTCTATAACATAAACAGTAGACCAAGACAGAATCTACAAATCATGTCACTTGTCATGTTCTGAACTCTTTTCATGTTTTTCCACATTATCTTCTTTTTCTTGCATACACCATTTTCAGCCATTCCACATCATAGACCCAATGTGGGGAACCTATGGTCCACCAGTCCTCTCCATTTGGCCCATTAGGTCATTTGGGCTAAGCCATGCCTACCTGCTTTATACCTGATATGATGTCTGATGTAGGACAGATGAAGACATGGCCATGCCAAACTGGGGTTGCAAGCACTACCAATCTAGAATACAGAGTCTTCATTTTGAGAATTAATTTATCATAGAAGCATAGAATTATAGAGTTGGAAGGGACTTCAAGGGTCATCTAGTCAGCCCCTGCAATGCAGGAATCCTGCCCACAGCCATCCCTGGGAGGGCTCAAACTACCAACCTTCTGGTTAACAGCCAGACACGCTGACCCATTTTGGCACTGGTGGCTACATGACTGGATAGATTTGCAATATTTTGCGTCTTGAGTCTTTCCATTCTGGTCCCATCCTCCCATCCAATTGCTCCCCAAAGGTAATATATCTTATTGGTCCCCAGTACAAGTTCAGTAACAGCCTCTAGAGCCACTACCATTTTTTGTAAAAAGAAGAAAAAGCTTCACCTGCATTAAAAAAATAGGAAAGGCCAGAAATATTACAAAACCAACTATAAAAATCAAAATTCCAAAAGTAAACTTTTGGAGGTAGTACAGAGTATACCGAGACCTGTTCTAGTTATAGCATTTGAGAAACAATGTTATTCATGGCTATGCTGTAGTGGTGTGTTAATATGCTTTGCCTAACAGGCACAGTGGACTATGGAATTGAATAAGGTCAGTTAAGAGTGACCTGTTTTCAGAAACCCTGGAAGCAAAGGCTGAGGTCCAGGGTTGCGAATATGTAGAAAGCTTGTTGCTTCTCTGGCTGAACCTGTTCTGTGGAGAGTAGCTTTCTACCATGTAGAGGCACCTTGGTGCTTAGAAGTACACGTTTATTACCACACCTTTTACCACACCAACTATTTCCCTTCAGAGACGACAACTTGTGCACAATGTCTGGCTGTGATTTGGAATCTGGTAATCACAGCTCATAACAATGCCATTTATGGGATGGAAGAATAATCTGGGCAGGGCAACACCCATCTTTTTATAGTCTGCTTCTCATGGGTCTTTGTCTGTAGCAGCAGTAGGATGTCATTTTCCTGCTGCTGAACTAGTTTTATGTGGATAATTGCACTAGAACAAAACTGGGTAAATCTCAAATGGCAACTAGACTTTTTCAACAGTAGGCAAGAATGGCGGTTTTACAGCATAGGCATTTCACACTGATGCAAGACACATGTTAAGACAATATGAACTGCTGTTCTTATAAGCCTTTCAGTGCTGTGGACTTCAAACTTGCCACTGTTGGAGGATATAATTTTATACATATCTAACAACACGAGCCCAGAAAGAACAATATGGAGAGATTCAGAGACAGGACCCTCCTTTAGAAGACTACTATAAAACTTTATTGATGCATAATTCACAAAGATGCTGCGGCTTGGCTTACTTCAGGGAAAATATAGGTGTGGTCATAACACTAAGTGAAAGGATTCAGTCAACAGAAATTTAGGTTGCTTATCTATAAAGGGGTAGATTGGAAGTCACAAGGGCTGAAATGTAAATCTCCTTCCTCTGAGTCACAGATGCAATAAAAATGCTCAACTCCCTTGGTAACATTAGGGACCACTGAGGAATGGCAGGGAAGACAGCAACCTCCAAATTTAGTTTTACATACTAGTTTCTGCAACAAATTTTAAGGACTAAGAACAAATGAGCTGCTTTCCAGTAAGATGGCAGTCCTTTTTTAAAAAAAGAATCCTTGCAGTCTCCAGCAAATGTACCATGGTGGAGATGGGATCACCTTTTCTTAAAGCCATACTTCTTTCGCTCATAGAAGAGATCTGTTTTTGAGCTGCCCAGATTGACAATCTTGGGACAGCCATCTCGCTGAAAAGGAACAGAAAAGGGATATGGTTAGAACAACGGTAATGCTAGTAAATGTATCACACAAGTTACTTCACAGCTCAGATAGGGTGTGCAAGAAAAAATTAATCATCACTCAACACAAGACCCAATTCTGATACACGTACTGGCTACAGATAGTTATGCCAACCTTCCATTTGAAGTCCAACAGAGATTCTGCCACAAAGGCTGCAATTCTAGATGCGCTTAATTATTTCTGAGTACACTATTTTAGGATAATGCTGCAATTCAATTTTCTCTAACAGGGGCGTATGAATTCTACATCCAGAATAAGTTGCACAAAGCTCCTTTATTTAATCTGGCCTTGGTGTTTGGGGTTTTGCAGAATTTGGAGTGTTTTTGCAAAGACAGAGGAATTAAAAGATCAAAGTCATACTCGGTAGACCCATGAAAATCAACATATTTAAGTTAGTGATGGCTGACTTACTGTAAGTCCATTGATTTAATGGGTCTACTCCAAGTATGACATGGCTACCCAAAGAAAGCAGGCATGGACAGTGAGAAATATTAAGAGCTGTACAGAACAAGAAGATTAAGCACTTTGCAAGCCCGACTCAAAAACTTTGCTTCAGCTTTCTGCAGATACATCAGAATATTTTCAGATTTATCTAAACCACCATAAGAGCTAGAAAATGAAAAAGCAACAGAAAGCCAATATGTGAGCTCCTCAAGGAGTCAAATAGCATGCTGCTGTTCGACTCTATAGAATTTGATGGCTTGAGGTAGTTCCTGAAGAAAGAACTGATGTTCTGAAATGCACTGAGCTGTAATAAATCTCAGTTGGCACTTTTGAGAAGCTTCTCCATTTTGCATTCTTTCTCATTTCTGTGGCACCTTACAGACTGCTACTGGCATGCGGTGTTCGAAACTCCCATTGTGACAGGGAATTTCATTAGCGCAAGAAGTTTCTGAGCTCTGGGTGCAGTACTGCGCCTAAGATTTCAGACTAAAAACTGCAGAGTGGAAGGAAAGGAGGACCCTTTTCTGCCTCCCCACTTCCAGCTACTCTCTGAAGACTGGAGAAGAGACCGTCTGAAAAATATTAGGAGGGTAGGCAGGGGAAGGAGTAGAGCACATGAAAAATGAACATAATATTTTAGCTGCAGTTCATTCATTTTCAGCTTTGTATGCTTGTTATAAAAAAGTGCACCTAGACATTCTGTTGCTGCACCCATAACATAGGTTTAAGGTGCCATTTGGCTCCTATCTTCCATATCTCAGTTTCTAACACTACTGGCATGGCAGCTACAGGGTTAGGCAGGTAGTAGATCATTTGCTGTTGAATATGCCAGGGTAGTTTGGATTCAGGGTAGGCAGGGACCGCCTATTGTTCCAATAGCTGCTGTGAAGGGATGAAGAAAAAGAGCGTGGTACAGTTACAGCTGGAGGAACCCACCTTACAGATAATTTTCAGTTACATTTAAGCTGATAGATCTGTGAACTTTTTGCAGGGTGCTGGATTCTGTTCACCAACCTACCCACTCAGCAGATGCAATATTTTCCTCAGTTTACACTTTGACACAGGAAATCAATAAATACCTCCCCAGTCTGAAGTGACACATTTTGGGTGTGCCCTATGCCACATTTTCTGGAGGGGCACTTTCATTACTATGTGATCAGATGCAAAAGCAGACAGGGCGCCCACACAACTCTTAAAGGTGAAGGAGCCCTGGCCTCTTTTTCACCTGGCTACCCTATTGTATTCACTGACAAACTTCCCACAAGTATAGAAATAGCTTTAAAACCATTTCCAACTGCACTTCATGGCCTCGCCATTTCAGCATGTGTCTGATTTGGAGAGGATCCTCTTCATAGAATTCCATCTTAACCTGGGTGCAGCAGTACTTTATGCTAAAAGAACCCATTGTTACTGACCCATTTTCTTCATGTTGTCTAGCAGCCCTAGTGCCTTCTTTTCTGTCTACAGCTGAGACGAGTTTATGCACACATTCAACATGTACTCAACTGTAGAATCCAATGTCGACTTACTCATAAAGCATCTATCACACCATAGATGGCTCTAATGTCACAAACAGTACTTTTAAATGGAGGTAGTCAATTCACATTCAACTGCAAATCATCCAGTAATGTATATGCAAATTCAAAAAGCCTTTCCTTTTTAAAAACCTCCTCCTTCCAAGCTCTTCCTACACAGTTAGTATCAGACAGAATGAAGCTAATTGTCAGCTACTCCATTTTCAAGAACCATGCTCTCTACTTCTGCTTATTTTTCAACTCAAATGTGAAACGGCTGGGTAGGAACAAGGTCATTTCTATTGTCCCTGCGAAGTAACCAGCAAAACAGGTGCATTTCACTTTATAGATAATTGCATTTCTGTGGTACAATTGGAGCAGCGAGGTGAAAAAAGAGAGCACAGGAGCTCCTGCACCTTTAACAGATGTACCTTCCCTCTTCGCTACAACTATTAAAGATGCATGAGCCCTGACCTATTTTTCACAAGGCCACTTTAGAGTCAAGGCATTTTTTCCTGTACTCATTCATTGTTAAAACAGTCTGAATCTGCTCTTACTGTAAGGGTTTCTGGTACAGAAGAACACCAGCTCTACTGTGGCAACACTGTAATACCCATCCTCAGACAAAAATATAAGGTGTCCCAAATTCATAGAAGGGACCCTGAGGGTCATCTAGTCTAACCCCCTGCAACGGAGGAATCTCAAGAAGTGACATTACAAAGGAATTTGTAGGACTGTGTCACTGGAGAGAAAATCTGATACCATTGCTACTTACAAACCACCCCACCCCAAGACCGCTAACCCAGATTGCTGTTTAGAATAATACTACACTACAACGGCTGGTAGTTGATACTATAGTTTTATATTAAAGGTTCAACTGCCAATGCTGATTTTTATTTTTTAAACCCCTGTCCTTGATCTCTTGTAATCTAAGGCATGAATGAAATCTGTCTACTGGTTTGCAGCCATAAGTTATTTTAGAAGAGTTTGAAATTATAAATTATGTTAGTTTTAGGGCGCTTTCGAAAGAGACAAGTATGAACCTTTATTGAAGGTACTGGACATGAGAGCATATAGATATTAGAATATAAGCATCCCAGGCTTCAGATGTTTACCAACACATAGGCCAACGATAATAGTTAAGAACAAACAATTGCAACTTAGAGAGCGGAAAAATGCGAACCCCTGTAATAATCTTACATCTTTCTCCTGGATGGTGCATTCTTTACAGTAGTATGCATCAGAGACACCAGGACCTCCACATATCACACAGCGCCCTTGATAAGACCCATAGTTGCACTCATCACATATGCGCACCAGTGTGCAGGGCCGCACATAAGAGTCACAAATAACACACTTGCCATCACCTGCAAAATAAGTACACGTATTTCAAGTGAAAGAAAAGATGCAGACAAGCCACCCACAGAAAGAATATACACAGCCTATTAGATTACCCACAGAACATGCTACAAAAGCAAAGCGTCAACTGGGCTTGCTTCCAGGCAGATGTGTTTAAGGTGGAGTTGCCACACCCCAAATACAATGGCTTGTGTTGTTTACAGATAAAAGCCCAAAGCAATTGGCATTTGACTGAACTTCTCCATAAACCAGTCTGCCACATTTTTTGAATTTTTTAATCATATGTAATACCAAATCAGCATCTTTGTGCGGGGATGAATACAGAATGCAGCATCACAGATACATCAATCAATCATATAATGCCAATGCAATCTTCTACACTTGAAAGGTATATTCAGTGATCTGCTTTTCTTAATTTGGCTTTAGGAAAGGCTGAAAGGGCAAGTGCACACATACATAATTGAAGCCATTATTGCTGTAGATAGCTCTTGAGGTATGGAACCAAAGTTAGCAAGTAAGTAAATAAATAGCCAACAGATGGCAATGACAAGCACTGCTAGCCTGGACCATATCCAAGCAAATGACCTAAAGACGAAGAGCTTCATATCCCATTACCCTCGCCCATCTAATCTTTATTCCTACTAAGGACTTGTTTAACTTGCTCTTTCTTTCGGAAGGTGAACAAATTCTTTTTAAGAATGCTGATAATTTCCTGGGTGACAGCTACAATAGACCATCTCATAGTTTCCCCCCAGTACTGCTTTATTTCCAGTTTCGAAGATGGGGCAGGAGTAGGGAGCCATTTCATTTGTGTGGCAAGTAGCCCTGGGAAGCACCCAAGTGCAGCGCCCTCTACTCTCTTACTCTGCATCCCTGGGCTGAAAAAGCATCTCTTTCCTGTCTGCAATAGCTTGTGCTGTTATCCTGTCCTTTTATGACCAGGAGAGACAGCATCTGTTACCCCAATAGCGATATTAAGAAAAGCCATAATCTGCCCATAACTCCATGCTTTCTGAAATCCTTTTCTTCTTTCTGACATCCTTTACTTCTGCCTAGTTTCACCTCAAAATGGACACTAGCTAGCCTGGTCATTATGTGGCCTGAAGTTTTGCTTTTACTTTACAGGTACCTGTGCTTTTTAAGGACTAGAGGAACAGCTACAATAGTGCTTTGGAGACTCCGGAGTGCAGGGGTGTGTGTCTTTTTTCAACACAAGGGCTGCATTCTTTTCTGGGCAGCCTTCCTGGGGCTACATGCCAATGGTGGGTGGGGTGAGGTGGGGCAAAAGTGGGCATGGCACCAAATTTAAATTTTACCTTTGTAAAATAACCTAGTTTCTATGCACACTCAATCAACCCTCTCTATCCTCCATCCATGGCTACAAGAGGAATTATCAGAGTTCAAGGACACATTCCAGCCAGGTAAGAGCTCCTGGGGTGTGAAGCATGGTCAGTGAGGTGTGTACTGGGGCGGGCTCCAGGGGCCAGGCAGAAAGGCCTGGAATTTAGCTCCTAATCCTGAATTTCACTGCCCCTGATTAGCACACATGCTAATGCATGTGTGACTGTTACGTCTTAAAATGCCAGTAAAGACAGCTGCAGCATATCAGGAATGCTAAGTGTGTTTTCTGTGGGCTGGATTGGACAAAAGTCCAAAGCATGATGTGGTGCAACAAGAAGCCGGTGGCTGGTGCACATCTTCCTTCTTTTCACAGGTGCCTTGCTTTCCTGGTCTGCTTCCTTGAAGTCTTAAGTTGCCAGTGCCAAACTATGGTTTAACGTTACATCTGTCATCTCGTCAGACATTCTATGTTTGAGAAAAATGTAGCTACAGTAGTACTGGAGCAACACAGACATCCCTGCTTAACATTGCAAAGCTTTTAGGAAGCAGGAAGTTAAAGGGGGATTGGAGGGAATGGCTGCCATGTTCTGATACATTTTTCAACCCCTTCCTTTCTTAAACTCTTACCAACTTTTTTCACCCCCCTTAAAATCTATATAGCATTGATCCTCTACTTTATTTTTAAATTATCTAAAGTAAACATATAGGTATGTTGCCAATTTTTATATTCCTTCTCTTCTCTTGGGTTTAGATTCAAAAGTGTTTCAGACAGGTTTAGGTGAAAAGGTGAAGTTTCTCAAGTCTATGGCAAGTCTTGAACATCTAAGCTGCAGTTCTATACTAATTTGCTTGGGAGTAAGTTTCAGTGAACATAGTGGGAAAATTCTGAATATGCAAATATAGGATTATACTACATGTGTAGCTAGAATTTTAAACTTAAAATGGCATCATACTCAGTGCTTGTTTTCCGGGGGTACTCAAGAGTATGCACTATCAACACCTTTTTTTGTTGTTAAAAAGTGTGGCACTTACTGTAACAATTTCATGGTGAGTTTCACTGGCACCTATTTTTCTAGAAAAAATGCACTACTTATACCTATAAGTTTAATTGAATTTTAGAAGACAGACTTTACTCAGCTTGGAAGAAATCCTGATTCACAATATTGGGCTCTAAATCACAGAAGACACACAGTATGTAAAAAGCTATACTCACATTTTTCACATAGTCGTCCAATAGCTGCAATAAAAATGGAGAAAAATGAGTAACATTCATTTGGAAATTCTGAAAGTTCCACATTATTTCTAGAATCTGTACAGTGGTACCTCAGGTTACATACGCTTCAGGTTACATACGCTTCAGGTTACAGACTCCGCTAACCCAGAAATAGTGCTTCAGGTTAAGAACTTTGCTTCAGGATGAGAACAGAAATCGTGCTCCGGCGGCATGGCGGCAGTGGGAGGCCCCATTAGCTAAAGTGGTGCTTCAGGTTAAGAACAGTTTCAGGTTAAGTACGGACCTCTGGAATGAATTAAGTACTTAACCTGAGGTACCACTGTACTACTCTTCAGGATTTACCTCATATTCAGGTGGGGATGGGTGAACTATGAGATTTAAAGGCAATTAATTAATAAACACTTAACTTTTGGTATTCCATAAGAAGATCCTATCCAGACTGATATTCGGGGCTGATCCTATCCATGCTTAGTCAAAGGTAAACTGAATGAACTTTAATCAGTGAGTAGCTAGATACAGTGCAGTGGCAGCAAGGCCACATGGCACAAAGTACCTGTGTATATTTTAAGAAGCAGCCTTTATATTTTCCCTTCGGTTTCAAACAGTGGGACCTGTTTCCAGGCACGTGTCTTTAGGAATGCAACCGTAGGCTTTCACTGTTAATACGGTATTGGCAGGACTAAACTTAAAGCAAACGTAATCTTTCCTCACTCTGCCTAATGTGTTTTGCCAAGATTAGAGCTTGTCATTTTCAAAACAACAGTAAGAATGTAATACTCATAGGGAATGAAGGCAAAGAATGCGCTATTTTGATGAAAATACAATAGCAAAGCCTTATGTCTTATGTATGTCACAGGCCGAGAGTGACGCAGCATCATGTAAACTTACGACTTCCAAAGGTAAATAAGAGGGCAGTAGGCCCAAAACCTGTAGTTGTATGGTAGGAAAATCTTGTAGCAAGTATGATTTAAAAAAATAAAAAATCCTTGCTGCTAAGAAGCAGTTAATAAAATATCAGTTAAAAGCAGGAGGGAAGGGGACAGAAATGTAGGACATTAGATATGACTATGTGACTCATGTAAAACTGTTGTAACTGATACAACATTCATTCCACTTTAAGCAAGTACTCTGTTTGGTTGCAAGAAGATCTCCTCTTTTGCAGCCCAGCTAGCTGAAATCCTTTTAATTAGATGCTAGGGATTGATCAGAACTTAAGTGTGCAAATCATGTTCTAATATTATACAGCAGGACCTAAATGCTTCCATCTACAAGCCACAATGATGCAGCAGATATACAGTACTTGTTTTTCCATCTAGGTCTGCTTATGACAGCTGCAAGGTTGGCAGACGAACTGCACTGTGTTAAGGAATATCTGACGGGGGGGGGGGGGGGAGAGGAACAGTGATGGGCTCCAGAGATACATTTGTATGCAATATAAACCATCCTAGGGGCCAGCTGGCAACTTGAGGATGGGAGAGCCATTAAGGAGCAACTACTTTATACAGAACTTATGCTCTGAATTCAGCTGTCAGGGCTAACGGTTAAACGGACTAGACCTCGGCTGATTTAAAGCTCCTTCTAAAGCCACCTAAGCCTGCGACTATCACTGCATCTGAGGGCACGGAATGCGGAGAATGAGGTTTCGCCGGTCCATTTCTGAATCTCCCGCCGGTCGATTTCATTGGGCGGCTACGACTTCAGCCACAACGAGTGAGGCCCAAGCGCGCCGGTTCGCAATTCCGTTTCAGACGTGAGGCCTCGCCGCGTTTTGCCGTTTGGACCAGGGCAGAAGTCAGTCGAGCCTCCCGCCTGGGAGACCCGGCCGGTGTGGCCTTCCCGCCCGCCTCCCGCCGCGCGCGCAGGCCAGGCCCCCCTAGGCTCCCGGTCCGAGGGAAAGGGGGAAGGAAGGGGGCCTCACCCACGCCCGCCTGCTTGCGGCAGAAGATCAAATCCGGGTGGTGCTTGGCCATCCCTGAACCCCTTCGCCTCGCGCCGCCGTCGTTACTGGCCTTTCACCTTTGACCCCTTCAGGTCCTGGGGAAAGCGCAGGTCCTACACACTCGCCCACCTCCACACAAACCGGCTTTTAATTTCCTTTCGCGCGCTACCGCGTCGGGTTACAACACTCGAATATCCCGCAAATAAACAACAACGTGTTTCTTCGTAGCCCTTAGAATATTTTTAGAAGAGGGGAAATGTCGGCAATTTACAACTCTCTCTCTCTTTCAGGACCTGGCAGAGTACCGCCCTCTCGACTGACGTCATTAGCACGCTAGAGATTGGACCCATTTTTCAGACGGGCAGCGTAGAGTTAGACTTGAAACGCTTACAGAGGCCTCAACTTTCGTTTGCTTTCCCTCTCTAAGGGCGGAAGTGAGAGCTGCTCATAGAAATTTGGGGAGGAATTCACGATGCTAGCGTAGCAACCCGAGGCAGAAATAACATAATACTCCTAAGGTTGCTCCTTTTTTTGTTTCTAAGTGAACGCGCTGCTCCTCAGTCAGCTACGCTAAGCTAATAGACTTCCCCATTGATTTGTACAGGCAGCCTTAATTTCGGTACTATTGTAGCGGGACAGGGAATACGTATGCCCAGGTAAACCCGGAAATTTCCAATTTTTTTTAAAGGTGGACTTCTCTGCATTTTCTTATCACTATGTACTATTATTGACGAGGAAAGCGGTTTCCTGTGGAGAAGTCACGCCTCCGGAAGTACTTTGTTTCCACGTGCCCGCTTCTATTTAAAAGGAGATTTGATGGGCGCGGCCTAGGCCCCGCCTACGAGGCACGTCCTTTAAAAGCCCCGTGTGACGCTATCGCGCAGCGACTTCATCTTTGTCAGTGAACAAAATGGCGCCGTACTGTGTCCTAGTCAGTCGGTTACAGGTGAGTCTGGTTCCCGTAGACTCGGTTATGGGCAGAGCAAGCGGTAGAAGCTGAGTGTAGCTGGCGGAGTCGGCAGTGGGGGTCGAGGCCTGCGCGCCCCTCGCTGCTCTTCGGGATCGGCCTTCCGCTTCCTCGCTGTAGGTCAGTGTGTCCCCCATGCCAGTCCCGCCTGTGACTCCCTGCAAGCGAGGAGGGATGTTTGCTTGGCAGTACCATAGAAAGGCCTGGCATGCCAACACACGTACACTAGCGAAGGCTTCGTGCTGTCTCCGGGGTGGTGTGCTGACTGGTGGGGCCCCGCTCACGAACTCAAGGTGAGGGCAAGGTTACTGGGGGTCTGCGCCGCTGCTGGCTTCCCTCCACACTCGGCATTTATAAACGACGCATTGTACCGTTATGCATGCAGTCGTATTGATAGATGGATTTTTACAACCTACACACGGTAGGTGGCATAGGAATTCACCTCTCAGCAATAGGCCTCTTCCCTGTGGCTTGTTTCACACAAATAGTTCCCCAAATTTTATGCTACAAATTATGCACAGAACTGCTTTTGGGTAGGTAGGACTTAACCTCTCTAGCCCTACAATCCTGTATACACTCTTATTTGGGCAAGCCACCTAATGGGGTTTCCTTCTGAGTAAAAATGTTTTGCTGCAAAACATATGCACCAAATAGTCGAGCTGTAAATGTTAGATGTATTGTTACTTTTTGAAATGTTTTGTAATACCTTTTGTTTAAAAAAATTGGTTTGTTTCAATCAACCAAATAGCTCAGGCTTAGGCATGAGATGGACATGCATAACTTTGTTTGTATGCTGCCTTTCTGTAGTTCAAACCATGCGCAGGACAGTTTGCAACATAAAAAATACATAATTACACACATAACAAAGTAGACACAAACAATAAATACCAAAAGTTCACAAATTAAACAATTTCCACATAAATAATATTTAAAATAAAGATACAAAAAAAATTGATTACAGCAGCAACCCCACTCAACAAAACCCCCTAAAAAGTACCCCAGTCCAAGAGTCTGTTCAGCATCTTCAACTTTTGTAGCTGGAATCAATCAGGATCCTGCCCACCCAGGCCAGGTGGGTAAAGGCCTGCAGGGCAGGGAGCAGGTCTTCCAGGACTCACAGCCAAGATGGACACCAACACTGCAGACAGGATGAACTTGAAGCTAAGATTGTTGGTTTATGAAAGATACCATGTGCATAAGGGAATACAGTGGTACGTCGGGTTAAGTACTTAATTCGTTCCAGAGGTCCGTTCTTAACCTGAAACTGTTCTTAACCTGAAACACCACTTTAGCTAATGGGGCCTCCTGTTGCCACCGTGCCGCTGGAGCACAATTTCTGTTCTCATCCTGAAGCAAAGTTCTTAATCTGAGGTACTATTTCTGGGTTAGCGGAGTCTGTAACCTGAAGCGTATGTAACCCGAGGTACCACTGTAATACTTACATTGGGGCCTCAATGGTGCTTGTTAATGGGTTCTGAAGACTCAAGAGATACTGTTGCTGATACCAGCCTGTATGCTACCTGCTTTCATTTTCCCCAAGTATAAGTGGGACAAATTGATTTATCGGCACCCCTACTTCATATAGCCCTCTTCATTCTCTCTACTTGTTGAAAAGTCTGCCTGCTTGACCATAATAAAGAACGTTGCCCAATCCACATATTCAACATTCATTTTCACTGAAACAGTATCTTCCAATATCTTCCATTAATATAAAGTCAGGTCATATTAGGGACACTGAAGACCCAATATGCAGCATACTGAAAACAGTTATTTTCTTTATCAAAACTAGCTCCCTGCACAGTGATGTTTTGTTTTCCCCCACTCCATTTTTCCCTTAGTCACTTACATTGAGTAAGAGTGTATGGAGGGGACACACTCTGATTATTTCTACTCAAGAGGGCTTGCATGCTACTTCTGAACAGTCAGCCCTGAGGGAGGAATTTGTGCTGGATCTTCTAGCTGTTTGGTCCATCAGCTGCCAATCAATTATAAACCCTGCTGCTGAAGGTGGTAGATCATCAATGAGCACAATATTATACTGTTGATGGATACAGGCGGTGACCATTTCAAATGGGAGTTCAATTCCTAGAATCCATGCACATCGGCAGAGCATGTATAAACTCAAAAGAACCCATGTCTCGGTGATCATGCATCAATTGGACATTTATAAAATGGTTGCCGCCTGTACAGCGTTCCCTTTAAAGGTACTGGGAAGCTGCTAGAAGCTAGCTGTATTGTGACTTTATACTACACAGTCAGAACTATACCGTATATAGTAGCAGTTTGAGGGAAAGCATTTCTGTTCTGTTTTGGACAGTTCCAATTTTATTTAAGAAGCAAGATACTGTGGAGGTGGTGGCAAGCAGAGAATAGAATTGGAAAAGTAACAAATGGAGGTTAGCCACCCCTGTTTTAGGAGGCTTTATGTACGACTAGGGGAGAAGTTTGAAGAGGAAAAGTAGAACACATATTTATGGGGGTGTAATGTTGACCTGTTTACAAAAATGCCATTGTGCTTGGCCAAGAACCTATGACTGAACTGAGACTTAATCCTGTAACCAGTGGTAATGGTGCTGCTTAAACACCTTTTCCCCCTCATAATTAAGCTATCTACCTGGAATGTCTCTTGAACAAATTCTGTTAACATGAATGCCACACTAATTTCAGTGGGATTGCGCAAGAGGCATTCCTCATGCATTGTACTTTTAGTCATGATGGCTTTGAGGTAGCATGTGAACTGCTCGCTCAAAATGCCAATAGGAGCAGAAAAATGAGTGAAATCACAAACATAATGTTGCCTAGATTTGTATTTTGGGTTATGAAGTGAACAGTTGTCCAACTGTAGTTCCATTTAACTAAAGCAATAGGCAGAAAAACTAATTGTGCACTGAAATAAAGATATGCCTCTTACTGCACATAGAAATGCTTACAAAGTAGAGTCATTGTTTTTAATATTCCGCACAAAGTGATGAATCTCAGAGAAGTCAAATTGTGGATTGGAGTCTTGAGTCACTTCCTTTCTCAGTAGAATTTTGTACTGAGATTTTTCAGGACATGCAAGAAATTGTGAAGGTGGCTGACCATTACTTGATCAGATTTGAAACGGAAAGCTGTTTTAAGATCTGCTGACTTCTTCAGTCATACAAGGACATAAAGACAGCTTTGGCTACAATCCTAAGTACCTTTACTAGGGAGTACCATTTGACTAAATAGGATTTACTCCTGAATAAGCATTATTATGATTGCAGTATTGTGTTTGTCAGTCTCATATTAAAAATAGTCTTAAAATTTGAAAGCCGGAAGCTTGCTCAGGGATAGTGACAGCAACTGACAATGGTGCTAATCTTTGCTTGACAAATAAAGTTTGTCTATTAAATACATGCAGTGGTTGCCTCTCTGTTATTAGTACTGTACATTAATCTCTTACTTTTGTGCATGGTGCTGTTGCAATCAAAATTCTGACACTTCTTTGCTGTGAACAGAGTTTCTAGATCTCCAGTGCAATCAATTAATTTTTCCCTGAAATCATCTACCCTCACAATTTTATAATTGTTCTGTTTTATATTTGTATCTGCATTTTAGCCTCACTGTGACCCTGTAAGGTAGGTTAGTTTGCAGGAGAACTAACTAAAAGCTGGCAGCCTAGCTATATATTCTGCCTGAACATTTATGATTTTAACGTGCTCTATCTACACATGCAGCAGAAGATGATAGTAGTAGTAGTGCTTTAAAATGGATTGTACTACTTCAGATTGGAGATGGGGATCCTATTTTTTAATGCTTCCCCATGTTAGGTGTGGGAGAAACACTCCCCACAAGTAGAAAACTAGGCTATGAGTATTTCTTCTCCTGATTTACCAGTTTTTTTCTTTTTGCTGGGACAATTTTTGTTTTTTGTTTGCTATTCTGCCACCTCTCTCCTACCTCTCTCCTGTCGTGTGTGTGTTGGTCAAGCCTTTGCTGCAAACTTTGAAGGGTGGACTTCTGGCAAGGATTGGCACTGGGTTGATCAGTGCTGTTTGGAAAACTTGGAGAGGTGCTGTTAGAGTGTGCAGAGGTGTACTTACTGCAAGCTTGAGATATTTAGGGAGTGGCTTAGCATATTGGGCCTTATTCACAAAGTGGTACTTTTAGTCTTCTTGTAGCTGCAGGTGTTCCCTAATCTCCAGAATCCCATTTGGAAGCAGCCAGTATCCTGTTGACGGTAGCTGGTGAAAGCTGCTGGAGTTATCTTGCATTTGACATTCTGTGGCTTCCAAGTATTTCTCATATTTCTCATTGTAAGGTCTACATTTCATTGATGGTGACAGCTAAGCACTCCCTTATCTGTTTATTTCAGCAAGCCTTGAGTAAAGGTGTTCGGAGGTACCATGCCTCTCGTGTCCTGTGCCAGAGGGCCAAAGTGGCCATGAGTCAGTTTGAACCCAGTGAATTTGTGAACTATGAAAAGCTTGAGAAAAACATCAACATTGTCCGGAAAAGGTAAGAGTTGAGCTTGAAAAATGTCTTATTAAATGGCTGGGAGGAAAGTAGTTATTACAAAAATACAATTGTATGCAAGATCTTGTAGTGGTAGTGGAATACGGAATATTGCTGGACAGCTTTCATGTATTGAGGCTTGAATGCATGTGGTGGCAAAGTTTTTTAAATTTCAGTTTCTTCCCCTTTTTCTTAAAACTGGTTCAGTTCAAAATATCAGAAAAGATTTAGGCTTAAAGTAGTCTTAATTGCACGGGTTATTTTAAAAAGTGCTTGCTTATTTCTTTTACTTCATTTTAAATGCTGCCATTTTAACTGAGCACTCTAAAGTGGTGAGTGAACTTGTGGACTTCTGTTCTGGGGGGCATATATTTAAAAATATAAAGCTTCTAGAAATAACTTTCTGTTATGGATAGTCATTTTTGCATCTTCCAAGCTTTTGGTAACCAATCTGAGTATGAAAATAATTGCATTAACTGGTTCATCCTTAGTAGTCCTAGCTGCGAAACTTTTAGGATCAAAGCAAAAATGACCATTAAGCACCCTCGCCTTCAGAGCTGTGAGGTAATTATTGCCATAGATCCCATAAGTCATTCCACCCTACCTGTAGCATCTAGGAAACCTAATCAATTCATGCAAGCCGTTATCATGTAACTAGTTGAGATTTTAACCCAAAATAGAAGGTGAATACTTGAGTGAAAAACTGCTTCGAAAGTCATACAAATTTATATTTATTTTACAAAAGGGCAAACATCTCAAATGAGAATTAGAGAAGCCAAATAGAACAGTTAGGAGTCAGTTCTGGTATAACATTCCTGCTTTTTAAACCCTGGTTGAGCAAGCAGTTGTGGGCTGCAGGATTCTCTGCTTTCCGTCATGCCCTGAATCTTCTGGAGCACAATTTTCCCTTGTTAGCTCTAACATTAGAGTGTATGCAGCATCAGGATCAACTATTTCTAGCCATTAGCTCCTGAAGCTTTTTCCTCTAGCGACATACTTGCGTGTAGAACCTGACAATGAGCCTTCACCTGTGACGGAACTGGGATAAAGTAATGGGCTACAATAGGGGTGGAGAACTTTTGGCCCTCAAGAAGTTGTTGGGACTACAACTCACATCACCTTTTACCATTGACAACCCTGGCTAGGACTAATGGAATCCAACCTGTCTGGAGGACTGTAGTTTCCCTACCCTGGCGCTGCAGACAGGACCTTTATGAGTCTCATGTTAACATTTTGAAAGATGTGACGTGGTTAAAATGAAGGAGCTGAAGACATAAAGTTCCCTGTTTCCTTCCCAACAGATTGGACCGTCCCCTTACCCTGTCAGAGAAGATTGTATATGGCCACTTAGACGATCCTGCCAAGCAGGATATTGAGAGGGGCAAGACATATCTGCGTCTGCGGCCAGACCGTGTAGCCATGCAGGATGCCACTGCCCAGATGGCCATGTTGCAGTTCATCAGCAGCGGGTTGCCCAGAGTGGCAGTGCCCTCGACCATCCACTGTGATCACCTTATTGAAGCTCAGTTGGGTGGCGAGAAAGATCTCCGAAGAGCAAAGGTAATTTATTTATATTTTATACCAGCATTTTATTTACTGGAAGCTTGCAGCCAAATAATTGGCTTGTTTAAATCAATATGTGAAATTTCAGAACATCCCTCTTCCTTTTTGACCTATGGGTCACAATGCTGCAGTCTTATTAGCAGTCACTGGCAGAATTCCCATTTCAGACCTAGCAACCACTTTCCATGAGGTTGCATCTAAAATGGAAGTTGGGACTAAACGGATGTGGTGGTACAGAGCAAGAGCCTCTAAACTACCATTAAACTAATGAAAGGTAAGCCTGTTAAATACAGGGAAAACCTTCCTAGACCCCAGCAAGTCATGAGGATCCTGCATATTTTAATATTTTCCAGTCTTGCCCTTTAAAATAACTTTCCATCTTGTTGCTTCTTCCTCTGAAATGTTTACCTTAGTTTCCAAAACAGTAAGACTTAGAGCAATACTGCTGTAGTAGACACTGTTGTAGTTACGATAAAGGTACCTCATGTGATTTCTTGGGTTTGAAATGTTCCAGCTCAAGAATCTTTTTGCTCGTTAAGTCAGCAAAGTAATATCTGGAGAGTAACCAAAAAAGCATGGGAAAGAAGTGATTTTTTTTTATTGTTCTGCATTTGGACTGTTGCACATCAGGTTGAATAATGTAACAAATGTGCCCTCTTGATTCATAGAAACAGATCACTGCAGCATTTACAGAGAAAATCATCCTTCATGCATTATAATCTTTGGTGTTGTTTTTGTTTTTTAATTGGCTCAGCCTATTACATTGGTGGGATCAGACACAGCATCTCATTTTGCATGTGTCTCAGAAGAATGTACATACATATATATGTGTATTTTACAGGAAGAGCATGCAGTGTTTGGAAAAGAGTTGATTATTATACAGTTGTTTATATTTGCCGTAACAAAAAAGAAAAGAAAACGGAATAGATTTGTATACAACTCATGCAAGCTATACAATTAATCTCTGGATGCAGACCTTTTTTTAGAACACAACAGACAGGTTTTGGTTATTTATCCTGCCTGTCAACATATGCCTAGGAAAATTATAACTTATCGTAAGTTGCGACCAGCAGATTAAATAAATACCTAACTGCTTGGTATCTGACTGGGATGTCATTCTCAAAATAAAATCTCTGTACAGAGTAAAATCAAGGAATTAAGGTGAAGAGTGGGGTGGCTGGTCTCTTAACTATTTGGGGTAGAAACCATACCAAGTTCTTTACAGATGCACTTCATTTTTGTCTGTGTATAAACAGGACATTAATCAAGAAGTATACAACTTCCTAGCCACAGCAGCTGCCAAGTATGGAGTGGGTTTCTGGAAACCTGGATCAGGAATCATTCACCAGGTAAACTCTTTCTTCCTTAGCAGCAAGAACAGAACTTTAGTACATATGGTTTAGGAACATAGGAGGCAGACTTGCATTGTTTTAGACCGTTGGTCTGCCCAGCTCAATATTGGCCACCTTGACTGGCAGTGACTCTCCAGAGTTTCAGGCAGAGGTATTTCCCTGCTCTACCTGGAGATGCTTAGGCATAGCCCATCCCCAGAAATAACTCTCTGTACTTTGTGACATCCTTTGTGTGGATGATTTTCAATCTTTCATATGAGAAGAACATGCAACTTTTTTTGGACATGTGGTCCTGCAGGGTGACTAATGTGTGCCGTTCTGGACAAATCTTCCAGCTGTCCATTCAAGGTCATGCTGATCAGAGTGTAATTTGATATTTTGTTTTCTAGAACACCATTGGAAGGGTGTGTCTTTTTTGGGGTGGTCTCCAAAATCCAGTGTTTTTTCCCTTGTAGTCGCAAATTTAAGAGAAAGTTGACAGGTTAGAATTGCAGAGTTGGACACTGCACCATGTCACTTGCATGTTTTTTTCCTGCTGAAATTCATTTTTGAAAGCAGGGACTTGAGAAGGGGCAGCAATGGATTTGTGCTCTCCACAATTAAACTGTGGCATTTTCTGTGGCAGAACTCACTCTTTTAATGTAACATTAGTTTTCCTTTGGCCTGGTAGAAAGGCCTTTAATATATCCTATTAGATTTGACCTTGAGGTTAACTGGTCATAGTATTTTTTGAGCTATTTGTATTATTGTAATTAACTATGAATTTTTAGAGAGCAGGAGTTCAAGGGGAAACTTAGGAGATGGAAGCCTTTAAATTCATCTGATTGTGTCAGCAAGCTCCTCTTGTGTCCCTTACTGATGGCTTCTTTCTTCCCTACCCTGATGAGCATGACTCATAGCCAGCCCAAACTGATTGACCCTTCTGAATCTGCTTTAGTACTAGAAAAGTTTCCAAACCATTTTGGTAGTTATTACATCACCTTAAGAGTCCTGCTGAGTTTGTCGACATAAATCTCTCCTTCTTTCTCAGATCATCCTGGAGAACTATTCCTATCCTGGTGTTATGCTTATTGGCACAGATTCCCATACCCCCAATGGTGGTGGCTTGGGTGCAATCTGCATTGGAGTTGGTGGAGCTGATGCAGTTGATGTCATGGCAGGAATCCCCTGGGAGCTCAAATGCCCAAAGGTGAGACAGTGGAGCATATAAACGTTGCCTCCATGCAGACAATTGGGATAGGTGAACAAGAGGGTTCTTTCTAAAGGAAAAAAAGGGGGGATTTTACAATATCAAAATATGCTGGTGTAAATGTATAGCTATTGCTTGCAAGTGGAAACTCTGAATTTCCACTCTTCCCTTTTTCTTATTCTTGCAGCTTGGAAGATACGCTGATGCCACTAACTTTAGTTAAGCATACCTGAGCTTAATAGCAGATAAGGAATGTGAATCTCTGCTCCAAGAATCTCTCTTATATTTGCAATAAGGATATTAGTAAACAGCCATTTGAGAAACTGAATCTGCATACTTATTTTTGGAAGTTACTCTTTCTGCTAACTCATTTTATTTGGTTTTTCAGGTAATTGGTGTAAAACTGACAGGTTCGCTGTCTGGCTGGAGCTCTCCTAAAGATGTGATCCTGAAAGTGGCTGGCATACTTACTGTGAAAGGTGGCACAGGAGCTATTATAGAGTATCATGGGCCTGGCGTTGACTCCATCTCTTGCACAGGTAGGAAAAAAGCACCTTAGATCTAGAAAATTTTGGACCATGAAGGTTTGGGAGCTGGTGGTAATGGTCAGATCAGTGACTGAGGATGGAAAGAAATTGTTGGTCCTTGGGAGTGGAATTAGAACACGACAAGCATCCATTGGCTAAGTAGATCAGCAGTGTGATGCAGAAGAATCTATGTATTAATCCCTAATTTAAACATTAAACATTATCGGTACAGTAGTACTATAACATAGCAGTTGTAACAATATGCTAAAGGTAAGTAAACATTTATCGGTTTCAGAATTAGACCCATAAGTAGTAGCAGTTGCCAGGACATTGCCATGTTCACCTCTACATAGCTCCAGGAATCAATTATTTCAGATACTGTATCATGATCTATTGAAATATTGCAGTGTTTAGCTGTGATATATCGCGATGTTGAAAACCAGATATCACCCAGCCCTAGCCAGGAGTGGCAGTTTCATAGGTCTGATGGCTCTAAGTGGCTCAAGTGAGGCTTGCTTTTCTGTAAATTCATGTCTTCATGCCCCAAAGGTGCTATCCAGAAGCGGTACACAGGTGGTTGTGTTTGGTCACTACCTGGGTCCTGTACTAAAAATACATGTAAATCTATAGAATAATTTTTTTAATAGTCATTGATAATAAAATGTGACTTGTTTTCTTGGAAAAGACAGTATTACTGCTATTAGAAGAGGAAGGGATTGCAGTAGAACTAGTGTATTAATCAAACTATCTAGTTTTTTACTGCATAGCAAATCTCTCTTTTTAAGAGAGATTTTCCTATTTAATGAGCAGTAATATCTGGCTCTTGGCTGTTTATAAACTCATAAGTAAAATGATGGACTGTAACAGGTCAGGATACTGACTTGCAAATGGCTTTAATTACTTGGGTTCCAATCTCACTTGTGGTATGGATCACCTCTTTCAACCACAGGAATGGCAACTATCTGCAATATGGGAGCTGAGATTGGTGCCACCACTTCAGTCTTCCCTTACAATAACCGGATGAAAACATACTTGTCCAAGACTGGACGAGCAGGTAAGAACTTGTGGAAATATGTCAAGGGGTCATACAAAACGGAAGGCATTTCCGCCCCCCCCCCTTTTCTTCACCATTCTGCCTTGTGTGAAATTACATCTTTCATTTGCTGGCTGTTTGTATCTTATTCTAATTAAATGGATTTTAATTTCCAACATACTGCAAAGCCAAGAGGACCTCTGGGAAATACCTAAGGAAATGAAGCTCTAGAAGAAATTCATTTCATGAGTTAATGGGATAAAGCAAATCATGAATTCAAAGGGTTGCTCCCTTAAATTGCTTAACTGAACAGAGATGGTAGGCTATTGAGAATGGGATGGGGGACGGGGAGAAGGAGAATGGGACTGTGTCATGTCGTTTAACCTGGTGCAGAGTTGCAGCTTGTGTCCTTTCCTCCGTTCATGTTTGTTTTAGGCAAACATCAACTGGTCAGGGCTCTTGTAGAAGGTGACTTATGCTATGCAGTTACAATCCTCTTAAGTAAATGTAGCTAGAATGAATTAACTTTATTGTTGATTAAAACATAACTGCCAGTTTTATAAACCACGACTCAGAGCTCCATTCTCCAACCTGATGCCTTCCAGCTGTTGGTGAACTAAATCTCCCACCAGTCCCAGCCAGCATGAACAATGATCAGGGATGATGGAAATTGTTGTCCAGCAACATCTGGAGGGCACCGGGTTGGAAAAGTCTGGTTCAGATTATTGGAAATAAGCCATAACATATACCTGGTTTGTGTGCTTCCTCTGGCATGAGGAGAATGGAAATGTCCTTGTCCCCAACCCTTTTGGGCCTGGAGGCACATTTTACAGAAGGAAAATGCTTAGAATCCCCTCCCCCCCAAACAAGCACAACATCTACAGTCCCCTAAACAGATTTTAAAAAGGGGAAACACTCTCCGAAAATAGGCAACCCTCTCCCAACCAAATAGCTCCAGAAAAGCCCACAACTTAAATTTAAAAAAGAAAATGGGAAGGACAGGAGGTCTTGTTGGCTACTGAGAGGTGTGTCCAAGGGTTACAACCACATGGGGGATCTCAGATCAAACTATAGTTCCATGTTGTGGATAAGCTTCATGAAGCTTATTTCATTCAAGGTACCCAAAACAAGGAAATACAAAGCCCAACCTCAAATGATGAACCAAAATGCAAAATTGGGTAAAGGTAAAGGGACCCCTGACCATTAGGTCCAGTCGTGACTGACTCTGGGGTTGCGGTGCTCATCTCGCTTTATTGGCCGAGGAAGCCGGCATACAGCTTCCAGGTCATGTGGCCAGCATGACTAAGCCGCTTCTTGCAAACCAGAGCAGCACACAGAAACGCTGTTTACCTTCCCGCCGGAGCGGTACCTATTTATCTACTTGCACTTTGATGTGCTTTCGAACTGCTATGTGGGCAGGAGCAGGGACCGAGCAACGGGAACTCACCCCGTCGCGGGGATTCGAACCGCCGACCTTCTGATCGGCAAGTCCTAGGCTCTGTGGTTTAACCCACACCGCCACCCGCGTCCCGAACTGGGTACAAGCATATAATTGGGTATGAGCATATAAATTTCCAAATTAATATGCAAAGTGTATAAATGTATGTAACTTTAATCTCTTTACATAAGTCAAATGTACAAAATATGGTGAATAATTAATATAAGTCCAGTTTTGGAGAGCCCAGTCTAGGGACCTGTTCTTTACTGCTGACTGCCTTTTGGTTTATCTCCTCTTGACCTCTGCGTTCAGCTTTCTCCCTCTCTGATTTCAGCGATTGCTAGTTTGGCAGATGAATTCCAAGAGCACTTGAAGCCGGATCCTGGATGTCCTTATGACCAGTTGATTGAAATTAACCTCAACGAGGTAGGATACACTTGCTATTTTTAAAGAAACAGTTCATGTAGGAGACCTAACAAGGGCATTTTAGATGATATATTCAAATGACATTGCTCAAGAGATTTGACACAATTCCTTTCTATAGTTTAGTCTATATATCAGTAGGGAATATTGACTTGGAAAGAAGACAAGTTATTGTAGCAACTTGAAATAAGGAAACTGCATATCTTGCTGACCTTTTCACTCCTAAAATCTAGTCTAGACTTAAATTTTTCATTTATTCTGCTCTTCATGGTCCATTCTTCCTAGATTTAGATTTCTCTTCTCAATTAAAAGTGCCTATTTAAGAACAAACATTTTAAAGTGCTTCTTGTTCATGAAAAATTTCTGTCTTGCCATTGTGTATAAAAATCGTGTTCTTGCAATGTAGTGGTGATTATTCAGAATTTTCTCAACTACTTGTGACATTCCCCCCCCCTTCCCAAAGCTGAAGCCCCTTATCAATGGGCCCTTCACTCCAGATCTGGCACACACTGTAGAAGAAGTTGGTGCTGTTGCAGAAAAGAAGGGCTGGCCAATAGATATCAGAGTTGGTGAGTAGCACTTTTCCCTTGCTGATGATTCTCCTGGTAGCTTTTCTCTCCACCTTGAAAACTGAGGTAACATTACTTCAGCTGCCTCTAAGCGTGCTCTTCGTAACTATCAAGCCAGTTCCTGGAAGGAATGCTCTGTCTATCAAGTATACAGGTAGCTCCAGTCTTGCATGTTGGGACTACAACAGAGCTTGAAGGTCCTCATTGACTGTGGTCTAGAATATGCAGAACCCTCTTGTGACAAACCTGTTCTGTAAACATGAACATTCAGTATCCCACTAGGAGTCTTCATCCTTTCTTTCTTTAAGGAGCATGCTTGAGCTATTTCACTCTCAAATTTAATTCCAAGGGGAAGCCGGCTGTTTTTCTCTTTAAGTGTTGTTCTAAGATACTAGAGGTTAAGCAGAGAGCCTAGCTTGGAAATCTCCGGCAAAATGAGTACTGATATGTTACATGTTTCTTTAATTTCTTTCTTTTTTTAATAGGACTTGTGGGTGAGGTTAAACATTTGGAGGTCTGTTTCTGACTTTTCCATCTCATGTTCACAGGTCTGATTGGTAGCTGCACCAACTCCAGCTACGAGGACATGGGGCGCTCTGCCGCTGTGGCAAAGCAAGCGCTTGCTCACGGGGTGAAGTGCAAGTCTCAGTTCACCATCACACCTGGATCAGAGCAGATCCGGGCCACCATTGAGAGGGATGGCTATGTGAGTACTCTTGCGATGGCGCATCGTGGCCAGTATATGCCTCCTGAAGAGTTAAGATGAAGACCGCCACATAGTTTTCTATTGGCTAATTCTGTTCTTTACCTTCTTCAGTCGAAAATCCTGCGTGACGTTGGTGGAGTGGTTCTTGCCAATGCTTGCGGGCCATGCATAGGCCAGTGGGACCGGTAAGAGGGAATGCATTAAACTGATTTCCCATAAGAAATGAATCCTTTTACATTGGAAATGAAATAAATGCATGAATGCAGATAAAGCAAAAATTTGCAAGCAGAGATCGTTCTTCCAGGTCTCAAATGAACTGGTTAGCGGGAAGAAGATGTTTTAAATTGTTTTTCAGCACAGCTTTGGGAACGCTGGTTGCAGAGCAATACAAAGCTTTGCACGTGGGCCGTGAACAGCTAGCTGTTCATAGCTTCAAGTTTTACATTTTCTGTAGACCTTGACAAGCCTTTCTCTTTTGCTTGACTTTGCAGAAAGGATACGAAAAAGGGAGAAAAGAATACAATTGTTACCTCCTACAACAGAAATTTCACTGGTCGCAATGATGCCAACCCAGAAACACATGCTTTTGTAACTTCACCAGAGGTATAGTATGCATCAGGTTTATTCTACAAGGGGAGAGGTAGGCATCAGAAACTGGACCTGCTGCATTTCCTTTGGGAAAATGATAATTGGGCCTTTGAAAGCTCCAGAGCTCAAGCGGGGGAAGTATAAGAATTGTGGATAGCTTCCTTGTGCTTTAAAACCTAGTGGCCCACAAGTCTTCTCAAAATGAGAATACAAATAGTTGTTCACTTGAAATTAAGGTGAGGAGATTATGCAGTTTAGTCAGGGTTGGTTTCAATCTTGAGCAGATAAGTCTTCCTTGTACCCTCACATTTCATGCTAATAGTAGGCTTTCCCTAACAAGTATTTCCTTGTGAGATGTCTGAATTATGGTAAAAAAAATTAGATTGGAATTTTTAGAGTGACAGAATAGAATGAAATTTAGGAAATGGGCTTCTCTCTCACCCATAACAGATACTTTTTTTCAGATTGTAACAGCCCTATCACTTGCCGGCACCCTGAAATTTAACCCAGAGGTAGACTTCCTGACAGGTTCTGATGGAAAGAAGTTCAAACTTGAGCCACCTGATGCTGACGAGCTGCCCAAACTGGTAATCTTCCCACTTCTTGTCAAACTTGCTTCCCATCTTACATCACCAATTGGTAGGAAAATTATTAAAGGACAATGCATTGGAAACAATGTTTTTACCTCAGTATAGCTGTTTAAATATGAAAATGTTCTTAAGGTGGTGTGCAGAACATGAGTAGTAATCCCACTGGACAGAGACGGTTGTCTTATCTGAGTGAGATAGATGTGGGAGGTGGGAGCAGGCAGTCAACAGCGATGGCAGAAAAGAGTTGAAACTAGGGAAGACCACATGATTCAAGGAACACCTGAAGATGGCTGAGCAGAGAGATGACTGATGGGGGAATTCCTTGAGATACCCTTTCTTTGTGACCCTGAAATACAAAATATGTGGCCTTGCATGAATACTATGAATTTGGGTTTTTTCTCTCTTCTGGATAAGGTTGGCTTCCTCCTTACATCCCTTTGCTTTTAATAATAATTTCCTTCAGGAATTTGACCCAGGACAGGACACCTATCAGCACCCCCCCAAGGATGGCAGCAGCCAGCATGTGGATGTGAGCCCCACTAGTCAGCGCTTGCAGCTCCTTGAGCCCTTTGACAAGTGGAATGGCAAGGACCTTGAAGACATGTTAATTCTCATAAAAGTAAGGAGGGGAGGGAGCCTGGGTAGGGATGGGAACTATTAATTGTCCACTCACCGCCGGAATTGGGAATGCCTGCTTCCAAGGGCCCAGTGTCACACACTTCAGGGATGTTCTGAGGTATTCTTCTGCTGGAGACCTCCATGCACACTGCCCAGGCTTGCACCCCAGGGAGGTCACTTCGGTGCTGCTAACGCAGCGATTTGGCTTCACCCCTGGAGGCATACACCTTTGTCTCTCGGGACAGACAGATGCCAACAATGTGTGGTGCCTAAATTTCCCACCAGCGGAATCAGTCTTCAGGGTAGATTTAAACAGTAGAGCTTTTATTGGAAGATTTTTTAAAAATGTAATTGTGCTACATATCCAAATGTTCCTGGCAACTCGCAGCCCATAATTTATAAGGTGGGTTCTTGAACTTTATATCACAAGCACAATGACCCCAACCACAGTATTCAAGGGTAAGTTCCACTGATAATTTTCAGCTAATCTCTTGTGATTATGAGGTTTAACCGTTTGCCAATTCAGTACATTTTAATGGAAGATCTAGGCAAAAGTTGGGTATGGACAGGATTAAACATATGGAATCTCCACAGTGGCATGAAAATCAAAGGATGCTAAGAATGCTAAATTGGGGAATTGGAAACCCCAAAGCTTGCAGTAGTCCTCTATATAACTTAAAACAAATCTGAATAAAAAAAGCATATCTCCTTTTGATCATATAGGGTTGTATCCAGTGATAGTTCTACTCAGGGTTGAACCATTGAAAATAATGACCATGAATTAGGTCCCTTAATTTCAATGAGTCTGTTCCAATTAGAACTTAGTTGGATACTAGCACAGAAGCACATGTCGCTTGATGATGAGATAGCTGCACTGGTTACCAATTTGCAGCCAGGCCAGGTTCAAGGTTCTTGTGTTAACCCACAAAGCCCTAAACAACTTTGCCTTCAAATACCTTAAAGGACCCATCTGGTTTCTGGTCCATCTGGTGACCAAGGTCTTCCGATTGGGCAATCTGGTAGTCCCACATACCCCTGAAGTTCAGCTAGCCTCTGCTGGGGACCAAACCTATAGTGCAGCACACCCTGTCCTGTGGAAACCCCTAGCAGTAGAGGTTCAGTAAGAGTCATCCTTGCTTTCGGGCATCTTCTGAAAGCTATTATTCAGGCATGCCTTTCAAATGTGAGATTCTTTGCCAAGCCGCTTGTACTGATGTGCTTTTTATTGTCGCGTTCTGTTCTTAAGTTGCATACCACCTTGCAATATTTTATATGAAAGTGCAGTTTTAAAATATTTAAATAATACAATACACAATAAGCCCTTGAAACTGAAACATACCTCATGTTGTCAAAATGCTCATTCTTTATACCGAGTTTCTCTTAACTTGTATTCCAGGTGAAAGGTAAATGCACCACTGACCACATTTCAGCAGCAGGTCCCTGGCTCAAATTCCGTGGCCATCTGGACAATATTTCAAACAACCTGCTGATTGGAGCCATAAATATTGAGAACGATAAGGCCAACACAGTGAGGAACGCATTAACCCAGGAGTTTGGTCCTGTTCCTGACACAGCCCGTTACTACAAGGTGAGACTTCTCTAAGCACCACAGGGGTACGAAGGTGAATAGTTCGTAGCCACATTCTCACAAATAGCATTGCTTCCTTCTCAAAACTCATTTCTGCACTTTAAACACCATAAAGCAGGAATAAAATCTCCTCTCGACTGTCCTGCAATTGTATAAAAGCCACCATATACTGTAGCTACTGTGCTTCAGGCACAATGTCCTGCAAAAAAGGCTGCTGTTCCACTTCTAGACACTAGAGGATGCTCTGGAGCCAAGGACTCCAGTCGGTTTGGTCAGAAGTTATATCGAGGGCCAAACTACCATCAACTGTCCTGTAAGAAGGATCCCATGAGAGGAAGGAGAGGAGTCTCCTTTAAGAGGGAGGGTATAGTGTATAGGAATGTAAGTAATAATAAAGATTCCAGCTGGAATGTCCCCTCAACAGGGCTATCTGCTACTTGCTGCCCTGTGTGATGGCTCCATATGGCTTGTCACATGTTGGTTTTACTCATTTTGTGTGTGTTTAATGTGCTGAAATTATTTGTACGTTTTATTGGAAGCACTGTGCCCTGAAAAGTGGGATATTAAAATAAGAACCTGAGAAGAGTTCTGCTTGGATCAGACCCGAGTCCCACCTAGATCAGCATCCTGTTCTCAGTGGCCACCTAGATGCATGTGTGGGCAGCCTGCAAGCAAGACATGAGTGCAACAGCATTCTTTAATGAAATATTGTTTGTTACAATTGAACTAATTAACTATAGTAGAATAAATTAACCAAACTAAATAAATGCAACATAGGGAAAGGTTTGGGTAGGAAAGAGGAGTTATAAGTCCTTGGATGCCCCCAGTTTTAACCACAGGAACTAAGGAAGCATTTTTAGCTCTTCTCTTCTCTTCTTACTTACGTGCAAAAGAAACTTAACTCTGTCCAGTAGTTTCCTATTCTGATTGCCTTCATGTGACTTGCTGCTACAATTCATGGCCTTCAGTCTTCTTTTCCTTCAAAAGATTACATGACATCTTATTCTTATTCTCTGGCGATCACTCATAGCCGAATAAGATTGTCTTCCATGAACTTGGTCTTAACAGTGTGTCTGTAAGTGACTGTGGAGCCCAGTTCTGGATCAACACGTCCTTCCACAGTGGGGATATAGGTTTCCAGGCAGGAGTTGATCATGGTGAGAGTTTGCCAAACGTGCCTTCCTCTGAGCACGTTTCTCCCTTTTGTCCTGAGTCCGAGTGTCTGATAAGTCCTGGGATAAACCTTCATTCCTGCTTTGCCACAGCAGTCTCTTTCTTTCTGAATACTAAATGTTTTGTGTGTATGCATCTGCTTTGTTCACAGAAAGAAGGTATTAACTGGGTAGTGGTTGGGGATGAAAACTACGGTGAAGGCTCAAGCCGGGAGCACGCAGCACTGGAACCACGACATCTTGGAGGAAGAGCCATCATTGTCAAGAGCTTTGCCAGGATTCATGGTGAGAACCCCACTTTTTATAGAGCCAACTGAAATGATACGGAGGTTATACGTACAGTTGGCTTTTTGTCCAAATCCAAACATTTGCTCCCTTAGGAACTTGTGGGTGCATACATGCTTAGATCCACAGCTATGCACTAGTGGTTTTCTGTAAATGTGTATCACCTCCGTTGTACTCAAGATCCTTTCACCATATATATTAAAACTTACATGTCCGAAGTGGAGAGTAATCAGCTTAGTTTTTGTGCTTTAGTTACATCAGGATGGTTCAGAGGGATTCCCTGGAGGAGAGCTGGTGTCACTGTGAACAGCCAGCTGTGGAAACCCTGGCGCATGTAGTGTGGCATCTCTGTCTTTGTAGTTGCCCTAAACAAAATTTAATAGCAAAGTGGTTGGGGGAGAAAGGGACCGTGAGGATAGGATGTACTGGACTTCTTGCTGACAAACCAGACCCATAGGCTTATGTATGATCTAGATAGTTTTCTAGTTGTGGTTTTGTCTAAAAAGGAATGGGATGAATCCCATATGGTGGACTGCCAGCACAATTCAGAACACTGAAAGTAGATAAAGAGTGCCAGATAATAGGGGTTACTAATTGTGTGTTGTATTGAGTTAAATTATAAGTAGTAGCATTTTACCTCTTTTGCAGCTTGCTGTAGTTTATTATTACAGTTGAAGTGCAAAATGTTGGATGCTGCAACAGTGTGATTCTGTTTTAATCATGCTCTGAGTCATCTACTTTTTATGGCATTTGGTAACAGATTTAGACCTCTAAATGCTTATATCCAAATGGCTAATGGTACCGTCTGTGTTCACTGATCTCATGTATGGAATCCAACAATATAGAAGTTAATATTCTTATCTTCTCTCTAGTTTGTTGAACTCTCATTGCAGATAATTGTGTACACGTAGTAAGGGAAAAGTGGACCCTTCCATGATTATTTTGTTGTAAAGAAATGGTCCCCAATTCAGGGAGTTCCTTATTCTGGTGTAAACTCCTCAAACTATAATCCTAGGCCTTTAGACTTAAATTCCTTCTATATACTTTCTCCCTGAAAAACTGCTCATGTGTTCAGTGGCATGTTAAAGTAACAAAACTATTTCTATTGGCTGCACATTTAGAAAGCTGGAGTAGTGCATGCAAGTGGGTTAACAGTTCCAGTTGAAAATCTTAAATGATTTGCCTTTGGGATATAGAGACTTGCTTCCCTTTGTTTCTTCAGTCACATTTAATAATTTTGCTTGCTAGGATATCTGTTACTGCTTCTGTAGATGAAATATAGACTACATTGAAAAATCATTCAGTTAATTCTTGCAACAGGCTGCTAGAATGTGTCTTGAAAGTGTTCTGCTGACTGTTTTAAGTCCAATGTTCTTAACAGAAACCAATCTGAAGAAGCAAGGCCTCCTGCCACTAACCTTTGCTGATCCAGCTGATTATGACAAGATCCACCCTGTGGACAAGCTCAGTATTGTGGGTCTGAAAGATTTTGCTCCTGGAAAGGTAATGGCCACAGTTTCTCAGCAATAGTCCTTCCTCTCCCTGCTTTTCTGCTGCATATTTGTAGTATACAGCTGTATATATCAGGGCTATTGTTCCACTTGAGTAGATCAATTTCTAAAGAACTTCTAATTTTTTTTAAAAAATGCAGTTCAGATATTCTGGATTTCTCAGAGGCACCTGAACAAGCAATATACAGTAATACCTTTGTGAACGTCCACCTTGTCTAGCATCCATTCCGGAGAATGTCCGTGGCAAACCCAGAAGTACCGGAACGGTTTACTTCAGAGTTTGCCGCTCATGCATGCACAGAAGCGCAAACCGCTCCACACGCATGCACAGACGCGGCACTTTGCCTGCATCCTTTTCGGCTAGCGGCCTGGGCTCCGGAATGGACCCTGGCCGCAAAACAAGGTACGACTGTATTAGAAATCTAGAATCTTGGCTAGATTGAATGGATGGACTTCTTTACTTTGTACAGTATCCAAGTGCTTTTCTGTGCTTATGGTTCCAGCTTCCTCTTTTCCCATAAAACGCTGCAAATATTTTGCTGCAGATCAAAGTGTAAAATCTTGTAAAGGCAGACCTTTTTGCCCAGACTTTCTCTGACCCATAGGACTGGACCCTTATATTGCCGAATTCTGTATTTATAATGCTATGTTTGCTGTTTTGCTTTTTGTTTTATTGACACTGTTTTACTATTGTAGTTTTGTATACCACTTAGAGATTTTGAAATATCCAGCAGTTCATAAATGCTTTAAAATTATCTGGAAAATGCATAATTTATTTTGGGACAGATTTTTGGGTCTTTTGCATAGAATTCTTGCATTTGAGCTCTGATCTTTACCCATAACGTCTAGCTAATGTTAACTGGATACATGATCTGCGATACAGTAGTACCTCGGGTTACATACGCTTCAGGTTACAGACTCCGCTAACCCAGAAACAGTACCTCGGGTTAAGAACTTTGCTTCAGGATGAAAACAGAAATCGTGCAGTGACAGCACAGCAGCAGCAGGAGGCCCCGTTAGCTAAAGTGGTGCTTCAGGTTAAGAACAGTTTCAGGTGAAGAACAGACCTCCAGAACAAATTAAGTTCTTAACCCGAGGTACCACTGTACAGATAAGTAGGCAAGTCATGTTTTATGTAGACCTGAGTTGAGAATTATGTTAACTAAATGGATAGTCCTTTAAAACAAAAGATCTGGGTATCTCACCTCTTAGACTCAATTCGGCTTGCAAAAAAACTGGAAGAAAAATCAAATGCATTTTTTGACCAGAGTAACTGATAAATGATGCCTTTAGCAGTCTGACGGAACAAACTGAGATACTTAACCTAGTCCTAGACTTCTAATTTCTCTCCTTTCCTTCATAGCCCCTGAAATGCATCATTAAGCATCCTAACGGGAGCCAAGAAACAATTGTTCTGAACCATACCTTCAATGAGACTCAGATTGAGTGGTTCCAAGCTGGTAGCGCACTCAACAGAATGAAAGAGCTGCAGAAGCACTGAACCTACACAAGTACACACATCCAGTGGACCTGATGACTGTCTCTATAAAAGTGCAATTCCACTACAATTCTTGACAATTAATGTCTGTGATCAAATGTTAACTTAGCTTCCCCTTTATTACAGTACTCACTTGCTGACATTAATGAGAGTACTCATTTTTGCATTATCAGGTTCTGGCTTCCATAGCTGCCTATGTTTGGTGCATTTCAGTTGTCCCATATTGCTTTGTATTTATATTTCCTGATGATTTTTCTGCCCGATCATTTCAGTGATGGCAAAAGGATAAAACATTAGAAGATTATTGTTCTTGTGGAAAACAAAATAAAGATTGTGACTGACTCATCTAGTCTTCATTTAGTATTCCTACTAGCACTCTGCTCAGCTTCGTAGTGGATATAGGCTGTAATATGCGGTTGAGGAGTCCATCAGGAAGCATACTATAAATCCTAGAATGTGGCCTCTATGTAGAATCAAGTAGCTTTTGTGGAATCTTCGTTTTAGTTAGAATTTTGTTTGTCTTAAAGGTTTCAGTAAATATCTTGATATAGGGCGCAGCACCTGTTGCCAATACAGTATTAAGATTTCCCAATTCCAGGGGATTTTACTCCCATTTGGCAGGAATTTCCATACCTATCCTTGTTTTACATATCTCTCTGCTCCTCTTCATGCTTTCTTATTTTGATACTTTCTTCAATATCTGGTTTTAAAAGGAATAAACAATTGTACAATAAAATTGCAACATAATATAGCACACTAGATAAACCTGCTATTGGAGTTTTCCCCTGGCTACAACTATTCAAAAAGTGGAATGAATCCCCCTAGGTTAGAAATCTAACATACTTGCTAGACCTCTGCTGGAACACCCATTGGATACTGTAGTATCTTGGCTTTGGGATAACTGTACATTGGGGTGGCTGTAATTTCCCATTGAGAAAATAACAAGTTTGCAAAAAATCCCCACCGACAGCTAAGAATGATACCCCTCCCAATTCTTCCTTCAACTGCAGTTAAATGTTTTAAAATGTAATGCAATTTTGAATTACTGCACAGAAAATGACAAGATTATAAGACCAGTACTGTGTCTAAATCAGCTCTGAGGTCCCCCATGACCTGGGTTTAAGCCATCAAAAGCTTATTCATGTACAACAGCAAAAACTCAGGCTTCCTCCAACTCGGCCCTCCAGATGTTTTGAGACTACAATTCCCATCATCCCTGACCACTGGTCCTGCTAGCTAGGGATCATGGGAGTTGTGGGCCAAAAACATCTGGGGGGCCGAGTTGGAGGAAGCCTGCTCTAACAGATCCAAAGACTATTCTGGAGTGACCCATGTAGCTGTCATATTCAGAATTGCTCTATGGCAGCTACATTAAAATCAGCCAGCTTTCACAATAGCTGCCACAACCTTGCTCCTTCTGTAGCCAAATAGAAATAGTTCCAGGGTGTACATAGATAACTGAATTTTAATTGATGCAGTGCACATTTCTTGAGTGACTTAATCACATTTCTCTATACTCCCCTATGATCTGGGAATACTAGTTAGAGTGCTATTATGGCTTTCTGATATGCAGGACTCACATGCTCCATGCTTTTGATCAATCTCACATTCAGTTGTTGCAAAACCACAAAGATTAAGCACTCAAAATATAATACACACTGGGAAGCTGCCTAACTACTATATTATTCTTTTCCTGAGTTCTCAGAGGCCTGCGATAATGTGCCCAACTAATGGAGTAGGGATATTTCCCCCCTACTGCAGCACTTAAATACAAATTATTCACTGCCATATTAAAAACAAAATTGTGAGCGTGAATGAGTCGATACTCACTGTGCACTTCTAAGAATGGGTTTCCCTGCTTAACTAAAATGAACCTGTTCCTTGCTTCATGGATGGAGGATTAGGACCCCTCCAGATATTTACAGGGCTGCACCTCCCATCATTTCTGACAATGAGCAATGATGGCGGGGACTGATGGAAACGGCAGTCTAGCAACTGGGGGGGGGCACAGGTTCCCCACCTCTACAGCAAGGTTCCTTCCACTCACTTGTCAGTCAGATACACTGCTATTCTTCTGCATCTGGAACAGGAGAAGAACCCTCCTAGATCTGGCCAAAGGTCCATCTAGTTGAGCATCTGGTTCTCACAGTGGCCAGCCAGATGCCGATGGGAAGTCCACAAGTAAGATGAGTGCAATGGCTTTCTCCCTTGTGATTCCCAGCAACTGGTATTTATGTGGAGTTCCTGCACTAGTCCACTGGAGATAGTTGGGACATAATTGTTAGTTTTAAATTGATATTCTGCCCTTCATCTGAGGATCTTTCTTTGGCGATCACTCGTAGCCGAGTAAGATTGCCTTCCATGAACACATTCTTAACAGTGAGTCTGTGAGTGACTGTGGAGGCCAATTCTGGATCCCCATGTCCTTCCACAGTGGGGATATAGGTTTCCAGGCAGGAGTTGATCACGGTCAGGGTTTGCCAAATGTGCCTTCCTCTTAGCATTTCTCCTTTTCACCCTGAGTTCGTGCTTCTTCAAAGTCCATGACACCTTTGGTAAAGGCTGTTCTCAACTGGAGTGCTCACAGGCGAGTGTTTCCCAGTTATCTGTGCTTATGTTACCTTTCTTTAGATTTGCCTTGAGAGCCTCTTTAAACGTCTTTTGTTGTCCACTGGTATTTTGCTTTCCATTCTCAAGTTGGAAATAGAGTAGTTGCTTTGGAAGATGGTAATCAGGCATCTGAACAACAGGACCAGTCAAACAAAGTTGATGTTGAAGAATCATTGTTTCAACACTGGTGATCTTTGCTTCTTCCAGTACACTGGCATTAGTTCGCCTGTCTTCCTAAGTGATAGGTAATTTTTTTCGGAGACACCGTAGATGGAATCTTTTGAGGAGTTGGAGATGACATTTATAAGTGGTCCATGTTTCACAAGCATACAGTAAGGTTGGTAGTACAATAGTTTTGTAAACAAGCATTTTGGTTTCCCTGCGAATGTCCCGGTCCTCAAATACTCTGCACTTCAGTTGGGAGAAAGCTATACTCGCAGAGCTCAGGCGATGCTGGATTTTGGCATCAATGTCAGCCCTTCCTTGTGGAAAGATAACTGCCCAGGTAGGAGAAGTGATCAACACTTTCCAACGTTACACCACTGCGTTGGATTTGTGGCACTGCAGAGGGGTTGTTTTGTGCTTGTTGGTGCAGCACTTTGGTTTTTTGGTTATTGAGCGAAAGGCCAAGTTTTCCGTAAGCTTCTGTGAAGACATATAGGATAGTTTGAAAGTCATTCTCTGAGTGTGCACACATTATGTTGTCATCAGCATACTGAAGCTCTATGACGGAAGTTTTGGTAACCTTACTCTGCTTTCAGCCTTCTCAGATTAAAGAGCTTTCTGTTCGAGGATCACAGGGCAGTTAACACTATAAAAACACAAAAATTCATAACATAATAACAAAACAGTAAATCCCACCCCCAGTTTAAAAGGCCATCGTTCATTTAATTAGCCAAAGGCCTAGGAGAAGAGGAATGTTTTTGCCTGGCACCTAAAGATATGGAAAGGACAGCATTCTACAAATGGAGAGCCATCACAGAAAATACCCATTCTTGTGTCTCTGTCCTCTGAGTTTGAACCTCCCATGAAGGGGGCACACAAAGAATGGTCTCAGATAATGATCACAGGGTCTGGGTTTGTTCATATGGAGAGAGGTGGTCCTTGAGGCATTGCAGTCCTGAGCTGTTGAATGCTTTATAGGTCAAAACCAGCACTTTGAATTGGGCCCAGAAACAAATTGGCAGCCAATACTGTCAGGAGCATATTGGTGTTATATGCTCAAACTATCTTGTCTGGTGAGCATCCTGGCTGCTGAATTTTGCACCAGATTGTTTTGTTCAGAACTGATCTTCAGTCTCTGAGTAGCACTTCCAAGTGCCTTCAGAATTTTTTGTGACCTTGCACTGCCTTTATTCATGCTGCATGTGCAGAAACGCCAAATGTACACTCAGGAGCTAGAAAGTCACTAATGTTGCTGTTCTCACTTCAGGTCAGCAGAATTGTAGCTTTCTAATGTTGCAGTAGCAATCTTGCCCATATAGCTGGTGCAAGAGCCTCATATTGTACTTCATTCCAGTCTTGTATATATTTGCAGTGAAAAAGGGTGACACCATTTCCTGGATTGGCCACTGGAGAGCAGGAAACAGCATGGCTACATATTCTAGGCTTTCTGTACATAAATGCAGCACCCAAAGAGGGATAGATAAGGCTTTTTCGACAGGAAGATTGGAACGATTGCTGCCTAATACAGGAAGCAGTCATGGTTATACAAATTCCTCCATTATATCTAGCTCTCATGGATAGTCTGGATTTCTGAAGTGCTCCAGTCTTATTTAGATGTGTGACTGTGCCCTTCCAGTATATTTCAATGGGACTTGGCCTGTTTTGCACAGCAGAATATAGCCCACCCACCTCACCAAACTGAGAATAATAGCAGCCATTTTCTTTCGCAGGAACATAGTAAAGGATTAAGGAAGGGCAGCTGAATTGATTCCTGTTGCGCTGTAACCATTCCAACCTTCTTGCAAACTGCAATCTGGAGACCATTTGGACAGCACAAGGCCCATTCATTTGGTCAGGACTTGTGCCAATAGCACTTTCATGTGGCTGCCTGTTTGTACAACACAGTTCCAGACCAGACCAAAGGGAGATTGACAGCATTATGAAGAAGGGCCGAATCCCTCTTCCTGTCACAGCTTTCTTTATTGGCATTTCCAAGACTAAAGAACCAGATGGTTGCTTTTCCAGACTGCTAATCCAGTGTGTCAGAAGTGCCTCCATCTACTTTACACGCTAAGGTAGAAATGGTGCCTACAATACTGGATAAAATGGCTGCTTGCTTTCATAGTACGTCTCTCCATGTTCCTCTTCTCACAAAATGCTTCTCAGGTTCTACATGAAGAAAACAGTATGCACCTCAAGTGGCACCAGGAAGGAATCTTCCCCAAACTTTGTATTATCTGAAGGGTCTAGCTTGAAAAAATTGGAGGAGAGATTACCTGGTTGGAAAAAAAATGCATTTTTGCATTCCAAAAGAAGATAAACTAGCAGATTTCAAATCAGCCACCATGAACATCCCAGTTCCTCTGTCTGGAAAAACAATGAAGAACATTATCCAAAAAAAGTTAATTGTGTATTCTGACTGAACATAGAATTGACTTAAGATAATACCCCCCTGCTGTATAACTGCTGTACTGTATTTTGTAGTTAACATTATATATACTGTATATGGAAGGAAACCTTCCAAGAGCAAAACACACACACTCACATGCTTTTTAGCTTCCTAGGGGGCCTCCAAAGGAATTCGCACTCATACCCCGCTCTGCATATTTCTCAGGAATATTTCCACTGATACTTTCTTGTTCCCTTCAGAATAAGGTTACCAGACGTCCCCGTTTCCTCTGGACAGTCCCCGGATTTACAAATCAGTCCCCATACAAAATCAATTGAAGTTGAAAAGTGTCCCCAGATTCGTTGAAAAAAATCTGGTAATCTTACTTCAGAACCCCTCTTCCAAAACATAATAACCCCTTGTTCATGTCCATGGTCCTTCATTCTCCCCTTTCTCCCATCCTCATTATTTCCACTGTCCTTTAATCATTCTCTTCAGGGCATCTCCTGCCTCTCTTCCCCTCCACCTCCACCTCCACCTTGTCCAGGTTAAATATTCCCCTCACAATATCCTTTCCCCAACTCCATTTGGCATGTCAACCCTCCCTCACATTTCCCTCAGAACTTCCTCACCAATTCTCATTCTCTTTTTCAGTCCCTCCCCAGTCATCACCCCCAATACCCCCTTTATTGTATCCCATTATTCTCTTCAGGAGCCCCTTTTCCAGGTCCTGAGAGCTCCATACTACCTCCTTGTTCTCCCTGTTATTTCCCTTAGGAGATTCAAGACCCCTTTCTTTTCTTTCAGGTTCCCTTCTGCCCCCATCAATTTAGCCACTCCCTTTATTATTTTCTTGCAAGATACATTCACTTGCACTTTACCCTCCCTCCCTTCCTTCCTTCTTTCCTTCCTTCCTTCCTTCTCTCCTCGCCTTGCTTCAAATGGGCACTTTTGTTGCCCTGTTTGATCTCCCCTGCCTGTTCCACTACTGTCCATTTTTTACTTAACAAATTCTAAATAAGCTTTCCCTGTTAAAAGGATTTGTGGCTGGTTGCCTGCTCTTCATGCTGGGCCATAGAACTATAATGGTGAGAACATGCTGTTATAAATTTATTGGTGTCCCCTTCCCACATCCTGGTTTTAAAAGAGGAAGCAGCTACATTAAAAAATAAAAATAAAAACCCAGCACTCTTGAGCTGCTTAGATGATACAGCTTGACTGACTAGCTATCTCAGGGATCCTGGATGAGTTATGATGTCAACTGAGATAAATAATTTTGGTATAAAATGCATGTTACCAAATATTTCTTGTGATACAGCAGGGAGTCTGAAAATATGAAAGACTGCCCAAGACTCTTGGGAAGTATTGTCAGTCAGACTAAGCAGTACAGTGGTACCTCGGGTTACATACGCTTCAGGTTACAGTTCCTGGATGCTGTCACATGCCCAACAGCTGCCTGAAATGTACAACTCTTCAGTCTAACCACAACTTCCATTTTCTAATTGACTGGAAGCTGGTTTGAGAGAAAGCACGTGAAACAGGAGTATTTCTCAAGAAGCTACAGGATACCTATGGATTGTGACTAATTACATGTGTACTCTGCTTCAAACAACAGCAGTGGGAGCGAGCTGGAGTAAGCGGTCAATGTATGCGCATGCTGAGCTCCAGAACAGGAAGTTCCCATGTTCTTGCTTTTGCCATGGACTCACCAGGCCAGAAGGCTTTTCACACAATGACTGTGCAGACAGCAAATGGGCACAAAAGGAGCCACCGGATTGTGGCGTCAATGCCCACTCCCAATTTTCATGTACTAGACCAGGGGTCTGCAACCTTTAAGACAAAAAGAGCCACTTGGACCCGTTTCCGAAGGAAAAAAAACTGGGAGCCGCAAAACCATTGCGACATTTAAAACAAATAAATCTCCGGAGCCGCGATCTGACAGCGGGCGGGAAGGTGATGTCGGGACGGTGCGTGACTAACGCACGCACCGCCCCCATGCGATGTCACAGCCAGTACAGCGCCCGCCACAGTGGGGAGTGTTGGGGCGCACAATGCGCCTCCTCCCCTCGCTAGTATCCGCCCCGGAGCCGCGGCAAAGGTGTAAAAGAGCCACATGCGGCTCCGGAGCCGCGGGTTGCAGACCCCTGTACTAGACCATACAATCCCTATGGATATACAGTGGTACCTCAGGTTACATATGCTTCAGGTTACATACGCTTCAGGTTACAGACTCTGCTAACCCAGAAATAGTGCTTCAGGTTAAGAACTTTGCTTCAGGATGAGAACAGAAATCGTGCTCTGGCAGCACGGCAGCAGCAGGAGGCCCCATTAGCTAAAGTGGTGCTTCAGGTTAAGAACAGTTTCAGGTTAAGAACAGACCTCCGGAATGAATTAAGTACTTAACCTGAGTTACCACTGTACTTGGCCATATGAACCAATAGTCTGACTCAGTATAAGGCCTTATGTGTTTATAAAATCCATTAAGGAATTGTTTCTGCTAATAAGGGATCCTAGAGTCAGTTAAATGTATCACAGTGATTTTCCACAATTTTATTTACAGAAGCCTCACAAAGAAATTGCCAGTGACTGCAAATTCTGAGATTTCCTATTATGTTGGGTTAGAAAGCAAAATCCCAAAGTTATTAAGAAAAAAAGCCTCGAGCCTGTCTAAAATCAGTAGCTGAGCCACTTAACTTCCAAAAATGGTTCCACTCTACCATAATGGCCCAGTATAGCAGTAAACACATTCCATAGGCATTAAATTAATCATTAATTCTACACACACTCTCTTGTTTTGTATTTATTTACATTGGGAACTTGCTTTCACCTTTTTACAATGCCTAATTGTATTAGGCAGTTTTACAAACATTTCACGATAATGATGGTCATTATAATGACAACAATCAGGGTAATGCATGGGAATTAAGTCTTTGTTCTCTGGTTCCTAAATTTGACTAACAAAATGGCTTCCCTTCGGGATCCACTCTGTTGGTTCCCCTCATACAATGTGCTGTGCTGTTCTCTGCACTCACAACTAGCCGTCTAGAGACCTCCGGCTTCTGTGACTGGCCGTGGCTGTCTCAAAAGCACCCGTCTCCTTTCTCAAAATTAAATTATTTATCATTAATTCCTTTCAGACTGAAGCTTTTTATCTCACCAAGCAGAATCTCCTTCAGCAAGGGTGAAATGCAATGTACCAGAAAAGCACTCAAAAGGAACAACCATTATCAGCATCATACTTGGAAAAGTCCCATCTCCCTCCCACAATTACATTTCTAAAAAACAAAATAAATCAAAGAATGCAGCAATCCCATTAACAGCATTCTCCAGAAAACTGCATACTGCGTCATCAGCTCCCAAAATGAATATTTCTGTTTGAAAGCACTGTGACATATTTTCGCATGACTGGAACACGTAAGTATATAAGTTTATGGCTTTTCAGAGGTGGGGGTTAGAAATCTGCATGGCTCTGATCACCTGGGACATGCATGACCCAAGGTGTTGAAGAATCTGGCAGCTGAACTAGGATCCAAAGAAACAGAATTTATTAGCAAAGTTTCTCTCGTCTGCACAGCTGATTATGCAAAACATAAAAGCATCCAGTTCTAAGCAGCTGAGTGGTTGTTGTTGTTTTAAAAAAACATTCTGCAAGCTGGACAGACCAGAAATAGATTTCTTTTTATCTATAATCAGAGCAGATAGGACAGCGTTAGGAAAACTACAGGGGAAATGAAGGTTGAGTGCAAACAGCATCACTTGATTATTGTCTCGGTTAAATGTTAGATGTGTATATTTTAAAAAATAAACACATCAAATATATGCAAAGGAAAGACATGCCTTATTTACAATATTTATATTCCATCCCCATGGAACTGACACAGTTAGAGGTTCCACAAAATATTTGTTCTGCAGTTTTAAAAAACCAGTCTTTCAGTTTGGCAGCTCCCACACTTTGAAGCTCCCTGCCTATCAACATCAGGTAAGTGCCTTTGAAGGGCTCTTTTTGATACCTGTTAAAAACAATTTTCTCATTTTCCTACTCATATTGAAATACAGTCCCTCAATTAGGCCAAACTTAGATTCACAAAATGGTTAGGGGTATGCGTACCCGTGCGTACCCCCAGAAAAATCACTGCATAAATATATTAAAAATACCTGTTTTCAGCATCGTCTTTTATTGACAATTTTATTGATTATTATTAGTTTAAGGTTGTATTTTAGGGCTGCCATATGTCCAGGAATCACTCAGAAAAATGGCGTTCGGGCAGAAAACCTGGATGTATGGCAAGTTGGGCTATTTTTATAAAAAAATTCTTCAAAAATCTAAGAAAAGCACCAACATTTGATTCCCCCCCCCCCCCAGAAAAGCTCAGCAACTCTTCACTTTGGGGAATATGACAGCCCTATATATTTACAACCAAGTGGTATATAAATGTTCTTAAATAAATCAAAGATTTCCCCCCAAAAGCCCAGATCTGTTTACAGAGGGTTCTCAGGGTGGTTTCCTTTTAGATACCAGCCAAGCCTAGGCTTGTTTAGCTTCAGATCACACCACTGTCTCCTGGACAGAAATAGTCTGGCCAGTTATTCATGCTCTAGTAGTGTCCCATTTAGATAACATTAATGCATTTTGCATTAGGCTGCCTCTGAAAACTGTTTAGGAAATTCAGTTGGCACAAAACACAGCAGCTAGCCTAGAGTACTGACTACGACTGGGTATTTGGAACACATCTTGCCAGTTTTATTTTTTTTTTTTTTAATGTAATATTTATTGGTTTTACAAAAATTCCAAAACATACAAAAATACAGGATTTCAAAAACAAAAAACAACAATAACAGTGACAAAAGGAAAACAAAAAATAACAGTAACCATAAAAAGGAAAAAGAAAAGAGAAAAAGAAAAAGAAACAGAAAAATTTAAAAGTTTATACTTTCATTTAACCTTCTTATCTTTCCTTGGTTCTTTGACTTCCCCGCACCTCCCCACTTGTATTTCCTTTTAAAAACTCCTTTCAGCAAATCCTTACCCTCCTTCCTTTATCTTAACTCAAGAAACTTAATCTATTTATATATAGATATTTTTACAACCTTATCAATCAAATATTCCATGCTCTTAAACGCGAGGTTTTTGCCAATACCAATTATTTTCAATCAGACCTCAATTTAACATTCATTAATTTTATAGTATTTCTGTAAATAGTCTTTAAATTTCTTCCAATCTTCTTCCACCGACTCTTCTCCCTGGTCACGGATTCTGCCAGTCATTTCCGCCAATTCCATATAATCGATTACCTTCATCTGCCATTCTTCCAGAGTGGGTAAGTCTTGTGTCTTCCAATACTTTGCGATAAGTATCCTTGCTGCTGCTGTTGCATACATAAAGAAAGTTCTATCTTTCTTTGACACCAATTGGCCAACAATGCCCAGGAGAAAGGCCTCTGGTTTCTTTAAGAAGGTATACTTAAATACCTTTTTCAACTCATTATATATCCTTTCCCAGAAGGCCTTAATCTTTGGGCACGTCCACCAAAGGTGAAAGAATGTACCTTCAGTTTCATTACATTTCCAACATTTATTATCGGGCAAATGGTAGATTTTTGCAAGCTTGACTGGGGTCATGTACCACCTGTACACCATTTTCATTATATTCTCTTTTAAAGCATTACATGCTGTAAACTTCGTACCTGTGGTCCATAACCGTTCCCAGTCAGCAAACATAATGTTATGTCCAACATCCTGTGCCCATTTAATCATAGCAGATTTTACCGTTTCATCCTGAGTATTCCATTTTAGCAGCAAGTTATACATTCTTGAAAGTGTTTTAGTTTTGGGATCTAACAGTTCTGTTTCCAACTTTGATTTTTCCACCTGGAAGCCAATTTTTCTATCCAAATTATAGACCTCTCTTATTTGATAATAATGCAACCAGTCTCGCACTCTATCTTTTAGTTTTTCAAAACTCTGCAATTTGAATTTATCTCCTTCTTGTTCCAAGATCTCCCAATATTTTGGCCACTTGGCCTCCATATTGGACTTTTTCAGGGCCTTTGCCTCCATTGGTGATAGCCACCTTGGGGTTTTATTCTCCAATAAGTCTTTATATCTTATCCAGACATTGAACAATGCTTTCCTGACAATATGGTTTTTAAATATTTTGTGAGCTTTAACCTTGTCATACCACAAATATGCATGCCACCCAAACACATTATTGAAACCTTCTAAGTCCAAAACATCAGTATTTTCCAGAAGTAACCAATCCTTCAACCAGCAGAAAGCTGCTGATTCATAATAAAGTTTAAAGTCTGGCAGGGCAAATCCCCTCTTTCTTTAGCATCAGTCAATATTTTAAGTTTTATCCTGGGCCTCTTGCCCTGCCAGACAAACTTAGAGATATCTCTCTGCCACTTCTTAAAACAATCCATTTTGTCTATTATTTGTATCGATTGAAACAAAAACAACATTCTTGGCAATACATTCATCTTGATGACAGCAATTCGACCTAGCAAGGAAAGCTTCAAATTTGTCCATATTTCTAAATCCTTTTTAATGTCCGACCAACACTTTTCATAATTGTCTTTAAATAAATTCCCATTTTTAGCTGTCATATGAATCCCCAAGTATTTCACTTTTTTTACCACTGTTAAACCTGTCTCATTCTGAACACATCTTGCCAGTTTTAAAGCAATTGTACTGGTTCCCAATCTATTTCCAAGCACAGATCAAAATGCTAATTGTGACCTTTGAAGCCCTATGTAACTTAGTGACGGTGTGCACATCCTGGACTGCTTACTCCCAGATGACTGTCTGGAACCTGAGGTCATTTTCACAGGAAGCTTTTTGGAACTGCTTACCTTCAGAGGTAAGCTGACGGATGGAGACCCAAGAGATACCGCATTTCACTGGCAGCACCTGTCTCTGGAAGTTTTGTGTGGTGCCAAACCTGGTGCCCTTTTGGTGCCAGGTTAACAGCTTTTTATTTGGTCAGGGCTTTTATATGTCATTCTATAATCTCTGTTTAGCTCTGGATTTATCTTGTTTTAACATCAGTTTTGTTGTTCTGATGTTTTTTATTTTGTTACAGTATTTCTATTTTTATCTGAAATGTTTTAATTATTGTTTTCACCGTTAGTCGCTCTAGGGATCCTAAGGGGTTGCTAAACGGGCTAAAAACGTTCCAGACAAACCAATGAACAAGACCTTAGGAATTTTCTGGGGTCAACAAAAATACATGTAGGCATTGTTGAATTATTAATTTGGGGCCATGTATGTCCCTTTATTTCTGAAAAGTAGCATTTATATGTACCTAATCATTTTGCACAAACTAGATTTAGCTCTGTAGTAGATTTGAACCCAATTCACAAAGAAGCCGTGGTTAGGTTTATTTGGCTCTTTATTTATTTAGTACTTATTCTGACTCAGAAAAGCATGTTATTTGGACAGATCCCTGTGGCATACGCCAATGCCCACCATGAAATAACACCAGCATTTAATATTACAGAAATATGCCACCTTATTAATGACACCTGGGAAGGATTTGAGCTCCCCATGACTGGCATTTGTTTCTCATTGACTATGCATCAAATGTAGAAGTGAAGAAGGAGAGGGGGCAGCTGTTCAGCCATACAAAAGAAGGAATGGGCTGATTCTCTTTGGTAGAGGATTCACCCACTGGGTCTAAAACAGCATCTCCCCCACCTTCAATGGAGAACATTTGCATTCAGGTCTCAGCTCCAGTCCCTTGTGAGTGTGAACTTCCTGGCATCAGGACCAGCCTTCCTTTGTGTATGTGGTGCCTAGCAATCTCCCCTAATTGAAGCTTCTGTGAGAAATTGCAATAACAGATGCAAACAAAACACACTGCTGAGGGCAAGCAATTGTGAGGGTGTACTGCCAAACGGAAGCCTCAGAGATCAGCTCCACACAGGATATGGCTTGTCTTTGAGAACAAAGTAACAGAGATGCATCAGGGGGTGCCAGATTGCAACCTAGAGAACCTGTCTGTTGGCTTAAAGTTTCCCATGCAGTGAGAGGAGAGAACGTCTCTCTGAAGGGCCACAGCCCAGTTTGATATTTTGCATGCAGGTGGTTCCAAGTTCACTGCTATCTAAGGTTTGAAAAAATCATTATGATGGGAAGACTTCTGACTGGAACCCTGGGGAACTGCCATATCAGAGGAGACAATACGAGATGGCAGGGGCGTAGCAAGGAGGGTGCGGTAGGTGTGGCCTGCCCCGGGTGTCCCCACTGCTGGGGGTGATAAAATGGCGGGCAGCACTCACCGCGGGGCCTGCAGCATGCCCAAGGCACGCGTCTCTCCTGGGAGTGATGCGGTGGCTTGAGCGCCCGCACCCTCTGCGCTGCCCCAAACAGTCTGCCTGTTGCCTCCCCCTCAGCTGTAGGGTGGCTGAGTGGGAGGAGGCAGGCAGACTCCTTAGAGCAGCCTTTCTCAACATTTGGGTCCCCATATGTTGTTTAACTACAACTCCCATCACCCCTAGCTAGCAAGGCCAGAGCTCAGGGATGCTGGGAGTTGTAGTCCAACAACATCTGGGGACCCATAGGTTGAGAATCGCAGCCTTAGAGGCCCCGCGGTGCCCCTGCGGGTGGCTGGCCCTGCACCCCCAGGCGCCCAATCGGCTTGCTCCGCTACTGCTAGATGGACCAGTATTGTATAAGGTAACATCATCTATTAATTCATCATCTATTAATACACACACAGCCCTGTCGTCTGCCTTCTATCTGCTTTCATATGCAACATTATGTAACAGGAGTCATGGGGAGACAGATGACAGGACTTTTAGTGCCCATAGCAGACAAATTTAAAGCACTACATAACCTTAAGCTCCAAAGATGGCCTGAGTTGCCCACCCAATGGACATTGCTCCATAGTGAGCCAACAACATCCCTGTTCAGGTGATTTTCCTGAGCATGACTGTCCAACTCATCTAAGGGATAAGCCTCACTCCAAACATCCCCTTGGGCTTTTTAGTTTAGATAAAAGGCAAGTAAGTGGTGACATGGCAGAAATGTATACAATTAGGCACTGCAAGGAGAAAGTGGATAGATAAAAAGGTCTTCTCCCTCTCGCATAATACTGGAACTCGTGGACATCCAATGAAGCTGAGCGTTGGAAGATTCAGAACAGATGTTTAAAAATGCTTCTTCCCACAGAACATAGTTAAACTGTGGACCAGGAGGCAGCAATGGCCATGAACTTGGATGGCTTTAAATGGGGATAAAACTATCAGTGGCTACTAGCTATGATGGCTAGACCCTGCCTCTGTGGCCAGAGGCAGTATCTGTCTGGATGCAATTGCTGGAAATCCCAGGAGGGGAGTGTTGGTTCAAGAAAAAACACAGGCATATCATAGAATTGAAGAGTTGGAAGGTACCTTAAAGGTCATCTAGTCCAACTCCCTGCAATTCAGGAACTTTTACTCATATTAGATCCACTAAACTTAAGAAACCTAAGTTATTAATAGCCATTAATCTCCTTGAATAAAAGTTAGTTGAATACAAGCCCATCACAGCTATGTAGGATCCCAGACATGACTATTGCATAGATGAAGAGCAGACTGGGCTCCTACACCTTTAATAATTGTGTAGAAAGAGGGAACCTCAGCCGGTGTAGTTTGTCATGCAAGGTTGATAGCAAGCATGACAGGCAGTTCTGGCTAGGGTGGTCAGATGCAACAGAGCTCCTGCACCTTTAATTGTTGCAAAGAAGCGGGAATTGCAGAAGCTGTAGCTTTCTATGCAAACCACACCTGCTGACATTCCCTCTTCTATGCAACAATTAAAGGTGCAAGACCCCTGTGTGCTGTTGCATCTGGCCATGCTAGTCTTGGCTGCCCCACTGAGATCAATGAAAGTTAGAGCCTAGCTTGTATTGGCTCAGCTTCACATCTGCAGTAGCTCAGGCCTCTGTCACACCAGTCTTTGATTAACATATCTGTCTGGTGACCAGAGTACTTATACAGATGCAGCATATCTCAATTCTGCAAGTCAAGTTGGCCTGCCAAAAACCCTGTACAGTTATTAAAGGTGCAAGCACCTCCATTCTTCTTTGTACTTGGTAACGTGTTAGTCCATAAGGGGGGAAAGCCAGCCCCAACTACAGTAAGGCAAGATCTTTATTGGGAAGAACCAAAGTTTCACAGAAATGTGGCAAGCTTTTGAATTCTCCAGAACTCTTCGTCAGGCAAGATGTTACACAAAGTGGGGCGATGACGACAAAGAGTACAAAAACCAGGCTGATGTAATAACAGCCATGAGATCAACTGTTCAAGCTGCCTGCAAAGAAGGTGGGACTGTCTGGTGTGACAGGCAATGAAAGCTCCTGGGTGTTTCATGAAACTGGACTTCTGAAAGCCATGACTAAGAGCCTGCTCTATGAAACAGGAAGCCCCTGGACTCAGAACTAAATCCCAGAGAGGGTGCAAAATACATCTTTTCAGGCAGCTAGTATTTGATTTATTTAGATTATCACTTGCCTGGGGTGTTTAATGTTACCGTTTCTGCAGGATAGCTTTTTGGGTGCGAGTGTATTGCTCCGTCTGCTTTTGTGTGCTGCCTTTGAGTGTGTGAAAAGGTGGCTGGCAGTATAAACAACAAAGGAACATGCTGTAGGACGGAGGATCCTATGGTGACCAGCTACAAAGCAGAACAGGGTGGCCTTGAGCCAGTCTCGTAGCTGAACCCACCTCATAGGGTTGTTGCGAGGATAAAACAGGGAGGAGGAGAACTGTGTGCACCACCTCGAGTTCCTCGGAGGGAAGGTGGGATACAAATTTAAAAATAAATGAAAACAGAGTTCTCCCTACCCCTCTTAAGAGCCATGTATTAGCTAGTGCATCTTGCTATCCATGCACGACAAGACTCTTCGTATTAACGCTCTCTCTCCTGTACAAAAAGGACAGATATTTCCTTCGGGAGTAACAGGGTCAGGGCACCGCTGGATCTGGATGGAAAATTAGTATTGCAGCCTTAGCTGGTTCATATCCGGGTGCCCCCTCCAAAAAACCAAGAAAAAAGTCTTGCACCCTTCAGTACCACGGTGGAGACATTTTCACATGGACCCCCAGACATGGCGGTTCCTCGTCGGTGCCTGCGTGGTGAACCAGCGTCCATTGCGGATAACCCAGTTTCCTTTCCCCCTCCGTGTCTCTTTAAAGCGCGGAGCAGAAGTTCCCCCTCCGAATCCCCTCCCACCTGCCTCCCTCGCTGCTCTCCCATCATCGCCCTGACGTCAGGAGGAGGGAGGCGTGTGGGTGCCACGGCCTCCCCCGTGTTTAAAATCCGCCAGAAGGCTGCTCGTGAAGAGGGAGGAGGAGGAGGAGAGCGAGCAGGGAGCGGAGCGAGCAGAAGCCGGGCAGCAGAAGGAGCGCCGCTAGCCGCAAGGTAACTTCCTCCGCGGGCGCGCAGGGATGCTTTGTGAACTGGCGCCGGAGCGGGAGGAAGGGGACAGATGGGAGAGGCCACGCCGAGGTGGCGCGAGGAGGGGATGGAGCGGGCTGCCGAATGGTCTCGCGTGGGGTGCTTCGCTTAACTCTTTTGTGTCGGGTCTCCCGGGTGGGGAGAGAAGGTCCTCTGGCGCTGGCAGCGGAGAGGCGTGTCCCGTCTGTGCGCGCCGGGCGATTTCAGCTGGGGGCGAATGGCTGTGGGGAAGGGTGTTTGCCGTGCAGGTGGTGATGGCGAATAGCTGCCTGCCTGTATGGTAGCTTTTCTTTGCAACCGACGGCTGGGGTCGCCTTTCTCGTCTCCTATTCCAAGGGGTGAGGGATCTGGCCAGGAAGAGGAGTGTGTGTGTGTGTGTGTGTGTGTGTGTGTTTAAATCTGCTTTGGCACCTAACAAGTTATAATGGACACGGCAGCAAGTCAAAGAAAGGACTCATGTGAAAGCAATAATTGAAGCTCAGTGATAGTCCTATAACCCCACCCACCCCACCTAAAGTAGTATTTGGTTTGCATGGCTTTTGATGAGGCTATCAGAAGGTGCTATGGTGGTTTGGAGTCCCCACCCCTTTTTTGGTCCTGCCTTTCTCGCTGGCTGCCTTTCTTCTTTTCTCTGTCTCCCATCCCCACCCAAATACCTTGTTTCCCAGTTCCAAGGATGCTTCTGTATTCAGATCATAAAGATGGCACTTGAATCTCATTGGATAATCGGCCTCTTGTATATGTGACTGCTTAACCAGAGCTCCACCAGAGGGATGAGACGGACTGTTTTTAGATAAGGGGATTGAGGCCTTGAAGAACCCAGGGTTTTTTTGTTAGTTATTTAAAATTTCTTTCTTGTTGTAGTTCTTTTTCACCAAAGAGGTGTCTGTCTGGAAATGAATGAGTCGATTAATGTTCTCAATTGCATGACACTATCATCACCAGTCTTGGAAGGAAATAGGCTTTTATGAGCATTGGCTAGATAGCCTTTGTATGTTTTTTTAAAAAACCCTGCTAGATACAAGTCTATGGAGAACAGTATAAGAGAGAGAATAAATGTAACCTGTAACCTGGAAATCTGTAACCTGGAGGAAAGGATTCAGACCCTCTTTATGCATGTGGTTTATTTAAGCATTTCTGTCTGCTTGTTGTCTGTTAAGAATAACCAATATGTTATAGCAAACCTCTTGGGCGGTGTGCTTTTAAGATGAGCATCTGTTTAATTCTATAACTATGGGCCTAATAAACTAGTTGTGGTACAAAATCACGTTTACTAGTTCATGTGTATGGTCCCAGTGCATGTACAAACTGCATGTGTGGTCAGGGGCTCTTCTTTGTTTCTAGGATGGGGCATACACAACCTTTTGGATGTTGGAGTGCAAGTCCTATCATCCCTGGCTGTGGTGGATGGGAGTTAAGAGTCCAGCAATATCTCGAGGCCACAGGTTCACCTTCCCTCTTTGGGGGTTTCTGGTTCCATGTACAATCTGTATATCCATAGGGATTGTATGGTCTAGCACATGAAAATTGGGAGTGGGCATTGACGCCACAATCCGGTGGCTCCTTTTGTGCCCATTTGCTGTCTGCACAGTCATCGTGTGAAAAGCCTTCTGGCCTGGTGAGTCCATGGCAAAAGCAAGAACATGGGAACTTCCTGTTCTGGAGCTCAGCATGTGCATACATTGACCGCTTACTCCAGCTCGCTCCCACTGCTGTTGTTTGAAGCAGAGTACACATGTAATTAGTCACAATCCATAGGTATCCTGTAGCTTCTTGAGAAATACTCCTGTTTGACGTGCTTTCTCTCAAACCAGCTTCCAGTCAATTAGAAAATGGAAGTTGTGCTTTTAGACTGAGGAGTTGTACATTTCAGGCAGCTGTTGGGCATGTGACAGCATCCAGGAATTGGACTTAGGTGCAGGGAAGACAAATCAGGTGATGCACATTGGGTGAAGAAGGCATCCTCACCTTTTTCTCAGGAGTGAAAGGCAACATTAAAAAATGACTTGAAAAGTAGAGGGGAGACATGACCTTGATGAGTTTCAAGCTGCTAATGTGGACATGGGCAGGGAGGGCATCTGCCCCCCAATTAATAAAAATACATAGCTGAGATTCTGCCCCCTTAACAAAAGACTCCCCCCCCCTCCAAATCCTGGCTACATCCATATAGCCTCAGTCTCTTAGCCTCTGGCCCTGCCCAGATCTATAACCACAATTTAAATTGCAAGCCTGTCTGAGTAGGACAGAGCAACACTGTCTACCTACATAAGTTTGGGGTCAGTCTATTTCTGGAGGCTTGCAAGCCAGAAAGCGTATTCTGTTTTCTATCTCCTTTATGGGCTCGCTCTCTCTAAAGTTTTAGGTGTGGCTATATATGGGAAGGTGCTAAGAATAAGTATGTTTGTTTATTTGGTGGAATGGGAGAGGCTTCCACAAACCCCCTGCATAAATGAACATTCAGTTCTAGCCTTAAGAAAAATAGCAATTTTATGATGTCTTGCATAGAATATTGAGGACACTTGATGGATACCAAGAGCCTAATGTGTATCTCTGAAACGGGCAGACACTGGAAAGACTTCAATAAATTTCCACTTAAAATACAATTGAGGATAACTAGTTTAGGATGCAATGCTGGAAGTAAGTTCAGAAGTAACACCACAGTGGGGTTGTATATAAATACTGTAGATGTGTATAGCAGGGGTGAGCAATCTGTGGCCTTTGGTCTAATTTAATGTGGCCCTTAGTCTAGTTTGATAGGGGCAAGGAGGAGAAAATGAAGAAAGGAGTGATAGAAAGAGACGCACAAAACGGGTGGGAGGAGCTCTGGCCCCTTTCACTTTTTGTTCCAGCCCTCCCAGCTTCTGGCACTGAAGTTTCACTCATGGTACGTGGCCTGTGACAGATTACTCCAAGGGAACATGGCCCTCAGTGTTCCAGTGTGGTGTAGTGGTTAAGAGCGGTAGTCTCGTAATCTGGGGAACCGGGTTCGCGTCTCCGCTCCTCCACATGCAGCTGCTGGGTGACCTTGGGCCAGTCACACTTCTTTGAAGTCTCTCAGCCCCACTCACCTCACAGAGTGTTTGTTGTGGGGGAGGAAGGGAAAGGAGATTGTTAGCCGCTTTGAGACTCCTGTAGGGGAGTGAAAGGCGGGATATCAAATCCAAACTCTTCTTCTTCAATGGGAAGAAATATTCCACACCTTTGATGCATAGGAGTATATGGTTAGCCTCTGAGAAAGAAGATGGGAATATTTCAGGTGGGAGAAGGCCCTCTTTTAAACTCAGATTTTGTGTGAGTATATGTACACACACTTGTTTCGAAAGAACGTATGCATTGATACACCACTCTTGCACCTTAGTATTAGATGGGGGGGGGCGTTTCTGAGCAACGAAACATGAGTTCTGGCAGTTGGATTCCCTTCAGTCTGACAAGATATTTCGGGTATGTAAAAAGGGGAATTATGGGATTTAAAGATGAGGGGCCTGAGAGGAAAGAAGGGATTGGTCTGCGGGACAAGCTTATGTTAATCAAATGTGTATGTAGTAGCTTAGCGAAAAGTGCCATTTGAGAGATTTGCTCTGCCTGCTGCAGTGGTGGCAGGGCTGGAGAGAGTCTAGGGCTGTCCTCTATGTAAGGCACTTCCACTGGGACTAAGGAGGAGGAGGAAGAGCAGTGTTAGAAACTGGGATAGAAAAACTAGGAGCCAAATGGCTTCTGGGACCTGGGTTGTTGGGTGCCAAAACAGAATGTCTAGTTGCCAAACTAGGGGGGGGAGGGTTGGCAATACTTATTATTTATTATTCTGATAAGCATGAACTAATACACAATTCACATAAGTGACACATTATTCACACCACATTTTTAGCAGAAATTGTTAATACATGTTTAATTTGGTGTTTACAATATTGCCTATGCTTAGCATACACTTCGAGGCTTCAGATCATATACATTTCAGTAATTCTTGAGTGTCAGCCAGGTGCAAAAAATAGCACTTTTTGAGGTGCTCACAAATGGAGAATCTTTAGGAGCAAAATGTGCCTAGCGCCCTGCTAATTTTGAACCTGGAGGAGGAGGAGGTTGTTGTCGGCTGCTGCCACCCAGTGGACTGGTTGTAAGTAAGAAGATGGGGGCGCTGGCTTGAGAGTAGGCTGAGGTGGGCAGGGCAATGCCCAACTTGCCCTAATGGACTAATCTCTTAATACTAGCTAGCCTGTGGGCTGGGAAGCATCTTGCAGAGTTCAGCAGCCTCTCTTCAGCCTGAGCATTACTGCTTTGGAATGCTGAATTTAAAGTAAAGTAAAATAAACCAAATACGTAAATCAAATTGCATTTAAGAATAAGCTGAAAATGATGCTTTATTATTTATTATTTATTATGGCAAAAGGTTTTGTAGACCGCAGTCCTGTATATCAGGTACATGAAGAGTTGCAGTCCTATAGGCACAGGGCTAGGGGATTTCAAAAAATAGTTAACACCGACATCCAGGCATTGGTAAGGCAATTATGTGTAGTGTAGCTAGAAAAACCTTTGTCTTGATTAAACCTCAAGTTGTAGCACTGAATGTTTTAATAGCAGTTTTACACGCAGTCTCCCTTCTGAAGTTCCTTTGGCCACCTTAAGGTCAGGTACAGAGTGTCCTGACAGGATGAAGCTTTCCTCCCACTGATTTTATTTATTTATTGCCATTTCTGATGTTAGATTTGTGTCCATTCCTTTGTGCAGAGACTGGCTTGTTTTGCTATGCATCGTCGGCAGGAGGGCATTGTCTGCAGACGATGGTATATATCTAATGGGAAGATAAGCAAGAGAATGAGCCTGATGTCGTTGTGGATGGCTTCAGTAGGTTTGGCCATAGTGTCGCTAGGTAGACAGTGGGACAGAGCTGGCATCTGGGTCTGCTGTTCCTATAAAATGATACAACAAAAAATCACCTTCACAGAATGTTTCGTGTTTTGAAGTGTAAGCTGTTGAACAGCTGATGAAGAATACTGCAGTTCTGTGCTGCCTTTTGGATGGCTTGTTGCATTTATTTTCTCCAAGGCCATTGATTGCCAAGAGCGTAGTTTCTTCAGTTTGTTTTCGTGAAGTGGCTTGTAGCTGGATTGCAGTCGTGATGCACAAATCTGCTTCACCATATTTGAAATCTGGTATCTAGAATAGGAGTAGAACCTGTGTCTTTGGCTCTCATTTTGAGTAATGGACTAGAATCCCCTTTCTTGGCCTTCTTGTGCCATATCACAGGCCTCTGCTGCCATGTCCTATTCTTACTTTTCACCTTTTATTAATTGTGACACCTGAAAAAGCTCAGGAGGCCTTGCATAGTTATCAGGACTCGTCTTGAAACAGACATTTTTGGGGGTAGAATCTGTGGTGGTTTCATGATGGATTTCAGATGGTGACTTCCACACGCAATGATGAAGACTGGTAATGCGTGTGGTGTCTCTAGGCTTTTATAGCTGGTTGCCATCATGCCTTATCTGTGAGTTTCCCAGAGCATCTGGTTGAGGGACAGAATGCTAGATTATGTAGACCAGGCCTCTGTGTGGTCCTCCAGGTGTTGCTGCACTACAGCTTCCATTAGCCCTTGCCAGCATGGCCCAACGGTCAGGGATGATGGAAGTTGTAGTCCATCAACATCTGGAGGGCCACAGGTTCTCCACCTTGAGGTACTCCTTTGTTCCACCCACAATGGTGGTTCTTGTCATCTTGGCATCCTGGAAAGAGCTGCTATAAAATGTATTTTGTTAGCAGTAGTTCAAGGGTTTTTGAACAGGGAAATGAAGTTTGGTATGGGACAAAATGAAAATATATTATTTGGATGCCAGAGTTTGATCTTCTACATTCTTTTACCTCCTCTCAGATTTCTTCTGAATTTCCTATTATAGTAGGCCTGTTAGCAGACTTACTGCAAGACAGCGTGATTTCAAGGGATTAATGAAATAGTTCTGCTGCTTTCTAAAGCTGCAAAGTACTGTAGTTACTGATGCCAAGTGTTACTTCTTTTCATCCTACTAGCCTGCTGTTTAATCCATTCACTGTGAATATACAGAGAGTGAAATCACACCCACAGAACATAATGATGGATATCTCTTCAGGGATGACTTCTGACTACCTGCCCGGCCCCTCTGTTCCAGTAGGGCTACAGTATATGGGCCTACAACATCCACTTGGATAGCAGTGGAAAGCCATTCCACTTCCTGTGAACCAGGGAATGGCTAGTGACCATATATAGTGGTACCTTGGGTTACAGACGCTTCAGGTTACAGACTCCGCTAACCCAGAAATAGTACCTCGGGTTAAGAACTTTGCTTCAGGATGAGAACAGAAATTGCATGGCGGCGGCACGGTGGCAGCGGGAGGCCCCATTAGCTAAAGTGGTGCTTCAGGTTAAGAACAGTTTCAGGTTAAGAACGGACCTCCGGAACGAATGAAGTACTTAACCCGAGGTACCACTGTACATCCAGTTCCTAGGTATCCACGGCACTCATCCTTTCTTCCGAAAAAGGACTAGTGGGTCTAAAGTGGAGTTGGGATGACTCCACTTAAAGACAAAACACAGCTTCTGACATCCTTTCTGTCATCCCTGCTGAGCAGAGACAAAGCCTCTTACACTCAACTCGCTAGTTCCTGATCACTCCTTTTATGTCCAGTGATGTCAAGTGACTTGATTTCACATGAAGGATTGAGAGGAGTACACTCCAGATGCACTCTGATTCTCCTTTCCAGCTACTGATAGATTTTGGTACTTTTTGAATCCGCCACCTTTCTCTGTTGTCAAATTCAAATATAGTGCTTAACTCTACCAGCAGCTAGAAAGGAAATTCTTCCTCTGCAGCTTGAGCCTGTGGGTTTATCTGTTCTGTGCTTGATGCCTTATGACATCAGGTGATAGACAGGTGGATAGAAATGGGTATAGTTTAGGCCCAGGGTTTTCAAACGTGGATCTCCAGCTGTTTTTGGACTACAGTTCCCATCGTTCCTGACTACTGGTCCTTCTAGCTAAGGATGATGGGAGTTGTAGTCCAAAAACAGCTGAAGACCCAATTTTGGGAAACCCTGGTTTAGGCTAAATAGGGAAGCTTGGTGAGCCTGATTATGTTTGCAGACTGGAGGTTATCTGGCCTTAGGCCTGTGCTTGGTGCTGAAATACCCTTGGTCACCATGATGGATGACGTATGGCAGAAGGACTGGGCAGAGGTGGCTTTAGGGTACTGTGACCGGTTTGGCTGTACTGGTTGCTGGCACTGCAACAATGATGTAGAATGGAGGGCGAGAGGCAGGGGTGGGTGGGTTTGAGCTGAATTTGAGCATCACACAGGACGCTGCTGAAATTTGAGAGCCCGAAGTCTGCCACTGAACAGGAGAGTGTGACCTTGCTGATTCTACTGGATCTCTTGGTGACTTTGATACCACTGTCCATGGTATCATTCTAGGTAAGCTGTCCGTGGTGGTGGTGGTGGGGTGGCATTCCTTTCCAGTGGTTGTGGTAGATAATTCCAGAAGACTGGGCCCGGGAACAGGCCTGGCAGTTATACCATGGGGTCCCACAGGGTTTCAACTTGCTATTTAACATTTCATATGAAACTAGTGAGTGAGGTCATCTTGATATTCCTAGTGAGGTGCCATCAATATTTCAGTGGCATCCATCTCTTTTTCTCCTTTTCATCTGACTCAGGTGCTGAATCAGTGCTTGGGAACAGTAATGGTCTGGATGAGGGCCAACAGATTGAAGCTCAGTCCCGACACTCTGGCTTGGAAGTGCAGATAATTCTACTTCACTTCTGAGCCGTGCCCTGTGCTTACCTGAATATAAAGTATAACTCTGCAACTGATCAGATATTCTTCTGAGACAAAACTGATAAACAGAGCTGCATAAAGAATTGGTCAAAGGCAACCGTAAATTTAATTTTAAATTATGTTTTACATTTTTAATATGGAATACTTTGTCATTGTAATCTGCTTTGAGACCTAGATGGTGAAAGGACCTGGATATAATCTTTAAAAATAAATAAAACCAGCTAATAATTTACAAGTGAGAAACATGGAGGCTGGTAAGAAATTAGCACAATGCCAGCTTATCACAGAACATTTTTGGACTTGCGATTTTACTTCCTGAGTGTTGGAAGCCCTTGTACTGCAAATTGCCCTCGGCTCTATTCCTAGATGTTAGAGGGCTTCCCCTCCTTGCTGTTGGCTCTGCAGCTGGTCTTAAACTGTGTGGTTAAATACTTAAGGTCAGTGGGAAAGCATTTCACTCTAAAATATGTATTTGGTTCTGGGCTTACTTAAGCAGGCTTAAAATGCATATACTGTATGTTCTGGGCTTTCAGTGTCACGTTTCAGGTTAATGATTGAGTGGTACTGGAGAGTTTGAATTTGAAACATATGCTTGATTTCTATATAATTTTAATTTTCCATCCTTTTTCCAAAGAGCTCAAGGCCTCGGACACAACTCTTTCCCAACCCCAGTTTTATCATCTCGACATTATAGTATGGAGAGTGAGGTTAGGCCCAAGAGTTGAGTTTCATGGCTGTGTTGGCATTTGAATATGGGTTTCTTGGTTCTAGTTCAACATATTAACCACTACATTATGCTAGTTGGCCATATCAAGCGGGGTCAGTCTTGAATGTATGCATAGAAATGAATTAACATATACACAAGCAATTACCATTTGTCAGAGAGCCTACACTGATGAGAGTTGTAGTCCATCAAGGCATTGGGACGGAGGTGGCTGGCCTAGAACATTTAAAAAACACACTACCACTGACATTGCATATTTAAGGTCATTACATCCCAGTTATCTGTATCCCCTTATTGCTCTTGCCTTCTTCCCCTATTGCTATAGGGACTAGTTTTTGAGTTGGCCAAGAGGCGTTCCATTGAATCTGTTGTCTTTTGCTGCCCTAATTTAGTCCTGATCCCTGGTTAGGAAGCTTGCATGATTTCTCTGTGTTCTACTATGGCATTATGTAAACACCCATTTTGGCAAGTGAGAAGGAATGCAAGTAAATAGGCGCCTGCTGCTAACCAAACAGCTGAGCGCTTAAATCCCCGTTCTTTTGGCTTAGGGACAGGTCTGTGCTCTTTGAGTCAGCTGGTTTTCTTCTCTCCCTCTCTGTCTGTGTCTCATGCACACCCCTATACCTGCTTAGTTACCTTTCTTTTCCTGGCCACGTATTGCTGTTACTGTAGCATCACAGTGCCTGCAGCATCCTTCTGTTTTTCACAGCAGGGTGGACTGGGGGACCACAGGGGAGCACAGGAAGAGGAGACGATTTGGGCTTGTGAGATCACTTGCAGAAAAATAATTCCTTTAGCCTTGAAGTGACAGCTCACGTAGCAAAAGGAGAGAAAGCAAATGATGTTATAATTCCCACCAAAGATTAGCAAGCTAGATATTTGGAGGATAATACTGGAGCCATAGACGTCATGCAGCCACCTTTTAATTATCTGCACAGTTCTGTGTGGATAATTCATATGCTTAAATAAGCCTGAAGCATCTGTGTTGCAACTGCATCTAAAGGGGGGGGGGCTTTTCTTTTCTTTTGCAGTGTGGTGGTCAAAAGAGACAAACCCGAAACGTCATAGGAAGTGCCAAAAGGTAGCATTGTGTGATGAAATGTAATTATCCAAACTGAGCTGCAGCATTTTTATCTCTTTTAGAAGTGACATTAAAATGGTCTCTGAGGTTGGGCTGATCTGATCTCAAGGCTAGGAAGGTGGAAGTGGTGTGTGTGTGTTCAGCATTGCAGGCTTTCTACCAGGAGTAGCCAATACGGTGCCTGCCAGACATAGCTGGACTCCAGCTCCCATTCTCCTGACTCATTTACCATGCTTGCTGGGGTTGATGGAGTTGGGAGTCCAACACATACTGGCTACCCCTCCATTAGGCAGTTGGTTATGATTCCAGAAGCTCTGTGTGGCTGCCTTTTCAGCCCCAGCCTGCACAGTTCCTCCGTCAACTAGTTAGAACTATTTATTCCACTCTGGGCTAATGACAACATGGACACAAGTTTTTAAGTACCCTAGAAGTCTCCATAGACCATTGTCTTGGAGCCCACAGACAAGCTGGTGGCACCACTGTCGATCAGTTTTTCCATTACTTAGGACTCTTCTTTTTCTGTTTGCATGACAGGTTGATCCCAAAGGCTGAGAGTCGTTGATCACCTCTTTCCTGTTGACATACCAGAGGACAGCCGCACCATGTCATCTGACCAGACTTCTCAGTCCACTGTGCCACCTCTCCACTCTCCAAAGTCACCTGTGTGGCCAATTTTCCCTTTTAACAGAGAGGGAAGCCGGATCTGTGAGAGAGGTGCCCACCTTCTTCGGGACTTACCCAGCCCACTTCCCACAAAAAGAACCAGGACATACTCTGCGTAAGTAACCAGACTGTGCCACTAAGTTAGGAATCACCAGGGTCATTTTTTTCCATCCTAAAATTGGTTAACAATTAGACTTTGACAATGTGGAATATTGGGCAAGGGGGCTTGGGGAGAGGAGGAATTGAGTTTTTTCTGATTTGTACACATTATTTGATTGTGGTCGATTTCTGACAGAGTTCTTTCAGACTTTGATGGAAAGTGGTAGTGTGATAAGACCACGATGACACTATTTTCTGATAACGTCGGTTAATTCCATGTCAAATAGTCCTATTGAATAATTTTGTATTCATATCCCAGAGTTTTCTGAGCAGTCCTTGGGACAAACTATGAATCTTGCAGTTCATGAGCAATGCTGCCCTTTCTTGGACCCCATCAATTGTACGACCTGTATGGCTTTGAGGAACCTTACTCATCTGGACTAGAGTTTAAACATTTGGGGGGGGGAGGGGAAGAACTCTAAAGCAAAGTAAGAGTTTCCTTACCAACAATTCACTCTTCTAATTCAAACTTCTCCCGACATTCCTAGCTATGGTGGTTGTTGAATTGAGAGATGTTAAATTGTGCAAGTTGCTTTTTAATGTAAGTTTTTTAAAAAATGATATCCTGGCAGGTTTCAAAAAAGGTTTTGAGGCTTTGCTAAATTTGTATAAAATTTTGTTCCATCTATAGTCTGGACTGTGGGGGGGGGGAAATGGGAGCCTTGAAACCATGACGTTGTGTAGAAAGGTAACACATGAACATTTTCCTGGCTGGAAATGGCAGTGTGGTTTAGACTGAGTCTCAAACCTCTTTCTTCTTCTTAGGACGGCTCGTGCTTCCGCTGGTCCTGTCTACAAGGGTGTATGTAAGCAGTTTTCACGCTCCCAAGGCCACGGCTTCATCACCCCAGAGAGTGGCACAGAGGACATATTTGTACACGTGTCTGAGTAAGTTCCATGGCTGCAGAGCCTTTAACATCTTATGTTATGATGCAAGTATCTCATGTCTGAACAGTCACTGCTCCTTTCTCTCTCCCAAACCCTACTTGTGTCAACAGTATCATTGTAAGGACACATTTATGAAGGAGCCCTGTTACCTGGATGTTGATAGATTTATTAATAATAGCGATGACAAATTAAACAGAAAATTAAGAAACTGCTGAAATGTTGTTTACTTTTTCTTTTTCAGCATTGAGGGGGAATATGTTCCAGTAGAAGGAGATGAGGTCACATACAAAATCTGCCCCATCCCACCAAAGAACCAGAAGTTCCAGGCTGTGGAGGTGGTGCTTACCCATTTAGCTCCACACACAAAGCATGAAACGTGGTCTGGCCAAATCATTGGATCGTAAACTTCTTTTTGAGCCTGCAGGACAACCCCACCAAGGAGGTGGGGTTGAATGGTGTGGTGGGTGGTGGAACTGCTGGAGCAATGGCAGAGAGCCCAGGCTGGCAATTCTTGTTTGCAGTGTGACATGTTGGCATTTATGTTGTCTTTTCTAAGATTTACCTTTTGGTTTGTAGCTGTGCTTTTTTTTTCAAAATGGCAAGCAGGAAGTGGAAAAGGGTTGCTGGGTGGATTTTCTCCTATGTCTTGTGAGCTCATAATTGTACCTGAATAGACAAAGGAAGAGCTCTCAAGTTTTTTTGGGGTGTGTCTTTATCCAGAAAGGCAGACTTTATTTGTCTCGCTGCTACCCTAAATGCATTAAAAAAAGTCTTATGTATTGTCCTGCTCCATTTAACAAATTATCCCATTGCTTTTTCAACGGGCTGGTCCAGGCACTCCACCCCAGGGAGTTGGCATTAAGCTCTCTTGTTCTTCTCAGCCAGAGTAGGTATTAAGAGATGCAGTGATATTTTGTGGGGGGGGGGGGCGGACAATTGTACATTGCCTGAAAACAGTGTCTCCCACAGCCCCACACAGATTGTGCCATCTTCAGAGACACTTGTAGGTATGTGCTTTTTGTCCCATCTTGTCCCCCTCCCCAGCCACCTTGCCCTGTGTAAGGGGGGGACCACATGACTTGCACTCCTCCCTAAGTCCACTGATGTCGCTGTTGTTGTCTGTTGAGATCAGTGGTTTGGCTACCACAGCTAGGCAAACTGTGGCAACCGGATTACTGGTTTGGTGACAGATGCTGCTTCTCCCCCACCCCCAACACACACACCCCGCACACATAATTGCAAGTTGGATGTCTGGTATCTCAAGGATGTTGTGTAGAGAGCAAGTAGAATGCATCACTGAAGAAGCAGTTTCTGAAAACTATCAAGATCCATGAAGTCCCTCTCTTGAGTGGTATTCACAACTGAATTTGTCAGATCTTTCTCATATGGCATAAATAAATTACTTTTCTTACTCAGTCCCCTGACTGAACCAGGAGACAAGAATTCAGGGGTTGGGGATTTGCGGTTAACTGGGCACTGGACATGATCATTAAGATATGCCAGATCCTGTGCTGCTTCTATCTGTCCAAGGCATGATGTGAGTTACTTTGTGGGCAGAAGCGCTGAGTATTAAATTCTTTGGTATTATGTGGCAGTTTAGGTACTTAATCCTTCAGTTAAATGATGAATACACAATATTGTGAAAACTGCTGGTCTGTTCTCTGTGCCACTGATACAGGTTTACTTCAAAAGCAGATCATTCTGAATGCTATATTGCTAGGAGTCTTTATTCATTTAAATTCCTGTTGAAATATTCCCCCCTTTGGCAGATTCTTTCCAGTGGCTTTTTATAAGAGCAGAAATCAGGAGAGGGGGAGCTGGGAAAGAGTGTGTGTGTGTGTGTGTGTGTGTGTGTGTGTATGTGAACACTAGAACAGGTTTTCTCAGGGTAAGGTGATCATTTGCTTGGATGAGAGGTACACAATAGGGTGCCCTTCAGTTGTTGTGGACTACCACTCTCATTAGCCTCAGCCTCTGGCCAGTGACCAGAGCTGATGTGAGTTGTGGTTCAGAACACCTGGAGGCACTGTGCTGGTTATCCCTGCCTTAGGCATAGCCAGTTAGCGGAAGGCTAGACATCCTTTTCAGTGTTGCAAAACATATTCCTACAAAGTCTAAGAATGGAATCTTCCTGCACTGGATTACACAAGCCAATTGAAAATCTGCAAATAATACTTGACCCGTCACTATAAGTTCTTCCATTCTAACTGGACTCTGTACTCTCCTGCACAAAGCAGTGGTTTGTTCCAGAAGGCCCCAGTTGTGGCAGTATCTCGTTCCCAGCTTGTTTCACTTTCCAGATTTCTTGATAGCAGTGATGTGGTGGTAAGGAGTGTGTGGTACAGACATACAAGCCCTGCTCAGACATCGTCATGGTCTTCCTGCCTTAACTACTGAGATTCTCTCTCTGCCCCCGTCCCCAATCCTGTTACTCCTAAAGTAAATGCAGCTGCACTCTCTGATGGCAGTGCAGTGTCTTAATTTGCAACATAATGCAATGCCAGAAGAATCAATACATGTATCATTTTCCCATTGGTTTCAAACAGAAGGTAATAAGTTGGGGGAGGCTGACTTTGAAGTCTTCGCTATTAGACTATTACCCTGCTGACATTACATTTCCCACATATATTAAAATGTAAGTCCCCTCCGCCCCAAGACATTTGTCTTGCTTAAAAATAATGCAATTTTAAAAATACTGCAGATGAAGGCATTTTGCTAGAAGAATAATCTATTTTAACATTTGAAACGGAATAGAGCCTATGTGATGCATCTGTTTTATGGTCTTGGGCAATGTATGGTGGTTCCTGGCTGTGTATATTTGCTTTGAGAATAGCATTTTGATTTTCTGCATCTCCAGAGATGTAGGCTTTAGTATCGTCTGCATGTGTTTGCGTTTCTGAATGTTGCAGATCATGTTTCCTCAAGATGGATGTTTGGACGTTCTCCTACTCTTCCTACTATTATCCTAACCTGTACATTTTGATGGCCCTCTGTGTCCCTAGTTCTGTAGTTAATGAGGGTCATGTGCACAAGAGATGGAGGAATCGTGTATCAATGACAAGATTCATGGGCCAGTAATTGATAATGGGCTCTAGTGGCATTGTATCTAGTTAGGTTTTGGTTCTTGTCCAGCCTTCCCCAACTTTTACTTCTCTCCCCAGGATATACAGGGTCATGTCTAAAGCACAAACCTGATTTCTAATAGATGTTCTGAGTAGAAAAAATTTTCCCAGGATAGGGTGTGCATGTTAGGAATTTGCATGGTGTCAATCAGTTGCTAACCTCATTTTGAACAGTAGACTGACAAGTCTAAAGCTTCTTGGGCAATATCATATCGGATGTTGCTTGACCTTGCAGAGGGGGCTGAACATGCATCGTAAAACTTTTGTATGATGCACTAGAAGTGTACACACCACTGTTGTAGGAGCTAAGAGGGGTGATTAAGTGGCAAGTATGCACGTGAGTAGCTTAATTTGAGAGTTGGAAGGAGCTTGGTAGATAGAGCCCAAGGTATGCTGGAATCGTGAGAATGAGACTGGTGTCTTCAGAGTCGTTCTTTTTGTACTTGCAGTGCATCTTCAGAGGCTTTCATGTGGTGGCGTGTGGCTGTTTACTGCACACCTGTCCTCTGTGGTTCACATCTCAGGGACTTCAGTGATCGTTGGTCCTCTACAGCAGCGTTCCCCAACCTTGTGGTCCAAAAACAGCTGGAGACTCACAGTTGGGAAACAGTTGCTCTACAATATAGAGCAGACCTGAGGAACCTTTGGTCCTCCAGATGTTGCAGAACTACAACTCCCTTCAGCCCTAGCAAGCATGAAGGACGGGAGGAGCTGTAGTTCAGCAACATCTGGAGGGCCAAAGGTTTCCCACAGGTGTGCAGAATTTGCATAGTTGTGTGCTGGAGTACGACTGTGCAGCCAGCATAGACTGCATACTCTGCAAGAAACAGGTGTATGTAATGGCAGCCTGGTGTTCTCTAGCATTATGACATCATGCTTTTTTCTTTCTTTCCAGGAGCACTTCTCATGTTTTCAGTTTAGCACTACAGTGTCAAACTATGATCACAGGAAAGTCTGTGCAAAGATGCCCAGAGGGGGAGTATTTCCCTCCATGTGTGCTAACAATGCTGGAAGATTAAATGTAGTCCTGTTAGAACACTGGAGTTATATCCACACCATACACTTAAAAGCACATGGCTTCCCTCAAAGAATCCCGAGAAGTGTAGTTTGCTAAGGGTACTTGGCATTGTAGTTCTGTGAGGGGGAGACTGCATTTCCCAGGATTCTTTGGAGGAAAGTGTATGGTGTAGATGTGACCTGAGTAGCTTCCAGTTAAGTATGTGGGTTTTGGTTTCTAAATGAAATGAGGACTGGCCCTCCAGAAGGAGCACATGGTCAGATGGATATGTCTAGAATGGTTTGGGTTCATCTACAGGTTAAACGAAATCACGAGTCTTTCTGGAACAGACTGAGCATTGCAGGTATATTTTTGAATATACACCCTACATCTAGAAAAGAGCGCATTGTTGAGAGGTTCTGACCTAACCCGCTCCTGATGTGCTACTTTCCACATACAGGGAACCAAAACAATGACACCACTTCCTTGTACCTACTTTGTTGAAGGAACAACCTGGAAACTCTGACAATGTGAATTTTCTAAATCTGTAGCATACTATTGCGGACACAACCATGTGGTGTTGAAATAGCACTACTCAAAATGGCTGCCCAACTACATTCTAGGGAGGGTGTTGGTTTTCTCTTGCTTCTGAGACTAGTTCTTTCCAAGTTCTAATCTGTTTGGTTATAGAAACATTCTGTGTCCTCCTTGGAATAAAAGGACAACATCCAAAACTATGTGTCTTGGAGCCAAATTGTACAGAGGGGCTTCCCCTCTCTGTATTTGAGATAAAATGAGAGTAGTGAGGTGTTTATTTTAAAGGCCTTTAAAACTCAGATGCATGTGCTCTTGACATAGGCATAGACATTGGGGAAGGAACATGTTTTAGTCTTTCCCTCCCAAGGTGAACAAACAGTCCAATGGAGGAACAAAGCAGGAAAAGGAAGCAATTTCCCATGGTGCATCCAGACCCCCGTGTGTGACCTGCTTCCTGTGACAGCCAGAGGGACTTCCTGCTGCTGTTCTGCTTACATTAAACACCAGCAGCTCCTCGCCTCTGCCCCTCCCCTTGAAGGTGCAATAGCAGTGGAAGTGCCACAAAATGGCATCTTCTCTCTGGGAAAGCTTTTGATTCTTTCTGAAATAATCTTTGTTACCTATGGTGTGTCTGTGTTTTTACAACTTTTGGTGTGGTCCTTGCCTGTCTGACCCCGTGTTGACCTTTGTAACACCGGCAATAAACCATTAAAGTGACTTTCCCACAAGTCTCTCCTGTTTTTGCATTTTTCCTTTATAGGGCGGTTCTTTGGTACAGGAGATAATACCAGAATGACGTCACAAAATCTGGATCTAGGGAATTGGGTGGCTAGTCTTCAGGTGTCTGATTGTTCTGTTCAAGACAGGTGGAAAGACTGATCAACATGGGCCATATACTCTGCCCAAATGGCACCTTAGGAAAGATGTAAGGACTCACTTCGCATCTAAAGTCCTTCAGGCACTGATGTCTAAGCATGTAGGAGGTGTGGGGCTGTTCCGTGGCTGACCACCTCCTGTTTGGTGGAAGATCTAATTGGGATTGTAAATACACTCCACTAAAGGCACTCACAAGCCTCCTTGTGATTGGGAGCCCCATTTGTGTAGGGTTCCCACAATCCCTTTGCAGACCTCCCTGCTCAAGCAGAAACTCTAGTGTTGGAGGGCAGCATGTGTGCACCTGCCCCTCCTGCAGTTAGGCCACATTCACACCATACATGTAAAGCACAATATCACTTGAAACATTCACCGCTTCCCCCAAAGAGTTCTGGAAGCTGTAGTGCCACAATCCCTCTCCAAAGGAACTCTGGGAATTTTATGGGGAAGATGGGCCTCCCAACACTCTCAGCACCCTTGGCAAACTGAAGCTCCCATAATTCTTTGGGGGAAGCTGTGACTCTTTAAAGTGGTAGCAGCGCTTTAAATGTATGGTGTCAATATGGTCTAAGGCAGGCTTCCTCAAACTCTGCCCTCCAGATGTTTTTGGCCTACAACTCCCATGATCCCTAGCTAGCAGGACCAGTGGTCAGGGATAATGGGAATTGTAGTCTCAAAAACATCTGGAGGGCCGAGGTTGAGGAAGCCTGGTCTAAGGCATCTATAACGCTTTACGAGAACAACAGCCATACATATAATCATCTAGCACGGGATGGGCTGTTCTGAATGACAGCAGCTTTTCAAAGTTTCAGGCAAATGTGTTTCTCTCCCTCCCATCACAAGCTTTTATGTGGAAGTGTTAGGGCAGCTTCCCCCAAGCTGGTGACCTCTAGATGTTTTAGACTACAATATCATTATCCTTGGCAATTGGCCATAAGGACTGGGGCTGACTGAAGTCCAACATAATCCAGGCTAGAGAAGGCTCTGTGAGGGAAATCTGACCTTCACAGATACTGTAGGTGGTCAGTCAAACTAAGCTACCAAGTTGTTAATCTTTGTGCTTTTTGTCTGTTTGAATTTGAGCACATGCAAATTACCCAGAAATAACAAAAACAAATAGTATTGATTTCCTGTGCCTTCATTATTATTATTATTATTTAGTTCCACATTAAGTTACAATATTGAACTACAAAGCATAGAAGCCTGGGTGTAGGAGCTCAGCTGCCTGTTTGTGATGCATTAAAAAGCATATATATATATTTCTAGTATATATATAAAACAGCTGCCTGTGAACAAAAACCCACAAACTGGTCAGTAATAGACATCTGGTTTTCACATAAAATTTAAATAAGGATACATTTCTCATTAACTGAACATTGCTTTTTTTTTTGGTCCATTCTAAAAAAACCCAGTCGCTCTGTGTCGGAATCGGTTCCTTCCTGTGAAAGTCATTCAGATATCTCCTGCTGAAAAGAGGCGGTGGCTCAGAGGGGAAAGGAGGAGTAATCTCTTCAGAACAGAAACACAGCAGCACAGGAGTTAAACCAGGTACAAGTGAAGATGCAGACATGAAGACACAGTACTAGGTGAAAACATCATTGATGCAACTTTTCAAACCCGACTTCTCCAGCCTGGTGTCTTCTGGTTTAGACTGCAGTGCCAATCAGCTACATTTGACTTCAGTAGCTGCAAGGCTGTCAGTCCTGGAGGGTACCAGTTTGGGAACGGCAGTGACAATCACCTAAGATAAATCCCCTCCTCGCTACCCTTTATTTTCAAATATCCATTCATGCAGGTAGCAAGCTGCGGTCCTACACTAGTGTATTGTATATAAACAAACCTTGCGTTCATGTTCATATGAAAGTAGCTGGAAGCATTCATTGCAGATGATGATGGTATGAGCTACGTAATATGAACATTCGCTTTGGAGAGCTCCATGTTCCACTGAGTAGAGGAGGGAATAGGGCAGCCGATCATCTACTCATAAGAGGCTGCCCTGCCCTGACTACTACAGCTGTCACTTTTTTCCCTGGAGTTTCAGTTGAACTGTACAAGTTCTGATCTACAGTGCCATACAAAGCCCACGGCCTGCCTTGAGGCAGAGGGTGAGAGTACAGACACCATTTCTGAGACCTATGGAGTGTAGACGGCTATCTTCTACTGAGGAGTACATAATAAAAGGGTCATGCCCTTTCTCTATTAAAGTTTTTTGTGCTTTCCTTCTTTCAGGAATCTTGGAGGGGACAGCCTTGTAGGACAGCAGGTATCCTGAATTTATTTACCTGTTGTTTAAAGGGCACATACACTCTACCTGTGTCCTCCTTATGCCCTGCTCAAATGTGCTATGGACTGGGTGTCCTGCATGGATGAAAGAACCTCTTCCCCTTGAGATACTGCTGGACTCCCAGTGTCCAAAGCTGAAGTGGTCATTGGTGATGGGAATTATAGTCAAGTCGCAGCTTCTGTTCCCTTGATCTATTGGCACTGACAAAAACAATGTTCATTTTCATCAGCATAAACCTGTAAATATGCAAATTATCAACCCATAACTGGCTCCGAGTGAAATACATTGTTGGCTTATTGGAAAATATTGAGATATTTTTTGACTGGGGTGAAAGAATGACGAGGACAAGTGTAGAAGGGAATAGGATACAAAGGTCAGACAAGACAATGACCAGAGGGGGAACTTAACAGATACAAAGGAAAGTTGAGTCATAGCATCCGGTTCTGTGTTCTTTTACTGCTTGGAAGGCTTTGCTTCCAAATTCACAACACTGTGCATGAAACCATGAGAGCTAGGAACTGGGGTTGTTTTTGTTTGTTTGTTTAATGAAAAGTAAGCAGCATGAAGCAACTCAATCTTAGTGTGGCACAGTATGTAGAATGCATATATTAGGGCTGGGCGATAATCTGGTTTTCAACATCGTGATATAGCCACAGCTAAACATCGTGATATACCAATATATCACAACGTCTGAAATAAGGATGGAGCTATGTAGAGGTGTTGGTTGGCTTCACAGTTTTTCCTGCATTGTGATTTTTGCCAGCGACTGCTCTTGTGATTTGCTGCTCCCTGCAGGAGGCAGGGAAGAGCTCAGCCGACAAGAGTTATCGTGATTTTTGCATAGCAACATACATACATACATTATGATTTATGATATTTTGCCAGGTCAAAAATTATGAACCCGATACCATGAAATGGACTTCAAACCAGTTTTGGATGATATATCATCCAGTCCGAACACACACCATGATTTGTGATTTATGAAACTGATATCACCATATGGCCTTCAAACGGGTTTTGGACAATATATTGATATATTGCCCAGCCCTAGCATATATAATTGTACTCTGACAGTATCTCATGGGAAGTCACCAACCAGAGGAAGAACCTTTTGCATTTAACCATTACTCTTATCCCTATTTTTATCTAAAGGCAGAAACAGGCAAATCGTTAGTCTCTTTGTTTTTGCTGCAGTAGACTAACACCATTACCCCCTGGAAACTAAAGAAAATATTTCTGTATTAAATATAAAAATCTAGGGTTTGGAGACTACAGTAACGAAGGCTGCTGCTCTGTCTACACTGAAGGTAATTTAAAATAGAATATATGCTTACGGAAACAATAAACAGTAGCAATGTTTGCTACAGTTTGGCTAGTCTCAGTAGTTTATAGCTAATTTCACATTCAAACATTTAGTAAATCTGAACTTTAGATTCTTAATCAGACAAGTCTAGAAGGAAATCTACATCGCAATCTGATGACTAATCAGGAATGATATGAAAGCTACAGCTGTAAACATTTCCTCATTCATAAACCTGGTTTAATTCATCTGGATTTATGAATGTGTGAATGCATTAGAACTTGGTCCTTCTGTTGCCCTATGTTCAAACCATCATTCTCCCTATTTTCAGTGCGAGTGCCATTGTTTATGTAGACAAAACACCACATATACAGAAGAGGGAGAGAGCTGCAGGTTTGGGAATAGCTCAAGAAGAACAGAGGATATTTAAGGAAAACAACCACCACCCAAAATAACTGCTGAAGCCTGAAGGTGCTCAGGGGCCACAGAATGCTTTCTGAGGATGGAATGGAATATCCGGGGGGAGGGCACTGAACAGGAACTCTCCACACTGCAACATTTTGTTGAAGGCCCCACTTGTCTTTTATACTCTTTACTTTGGGGGCCAAATGAACATGTTGCCTTTGTTACAAAGTTGTTTACAACAGCACAGTCCCTAACATTGCTGAAAGGTCATCCAACTAACATAGCTGAAATCTGTTTAAAGATGCACAATTCAGCACTGTTGTTCAGCCTGATCGAGCGATGGAGATCTGCATGCAGCAGAAAGTTTCTGTACAGGTATCACTTGCCAGATCAGGAAGCACAGGCATAAATGAGATGTGCATCTCAGTGTGGATGCCAGCATCCATACTGCATTGTTTTCAATGGGTGTGAAGTGCATATCCAAGCCACAGTCTGGCACAATAGCCACGTGTCAATGTCTAAAAAACAAAACAAAACATTACTACTGCTAGGAGGGGCCATTATTTATCGTTCAGGTTACGCTCTCCTTTTGCACATTAAAAAGTCTCTCAAAAAATAATTTGCCAACCACATTGATGGTTCAAGAATATGAAAATACTTGACAGGTCTTGTACTTGTAACACTACAGGCCCTGCTCCCTTTTAAATATAACTTTAGTGTCTTTCTGAGATTCATCTCAAAAATATCGCCTCAGCATTTCTTCTAGAAATGGAAGGTGGTATATAAATTATTTCAATCATTATAGTCATCATCTCAAAAATAGGTTCATTTGGGTGAATCTGTGGGGAAGAGTGATTATTAGCTTCCAAATAAGAAAGGAAAAAAGCCTTAACTAGAATACAGGTTTCACTTTAAACATAAACAACAACACTTTACCTTGTTTGGTGGGAATGAGGATATGGCAACTGGGGTTCTGCAGCTCCCCAGTAGCAAGATGATGGCGCAACTGATGATCAGCTTTCATCATCTCCCTCCCTTTCTGACACTCCAGCTCCCATTTCCAAAGTGCATTTTGACCTTGGGCCTCAGCAAGTCCTGAAAGGATCCAAAAGGTGCTTTCCTAAGGTGAGTGAGGGTCTCATCCGAGTGATCGAGAGCAGCAGGGACACCACGAGTCAAGATTCATTCACTGTCTCTGGAAAGAAGATCTCCTGGCACCTCCGGACTGTGTCTTGCGGAGACTGGATGCTGTGCCCCACCGTGCGAGGGTCGTCATAGATTTCATAATCATTCCCACCCTAAGGATAAGAAGAATCTTTACTATTGGGTGCTTAGAATTAGGATGCTGGACGTGGTGGTTAAAATGAGCAGGCAAGTATACAATACCGTAAGCCCACAACCTGGGCGCATTTAACATGTGCACGTTCAAGCTCAATGAATAAAAAGGGGGCAGAAAGGGAGTGGGTGTCCAGGAAAAAAGACTTTGGCAATCCCACCTGCCATTAAACCCAATGTGTTTGGACTATACACAATTTTGGCTTTAGGTGTATTCCCTCTGTAAGTTGCAGCCTTACTATACTTGAAAAACACAGACTCGTTTCCGAGCACAATTCAAAGTGTTGGTGCTGACCTTTAAAGCCCTAAACGGCCCCGGTCCAGTATACCTGAAGGAGCGTCTCCACCCCCATCGTTCAACTCAGACTCTGAGGTCCAGCGGCAAAGGCCTTCTGGTGGTTTCCCTCACTGCAAGAAGTGAGGCTGCAGGGAACCAGGCAGAGGGCCTTCTCAGTAGTGGTGTCCACCCTGTGGAATGCCGTCCCATCAGATGTGAAGGAAATAAACAACTATCATACTTTTAGAAGACATCTGAAGGCAGCCCTGTTTAGGGAAGTTTTTAATGTTTGATGTTTTATCGTGTTTTTAATATTCTGTTGGGAGCCGCCCAGAGTGGCTGGGGAAACCCAGCTAGATGGGCAGGGTATAAATAATCATCACCACCATCCAATTTCCACCCCCCATTAAGGCAGAATATGAGTCCCCCTGCCAGACCTCAGATTTATTTATTTACTTCAAGGCATATATGCCACACCTTCACCCAAAAATGGATAGCTTTATACCAGTTGCTGGGAATCACAAGTCAGCAGAATGCTGTTGCACTCAGGCCCCACTTCCCTTAGACATCTGATTGGCCACAGTGAAAATGCAATGATGGACTAGATATTTTTGCACTGCAATCCTCATCGCCTGTGACCATCGGCCACCGGCCAACTGGGGCCAGTGAGAGCTGGAATTCAGCAACATCTGGAGAGTCTCAGGATTATCACCCTTGCCGGGAGGCTCAAGCCATCTGAAACTGGCAAGGAATTGAAAATAATGCAGAGGTGGGCAGCGAGACACAAAAATCACTGCTTCTAGAAAGCACTGTATGTATTGAGCCCTGGAAAGAATATCTTCCCCCCACTCCTGCTCCCTTCTAATCCTGAACTTGGGTTGTGTGGTGCCTATTGGATCAGAAGGTGGTTTCTGCATACCCAAGGGACTGCGTACCCTAGAATTTGTAAATTAAAGTATTTCTTGTGGGACCTGACTTCATGTAAAACCTAATCTGAAGTGATGCTGCTGCTCATGGTATTGATTTTCCCCTGTCATGCATCAGTAGTCATGACCTCACATGCTGACAGATGCTGACAGGGAGGGAAGAGAGCCAATGAACCACGCTATTGCAGGCATGTTTTATATAAGTGTATCCATGTGTAGGTTTTTTTTAGAAAAAAAAAGAGGGCTGGGTGTGCTTAACTGGTGAATCCAATCTCTGCAGAGCACCCACACCAGATAATCAGAATGTGACCACAATGCACCTGAAAGCAATTACGCAAGGGCTGAATAGTGGGCTGCGTTGTCTGCACGGTAAGATTCATGATGAGCATGTGAGACAAAAGTTGCCCACTTTCTTTTCTCCTTCCTTGCAAAGCTTCTGTGCAGACAGGTAAAGGTAAAGATAAGGGACCCCTGGACAGTTAAGTCCAGTCAAAGGCAACTATAGGGTGCGGTGCTCATCTCATTTTCAGGCTGAGGGAGCTGGTGTTTGTCCACAGACAGCTTTCCAGGTCATGTGGCCATCATGACTAAACCGCTTCTGGCACAACGGAACAGCGTGACGGAAACCAGAGTGTGCACAGAAACGCTGTTTACCTTCCCGCCACAGCGGTACCTATTTATCTACTTGCGCTGTTCCAACATTGTGACACCAGATGGCGCTGATGAGCTAAAATAGTTCCCTATGAAATTTTCCATTGTGAGCTTTAAAATGGTTTTCTTCAGAGCATTTTCAGAGTGTTTTTTTAAAGCTGTGTAAGGTAAAGGTAAAAGGTAAAAGACCCCTGGACGGTTATGGGATGACTATGGGGTGCAGCACTCATTTTGCTTTCATGCCAAAGGAGCTGGGTGTTTGTCCACAGGCAGCTTTCCAGGTCATGTGGCCAGCATGACTAAACCATTTCTGGTGCAATGGAACACCGTGACGGAAACCAGAGTGCATGGAAATGCCGTTTACCTTCCCGCCACAGCGGAACCTATTTATCTACATGCACTGGTGTGCTTTCGAAATGCTAGGTTGGCAGGAGCTGGGACAGAGCAACGGGAACTCACCCCGTCACGGGGATTTGAACCACCAACCTTCTGCACTGTCTGCACTGTAAGATTCATTGTGTTCATGTGATACAAAAGTTGCCCACTTCTTTTTCTCCTTCCTCACAAAGCTTCTGTGCAGACAAATCCCTTTAGAGATGAAATGGCACCTGAACAGATGTCTTAGCATTTTCCAGTCACCAGAAGAGGGCACTGTTAGTTTATACTTGCTTTCGTGCAGTCCAGGTACCAACTTGTAAGGCTGGAAAATGCGAAGAGAGCCACTTCAAACCTTACAGCAAATGCTCCCATCACACATCAGTTGTGTCTTTTCTGAAACATCCAAAGGGCATTTGAACATCTGAAAACAGGCTTTCAGCCATGGTCCCCGGGTTTATTTACCAAATGTTTTGAAATACACAAATGCCCTTTAAACATTGTGGAAAAGACACAGTTGAGCCACAGTGGAAATGGGAGTCTGCTGGTTATTTTAATGCAATGTAGCCCTGCGGAGAGCCTGCCAGTTTAGATATGGACAGCTTTATCTTCCTCGATCCCACACAGGACTTGGCCCCTTGTCAAAGAACAGGGCTTTGGTCAGATTTACTTACTGGACTTGTCTCATTCCCAAAGAAGTGGATGGTGTCGAATCTCTCATCCTCAAGGATATCGAGGCAATAGCGCTTGTCCCAGCCCTCAGGGAAGACGTCAAAGCTGATCATCCCACCTGCCAGAGGGGGAAAGTGTGATGGAATTAAGGGAAACAGACTGAAGGTGGAGGCTTGCAGGAAAAAGATCTCCCCTCAACACCTCAGGTGCAAATGGCTTTTGTAGAATAAATTGTTCCGTGATAGATGGTCATGCACCATGGCTGCCAGCCTGCCTGCTTCTCTGACACATTAATTCAGTAGCTGCCGTTTCTATGGCAATGGGACGGAATGGCGTCAGCAAGGCCCCATCAGCCAAAGGCACAAACAAGAAACAGTTGGCTGGGGAAGTGTGAGGAGCAGGAGCTAATGACTTCTCAGAAAAAATATCTACAAGGGGGAAGGGTGGCTCTCAAGCTTTTTGGCTGGAGGGCTGGCAGGGAACCCTATTCTAAAGTGTTCTTATCTTCTAAGTACGGTTGGGCAGGGAAAGGAGAGTCTGTTAACTGTGGGACGAATGTAAATGCAGATTAGATCACTGCAGGACAGAGCAAAGGACTTTTGCCATGAGACCTCATTCGCTGTCAGTTTGGCAGTACTACAGCTGTATTCCAGATAAATTATTCTGGCATGCTGGTGGCAACAGCTCCAATAGCAACTGCCCCCACCACAAATAAAGGAAATATGGCCACCTGCCAGCCCCCTAGTAAGGGACAAAGAGCCCACTATTGCCTGCACTGTACTCCTAGTCAAATGTTAGCTACATGAAGGATGTACAAATGATTAGGCCCACAATTTCAGGTACAGCTATTTCCCTCTTCAGTCTGCTGCTGAATGCGTAGAGGTCAGGGGGTGGCAGTGAAGGGGGCACCCATACTTGGGATGGGGGGGGGGGCAGGAGCACAGAGGGCTAACAAATCGATAGGGTTGCACTCAAAACAGTGCATTGCTGCCAGACCACTGGAATATTAGGCAGAGCGCTGCTAGCCACAGACCATGCTCTGATCCTGGCAATTCTTGGCAAAGAAAGTGATCCCTCAGTTAAAACAGCAGTCCTTCCAAGAACACTAACTTGGAAGTATGTTTCACTCAATTAAATGGGGGTTATGTCTAAAAAGTTTGAGGGTTTTAGAATAGTATGGAAAAGAAACTCATTGTGGACAGGGATCACCACAGGGAAACCTCTTTTAAGTCCTGTATCAAAGCACTTACCCAGTTTTTTAAACATAAACCATGCTAGGTATTTTGTTTTTCTAAGACCCCAAAACTAATTGTACCAAGCACCCAAAGTCACTTTAAAAAAATCTTTTTTATTGTTAGTTTGTAGCACAAGAATAATGAACTTGTGTGCACAAAAGCACAACACAGCCAAAAAAGAATATATGTATATTCTTCTTGAATACAAAATCAATTGTTTTTCCTATCCATTCCTCCCAAATCACAGAGAGGACTAAGAAAACTCTCACCTCGGGAAAACCGCAGGCCTTTGCCAGCAAACTCCCTCTGCAGGGCAGCTACAAACTTCTCTCGAATCCTCTCTTTCTGTAAAGGAGATGAATAGAAAACAAGTGAGAGAGGACTGAAGAGGGATAAGGAAACATCCCCCTCAATTACTTTGATCCTTGTCAGATCCCACTTTCCCCCATGAAACACAGTATTTTGTGTTTGTGCCTTGCAATTTCTTTCAAGAACTGTGACCAGTCAGAATAATATTCCTGTTTAGCTCCAGCTTATAGGCAAGGTACCCTAGCAACAGGGTTAACACTTAGAAAACACACACAACACAACACCCTGGGGTTCTAACAGGCTCCAGTGTGCCACAAATATATTTGGAGCCTAATGTTCATTATTTACCTTGTCCAGTTCTGAAAATTCTATTCGTTCTTCCAAAGTGCAGCTTCGACCAATAGGAGAGATGTTCAACATTCCATTGCGAAATTCAATAAACGTCCCCCTGAGAATTATTATTTTTTTAAAGGGGAAGAGAGAAGGAGAAACTTGAGTATGTGGTTGTAAAAAAAAGGACAGTTCTGTTGCACAGTCTCATGATTTCTTTAACATGGTCAAGCAGAATCTTCCCGCCGTGATACAACACAAGGTCAAACTAATCGCAAGAAGAGGGACCTCTACCTTGCTTATGGTGTGTGGCATGCAACTTTTCCTAAGAGAGCTCATCATAGATTCCTCATGGCCCTTACCTATCGCATCTTACTTTTTCCAGGGTGATTTTTCCCCCTACAAGAGCTGGAGCTATTAGAAGTAAATGCCTAGAATACCACTCTTTAATGTTTCATTTATTCAGGATGCAAAATTCCCATGGACAAAGTATGCAGTATGTTTGCAATGTTGGGCACAGCATTATAGTGTAGCAAAATAACATAAACTGAGTCAAAGTTAACCTGTTTTTTAAGAAAGTGGTACTCAAAAGACACAACATCTGTGAAGGCTAAGTTAAATCAGAGTTGCTTTCCTTCTGTTCTAAACACTGACTCCTTAAAAATATATAGAAGGATATTGGAAAAAGTGGGGAAACAATAGCAACTAGTTAGACAGTATAGTGAATACAGGGCAATGAGTTTAAACTCCAGAAAGGAAGGGATTTCTTTCTAACATGTTACCCAACTCTAAGAACAGTTATGCAATGAAATCAAGTGCTGAAAGAAATTATGGAATATTTCCCTTTCAGGTATTCAATAAAACAGTGGGAAGGTTTCTGCTGGATATTATTTGAAGATTAAGGTTCTTTGTTTTAGCTGGGTGGGCTGGATTATCAACTTTGTGGTTCTAAATACTCACATAGTATCTGGAAAATAAAAAGAGAGACCTGAATCCTTTGATAAGTTAACTTAAGGAAGGAAAGCCCCTCCCCAAGCTCGAAGCTTGCCCTAAAAAGTCTCTCTGGAGAAGTTGGGGCACTTCCTGACAAATGGGACTGGGGCACTTCCTTAAGGTGACAAGCCAGAGTCTGCAGGCCCTGGAATAAGGAAGGACCATTACCGTTTCTTGGGCAGCTTTAGAAGTGCCATGTAGTTGAGGCAGAAGTTGATCAGATCCTGAAGAAGTTCTTCCCCAAGGTGGTTCTGGATAGCCTGTCAAAAAAAAGCCAAAGGCAACAGAGTGCAATTCTTTTACCAAATCCACCCACATTGTGAACATCAAAACAGGTTGTTTTATTATATGTTGAATGGAACAAAAATGAAAGGAGAGGGGCAGCACCAAAAGGACCAGGAAATCCAGGAAAAAAGGAAGTGAAGATTCAAAATGCTGCTTCAGAATTTTAATTTGTGCTGTAATATGCTCAACATGTTTTTGACATATCACTATACACTAAAAGAAATCACAACAAGGATTAGATGTCCACATTCCTGCATTGCAGGGGGTTGGACTGGATGACCTTTGGGGTCCCTTCCAAGACTACATGCATTTATCTAAGGCCTGGGGAGGGGCCTTCCTGCTGTGGGAAGAGCCAGGAGCAACAGATTATCCAGTTGCTCCTGTGAGGAGATACTGTGTCCTCTCAGGGACTAAAACATCGGGGACTCCATAGCCCTAAGTTATACTATATATAATATATATGAAAAGCACGGAATATTAATATCCTTATAAATAATACCCATACAAATACCTTACATATTTAATATAACATGTATATCTTTATGTTAAGATTATTATTGTCATTTCTGAGTGCCCCTGAGGATGCCAGAAAGATGTTGGGCATATTACTTCATAAATTAAAATTGTTCAAGTATTACTTCAAAGTTTTGCCTCCTTTTTTGGAGCGGGGAGAGGGAAATCCTTCCTCAATAAAATACTGACATCAGATAACTGTATGGAGCCAGATAACCTGAGAGGGTATGGATACCATCATTTCTCTCTGAGAGATTTGGCAGAGGAGGGTGAGAGGAGGAGGAAATTTGCAGCCTTGGTGGCAGAGCACAAAGCGGCGGGGCCTACCTGCTTGGAGACCAGTTGCCCATTCTTGTACTGCACGGTGCCATTTTCTGCAAAGACGTAATCAAACTTGTCGATAACTGTGGGGAATAGATTTGTAGGGGCAAAAAGGATGTTGAGGAGAAGAAGTGAAGGAAGGGAAATGAAGGTGAGAGAGAAATATCAATCAGTCAGATGGATAGGGGCTGCAAGGGAAGTGGATGCTGAATCGCAGGATCTCTGTGGCTTTATTCTGACACTTCAGCAAAGTTTGATTTGAGGTGCCCTGAAAATAGTGGTGCTCATGAATGCCGGCAGTGATGCTCCCATTTTACAGATGAAGGTGTGCAAGTTGCTGAGTGAGAACTCAATCATCTGACAGACACAGCAACAAAGCTGAATTGTGCCTGCCCATGTTCTCTTTGTCTGGCCTCCCCCACTTTTCCATTTGGAACGTCGTCTCAGTAACTCTGAGTGCAACCCTGAGCTTGTTTACTCAGAAGCACGTGTCTCTGTGCTCAATGAAGCTTACTTGCAAGCAAATGTGCACAGATCTGCAGCTACAGGTTATTTCACACTGGCCTTTCCCAGCAGTGATAAAAAGGCCAATGCTGAATCAGCAGTTCACTTGCCGTTTAAGGGAACATTAGGTTATCTCTAGTCTAGAAGGAAGGTTTTAGAATCTGATATTATTCTTTGTTACTGGGGGAAGGGGCAATGGAGGGGAATGCAAAGGCATGGAACAAGCGTTCTGCTTTACTTCTGCAAATGGATGCAAGTCTTGCATTTAGGACCACGAGCTCAGAGGGACCCCACAAGCTAAGTCTGGAAACATGGGCTGTGAATGAACTCATGATGCCATTTACTGTAGGATTCCCTCCAACCCTATTAGGATTATTGCAGGCCAGATAGGATTGACCGTTTGCAGTATAAATACAACAGGTGGCTTCCTTCTCTGCTTCTCTGGAAGCTGCTTCTATTCCATACGACACTGCATTGCAAGTGCCTGCAGTTTTCTGGGTCCCTGTTTCTATGTCTGTACCAAACAAATATCCCATGATGCCCTTGGCTCTGTCCCCATCTCCGCCTTTCCCCATCACCTCAGTACCTCCCTCTTTGCTTTGCTGTGCTGCTGTTCCTGCTTTCTCTGCTGGGACCTTCATCTGTCTTCCCTCGTGATGTACCTGCATTGGAATAAGTCAGGCACACAGCTCTTGTTGGACCTGATCAAGAGGATGCCGAAACTGCATTGGGCCAATTTAAATCCACCCCTTATAGATCTGGGATATAATGAGATGTCTTGGGAATCCTGAACTGAAAGTGCACTGGGTAATGCTGCAGATATTGGGAGTAGGATAGAGAGAAGCTACAGGTGTCTGTCCTGTCCATGTGGCTCTGGAGGCCAGTTAATCCACTTTCGAAGGCCAAAGCTGATTCCACTTCCCACCAGTCTGAAGCCACAGGAGAACATGCTGAGCTTCCAAGGCCTATTTGGAACCTTCCAATACTGAGTTTGGCTTTGTGGATCTGCAGTAAAGTTATGTTACAGTAGCACAGAAATGCCACAACTGCCTTGGGTTTGATTCCAATATGCAGAAACAGCCCATGGATAGTCCTTCCCAGGCTGTACCACTTCAGAGTGGTAGAGAATCACACATTTGAATGCCTCTGCATATAAAACAGAACTCTTCAGATGGGGCCTGTTTGGGTGAAGTTTAGGCCCAAACCTCTCCCCGCACTAGCTTGCCTTGAAAAAGGATGGAGGTGCATGGAGTCACATGATCCCCACCCCTGCAGTCTGAAATGGTACAGTCCACAGCAGCCATACCATGTGCTTTCCTCTGCATGTGTCAATTTGCCCACCAATATGACTGCTACGATTGCTTGATTTTGCAGCAGGTCATTGGATATGCTTCCATTAAACAAAAGCACCTAGAGAGCAGAAGTGTGTATTGCTCACCTTCATCTCCTTCTCCCAGCTGCTCAGCTATCTTGGAGTAGTCTGAGCCACCCACTACCCCAATTAACACTCTCGTACGCAGCTGTTGAAGAAACTCGTCTACTTCAGGCTTAATTTTCTGGAGGGAAAAGGAGAAAGAGTGGTAGTTATTGGCATGCCGGCAGGAAACAAAAACTACTGAGAGACCTGTGTTGCCTTAGAGCAGCCTTCTCCAACCTGGTGTCCTCCAGATGTTGTGCACTGCAACTCCCATCTGATCAGCACTGGGTGGGGCAATGGGAAGTTGTAGTGCCAAACATCTGGACGGCGTCATATTGCAGAAGGCTGCCTAGGGATTAATAAACTCATTGCAGCAGAATGAGCATTTGTAACCCGGAACAACAGAGAAATGCCAGGAGAGCTGGTGGATTTATGCCATAGAAGTGGAAGGCTCTTGCACAGCAAAGCTGAACAATCAGCAAAACGGAGAGACCGAATACTCTATTCTTTTTCTTCCTTGTTGGGCTTTGATATCATAAAGCAGGTCTGGGGAATCTCAGGCCTTCCAAATGTTGATAAACTACAATTCCCACTCCTGTAACTAAAAATATTAACTGAATGGTTAAAGTGGTTTCACAATTAATTCTTTAATACGTGATTTTAAAAAAGATTTAACTGGAGTGGAAACTGTAGTGTATGTTAAAAATAATGTGACAATTTAGATCTGACTCCAAACACATATTGAAGTTCGCCACACCCCATCTCACCACCCACAAACAATTGAGATTTCTCTGTTATTTGTCAAAAGGAACAGTTGTATTTTCATTGTAAAGGGCTAGCATCTCAGCAGCTGGCATCCTTGGACAGTTGCCAGGGCCCCAGCACCACAACAAGGTCCACTGTTGATTCCTGCCCTGCCTTGTCCTCTCTTCTCATCTGGCACTGAGTTCCAGGTGGTTGGATACAGCCATCTTTTTAAGTTCCCACAATGCCCCAGACCTAGGAGGCACTGTGGGAAACGGAAAATGTTGCTAGATACAGTTGCCCACTGCTACTTGAAGCATTGGCACCATAGGCAGATAAGCCCACCAGGACCCACTGACAAGAGGAGGGGGCCTGCCAAAGGACACTTTTGCCCACAGTCCCCTCTCAAACCTGGAGCCAGCCCTGCCACTGTCTATCATCAGATGCACTTGTGAACTGAACTGTAACTTTTATTTACATTGGTGAAAATTCACCCACCACTTCAAAGCAAAAAAGCAAGGAACCTCCTAGTGATCCAACCTCTAGCTGTTGGGAACAAAACCATATATTCTTCAGCAACCTACAAGAGTCAATTTAAAACACACACACATGCGCAAACAAGCAAACAAACACATTTTTTCATCTAGCATGTTTTGCAAATGAGTTTAGCTACGGCAGTAGCAGACTTTAAAAAACACCATATGCACCTAATTTATTTCTCTTACTTTGCAAAATCCACACGGCACCAGCACCCTGCCACAATTAAAATATTAGATGGTTAAATGAACAACCAAACACTTAAGGGACAGGCTGGTCTAATGCAAAGGCATCGTCAACAGAGCAATGGGAGCTCACATGATCTGCATGCAAAGGAAGCCACTCTGCCAACTCTTCAGAGTTGCTTGGACATACTCTCTCATCCACAGCGAAGCAAACCTCCTGTAGGGCGCCAAATCCAACACTTCTGGACATGCCCTATGCCCCTCCAAGAGAGATAAGACTAGTATCTGAGTAAATCAACATTGTGATCACAAGGCAAATAATATTTAGGTTGTCTCCTTGGTTTTTCCCCCACTAGGATTTTATCACCCAGTGAATCTAAAAATAAATTCAAAGGGTGAAGTGAATAGACACAGCCAAGGCTTTGCCATGCAGCAGAATGTAGGGACCTTCTTCAAGCAGCATTATGAAGGAACAGATGAAGGCAGCAACTGATGTCCCAAAGCTGCAGCAAGACTTAAAGCAGCGTTTGGGGACCTGTGGCTCTCCAGATGTTGTAGCCAGTGATCAGGGATGAATGGAGTTTGAGTCAAACATCTGGAGGGTAACAGGTTTATCCTTAGTGGGTAGGGCACCATTTGCACTATAGGCAGCCAAAGGTTTGGGCTGACAGTGGTTATAGCATCATATATTCGTGAATGGATAGTGGCAACAGCTGTCTAACTGTGCTCTGGAGTTGCCTTAAGAGCTTATTAGTTCTCCAATGAGAATATCAATAATGGCAAGCTTCTTTGACTGACCGCTTGCCTGATATTATCAGTATTTCCCTACAATGTGCAGCATCAGGTGAATCCTGTGGAACTTCCAGGTTGTTGTGATACAGAACCACCCCGAATAATTTCTTTAGTCTGCTGACCAAGTGGACCAGTTAGGTCCTTCCTGAACCTTGGCGTACATGCAATCTGAGCCCTCCTCTGAGATGTCCTGTAGGTCAGGAACATCCCATGAACTTAGCACCTCAACCACCCATCTCCCAATTTCCAAAAAGTGTTAAGCTTGCTTTCTTGTGTATGTGCAATGTCAGTCACAGCCCACCTGGTCCTGGACTCCATAAATAGTAAATTTGGTGCCTCCGGGGCCAATCAGAGGTGGAGGGGGTGATGCCAGGAGGGTAATTTGGCCTGAGCCTCAAGCTCAAAGGGGGCCTGAGTTTTAGACACCTTAAATTTTTTGCATTCGATGAGTTTTGCAGCTTGTTTCTATACACATTGGACCAAAATGTGACATGTTCTCTCAGCTCAGTTCAGCAAATTTGGGCATATCAATGCAGTGTAATGCATTATTTTGCTGAAAATTTAATGGAATGCATCAAATCTTTTTATTTGATGTGTTGAAAGTGTCTTCTGCTCAAGGAAGTGCTACTTTACCCTTTGAGCTAGAATCTTGTGACACAGACATGAAACAATCTGACACATAGGCAAGAGGTTGCATAAGAGAAGCTTAAGGACTGCTATTCCACCTACCAATCTGGCACTGCACATGTGTTCTTGGAACAACACTAGCAGCTCTTTTACTTCCATGTGCAATACTTTGGACCCAGCCCAGTGGTTAATACTTTGAGGTGGCTTTCTTTTAATTTTTTTTCACCCTTCCAAAGAACAGTAACAATTAAAATTGATTAAATCTAATTGCCTGACACATCCATCTTGCAGTTTGAGGAGGTGGAAAGGCTTAAAACTGAAGACTAGTCTCTACATTGGACATAATCAACTGCTAAGGCTTTTTCCTGCACTTGTGTGCAACTATAGTCTGACATATGTACTGGGCTCCAAGCCAGCAGGGACCCAAAACTCTTAGCTTTTGTTTTTGTTTTTTTTTAAATTAGTCAACCAGACATCTATTTTAAAAAGTTAGAAAGCAAACTGTGGAGTCAACACTGTAAACCTTATTAGGAAACTAAACAGCTGTTGCTAAAGTCTTTTAATCACTTTTGTTAAGTAACCAGAGGAAGAAAAGCTGATATAGGACTTGGAAATGGAGCCTCCCAGAGCATCAGAAAAAAATAAGAGAAGCTTGCTATTGTTGCTGCCAGTCTGACACAGGATGGAGGAGAAGAATCTGCTTGCTTTTTTTTTTTTTACTACTAATACTACTACTTACTTTCTTTCTTTTTCTTATGAAATTTTGCACCCCTAAGAATTTTGCATCCAGGGCAATCGCCCCTGTTATGTCACTGAGATTATGCTATGCCACTGTGATTAAGCAGCAGTTCTTGCCAATGCAAGGACCCAACCCACATACAGCTTACAGGACCCAGGAAATCCTGTTGGCATCCCTGCCTCCAAGTTCCAGATCCTAGGACCAAGAAGTAAGTACTCAGATAGTTCCATTCTGCCTTGCTTGTGAGCTTCCTAGAGTTTGCACCTAGCTGACCAGTTTGTGGAAACCAATAGCTCAAGCCTATGTTTGCTCAAAAGTTGCTCCCAGCCTGTCCAGCGGCGCTAAGACTGCTGTCCTCGCTCCGACACTCTTGCTAGGAAGCAAACCCCACTGAACACAGCGAGACTTCCTTCCGAAGAGACCTGCTGCAATATTGCAGATGCACGTCGGCGGTCCGGTCCAATGCGCACCATTCTTACGTAACCGTGTAGCGGAGATGCCCCGCAGCCAAGCCCAGACCTGACCCGGCAGCCTGCCTGCATCCTGACGGACCTCTTGGCCCGCGGTTGAACTCTTTCGTAACCGGTTGCAGGAAGGAGAAGAAGAAGAGGTTGGGGGGGGGGAGCGTCGCTCTTGCCTTCCCGTCTGCCGGGCTTGGGCAAGCTGGGTCCGCACTCCGATCCAGACAGCAGCTCTAGCGCCAGAACCCGACTGCAGCAGGAAGCGCGACTCCGGCGTGGGGTCTCCATTCATTCCAAAGATCGCCCAAGGGCGACCTGGGCGCGCCGTCGAAGCGGGGTGGGGGATCGGGGTGGGGGAATCCGCTACCTGGCGAGGCGGGGTGAGGGTCCCATCCACGTCGAAGAGGCACAGGATCCGCTCCCGGCTCCCGGTGGCAGCCATTGCAGCCGCGGGACTCCTTCCTTCCCTCCCTCCCTCCTCGGCGGCGGCGGCTCCTTCGCAGGGACGAGGCTGCAGTTGGCAGGGAGGCGGGAAGGAGGCGGGAGGGAGGCGGCGGCCCGAAGGCGACCCAACTGCGGCGCGAAGGGCCGCCCATGTGACTCGTGTAAACCGGCCTGGCAACACGTACACCCGCCGGGGGGCGGAGGGGCCTCGGCGCCAAGCGCAGGCCGGCCGGCCGGCTGGCTCGCTCGGCGCGGCTCCTTCCCGAGGAAAAGGACGCGGAGCCGGGCAAAGATTCCCGCCGGCGGCGGCGGCGGCGGCTTAAGGGACGCCCGCGGTACTTCTCTTAACGTGTTGCCATAGTCGTCTTGGTTTTCCCGCCATCACGTTTTAGCAAGGAGAAGAAACCGACGCGGAACACAGAACAAAAATACTTCCACGAGGAATTCTATGTTTTCAGCAGTATGCCGCCTCGAGTCCCTGTCAGGGGAAAAGGCGGGATATAAAAATACATGTAGTAGTACTAGTAATAATAATAATAATAATAATACGTCGTATGTGAAACTCCATACATACCAGGTAGACAAAAGGATGTCAGAAAAACTGCAGTAGGTCAGAGGCACCGGCTAAGCAAGTGAGCTGTAAATGGGAAATTAGAAACAGGAATACAGTATAAGAATCAAGGCTATGGCAGCCTTCTCCTCCAACTCTGCTCTCCAGATTTTGGGGCTACAACTCCCACCAGTCCCAGGGTTGATGGAAGTTGTAGCCCAAAGCAGATTCTGGATGGCACTAGATTCTGTCTGGGTATTATCCGCCTCCCACTGATATTTATCACTGAAGTGTGGAGTGCCCTTTGTGAATGTTTAGTTTTGTGTTCTTTAAGATAAAATAGCTAAATTACCGTACTGTGCATTGGTAATGCAGAGTTGCTCTGCTAGCCTGTTCCACTTACTCTACTAGCATCTTCATTGTTATTCTGGAAATACTGAAACTCTTGTGAATTTTTAAAAAGTATATATTTTATTTCTTGGTTGCCTAGACCCTTCTCCCCAAAAAAGTCCCAAACTGACTCGCACAGTAGAAAAAACAACAACCCATGTAATACAGTTCAAACAAATGTGACATTAAAATCAATAATAGCAAAACTAAAAGTGGTAATCACTTTTATAACATACAGTAAATAATATCTCCCCTCACAGCACCAACATCTTAGTTAAAATAGCTGCAAAGACCATAATGGCATTATCTCTTAAATGCCTGTTAGAATAGCAATGTCTTCACCAGGCACCAAAAAGAAGTGGGAGTTTATGAAGCAGTAATGCCTCAGGTTGCAATAAAGTGTTTTATATACCTTTTGATTCAGTTGCACTGGACAGAGACTACTTTTGCTATGTTCAGAAAGTCTCAGTAAAGAGGTACAATATTGTCAAGGGCAGGAATATAACGCAAGTAAACTGAAAGTTTCTTGTAGTCTTTCCCCAATCTTGTTTACATTATAAACCATGTATTTATATCAGTTTTCCACATCTGTACATGACCTTTATCCTATCCACCCATCCAACCATATTTGATAAGAACTATCAGCTTCCACATTATTGCTACTTACTTTAGCATTGTCATGCCATAACAAACAGCACCTTCCCTTTCTTTGTTTATTTATTGCATTAGTCATCTTAGGTGGCTGCTGGAAGGTTTCACACTAATATTTCACCCTGATGCAATTAGGGACATGATCAGAGCTGGCCGTGAACATTTTGTTGCCTGAAGCAAAGGACAAATGGGCCTCCTTTAATCCATGTACACATGTTGGCCGGTTGAATCTTCATTCAACTGGTTCTTTGCTCAAAGTATCAGATATATTTTTACCAGCCACCCCAATCTCTGCCAAGCAGTATGAGATTCCAGGGGTTTTGACACTTAACCAGGGTTTGTGTTTCCTTTGGGGAAAATGAGGCACAGTGTAGACTGTAGTCTCTTTTTGAAATATGGTTTCTTTACACCTGAGTCTGGATGGAGAAAGGGTTCTGTGCATCACATCTCAAGAGGGGCTTGCTCCCCACAGCAGCACAGCTTTGGATTCAAAAGTATGTCTCCGCTACACAGATTGTCCGTCAGCTTGCATGGCATCTGGCCCCACCCTTCTAGTTCACCAAAACCAGGCTTCCTCAACTTCGGCCCTCCAGATGTTTTTGGCCTACAACTCCCATGATCCCTAGCTAGCAGGACCAGTGGTCAGGGATGATGGGAATTGTAGTCTCAAAACATCTGGAGGGCCAAGGTTGAGGAAGCCTGACCAAAACCCTTGCTAAAGGGCAACCCAAGTCTCATGCAAAAGGGGCACTTTTTTCTGTGGTGACAACATGCCCCCTGTAACTCTGGCAACCGCCCCCTTTTGCTAATTAACACACCACTGGGTGCCTTTTGTCAGGGTAGTGACTTTCCCACCACCTGTTTTGTTCTTTGATGGCACCTCTCAGCCAATCTCCTGAGGAAGTTGGCTTGACTAATTTTTTAGGTGTTGCTAAATTCATTGATCAAACCCCACATTTACAAATTTCAGAAATTATGGGGAGAACATTGCACCCAGGAATTTTAGGGGATCATCCCCCACCCACTGCAAACCCGTAACAATATACCACAGGGATGGAGAGCAAACCTTTCAAAATTCTAGTATTTTAGAGCAGCAGTCCAATCTGCACTAACATCTAAATACTGAGGGGAAAACAGGTAGACTGATAGAGCAATCTGAAAGCTATCAAACTGAAGTAGGTCCAGCTGATTTCAAATAGAGGTATAGAATTCTAACCAAAATGATGTTGAAATGCTTCCTGCCTTCAGGGCTGGGCAAATTGTTTGCAAGAATAGTTAATTCATGCTGATAGAACTGGTGAAATCACAAGAAAGATATGACAGTTTGCTCTCTCAGATAACAATGAAGTCATCTGTCTATGACTGAAAACTGTATGGCATGATTACATTTGTTCATTTGTCCTGAATGCTGGGATGAGCCTGGAGCCATCAATCATCGCATTTGGATGCAAATGATAAATCAAAGATTACTGTGCCGGAGATGTGGCAACAAATTGCTCAAACAGAACAGTTGTCACGAGTGCTAGCCTTGCTCAATGCAGGCATTATTATAATGTATTCATCCTTCTCCCAGACCTGGCAAAATATTTGGCTTTAGAAGGCAGCTGTGGTAACTCCTTGAAATTATGGTGAGCTATAATTTAAAGAACTTGTTAAAGATTCAATAGAACTGATGTATTATAGAACATATATACGTTTTCCTCCTGAATAATAATTGCTGGAGAAGTAATGTTAGCCATGCAACAGAAAGCACTATTTTTTGGATGCCCTAAGATTAAGTTAAAAAGGTAAATGGGCCCCTGACCATTAGGTCCAGTCGTGACCGACTCTGGGGTTGCAGCGCTCATCTTGCTTTATTGACCAAGGGAGGCGGCATACAACTTCCGGGTCATGTGGCCAGCATGACTAAGCCGCTTCTGGCGAACCAGAGCAGCGCACGGAAACGCCGTTTACCTTCCCGCGGGAGCGGTACCTATTTATCTACTTGCATTTTGACATGCTTTCGAACTGCTAGGTTGGCGGGAGCAGGGACCGAGCAATGGGAGCTCACCCCGTTGCAGGGATTTGAACCGCCGACCTTCTGATCGGCAAGTATACTAGGCCAAGCATACTAGGACTCAATTTCTTGACTTTAAGAAAGCCGACTTCATAAAACTTAGGGAAGTGCTGGGTGAGATCCCATGGACAGTAATACTAAAAGGAAAGGGAGTTCATGATGGCTGGGAGTTTGTTAAGAGGGAGATAGTAAAAGCACAACTTCAGGCAATACCAATGAGACGGAAACATGGAAGGTGCCTAAAGAAGCCAGGGTGGCTATCTAAAGAACTTTTAACTGAGTTAAGATTAAAAAAGGATGTGTACAAAAATGGAAAAGGGGGGAACCACCAAAGATGAATTCAAACAAATAGCCAGCACGTGTAGACACAAAGTCAGAAAAGCTAAAGCACAGAATGAACTCAGGCTTGCTAGAGAGGTTAAAAGCAACAAAAAGGCTTTTATGGGTATGTTCGTAGCAAAAGGAAGAACAAAGAAACAGTGGGGTCACTCAGAGGAGAAGATGGTGAAATGCAAACAGGGGACACAGAAAAGGCTGAACTCCTCAATGCCTTCTTTGCCTCAGTCTTCTCCGATAAAGAAAACAATGCCCGACCTGAAGAATTTGGAGCAAATGATTCAGCAGAGGAAACACAGCCCAGAATAACTAAGGAGATAGTACAAGAATACTTGGCTAGTTTAGATGTATTCAAGTCTCCAGGGCCAGATGAACTGCATCCAAGAGTATTAAAAGAACTGGCAGATGTGATCTCAGAAACACTGGCAGTCATCTTTGAGAATTCCTGGAGAACAGGTGAAGTCCTGGCAGACTGGAGGAGGGCAAATGTTGTCCCTATTTTCAAAAAGGGGAAAAGAGAGGACCCAAATAATAACCGCCCAGTCAGTCTGACATCAATACCAGGAAAGATTCTGGAGCAGATCATTAAGCAAACAGTCTGTGAGCACCTAGAAAGGAATGCTGTGATCACCAATAGTCAGCATGGATTTCTGAAAAATAAGTCATGTCAGACTAACCTGATCTCGGTTTTTGACAGAATTACAAGCCTGGTAGATGAAGGGAACGCAGTGGATGTAGCCTACCTTAATTTCAGCAAGGCATTTGACAAGGTGCCCCATGATATTCTTGTAAAGAAGCTGGTAAAATGCGGTCTTGACTATGCTACCACTCAGTGGATTTGTAACTGGCTGACTGACCGAACCCAAAGGGTGCTCATCAATGGTTCCTCTTCATCCTGGAGAAGAGTGACTAGTGGGGTGCCACAGGGTTCTGTCTTGGGCCCGGTCTTATTCAACATCTTTATCAACGACTTGGATGATGGACTCAAGGGCATCCTGATCAAATTTGCAGATGACACCAAACTGGGAGGGTGGCTAACACCCCAGAGGACAGGATCACACTTCAAAACGACCTTGACAGATTAGAGAACTGGGCCAAAACAAACAAGATGAATTTTAACAGGGAGAAATGTAAAGTATTGCACTTGGGCAAAAAAAATGAGAGGCACAAATACAAGATGGGGGACACCTGGCTTGAGAGCAGTACATGTGAAAAGGATCTAGGAGTCTTGGTTGACCACAAACTTGAAATGAGCCAACAGTGTGACGCGGCAGCCAAAAAAGTCAATGCAATTCTGGGCTGCATCAATAGGAGTATAGCATCTAGATCAAGGGAAGTAATAGTGCCACTGTATTCTGCTCTGGTCAGACCTCACCTGGAGTACTGTGTCCAGTTCTGGGCACCACAGTTCAAGAAGGACACTGACAAACTGGAACGTGTCCAGAGGAGGGCAACCAAAATGGTCAAAGGCCTGGAAACAATGCCTTATGAGAAACGGCTAAGGGAGCTGGGCATGTTTAGCCTGGAGAAGAGGAGGTTAAGGGGTGATATGATAGCCATGTTCAAATATATAAAAGGATGTCACATAGAGGAGGGAGAAAGGTTGTTTTCTGCTGCTCCAGAGAAGCGGACACGGAGCAATGGATCCAAACTACAAGAAAGAAGATTCCACCTAAAGATTAGGAAGAACTTCCTGACAGTAAGAGCTGTTCGACAGTGGACTTTGCTGCCAAGGAGTGTGGTGGAGTCTCCTTCTTTGGAGGTCTTTAAGCAGAGGCTTGACAACCATATGTCAGGAGTGCTCTGATGGTGTTTCCTGCTTGGCAGGGGGTTGGACTCGATGGCCCTTGTGGTCTCTTCCAACTCTATGATTCTATGATTCTAAGTCCTAGGCTCCATGGTTTAACCCACAGCGCCACCCGTGTCCCTAAGATTAAGTTATTGGGACATTATTTTGAAACTTTTTAAAAAGCATGAATGGTCACCATATTCCCTTTTGGATGCCAACAGGGCTATAATCTTGGTTCGGATGGGGAATGGGGCACAGGGCACAATGCCTCAAGAGAGGAGGCACAAAGCTCAGTACCAGCCATGATTTCCAAGTGCTCAGGCTAGTGTGATATCTTTCACCTGTCATCGCTCTTCTATGTTATGGTCTTGGAAGCGGCCAGAGAAGGCACAGAACGTTTAGCTGCATGCATAGCTCTAGGATCATTCCAGGGTCACATGCAACTTCAGAGGGTTGGAGTGTGGTGCCCAGAACTGGACACAGTACTCCAGGTGAGGTCTGACATCATTGTGCACATCATTTTCTGCAATGTTGCAATGTATTCTGGAGCATGCCTTTATGATTGCAAGCTCCTTCACTGCTGCATTTAAAATTGCTTGCCGTGCCCAAACAAGTGTGTAGTTGGGATAGGCCAAGCTGTGAATTGTAGCAGGGTTTCTAAACAGATGTTAGTCCACAAAAACTTTTTGTTAACTGCCTTGAGGTTTTCTACAATCAAGCGGTATATCAATTTTATGAAATAAATAAAAATAAGTCCCTTTTTATCTCTTTCTGCTACATACCTTTTAATGCTGCTCTGTATGGTTTTTTTTTTTTTTTTTAAATACTAGATTGGCTAAGCTCAGTTTTATCTTTCCCATTTATTTTACAGAAGGGAATTGAGGCTTGACTTGCTTCAGACTGGTGGCCTGACCAAAGGCAGCCACTCAGTCTGCGGTGTTGCAAGTGGAAAGTTCTTAGAATGATTATAGCGCAAAGGCATCCCATGTGTGGGTGCAGGAACAGAATTACTAAAAATTCAAAATTAAGCAGACATTTCATTTCAAAGATTTAGTGATAGCACTTCATCGGGAACCTGTGTCCATTAAGGAACTATTTAAAATTTATCTGAAATATGTGTGTTAAGAAAATACCAAATCTGAATAAATAAGAGATTTTTTAAAAACAAGTATGGGCCATAGGCAAAACTGGACCACTAGGCCTTGTGAACCAGATATTTTAAGCAGCAGACCCTGAGTTTCATGAGAGGCCAGCAAATTGTTAGCTCTTTACTTTTATTCTATTTTTATTGCCAGGGCATATCCGCAGCATAAAGTTAAAGTACTGTGATACCACTTTAACAATTTTGTCTTCCCTCAAAGAATCTTAGGAACTGTACTTTGTTATGGGTGCTGAAAGTTTTTGGGATACCCTATTTTCCCCCACAGAACTTTTTTTTTTTGTCTACGGAATCTCACTCTGACAGATATCTGAGAAACGAAGGCTGAGCACTAAGGAACCAAGTTCAGAGTTACTAAATATGGAAAGGGCGCAGGATGGCCATTATAACTCTCTCTGTGGATATTTGCTATTGCTCCTTAATGAAGCTGAGCTTGGCAAAAAGCCAGCCACAGTCCCGGGTGATTCTGAATGCGTCAACACTATACAGCTGCTTAGTGAGAAAGTCAGGATCCCTTTGCTCCTCTGTAACCTAGGAGAAATGCACATCCATTTTACCACCTTTACCAAGGCTGAACTTGTGCAAGGATGTATGAAGGCGATACGGTTTTTGTCACAACCATAATTCTCTGATGTTCAAGAGAGAACAGAAGCTGAGAGGTGAGTTTGATACTTGATTTGCACCTCCTGCTGAGACCAGAGATCATAATATGGGCTGATATTATCTGGGAGAAGCTAACTTTGGGCAATACAAATGCCAGTGGCAGTGGAAATGAGCTTTGGGCTTCAGAGTGAAAAGCAACAACACAAGCTAATACCTCTTGAAGGAAGCAGTAGCCCCACCATTCCTTTAAAAAACTTCTCTAACCTTGAGGAAGTTAATAATTATCACTAATTATGGTCACTAATACCCCCTTTTTTGGGTGTTGACCATATATGATTCTAGGACTCTTGGAGGAAACTGATTTTATACCTATTTCAAGCAGGTTTCAGGTCTGGTTTTGGTGCCAAAATCACCCTGGTTATCCTGATATCCCTATTCTGGGATAGACACAGGGGGAATGCAATTGTTGATTCTGCTGAACCTCTCAGTGGGTTTAGATTTCATTTATCATTGTATCCTCCTGAAGTAGCCATATGAATTAGCTGTAGGAGGCACAATGGTGCAGTGTTTCTGTTTCCATTTGCGTCTGGTACCAAGAGGTAGTTCTGGGGAACAACTGCATAGCATTTTGCTGTGGGCCTCACAAAGATTCTGTGCTATTTAAAAATCTATATGAAGCCACTGAGAGAGAACATCAATATGCAGGTGATGTTCAGTTCTGTCTGCCTAAAGTATGTACATCAGGAGAGGCAGTGGGTAAATTTAGTTTGATTAGATTAAATCATTTGAGGGACCAGTCCTTCTAGTCTCTTGCCTACAAGCAGGACAGAAATGGAATCAGCATTGCAGTGGGATAGGAAACTTTTGGCCCTCCAAAGCTTGTTGAACTCCCATTAGCTCCAGCCAGCATGTCAGGGATGATGTGAGTTGTAGCCCAACGTGAGTCAGGGGTTCACACATTAGCTACTTCTGGTCTAAGCAGACAGAAGGCTGGAGGGTGTTGCGGCAGTAGGAAAAGGGCATCTGTGGAAAGGTTTAACCACCCACCAGGTGCGCCGGGTTCCGCCCAACATTGGGGGAGTCCAGTGCATGTGTGTGACATCATGTGTGTGGTGCACGTGATGTCACATGGTGGGAGGAGGCCCAATGGGGCCTGGCGCACCCTCCGAAAGGCCTGATGGGGCTTAGCTGCAGCCATGGGAGGGCCCGACAAAGCCCGTTGCAGCTGTGGGAGGGCCCAATGGCACCTGACTGCGGAATATTGAGGGGGCCCGGCCCCCTCATTGAATTTTTTGGGGGGACTCGCTCCCCATAGATGGCGTGCCAGCCACCCACACTCCTTGTCCACTGAAAATCATTGCCTTCTGAAGCTACTTTTCCTAATTAAAAGTAGGAATAAATTATGTTCCCATGCAAATGTGTGTAACTTCTAGTTTAAGGACCAATATGTTAAAGGTCTGAAGAACTAAGAACAGGCACCTGCTAGTGCCACCTAATGGTAATGTATTGTAAGAAATTAGTTGGCATTCTACCTAGCTGGGGTTTTAAAAGCCGTCATAGTTGTGACAAATTTATTGCTAACATTACATTCATCTCCTGGTCAGCCATAATCTTTCTGCTTCACTCAATCTACTTGGGCCACTATGTAGCTCTTTACACAGCTTTCGTACCATTTTTATATTGGCTAGAAGAGCACAGTATTCCCCCACTGTGGCATCTTATGTGCATCAGGAATATTTTACGAAGGATATGATGAGACTGGAGCTTCGGCTCCCTTAGTCTAAGCCTTAGATTCTAAGGCTTTGGGTTATTCCACATGTATGTACGCATGCAACAAATTCAGAGCTAAAATATCCCAAGTTCTGCACTGTCATGTTATATTTGCATGTATTTGCTCTTCATAGGTAAAGGTAAAGGGACCCCTGACCATTTGTTCTTCATAATTCATTCTAATTGTTGCTCTTCTGTGAATGATGGGAAACGATTAGGAGCTATAGCTACCTTCTGAGTCATGGAATTTTTTTCTACCTCAGGCTTCTGAGGCCCCTTTTCCAGACAAGCATCTTCCTATTAAGAAGGCCTAGATAATCTCATCAGTCCCAGATGGTATGGCCAATGGCCAGGGATGACGGGAGTAGTAGACTCTACCCCTGCTCTTTTCCCTAAACTGTTGGTTTGATTTGTTTTTAATAATGTTTTTAATATTGCAACCCACCCTGGGACCTTAGGGTGACGGGGGTTACTAATTATATAATAAATGCTATAACTTGTATAGTACAGTACCATTCCATACTATTATCTATTAAGGTAAACAGGAACAGTGATGATAAAACAAAAAAAGAAAGAGACCACACTCATTTCTGGCAAAGGCTTTATTTTATAAAATGGCAAAACGGAATCCCCAGAAATGACAGATCCATCACTTGGACCAAGACTCTGCTCTTATACAAGAGCGGATTCAGGTTCCCCTGCCCACTGTCAGCCAGTTTAGGCTACAAGTGTATCTATCCATTTACACACATATACATGTTTCATTTTTTATAAATACATGGGACTGAGTGGAATGCTGCGTGTGAACATGGCTGTCCTGTCTAATCATTTTAAAACAAGCCCTTGACTATGGAATATCCATACTCAGCCATGTTAACTGGTAGGGGGTAGAAGATACAACTGGGTAATTTATGTCCTAAAATGCAGCTTATTCTAGAACTTCTCTAGATGCAGAGGCTCTAATCATTATTGCACACAAGTGAAGAAAGAGCCCACACACATTACAGAACAGAAACAGGCTCATCTCTTTACTGGAAACAGCAGCGGGGGACAAATTAGGTTCCATAATGCAAAAGGCATCAACTACTTTCAGTCCCAGTGAAGATGTCCAAAGCTGCAATCCTATATGTACTTGCTTGGGAGTAAGGCCCATTGAAATCAGTGGGACTTACTTCTGAGTAAACATACACCAGATCACACTGCACATTCCTGAAATTATGGGAAGGAAAGTGCTTGGAAGGGTGGTCAAGTAAGTTCCAGGACTTATTCCACTTCTCCATCTGGCCAGATGCACCAGTCAGCTGGAGAAAGGCATGTAGGAAGGAATAGAATAGAAGGAATGCTTATGATACACAAAGGTAAAAACAAACTGCTGACATTTCTCAAGGTGAAAACCTAAAACATGCTTACTACAAAGTATGTTCCATTGAACTCTATGGACTCAAGTAGGAAATAAATAAGGTTTGGTTGTGGTTGTAGAAATGGAAGAAAAAAACTTAAGTATAGACTGTTCAGTGCTCTGGCAACCTTCAGCAGGATGGTTTTTTAATGGTTACTAGACTTGCTGTTTTTCTCTCCTACCACAAACCCCTATCCACTGCAATAAATGAGGGGAGACAAGTGTGTTTTTACAAGCAGAAGATGATCTATTGAAAGAACATTCAGGACCAAATTTACTGCTACCCTACTTCACACATAGAAATGGCCATCAAAACAGGTTTTAAATGCTACCAGCAGAAAACATGAGGTTGCCAGGTGGCAATCTGGAGATCTTGTCCAAAGGTTCTGAAGCAGCAGAGGAGGTTACCCAATTCCTTCACCACTCTCTTCATCCCTTCCTTTACTGCCTGCCATTGGAAGAATTTCATACCAGAGAAGAGATGAATGGTGGTGGCATGGGGCAAGAGAGTAGCCTTTCCTGCTGCCTCAACCTAAAGGCATACACACCATCTTCCCAAATGGTAATCTAGCTGCTTGTTTAGGGTTGTATTTTAGATTAACAAATTATTGAATACTGCTGTATTTTAGGGTACATGTGAATATTATGACTGAGTATTAAGAGAGTCCCCCTGTTCCTGCCATGTATGAACAGAAAATTATAGCTTTCCACTGTGCATCTTTCAGGAGCATTAATTTATGGGGGGGATCAGCCTATTGTTAAAAAAAGAAAGGATATAGCCCTTTCAGAGTTAATTGGTATTCAATAATGAATTGATCATGCTGAATTTGGGGAAGGCCTTTATTAGGCAGACAGGGCATTTTCAAATGGTAGCAGCTATTGTTCCATAATGCTTCCTTGAAAATGCTCTTGAGAGGGAAGAGAAAAGGAGGGGAAAGAATGATCCTTTTGCTTCCGTTCCTGAATAGATGACCCTCCAAATATAATCTTCAAAAAATCTGGAAGACATGATGTTTTGGACTATATGTGACTTTTAAGCAGATGGTTCAGAAATGTACTTAGACTGACTGTGTCTCTTTGTTTGCAAAAGCAGCTGCAGGGGCTCCTGATCCAGATTGAGACCATGGTGTGGGAAAAGTTCCTAACCACTGAACAAACATGACATGGTCAGTCCAAGCAAATATTTTTCAATCATGTTCTTAAGACATGTCTAGTTTGAGAACCAAGCTCTCTCTTCCTTAAATAGTGGGTGATAATACTGGTTTTGGACTTCATTCCAGAGCAGCTATTATTTAGCAATTAACAGCCTATGTCTTACCTTAAAGAAATAATTGTGATGGAAGGTATGTAATCAAACAGACTTTTCTGTTTAACATGGGCAGACTGCTGAGGAGGTGAGATCCCAATTCTAACACATTTTTCTTCACATAGGGCTAAAAATGATCTCACCTGACAGTGGAAAGAACATACACAGTCTCCAGTCAAGTTTAGGTATTGCAAGACTTGAATGTCTTGCAGTCACTCCTACCCAGAATTAGAAATCCATTCAGTAGTTTACCGTAGAGATTACTGCCATAAAGGAACTAACCTATATTATCAAATTAAGACAGAAATTAGTTTACAATGACTGTTTTTAGCTTATCCCCTCCTACAAAAGAATTAAAAGAACATTCAAGCTTAGCAATGAGTTAGTATTAGGAACTTCAGTGTTGCAAGACTCACACCTTTTGGGTTATTTCTGCCAGAAATACACTGTAACAAGGGTAATGAAAATAAGCAAGTCTTGGAAGGAATGGCTTAGACTAGCATACTCGGTGCCACTCGCATTACTTAAGTTGTGCAATGGGTTTCCTAATCTCCACTTTCTCAGCAAGGGATATTTCAAAAGCACCCAAACATAACCAAGACAAAAACAAATTTAGTAAGTAAATATGCTATTTGACTTTATGACCATTTTTTCCCGGTAGCATTGTATCACATGCAATCCAGTAAATGCTCTCCCTGGAAAGTCTGGCGCACCATCTTGCTGTTAATGCTGGCATGAATGATAAGATAGGAATCTGGTACACTGGAGTTTAAAAAGTAAATGCCGTGGTGAATTGAGGCACTTTCCACCAGGTATGCTAGCTCTGTCCATTATGCCTGCTGAAATTATTTCCTCCAGGTGGCTGGATCTGAATAGAGTCGAGGAGAGGCCGTAGAGCTTGTCCAAAAGGTCTGAAGCCACAAGAAAGACATAAGGGATGGTTGGGGAAAAGAGAATTTAAGTTTTCCAAGCACTCTGAACACAAATAGGTTCTCAACTAAAATTAAAAACATGCTACTTATTGAGAAGAATGAAGGCAAACTACTAAGGATGTTCCTATAAAATGATACATGAGCTGAGCCGAGCCCATGCCACTATTTCATCCATCGGCAAAACAGATGGAGTGTAAAGGAGATCAGCACAGGCCTCACTTGTAACACCTAGAAGTACAGTGGCACAGAAGCAATTCTTTGTCAAGTCCACCTTTAGGGCTGGGGGTGGACCATCTGTGTCTCTTGGTTGTAGCGGCATAAATGTCTGGGTTGGTGTGCATTACTCAAAAACATGTTGCCATCCCAAACTACAGAGCCCCAGGGTTGCTTGCAGTGTAGTATTGGCTGCTGGAGCATAGAACATAAGCTGCATGTTGCTGTGGTGTCAGGTACCTGTGAGCCTAAAGTTATGCCCCAGTCTCCACTGCAACAGGTATGGGGTGTTGCACCTCTCCATTTAGGCCACAGCTGGCAATGTAATATGCTGAGAATTGTGTTCCAGCATTCTCCCATATTGGGGAATATTTGTTTCAAACTGCATGCTGCATCTACTTTCCATGGCTATGTTTTAGATGAGCCTAGATACATAACGGGGACGCGGGTGGCGCTGTGGGTTAAACCACAGAGCCTAGGACTTGCCGATCAGAAGGTTGGTGGTTTGAATCCCGACGATGAGGTGAGCTCCCGTTGCTCAGTCCCTGCTCCTGCCAACCTAGCAGTTCAAAAGCACGTCAAAGTGCAAGTAGATAAATAAGTACCGCTCCAGCGGGAAGGTAAACGGCGTTTCCGTGCACTGCTCTGGTTCGCCAGAAGCGGCTTAGTCATGCTGGCCACATGACCCGGAAGCTGTACGCCGGCTCCCTCGGCCAATAAAGCGAGATGAGCGCCGCAACCCCAGAGTCGGTCATGACTGGACCTAATGGTCAGGGGTCCCTTTACCTTTTTTTAGACACATAACAGGGTGCGTAACCCACTGAACCCTCTACAGATGTACTTTTCAAAGCAATGCAATGCTTGTAATGCTTGTGAGCTAGTCCAGCCCAAAGATAGACAGGACTGAAAACTGACAATACTCTTAACTAATGCAACTAACAACCACATGTTCCAACAAGTTTCATGTCCAAAGAAGTCCAAGGTTCATCTCCAGCCACTGCTATGTTTCCACAGCGTTTTGAGTAAGTCACTTCAAAAATAACTTTGGTAAGATCTCCTACTACTGTTTCTCTGCCACCTGCCCCCACAACTTGTTTGTTTTATAAAGTAGCCAAAGTCCTAAAAGTTGTGATGGCTCTTTAGAGAATTACATTAACTGAGATGAAACAGTACCTCTTTTAGGCTTAAACAACATGTTACAATAAGCATGCTTTTTAGAAGCATGCTTAAACCAGCCACTTTTATTTTGATGAAAAAGCAGCCACAAGGACCTCAAACAGATTAGGGCCCTGCCCTGGTTTCCTGTGACAAATAACCGTCCCTGAAAGTGCTGTTTATTGCAAACATCACCTCCAGGGGCAAATAGAAGCCATGGAGGAAACCAACACAGACCCCCAATATTGATCGGGAACATGTTCTGGAATGGGGCCCTGCAGTTGCTTTGTTTTCAAAATAACTGCTATCAGCTGCAGACTGCTTTTTTGGAAAAGGGTGTTTATCATAGTTTAGATCTTAGTGTCATTTGGTTGCAAGTCATTCTGAAAGGTATATCTGTATTCCAAGTTAGTAAAATCTGTGCCATGTCCTCAGTATTCCTGAAAAGCCATGGCTGTTAAATTTGGCATCAATAATATGGATGTAATAAAAAAGAGGACTCTACTTACGTTGCAAGAACTTCAGATGGAAGGTCAGTGATGTAGGAAGGGATCTTCCTCCCTGTCAAGAATTGTGCCACTTCATTGCTGAATGTATTGCAGTTATGGTCAAAAAGGTTATAAGCCTCTCCTCTGTGACCCCAAGAAAAAGAAGTTCAGAAAAAATAATAATGAATGAATATAGCAAGACTGACCTTTTTCAGAGGGATTACAGGAATATGTGTGTGTGTGTGTAAAGCTAATTCACCCCATAACACTCAGACCTGTGTTAAGAGCAGCTATGCAGGGGGAATGTCAAATGGAAAAGCTAAAGGTGATATTTAACTTGTTTCTGCTTGCAACTTCACATGAAATTGGCCTCTCTTCATTTGCTTCCAAATGTATATTTGCCTATTTGGGAATCTGGAATGGAAAGGCTACAAGCAGGAAATGAGTTAAGCATTCCATCCCCCAACTGCTTCTCCACTAAAAATCCTTTCTCCTCCAAATCACGTTTTAATACACAAAGAGTGTTGGGACTTCAATCTACGTGCAGTTGTGTATTGAAGTGCATCTCAGTTGTGTATTGAAGTACAGAAACTATTTAGAACTCACTTACCATTCTAAGATTATGACACAATTCTATATTAAACTAACCATAACTCAATAGTGAAGCAGCTTGGCAGGAAGGGGCATAGGCATCCCTATCAACAGGAATTACATGCAGTCACCAGAATATTAGAATAGAAACAAAGCAGAATTCTCTCACCGGAATATAGATTCACCCAATGAGGACAAGTATTCCAAGAACAGCTCTTCTGAAACTTCTGAGCATCCCAGGTCTACAATAGAGTCTGGGGGCCCAAGCAGAGTCCCACCCTGTGAAGTGCATATGCAGGAAGATATTCAGACACCAAGAACAATTTACCAGCCTCCTATGGGGAATATATAATGCTGAAATATTTCTGCATTTCCCCCCCAATTGCTTACATCAATTACCATATTTCCCAAAACACTAGTAAGAGCTTATAGCAGTCAAGTTCCAGAAGGACTCTTGTACATACTCAGTTTGGAGGTGGTGAACAGAAGGAAAAAGATAAACCAAATTTGATTCCTACTCTGTTGCCTACAAATCAGCTTTAAAAATTGTGGATTAAGGGGAATTTAGGACCTCAGTATCAGCTATGCAAGGAAAGCATTTCAGTTTTACTATACATTAAAATTACACCAAGTTTGATTGAATAAATGGTTTAGAGCGGGGGTAGGGAACTGGATCCTGCTAATGGCCTAGATACTTATCTTCCCCCAATCATGGACCAACTTTAATAGGTGGGTTGGGACATCTACCTGTCAATCACCTGACATAATAAAGACTTCAGGTGACTGACACAGGTCAAAGTTTAAAAAGTTGCTGTAAAAAATGATTAGCTGATCAACGGTTAAAACAGCCTCTTTTCAATATATCCCTTCAGTGCCAATGATTGGCACTGGGAGCCCCTTGAAATAAGCTCCTTCTAACTAACAGTCAGCTGATTTTTGATTAGAGGGAGTCCCTTTGAAGTCTCTGCAGAGAGGGAAATGTTCCTAAAACTGGACCATCTCCTCTGCAGCGAAGGCTGTTTGAAGTGCTTTGAATACAACTTCCTTTGGAAATAAAATAAATGCTCCTTTTAAAAATGGCGCATTTATTTTTTCTTTCCAAAGGAAGCTTGTGCTGCCCCTTGTGGAGTGATTTCCATGTGCTAAGTACTGGGCTTGCAAAGTACCTTGAACCGCATTTCTGAAGTTCTGCCAATCAACTGACTGTTGGACGCCTGGGAAGCGCTGTGAAAAAGGTTGTTCAGCAGTGCCTGCTAGTCCCTTTTGTTGAAGCCCCATCTTTACCTACCCAACACCTGACGGCCTATATGACCAGGTGTTTGGCAAGTGGGTGTGTCTTGGCTGAAATCGCATCTCAGGCCAACTGAGGAGCCTGTGAGCTAGAGCTTCCCCACCCTTGCTTTAGAGCATGATGTACTGGATGTTCGAAAGCTGGTCATAATGCACTAAATATTCCAGTTACTTGCTATTTTTCTGAATGGGATACAGAAACAGATCAACCAAAAAAATATATGGGAAAAATAAGAGAGGAAAAAGTAGGTATAGAAAAGAAGTTCCAAGACTTACAGGTGGACAACTGGCGATCCCACCACTACCATAGAAGAACTCATCCCTGTGAACAACTATGGAAGTGTGCCTGAAGGGGGTGGCAAACAAGACAGGTAGAAACATTTATGTAGTGAGATACACCAGAGATTAAACATAACCAAGACTAAAAGTTACCTGCAGCCTCTAGCCTCATATAGTCCTATATCAATCTGTTTAGGAAGACTACTGAAAAACAAAAAAACAGATCCTTACCTAATTTCAGACAGCATTTTCTGTCCTTACAAATTGTGAAAATAATTAATGAGTCTCTAATAAAAATGCCTAGAAAGCATGTGAATGAGCCCTTACTCCAAAAAGTGAGGCACCACCATCCAGCATTGAAAGGACCATGCAAAGCACCTAATAACACGGCCTAATTTGGTGTTGCTACTTTCCCGAACACTCATGAAATAAGTTTGTGAAGTACATAATTGTGGAAATGTTTTATGCTATGAAAACATCAATTAATGTTAAGTCTAGCTACTCACCAAATGCCATCCAACTGCTTACCTGCATATAAAAAGAAAAGCACCATCAGCAACTCAGTTTGCATGCTGCAATCTGTTACTCGCCTTCCATGGCTATCAATTCACATTTCCCTAGAATACACTTACACGTAAACTCATAACAGTGCCTTTCTAAAAGAAAAAGCAGGAAAAATACTGTAGTGTTCTCTCCCACCCTAAAGTTGGTATTTGATGGAATTAGGAATAGTTTGTGCCGTAATCCCTGGGTTTTATGATTACAGGGGAAGAATTCAGACTTTCTGAATAGGACAAAGTGCTAATTTTTGAAAGCAACATGTTTTACTTTACAAACAGCTCAGAAGAGCTGCAAAAGGTCCTATAACTAATGTATTGGACTACAGATTTGCCAGGCTTGCAAACAGTTACTGGCCTGCAGTGCATATGAATGTCCAGATAACCAGGCAGAGCAACTTTTTGTAAACTTCTGAAAGGCGGTTCTTCTCACTTCCATTTAGAATGACAATTACTAGAGAAATTATGGGTGGGACCTGGGTAGGCTGTGAAGTATAATGTGTAAAACTCTATCATGATGATTTATTGTAAATGTTAACCTTTCTTATAGTACAAATCATGTAAGTCGACAAAGTATTTATTCCTCTCTTTTTTGTATTCACTTCTGACCATGCAGTTTGGAGTTTCTCTATCTTTAATATTAACCTTCAAAATACATCAGGTTTGAATATAACAGTGAAAGTACATTTTTTAAAAATTCTAACCTGGGAAAATCCTAGTAATATTCCCCCCTGCCCAATTCCCTACATATTGCTGAGGCTTCAGTCCTGTGCCTGTGCACTTCATAGTAAGTGTCAACACACATGAGGCTGCAGATTTAGATTTAGGATACTTGTACTGGCTTGATGGTAGAGACAGAGATAGCTGAAACCAGTATAAATTAAATTGGAATCACTTATCTGTGTGAATCAGTTCTCATTCAGTTACCTAGTGGCTCCTTTTAATCTAGATTTATTGGAAAAAGGAATTAGTGTATTTATCACATACAAATATACTTCCCCTGTTTCTTGGGAAAGAATGCAGAATAACTTGCCTAAGTCTGCAGTATAAAAGCAAAAGCCCAGCCTTAAGTAGAATAGAGTTCAGTGTGGGAGGTACTTATATTCCATGCAGGCTAAATCTGTTGTGAAACTTTCCTTGCTCATAGTGACAGTGCAAACTCAGATGTAGAGATTTCCTTCAATGAGCTTCATTAAGTTAACTCATTTTAGGATGTAAACTATTATTCTAAACTTCTAGTCTGTATGTATAAATGAAAAGCTTCTATCTCTGTAATGTTGTCCTTTAACTCCCCTGTCTCTCATAACTCATGACAGACCTATTGTCGAACAGAACTTTTGCAGTGAAATATAAATTTCGTAATGGAACTGCAGAACAATGTTATGTTCAGAAAAGTATAAAATACGTATGTTGCTTTTTGTATGCGAGCCTTCCTCTGCATACAGGCACATGTCTGAAGGAGTAATTTCTGGTAACTTTGCATACCCCTACTTTAATATCAAAAAGCAATCATACTCTACTTTCAGGGTTGTGTGATATTCTTCAGGTTGTTCCTGAAAGTGTCCAGGAATTCTCTCTAGAAATGTTGGACACTTGTGTCTGGGTAGTGTTGGGGGTCAATAAACCGAGGCTGAATCATGATAAGATGGAGGTGCTGTGGGGTGAGCGGTTTCTGTCTCCAAAAACTAGGTGGACAACTTGTTCTGTGAGGGGTTGCACTCTCCCTGAAGGCACAGGTTCATAGCCTGGGAGCACTCCTGGACTCTTAACTTGTCACTGGAGTCTCAAGTGGCTTCTTTGTCTATGAATGCATATGCCCAGTTGGTTCACAAGTTATGGCTGTTCCTGGATAGCCTGGATTCAGTTGTCCATGCTCTGCTGACTTCCTGCAATGTGGGGCTGCCCTTGAAGATGGTGCTGCCTTGTTGGGAATGACCCATGACACAGCCTTTTGGGTGGCTGTTTCCCCTTTATGAAATGCCCTCCCTGATGTGTTTTGCCTGATTCCCTCACTGCTAACATTCAGGAGGACTTTAAAACCATTCCTGTTTACTCAGGCATTTGATGGCTTAAAAATACTGTTCTTTGTAACTTTGCAATTACTAACCGTGTAGGTATGCTTTACATGTTTCTAAGTGTTTTAAATATGTTTTTAGTTTATTTTTAACTGTATTGTTTTACTGCTTTGGTGTTTGGTGCCCTGGACAACTTTCAGAGATAGAAATTTAAGGAAAAAATAGAAGGGAGAGCTAAGAATGTGATAAAAGAAGTATATTCTCAAACACTATATAACGCAGTCCAATGCTTTGCTCCTATATTCTTTTCTTAGTTAAACTACATAAAAAGCATTACTTATAGCAAAGTAGTTAAAGTACTCTAGGCTTGTTAGATCTGTTATGACTAAGCATCTAGAACTACTTAATACCAGGAAGTAAATGATTTAGACCAGCAGCCCTTTCATCCAGACACAAACTCCTAACTGTTCTGTGCAATACTAAGAATAGTCCTTACTTCCTCTGCTAGCTTTCTCCTCCATGAATTAAGACAAAAATGTGCATGGATAGTACTTCTGCAACAAAAGGTTTCCATGCTTATGGACCTAATGAATATTCAGACAGTTACTATGTTGGGGAAACAAATACCGTATACCAATTCTTAAGCCTAGAGGCAGGGCAGACTTTGTCTCCACTACCGCACACGGACAAGTGTGATTCGTACTACTGGGGGGGGGGGGGGAGTGTACGCTGGAAGTGAGTGCAGATCCTGTACAGCATATCATCCCTGATACGTTGAAAGGGTATAGTTGCTGCTGTTCCTTAACGTAACCCCTGTCTACCCTCCACCTTTGAGTTGTGCATCCAGCCCTCTACCTCCCCTTTGGGACGAGAAAACAGAGAAAGTTGTTCGGATTGCGAACAGGTAAAATTACCACTTTCCCTGTTCCTTCGGGTCACCCTCCAAGCCCCGAAGAAGCCTCTTACGTAACCTATGTGTGCGGGGGGCGGGGGAGGAGGAGGACGGCGCCCGTTAATATACATAACACAGACGGCGGTTAAGGATCAAGACCCACATCAACTTCCTCCCCACTCCCCGGCTGTAGGACCCCTGCCCGTCCCCTCCCCCCTCCCATTTGAGCCACCCCCTTCCCCAATAATACGAAGGCAAAGGCTTCCTCTCCCCCCACCCCAGGCATCATCTGACAGAAACAGAGGCGACGGACGGGGTCGTCTCTCCATCCCCCCCCCCGGGGCTCCTCTCACCGAGCATGATGGGGCTGAGGCGTCGAGCCATGCCCTTGGACAGGTCGTAAACGTAGAGCTTCACCGGGTGCAGCATCGGGGGCGAGTCCATGGCATTGGCGGAGGGCGACAGAAAGAGGACGGAGGGGGCGACGGGGAAGGAAGCTCTTGACCGAGGCCAGTGGTAACGGTGGTTAGTGGGCGGGGGGCCGGGAAAGCGGGGAGCCCAGCCGGCCCGGCTCCTGCTCCTGCGGCGGGTGACAGCCAACTGACAGAAGGGGACAGAGGCGATGGGAGGAGGGCAGCGGGGAAGGGAACGTTCGCCGCACGCATGCGCCGCCCCCACAAGGCGAATCCAGGTTGCCAGTCACGGCGCCTCTGTGAGGGAAGGGCGCTAGGCAGCCGGGGGGCGGGGCCAGGGGGCGAGCGTGGTTTGGTTCCATGTGGGCGGGCAGCGACGAGGACACCAGAGTTCTTCGGGGCGATTGGTTAGAAGGCGGGGAGAAGGGCGGAGCGTATAGCCATTCCCGAGCAGTAACAGGTTGCATAGTGACTGGTGGGCGGGGTTATTCAACGCAGGGGTGGGCAGGGGGCATGACTTGAATATGTAACTGAGACGTAAAGGACCTCCGAGCGAACTTGAGGCTGCCAACCGTTCTATAGAAATAGGAAAGATGAGAGTATCGAATTCCATTGTCTGAACAAGGATATTCCTGGTTCCTTTAGGCTCTTTTCCCCCCTCCCCAGGAGCACAGCCCACGGAAAACAATGAATAAGTGTAGGATTCCTGTTCTTTCTCATTTATTTCGTATTACGATGTGGTGTTGTTGTTGTTGCTTTTTAGAGTTGTTAATTGCCAAGTAGGCCGTTACATTTCATGTTGCATATTGGGAGGGCCCGCTTGGTCTAGAAGAATGGTTTGTGGCCCTTCACTGCTTGCTATTCTTCCTTTCTTTACAAAAAAATATACCCCAGCTTTTCACCATCAGGTCTCCAAGCGGCTTAAGTTAAAGCAATATACAGTGGACAAAATTTAAAAACATAAACCTTCAGGATTATTGCAAGTTAGCGGATTTTAGAAGGCTTAGTTTTTCATTCAGAAAACTCTCATGCAAGACACCTTTCAAGCTACAGGAAGAGTAAGTTTTGCCCTTTCAGCTCAAATTCGGCGCTCAAGTTGTACATAGAAGCCTTGCACGTTGCAAGCATTGCGTTTTAAAATGTTTTAAAACTTTTAGGCTGCAATCCGGTGCACACTTACCCGCGAGTAGGTCCCACTGAACTCAATAGGACTTAACTGTGGGTAGATAGGGATAGGATCCCGCTCCTAAGAGACATATTGGAAAGGGCAGGACACTTTTGGTTTTGTGGGTGGTTCGCTGCTTCCCAGACTCAGCTAAGCGAAACTCCCCGAAACAATCATTTTATTTTGAATGACTATATGCAATCTTAAGTAGGTGGGGGGAGGGGGGAGGAGAACAAGCTGTAAAGGAGCCCGAAGTTGAGAAGTCAGTGTGAATCTCTACTTTTTAAAGTCTATGGTGAGTATTGATCGCAGGGCTATGGCGGGCACGTTTGGGATAAGGCGCAGCCTGCTTTCCCCTCCCCATTGGACAACTGCGCTGTTAGGGGCGGGGGTTAGGCGTGACTGACAGATTCCGGGTTTAGTAAGGTGTCGGGGACGAAAAGAGGCGCTCGGGGAAATTCAGGTAACTGCAGTTTTCCCGCCTGCTGGTTGCTGCTGCGGTGCAGCCTTTCCACGTCTGAGGGGGGCGCCGCCCCCGAGCTGGTGCACTTAGTGGCCGTGGGTTGGGAACGAACTGCTTTGCGGGAGCTAAGGAAGCTCCTTATTTTCTGATTTCTGCCTACAGTAGGGCCCCAGGTCTTGATCACACACACACGTGCATATTGACATGTGTTTGGGGATGCCAGACTTCCCTAAATTGCTGGATCCAGTAGGTGTCCGATTTTAATCAAGCCTCCTGAACTCCTGGATCCAGCAAGGGTTGAAATAGAAGGCAGGCCAGCTTCCTCATGAGGAAATTGCCTGGGCTGTTAAGAGAACAAAGGAAAGGTGATGAGCCATTAAGAAAGCGATGGAGAGGAGGCTCTGTGCCAGAGGCCAAATGGGTGGGGGCGCTTCCTCCAGCTCTCAGTGAGTTAGAAGGACAAAAGCCAGAGTTGGGAGTTGGCTGTGTTGGGACCTAGAGGAAAAAAAGGTTGCAGGAAAAGGCAGGGAGAAAGCCATTGCTGATGTCTGCTAGAACCCAAGGTTATAGCTATGGGAGAAACAATAACCTCTGGGGGTGTTAATCTAGCGAACCCCTCCATTGTAGGCTCTGGTTATACAGTGGTACCTTGGTTCCCAAATGGCTTGGCTCCTGAACAAATCGGCTCCCGAATGTCGCAAACCCGGAAGTTAGTGTTCCGGTTTGTGAATGTTTTTTAGAAGCTGAATGACCATTTCGGCTGTCAGCATTATTTCTGGGGCCAATCAGAAGCTGCGCCTTGGTTTGCGAACGGTTTGGAAGTAAAACGTACTTCCAGAATGGATTGAGTTCGGGAACCAAGGTACCACTGTATATATGTGTAAATAAACCGTCTATCGTAAAGACACCACAATCTCCGCTGTGCCTCATTTCCAAAAGGAAACATTAACCCTGGGCATAGCATCTGAAACCACTGGGATCTCACTCTGCTTGGAGACTGGAGTGGTGTGCAACAATATGTTTCTCCTGAGTCCCCCTCCCCGCAACTGTCATTGTATTTAACAATGTGAAGAGTCTAAAACTGCCTTAAAATAATAGTTGTGATTCTTCACACATGTCTGATTTATTTTCAATATGCCAGTTTCTTACCATGCCACTGTAAAGATTAATGTGCTGGTTAAATGAATACAACAGAGCTTACTTGAATTTTCTTCCTCTTCTCTCTCTCTATGGCAGACCACTTATTTACTGATAGGTAAGTGACTTTTTTCAAGCTTCAAATTACCTCCCTGTAGTAGTGCTGTATGTATTGTATTTTAACTGTAAATTTGACACAGATGTAATCATATTCCATTCGTAGCTCATTTTATTCCACTGGCTGTTGTTGAGAGAGCCATTGTGATACGAGATGGGGTTTGGGGATGCCAGACAGGGCCAAAGTGTTATGTGTGGGAGATACATGAACAGCCTGAGGACTTTTTTTGTGTTTGCTGAAAAGCAGCTGTGTAAGACTGCCAGCTTGAAAAAAGCAACAGCATTCCTCTTCTCCCACCTACTGTTTATCCTTTCAAAGTCATGATTTTAGGGGGTGCCTGGAAGCACATGTAATATAGTATATCTACCTTCTTTGTTCATTCTCCTTAGCACAACGTGAAAGCCATGGCAGACTGGCTATCATACTACAAAAATGAGGAAGGTGAAGAAGAAGAGGAACAAAATGAAGATGTTGAAACAATTGGTAAGAATTGGTTCCCAACCTTTTTTGGCCATGCCCCACCTAAGCATCTATAAAATCCGGATTCCCGCCCCTGTGAAATATAATTCTTATTATTTAAAAAGTGAATTCCTATTCCTGTGGAAGAAGCCTAAAAGGCCATTCACTGTTAATAACTCATTCTTGAATTGCCCTCCTTAAAAATCAAATTGCCCCCCTGTGGGGCGTGTATTGGGAACCACGGGTCTATAGGCTTGTGTGGGCTAATTATTTATTATAGATGAGTTAAAGCTATTTTAGCTTGCAGCTAATCTAGCACATCAATACTGAAAATATCTGGGAACCAGTACAGCTGAGCCAGTAGTTTAACTGGCATTTGTATATGTGAAACACTTTGTGGCATACTTATAACATTTTGCTACTCTTGATTACCGCTGCAGGATGCTAAGAAACCCGGGTTGGTTTTGCTTTTTTAAGAAGGCAAGTGCTTAGCCTTTGTGGGTACAGAGGTAGGTGAAAGCATGAGAGCACTGTCTGCAAAAGGCTGATGTCACTTTATGTGCTCTTAGAGTGGGCTGCTTTATGCAGTTTCTTGGTAAGACAAACACACTGACCACTGCAATACCAGTGAAAGGCATGATGAGCCGTGGTGCAGGCAGCCTATTGAGAAAAAGCAGTCTTCTCTTAGCCCATCATGGCTGTACAAATGCATACCCTTTCTTCTACTAAGACCAAGTTTAATTGTGCATAGTCTAAAGAATGTGTGAATTGTAATAAGGCAACATAGTGAAGTACAAGAATTGAGTAAAATGAGAATGATTTGCATACAGGGTTTGACATTTTTTTCTCCGTAGGAGAATATAAATATTCAGGTCGGGATACCTTGGTTTTCTTAGTGGATGCCTCAAAAGCCATGTTTGATTCCTATGATAATGGTGATTTGACTCCTTTTGATATGACAATCCAGGTAAGATGACCCTTCAGAAATTTAATATTACATATTGTATGTTTTGAAAGTTCCTTAAATGTGTTGTTTGTAGTATAACCTGATAGAACTAGCTGTCAGTTCTGTTTTATGTTTTGGCAGTTGCCATATTATTCCATTTTCCTTAGGATAATGAAAGGCATTTTATGCAGAGGGAACAAAGTAATGCTGAGTTCTACTTTTCTGTTAAATTCTTTTCAGTTTATAGAAATTTAGATGAAAGTTGTGTTCTTAAAATTAAAAACCAAATCTGGGAGCAGAGCAACATTCTCTGGAAATGGTTGTCTTCTGTCTTCATCTGTGGGAGAGTTTAAACACTTGAAAAGCAGGCAGTTGCATTGTCCCTGTGCTGTGCTACAATAAAAAATACATACCTTAGTCTAAGCATAGTTCCTGAGTTCTGTATGTAGTGGTACTGGGGCACTTTCCTGAGTGCTGTTTGGCACAATTTTATGCAGTTTTGAAAACCCCTCTCCATTCCTGAGTTTACAAAAGGAACACTTCTAGAAGCTGCTGATTCTCCCCTTTCCTACTGTCTTTGCCAGTTTATTATACATTCTAAATGTTAGTTGCTGCTGTGTTCACCAAAACCCCCAACGATTCTGGTGGTAGTGGCAAAAGGGGGAAAAATAAATAAAGTAGAACAGTTCTAGGATGAGCAGAGAGGATTCAAACTCTGTCCAGCCTAGTGCTCTGATGGAGGATGTAAACCCCCCACTCCCCATGAATCAGAATGATTATTTCAACAGTGCAGAGGGAATTATACCCTGCCTCCTTTTAGCTGATCTGCAGTGATCAGCTGAGGTGTGGACTATGAGTTTGCAGTTGTGAGAATGTGGATGGCTACACCCACTACTGGTAAGCAGCTCTCTAGAGGGTTGACTGTGGGTGAATGCAGCCCTTAGGCCCAAACAGTTTAGCCAGCCCTGCTTAAAAAATGGATGGACCTTGGTTCTGCAAAAATCAAAGTGTGAGACCAAAAAAATGAAAAGAAATGAAATCTTGCATGTATTGCTTCAGGAGTGAAGCCCACCTGTGTCCAGTTGCCTTGCTTCCATGTAAGTGTGTGTAGGATTACAGTCCAGCACAATTCTGAGAAGAACCAACAAGATAGAATGAAGCGGAAGGCCATTGCTCAGTGGTGGAACACATGCTTTGCATCTAAAAGGGCCACAGCTAAATTTATGGCACCTCCCGGAAGTGCTGGGAAAGACTGCTATGAAACTTTGGAGAGTCACTACCAGTCAGTGTAGACAGCACTAGATGGGTCAATTCAGTGTTGAACATCTAGATTCTCTCATCTATAAATGTCCTGTGGAGTTAGGGGGTAAATGTCTTAAAGCACTGTGGCAGTCTTGGAAGTATTTCTAGATGTTTTAATGCCATCTTTGATGTGTAAATGCTGTTTTCTTCAATGGTCCTTTTCCTCTCTCTTCCCATCTCACTTGAACTTTTTTTTACCAGTGCATTAAGAATGTGTACACAAACAAGATCATCAGCCATGACCGGGACCTTCTTGGTGTTGTGTTTTATGGTACTGAGCAACATAAGAATTCTGTGGATTTTAAACACATTTATGTTCTTCAGGATTTGGACAATCCAGGTAAATATATAATAATATGAGGTGTAAATGTGAAGCAAGAATACAGGAATGAGGCATGGTACTTTGAGTAGCAGAGGTGGCCCACTGTTTTATTTTGCACAATGCTTAGGGTTGATGCTTTTAAAATGCTTAAATTCTGCCAGTGTTGATGCTTTGTAAATACTTGATAATAGTCACAACTGGAGGAAAACCTCCTCCCTATGGCTGTCTGCTCCCCACCCCCCATTCACATATTTGTTTAAGATACAATTTTCTAAACTAGTATCAACTCAAGTGGCTTTTACAATTGGTGACAATCTAAGGTACTGTCCATTTCAGAGTTCAGTCTGTAGTGAAGTCATTGTGTTGTAGCAGCTTGGTCCATATTTAGTATGCCCCCATCAACCCATTTGTGGAATCTTTGACGTCTGTCACACGGCTTGACATGTAGCTTCAGACACTTGCAAGCTACAGTGCAAAACCCATTTCAGTAAGCTAATGTTAGAAGTCATAAAGAAACTAGCGTTAGGCTAATAGGCTAAGTGTAATGCAGCCATTAGTCAAACCAGAACAGTTCTGCAGTAACTCCTCCTTGCAAAGTGGAAATCCACATGCAATGGGACTTCTGGTTTCACATCTCCCTCCAGCCCACTGTGCACCCCCAAAACCTGCTACAGAGAATTCCCCAATCCTTTGTAGCAGATATCCATTCACACTATACTCAATCTCACCCACTGGTTTTTGTGTTTGTTATGGCATTAGGTTCTGCAGGGAGCTGCATAGGAAGTCTCATATCCCAGAAACTACAGCTTAGTCCAGTTTCAAAAAATGTACATAGTTTTAATGATTACAAAGTTTAACTCCAGATTTAATTAAAACCATCACCAACATTGGTAATCAAATGTGATTCAGTCATCCACTTAGGTATTTTGTTGTTTCTTCCAAAATACTCAGAAAGTTTTTTGTGGATAAGTTCTATCACCAAATGTTGAAGTTAGTTACTTCGTTCATCTCTGATGCTCCTCAGGCTTCACTTAGCCAAACTTGCAATTTCAGGCCTGTTCCAGTTTTGAGCGAAGTTTCATTAGCAACTAAGAAAAGGCAGTAGTCCTTGTCGCACACAGAGAGCTGCTCTACTGAACACTTGATCTCTTTTCATAAGTTGAACGAGAAACATCGTAGACAAACTACTGAAAGATTTGCAAATTCTGGCATATCATGGCTTAAAAGAGTAGTGCTCTTTGTGTTTTGTAGGACAGCACTGAACTGTTGTCATTCATTTTCTGTTCTTTTTTTTTAGGGGCAAAACGAGTGTTAGAGCTGGCCAAGTACATTGGAGAGCAAGGGAGAGCGCTCTTCCGCAAATCCTTTGGCCATAGTGCTGACTACTCACTAGGTGAGGCATTCTGGGTTTGCTCGAATCTCTTCAGTGATGTCCGCCTCAAGATGAGCCACAAAAGGATCATGCTGTTCACCAATGAAGATAACCCTCATGGGCAAGACAGCGTGAAAGCCAAATTTGCTAGGACCAAAGCCGCTGACCTCCGAGAGACAGGTCAGTACTTCAAACTAAAATGGTGCCGCCTCTTAGCGAACTAAACAGTGTTTGCAAAACTGGTTCCCAATGCTATTTGTTATAAGTAATCTTAGGGCACAATCATTTATTACATTTTTCTCCCACTTTTCTTTCAAGAAATTGATGGAGGCATGTGTGGTTCTGTCCCACCCTCCTGTATTCTTACAACTCTGTGAGTTAGGTTAGTCTGACTCTGAAGAGATAGTGACTAGGCCAAAGTCACCCATTTGAAAGCTTTATGGCATGAGTGGGTATTGGAACTTGCTTGTGCACTCAAACTTCTTTTAAGCTGTTTAGCATAGTGCAGAACGTGATTGGTGGCTGAATTTGAAAGCAGGCTAATGGAGAATGTTGGTGTACATTAACCCTTGCTAGTATGAACTCCATACTCTTTGCTTTATGCCACGGGCGCCAAGTATGTGGAGCTGTGAGGACCAAGGGCCCCTCAAATCCCAGATCAGAGGGGTGCTCCCCTCCATATATTTTGGGTGGTCAACATCATGTGCACACACCGCAGAGTACAATGATGTCACGTGCATGGCACACTGATGTCATGCAGCCAGGGCCCTCTCAATCAAGGCGGCACGCATGCTTCTTGTTCCTTCCCTGACCCCTGTGCTTCGTTCTGTGGCTGTTTAAGCTCTTTTGCAAAATGAAAACCTTTAACATTCTAGGAAATTGGTAATCTATATTGCTCCAATTCTGTTTTGACTCCAGGTATCTACCTTGACTTAATGCACTTGAAGAAGCCTGGGGGGTTTGATATCTCCTTGTTCTACAGGGATATAATTAATACAGCAGAAGATGAGGACTTGGGAGTCCAGTTTGATGAGTCTGGAAAGCTAGAAGACCTCATGAAGAAAGTACGAGCAAAAGAGACCAGGAAGCGAGCTTTAGCCAGGTGTGTATTGAGAAAAAAATTAAATTCTCCTCCTCTTGTGGCGTAGTGGTCAAGAGAGATTTTGGAGAAAATACTTCCTCTCAATAAATGCCAGCCACTTAACAGTTATGTTAAAGTACATAATGCTAAGTTGTGGAAAGTTTCCTTTGTGTTGTTTTGGGGTGAGAATCTTTTCATATGCTTTTATCTCTTTAAAGACAATACAGGATCTAGAAAGCTTCAATCTGTATTTCTTGATTCTTGGCAGGCTGAATTTGTATCTGGGAAAAGATGTGGCTCTTTCTGTTGGCATTTTCAACTTAGTGCAGAAAGCTGTCAAGCAGCCACCAGTGAGACTTTACAGAGAAACCAATGAGCCAGTGAAAACAAAAACCCGAACCTTTAATCGACAGACGGGTAGTTTGCTTCTGCCAAGTGACACCAAGAGGGCTCAGGTAAGGTACTTTGAGAATTATTTCCTCAGTCTCCTCTCCCCCATTTTCCCTTGGCAGAATTTGCAAGCCCATTTTAAAAAATGGAAGAAACAATCCAGACACATCATAGCACCTGTTGGGATTAGCAAGCCCTATCAGCCAGACCCTGTGTTCCATTGTGACACACAAGGTCTCTTTAATATTTATATGCCAAAGATTATATATGTACTGATTTTTCTTCCCTTTCCCCAACAGACTTCTGGGTTGGGCTACGAGTAGAGGAATAATTTTATAAATAATTATTTGCAAATAATTGGGCCCTATTGTGTCACACACTGGCAATTGTTTTAAGCATTTTCTCTAATTTTCCATTTTCTTCAAGCATAACTTTCTGTCTTTTGGCAGTTAGTTCTCATTAATTTCCAAGGTTTTTAAAGGACAGTCAACTAGTTTTTTGTTTTTTTAATGGAAGTAGCCTGCAAATAAATGACCTCCACAAGGAATAAAGCTAAGGCTCTATGTTGCAGATCAGGTGGCTAATGTTGCAAAAATGTTTTTGGCAAGCATTTAACAAAAGTGTGTTCATATGAATGGTTTTGCTGCATGACCGGTTTTGTTTATATTGTTCTAGTTCCAAGGATCTCGGAGGTCCTGTTCATCATGGACAACCTCTGGCTCTCCTCTTGAGCTTGGAACTGTGCAGAAGAACCAGGGATTGTCCCCAGGCCGCTGCTTTTTGAAAGTGATTTAAGCCTGAGGCTCCCTCTAGTTGAGCATCAGCTGGGAGAATGTTGGGGAAGGGTCAAAATTTTGGCTGACTACCAAAGGCAGCCTAAATTTGTGGACCCCTGGAATAGCTATTCCCACCCTGAGGTGCAAAGAGAGGGAACCCACTGCAAGTGGGAGCTTTTGAAATAGGAGTGACTAACTTGTGGTCCTCCAGATGTTGTTTGAGTGCATCTCCCATCAACCCCAGCCAGCATGGCCAGGAGTTAGGGATGATGGGGGTTGTAGTAGTTCAGCAACACCTGGAGATGAAGAGGTTAGCCATCCCTGATTTACAGTATGTGGATAAAAACAGGAGTAGCTGTCTGATAAAATTATTCTTGGCGAGTGAGACAAGAATGGTTTTACCCAGAGGCTTGCCATAGATCTCTTTGCTGACTTTTTACAGTGTAACTACAGATTTGCTAGACTCTATAGGCATGATTATGTTTCCAAGAACACTAGACCTATATTTTACTTCACTTGGGCCCGAGCTTGTTATTTTTCTAGCTACTTTTCTTCCCCCTGCTCCCTTTTTGTAGATCTATGGGAACCGTCAGATTGTGCTGGAGAAAGAAGAGACAGAAGAAGCAAAAAGGTTTGAGCCACAAGGCTTGTATCTGATTGGCTTCAAGCCCCTGGTAATGTTGAAACAACACCATCACATCAGGCCTGCCCAGTTCATCTATCCTGAAGAGTCTTTGATTAGTGGTAAGCATATTGTGGGAAGGATATTCTGCTTTGTAACTTGACAGTGAAATTTCATTGTGCAGAGCAGGATTTCAAACATGAAAATAGGGGATGATGATATGAGGTCGACTTTTTGGACCCATACCAGTCAGGGTACAGAGCAGGATTAGGCTCAGTGCCATGATTAGCATATTGATAAGGTTGCATTCCTTATCAATTCCAAACATTATATATATGTTAAAATCACTCGGGATGAAACCTTGTGGCTGCACAGGTTAAATCCCGTGGTGTAGGACAACAGTCACCTAACAGCAAGTAGCTTGGTCAACTCCCAACATCCACCCTGGAGGGTGGATAAGAAATCAAATACATCATTATATTGATTTGATTTGTTGCCCTTCACCACAAGGTCCCAGGGTGGGTTACAGCGATTTAAAAGTACAATATTAAAATGATTTCAAAACAAAAACCATTACAATAATAGGGTGGGGAAAGAGGTGTGTCTTCAGCATGCAATGGAAACTACATAATGAGGGCGCCAGGCACACCTCTGTTGAGGAAATTCCAAAACTTAAAGAGGTTGCCATGGAGATTGCCCTCTCTCTGGCTTCTGCCCGCCCCCCTGACTAAACTTTTGAGCTGCTGATTATTGCTACCCTCTAGAAAAGAAGCACATTTACAAAAAACCAGAAACTATACTTTTCTGTCCCAAAACCATGGTAACCAGCCACACACAGAGAGATATAGTTGCATATAGTCCTCTGCAGAAGCTTGATGTAGTTATTTCAGATGTGCTTTGAGCCACCAGAGTTGTTTCATTAAAGTAACAAGCATGGATTTTTGCTTTTAGGAAGCACCACATTATTTAATGCCCTGCTGACAAAGTGTCTGGAGAAAGGGGTGATGGCCGTATGCAGGTACACACCCCGTCGGAACACTCCTCCTCGGTTTATAGCCCTGGTTCCTCAGGAAGAAGAGTTGGATGAGCAGAATGTGCAGGTGGCCCCCTCAGGTAACGAGTTGTTGGCATTTCTGTCTTACAGATGGCTAGTGTGGTGTTGTTCTACCACTGTCAGAAGTTTTTTCTGCCATCTGATTTAAGGAGAGGAGGTTTATACTTTGATGAGCAGCATGGAGTGGCTATAGATTTATCCCCCATCTTGTATAATATTAGCATTACTTTTTATGCACTGGTGTCTTATATAGCTTCCAGTGTATGGTTTGGATTACTTTGGCTGCTTCTGATGAACTCATTAAGGGTATCTCATCTCCTACAGATAGGTAATCAGTAACACACAAGATAATTTTGGGGTTCATTTCAATATCCCACTATTTAATTGCATCAGGTTAGTTCCTCCAGACTTAACAAGACTGGACCCAGAGATGCCTTAGTGAGAATATTTCTGCTTTTGTAAGGTAATCCAAATACCACCAATTTCTTCGCTCAGTGCACAGAGTCCTGCCTGCCACCTAATACCACCCTATTCTGGAAGTTACTCTTAATTCTCAAGAACAGATTTTTGGGCCAGGCAAAGATCCTTGTCAGCCTCCAGTCTTTCCTTTCCCCAAACTCCTACAAAGTCTCCATGTTTTGTGTGTGGGATCTTGGCTCTGCCTGTTTCACCTTGCAAACTGTTAGGATATTTCCGTTCCACCTTAAAAGGGAGCAGGCTGTGAGTCACAGAGTCTGCGTATTTCCTGTTCACAGGATGTTTATGTTTTCTGTTGCTTTCGTTTTCTCTCTGTGTCGCAGACACTAAAGCAGTCAGTCATGTTTTTCTGTGTTCTGATCAACGCTGAATAAACTTGTAAATAATGCTCTCCTGACTGCAGCTTTTGGCTGTGCATTATCTGCTGATAGAGTGTGCATGAGCTCTAGAATGTGGCAAGATATTTTCTAGAAACTCATGTCGCTGCGTGCCTACGGGAGGTCGATGGATCGTCCGGCAGACGGCTTGGGGGCCTTGATGGACCCCTGGCAGTATCCCAGTTTCACCTTGCAAACTTCCATAAGCTATATCTTAGAAGCTGTTGAGATCTTCTTCCTAGTCTATGTGATGTTTCTCAGAACCAGAATTTCTATCTTCTAGCTGAGAGGATGGCATCTCTATCATGAGATACTGTTATTTGTGGACTAGTTTTAGAGCAAAACCAGAATGCAGACCAGAAATGTTTATCAATAACGGTAAAAAAAAAATTCCTTAATTGCTTGTGGGGTGAAATACATTTTACTCTTTGGTTAAGTAGTATATCATAATATTTTTCCTGGCTTATTGCTCTCACTATGGGTATTTAAAGATGTCTTATTCTGAGTTGTTTCTAATAAAATAAATTAAGACATGCTGTAGCTTTTTTCTGGTCTGCCTCTGTTAATATCTTTTGCACATTATGTCCCTATTCTGATAAATTATTCTGTTGTCTTCAAAACGTTCCCATTCACTGACACTCAAAACAACTAGTTCACAACTGGTAGTTTTAGGTAGTAATCAAGCATTCACATGTTGATTTCAATCTAAGTGGCAACCCTAACGATAATGTGACTTCAGATCTGTAGATCATTTGTTAGAGATATGAGCATTTGGGAACATTTTTGAGTATCTCATTTCTTTCATGTATATATTCGTTCCTTCTATTTAGGGTTTCATCTAATTTTCCTACCTTATGCGGACGACAAACGAAAAGTTGACTTTACAGAGAAGCTCCAAGCTAATCAAGAACAAGTAAGCAAAATGATGGAAATAGTCCACAAGCTTCGGTTCAAGTACAGGTGAGTAGAGATGGGAGGAAGGCAGGATCAATGCCCATGTGCAAACAGTTCTTGGACAACCCAGTGGCACTGTCGCTCATTTATACTTTAACCCGGGATTTCAACAGGAGTGAGAGCTTTGAGAATCCGGTTTTACAGCAACACTATATGAACCTGGAGGCCTTGGCCCTGGACTTACTGGAACCTGAAAAAGCTGAAGATCTGACAGGTAAGACTAATTTAGTGAGTGTAGTTTGACATTTCCCCCCTGTTGCAGTCCTTGGAATTTCCCACAAGCAACGAACTGTTTAATCCAATGGTATGTTTGCACATCATACAAAAAATTGCAGGTTTTAGACTAAAGTGAGTTGCAGCTGAAGCAAATGTGGGTAACCTGTGGCTCACATGAGACCCTGGGGAGCCCTAATCATTTTGTCACCACTGCCTGACAGATTAACCACCAACTGTATTGGTAGGGAAAGAGAGGTGTTCCCGTCCTGCAGGTGTGTGGCATCTTTGGTCCTCCAGAAATGGCTGAGCCACAACTTCCATCATCCAACTTCCATTGCCCATGCTCTCTGGAGCTGATGGAAGTTGCACGTCAGCAACACCTGGAGGCCAAAGGTTCCCCCCACCTTCTGTGCTGATGAACAACACATGGATATAGCAATTTTGACTGCATTGGGATTGCTGTGAAGGGGAGGGTAACCCCGGCTATCCCTAACACTCTCCATGCAGCCAAGATACTGGCTCATGCTGCTGTTAGCCCAAAGCAGTATTGGGACCATAGCTGTCAACGTTTTCCTTTTTTTTAAGGGAAATTCCCTTATTCCGAATAGGATTCCTCGCAAGAAAAGGGAAAAGTTGGCAGCTATGATTGGGACTGGATGCATTTTGGATCATTGGGATGGGTAGGGAGAGGTTGAAACCCGATGCAGCCAAGTTTGCTGTCAAGCTCTGAGGGAATCTGGAGTGCTGGGGAGGTTGAAATGCATGGGCATGTGTGAGAGAGGGGTGGGTGGGGAGAGATGTCAACATGTGTCAGCTGTGTTGTTATTATTAATAATAATTAATAGTAGTGAGTGGGAAAGGTTGTGGGCCTGTGTGTGTTCGGGAAAGAATTTGTGAGTGAGAATACATTTGAATGAGTGTACAGTGGTACCTCGGGTTACATACGCTTCAGGTTACAGACTCCGCTAACCCAGAAATAGTGCTTCAGGTTAAGAACTTTGCTTCAGGATGAGAACAGAAATCGTGCTCCGGCAGCAGCAGGAGGCCCCATTAGCTAAAGTGGTGCTTCAGGTTAAGAACAGTTTCAGGTTAAGTACGGACCTCCGGAACGAATTAAGTACTTAACCCGAGGTACCTCTCTATAAATGTGAGAGGGGGGTGGACATTAGCTCTGGCACCACCCACTGCCTCAATCCACCCTTGGGGGTAAAGACTACATAAGAACAACAATGTGCCTTTCATGTCATAAACTGATAGCCAAAATTCAGTTTTGAATCTTATTTTTGACCGCATGAAATAATCAGGATCTCATAAAAAAGGGCCTTAGACCTCCTGTTTTCTTGAGGTTTTAGAAACAATGGAGCTCAGTTGGTAGAGCATGAGACTCTTAATCTCAAGGCCATGGGTTTGAGCCCCACATTGAGCGAAAGATTCCTGCATTGCAGGGAGTTGGACTAGATGATCCTTGTGGGACCCTTACAACTCTATCCTGTGATCTATGGTTCCTTCTTTATCAGTGTAAGCATCATTTTTGCTAACGGACCCGATTGTTAGTTCATGAAGACTGAAGCAAAAATTAAGCTCTTCAGTCTTTCCAGTATATTCTAGCTTTTTGCTTCCCCATTTCATTGTGGCTCACTTTTGTCTTAGATACGCCGTTTTCCAAATTAAAATGGTTTTATAATTTGTATTTATTTCAGTTGTGCTTTTGAACCATCTACCTTAAAGCTCAGTGTTTTGTATGTTTCCTCTGTAGAACCATTATTTCTGTATATTTGAATATTTTTGCTGTTTTGAAGTGTGTTATGCAGACATTTTCTCCCTATTCTCCAGTGCCCAAGGTTGAGGTGATGGATTCCAGAATGGGTAATCTTGCAGAAGAGTTCAAACAACTAGTTTACCCACCAGGCTATGATCCGGATGGGAAAACCACAAAGCGTAAACAAGGTAAGATTGCAACAGAACCCAGAGAGAGAGGTAGTTACATCCTTCAAGTTCATTTTCTGCTCTATCACACCAGATTGTGGTTGGATTATCATGGGCTAGGTAGGAGTCTATCTTGACACTGTGTCAGTGTACTGTTGCAGGATATTTTGTAATGGCTGTATAAGATATATTTTATTTATAACAAGGTATTGGAAACACACAAGTAATCCAAAAATCTCTTTCCAGTAGGGGATGGTACCATACCACTAGAAAAGAAAGCAAAGATCGAAATCTCTGAAGACGACCTGAGGAATCATGTTCAAAAAGGCACTTTGGGTAAACTGACTGTGCCAGTTTTAAAGGAAGTGTGCAGGAATTACAAGCTGACAGCAGGAACGAAGAAGCAAGAACTCTTAGATGCTGTGACTGAATACTTCAGTAGGCACTGAGAGTTCTATGCTCACTCTCCTCCCTAAGATTTTGACAAGGAAAAGGGGTGCAGCATCTTTATAGCCATAGATCAAAGGGAACAGGGACTTTTTTTCTTGAGAGTTTAAGACTATGTAATAATGAGGATTAATGGGAAAATGCTTCATTCTCCCCACCTGTTTCTAGACTTTATGAAAATGTGTCTTAATAAATGAGCTTGTTATGTATATCTGTCCCTGCTTTTCTTCTTGTTTCTTTTGCTGTTTCATAAACATAGTGAGCAGAGTTGCTTGTGTTCATGCAGAACTTGATGCTGCAGATTCAGTGAAGTGTCCACAGCACAAATTATATGGGATTAGTTTCAGTTGTTGTGGCCCAAGGAGGCTGACATGATGCTTAGAAAGGTCTGACCGACCATGCATGTCCCTCAGCCCTTGCCTTTATGGCAATTATCATTATTATGATCGTCATCATCATTATACTTTCCACTGTGGACTCACCTACCAGTGGCACATGGCTCTCAGCTGAGAAGGGAATGCAGCCCTGGAGCTGAAAAAGGTTCCCCATCCCCGGTCTGTTTGAAGCTGCTGGGGATTGTTTTCACAAAGAAGAATTTATCCAGGTCACTACCACCTGATGAATTAATTATTCCCTCTTGCAGAAGATGCAAACATTGATAGCTTATATTCATAAAAACTTGGTCCCATATAAAACATAGTGACTAAGGCTTTAGTCATCCTGTTATATTCGGGCCATCCAGCAAATATTTTAAACCACACAAAAGACTGAGATCACACAACATACAAACATAATTGTGTTTTTAATATATATAAAAAGTTAAAGCCACTGCCTTTGACAATATTATTTCATCTGCCCTTTATTTCTAACAGTGTTCTATCAAGTTGTATTAGGACTAGTATTTGAAAGATGGACACCCTCAATGGGTGAACATCATACTGACCAGAACAAGGTCATATGTTTTGTATTTACAAATCTTCAGCCTAATCTTCTGCAACTGAAGTTTGTTTATTGCCGAAAAGGATAGCCTAACTAAAATTCCACTGGGGAGAGTTGCATCAGAATGAAGAATTTAAAACAAAAGACTGGACATCCTCTTGTTAAACATCTAAATGGCAAGTGTAATGGAGGCAGGCAGAAGGGAGATCTGGTAGAAAACAAAAACAGTAGTAAACATTGTACAAGTGACAAGACTCATCTTTCACAGAGTTATTTTAGTTTAGTAAGTGAGTGGTCTGATAAGATTTAGACCAATAGTCTCTCGATAGCTTGTTGGACAGACTGAATCTGTGGCTTTAGCTGTGAGCCTTCTTTGATAGTAATTGAACAGGCAATGACAGGCCGAGAAACACCACATGCCCGCCCCAGGGCCTGCTTGGAGCGCACAAACACGTAGGGCACATTCTTGTCCTCACAAAGCAGTGGGAGGTGAAGGATGATCTCAAGGGGCTCCGCATCTGCAGCCATCACAATGAATTCAGCAATGCCTCTGTTCAAAGTTTTAGTAGCTGTGGAAAAGAAATTGGTACAATGAAAACTCCATTTCCTCACTCTGTCAGGACTCACTCAGTAAAATCAAACAAGCAGCTAGTTGCAACATTAAGAGGGCAAATCCAATGTAAAAGGTTTTATGTACCTATCTATTGGATAATTGCTTGGCTTCTACAAAAAATTAAGTTTCCGTTACTTGTCAAAGACAAGCTAGGGATTCAAAGAACTTTTGGGTGGATCCTAAAACTTCCCTTTGCCCACTGGAATTTTTGGCCATGAACAAATTAATCTCCCCAACTAAGAATGCTTATTTGTGATAACCTTCCTGCTACTGCCCCAAATTTGCAGAACTGGAATAGTGAGTAAGAAAAGTCAGGGTGTCTGGACTGATAGTAGCAAGTTAATCTAATCCCCAAGACCAGGATGACAACCACAGAATAGGCAGAGGTGTTTGGGGGCATATTTAGGCAAAGTATGAACTACTTTTTCCACAAGAGACAATGCAAACCTAATACTCTACAAGAATGGGCAATTAATGGTACAAGCTCAACCCAATCTCACCTTCATTGGCTCCTTTGCGTAGCTGTTTGTAATTACAGGACTGCTGTACAAGATCAAGCAGTGTCTTGGTGAGCTGAGCATCAGCTAGTGGATAAGCTTTAGGATTCACTTCTGCCTCAGTCTATAGAAGGAAACAAAGAATCAAGGTATAGTTAGCAATTTCTCTTCTTCCAAGCATTTGCTGTCACAGCTACCTCTTTCTGTGTAACTTAAGATAGTTCTGTAAGTCTGCGAGTTCCTACAACGGCTAGGTCAATATGAGAAGGGCCACATCTGGTTGACTTTCCACTGTTCAGGTATTCCGTTTTTCCAGCTTCTCTCAAACCAATGAGGAAAAAAGGCAAAATACATACTGGCCACAGAACCCAGGCAGAGTCTAAGTAGTTATTCAGCCATGAAACTAGCTGAAAATCCTTGGGTTAGCCACATGCAATCTGCCTAACCCAGAGGTTTTCAACCTTTGAGTCCCTTACCCAACTACATCTTCCTGCGGCATCCCTGTGGGGCTCAGGAGCCCAATTATGTCACCCCTTGCCTGCAGAGCTGGCAGCCTCTCACCCTTTTTTGAACACCCTCTCTTGTGGAGTGTTCCCTTACCCTCTTCTCCTTAGGAGTCCCCTGGGCAGCTGCTGCCACCGCCTCTAGTCTTTGAGCTGCACCCCCACCCCAAAGAGAGGTGCCTCCCAGAGGCACCATTTGCCTGCAGAGCTCGTAGCCAGCTGTGCAGGCCTTTGGGAGGCAGAGACACAAGAGGGCATCAGAAGAGGGCCAGGGGCCAGTGTTGTCCACGGCATCCCTGATCATAATTCAAGGCACCCCAGGGTGCCACAGCACACTGGTTGAAAACCACTGGCCTAACCTCACACGGGGCTCCTATGGTGGGGTTGATCCTTACGTGCATGATCATGGGATGGTTGGTGGGGAGGGGCGAAATAAAAAGAGCGTAAGTCAACCGGAGAAGCGAGGCAGTAGGAGCACGTGGGTGCCAAGATGAAGCCCTGGCCTCCCTAACATGCCTACAAAGGCGCTTCTAAACGGCGCGAGTGACGGCGAAGTTTCTCCAATAAATCAGTGCTGCTTAAAAAAGCGCATCAACTTGAATATTAAAAGAAGCAGCCGCCTTGTGAGTGACGCCGAGGCTTCCTTGCTTCGCACGTGGTAGCCCCCCCCTTTCACAGGAAAGGGGCAGGCCATGCCGGGGAAGCCTCTTCCTCGTTCCCCACGCGTGACATTTCCACGGGCCGCCCCCTCTCCCCCTTCCCCCGCCGCCACTAAAGCCAGCTCGGCGTCCTCAGCGACCCCCAGCGCAGACGTAAAGCGGGGTCCCCGCCTGCTCCGCCCGCCTCGCCCCGAGTCCACTCACCATGTCTGCGAAGTAGAAGAACCACTCGAAGCGCCTGGCTCTGGATCGATCCTCTCGGCCCGAAAGCTTCACGGAGGAAGAGCCTCGCAACGCTCTCGAACGCAAGGCAGACGCGCGCGCTCTTGGAAGTGACGTCGAGGGAGAAAGGGCAGGAAACACCGCGCAGGCCTTCCCTTAGGGAGAGAAGATGAACCCCCCCAACCTCGCCATTGCGACCTCTAGCGTTGGCGGACTAGGAAAGAAACTCTCAGGCACTGGACCGGACCTAAGAAGGGATGCGGCAATCTTCTGCGCATTTACCAGGGAGTAAATCCCATGGAGGCTAGCGGAATCGCCTCCTCCATAAAGGCGTTTAATGAAATTTTGAGCCAGCCAGCCAAGAGTACAACTATGTAGTGCCTGGTCCATCCACAATATGCCGCATCCACAATGTGCTTTGATTCAAATTTGGGTTTTGCCTGTTCCCTACTCCTGTGCAGTTGGCAGCGGCGAGACAGAAATTAAAACAGGTGTGACTCTCGTCCTCAAAATTACATCATCTTGCCAGGAATAGTTTAACCTGAATTACAGACCACAAGGCCGGTGGAAGCCGCCTTAAGCTAAATTACGGTAGATCATCGGTCCACCTAAGTCCAGGATTGCTTACACCGAGTGGCGTCGAGTTTCCAGGTTTCCAGAAGGATAATTCGACATGGAAGCGCCCGACATTGAACTGGGACTCCCTGCCTACAAAGCAGGTACTTAACCACTCAGCTACAGTCCTTTCGGGGAAATCTAGAGGAATAGTCTAGAATCCTGCCCGAATGCGCACATGTGGCTGCAATCCTTAAGGTCCAATTCACTTGACAGTGCAATTCTACGCAGTTTGTATGAAGAAAGACCCGCTGAGTGCAGCGAGGTTTCCACTCCTTAAGTGGTCATTAGGGAATAAAGCACAATGCACTTCTTGGGATTTCTGAGCAGGCATGCTTAGGATCGCGCGGCAAGCCCCGCCTTTGTTTCAGGTGCATTTTATCGGCGCGCAGGATTTACACGCCGCGTTCTTCGAAGCATAAGAAATTCCAAGCAGTTTTCAACACAGAGAACTATACTAAAAAAAAAGGGGGGGGGGAAACCCAACCCACAACCTTTTAAGAAAATGGTTCAACCTGTGCTGCAAATAATCATTGCATTCCGCAGGATGACTCGGTCAGTGGGCTCCGAGTCCGCGAAGCCACCAGAAAGCAGCCTCGGAAGCGCGGCAGATTCCGCAGCAGGCGCTGCTCCTTCGGACCGCGCTGCGCGGCAGGCATTGCGCCTGCGCGAACATTTGCCGCCAAATCTCTCGCTCTCGCCTTCTGGCGGTAGCCGGGATCCGAGAGAGGGAGGGAGAGAGAGCGGGGAAGGGATGGAGGCTGCGATGGCGGAGCTCCTTGTCTGCGAGCGGTTCCACCAGCGGCACGACCCCCGCTGGCTGCTGGAGCTGCCGCCTTCGCCGCTTTGCTTGGCGTGCGCCATTGAGACGCTCCAGGATGGCGAGGCCTCGGTGGGTGCGCCCGTCTCTGAGGCACCCAGCCAGCAGCACCCATTCTCCCTTGCCCCTTGCCTCACCTTCCCGGTGGTTTGTGTGCCCTGTATTTTGGGGCTCTGACCTATCTGCAATGCAAGGCCTCTTGTTTACTCTTGACATTTGTTACAGTAATGATGATGGTGCCATGTACATACAACAGGCTTTACAAAGAGGCTTACAATTAAGTAAGAAAGCGGGGTGTAGCAGGTAGAGCTGGATGAATGGATTGTGGAGGACCCAAGAAGGGATCTATTACTGGGTGATGGGGGTAAAAGGCACAGGGAGTTTTATATCCTGTGTTCCATTCTAGGAGGAAATTAAGAGGGAATTCGAAAACTTCCAGTACAGGTTGGCACAAGACTATAAGCTTTGCTTATTTTTCTCAATAAATAACTGATACAGTTTTGCTTTTCTAATATTTAGCTAGTACGCAAGAAACATGTGCTTTCCTGCCTTCGGGATGTTCTGATTCGGCATGCAACCCTGGTCATGCCATTGCTTGCACAAGATGAAAGAGTGTGTGCTCATTTCATAGCAACTTTGTTTGGTAAGAGAAAAGTATACTAACTTGGTGAATGTAACAGGTGTAGAAGTATTACTCATGGCTTTTCTGAGATAGAAGATTGGAAGCAAGTATTTTATTCCACTATGGTGTACCATAGAGGCTAAGATTATGAGCTGATGGAAAGGCCAAACTAGAATTTTAAATGTGTGATAGTGTTTAACATGTTTATTCTTTTCCTCTGCCCCTGGTAAGTAACAACTGTTGGTCTAACTTTTAATCTCAATGAATTATTTTCCAAGTGCATTCCAATCACAGGGATTTGGGGAGGGATGTTGAAGCTTAGAGGGACACATTTTCTCCTTGTGAATTTCATCTACTTACATAATAAGAAAGAAAAATTATAGCCATTTTTTTATTTCCCGTTAGAGTCAACAGGGGTGAAACAGAGCTTTGGACTTAACAGATCAGATTTGCACCTTAATAATGAATCAAATTGGAACAATACATGTGCTAGTAAATATTGTGGTTGCTGTACACCCCTGGTTATACTCATTCATGAAAATGGCTTCGGGAGTAATCCCTGAGGAAAAATCCATCTCCACTGCCTTGCGGGATGTCTCTGGGAGAAGAAAAGTCTATGAAGTAAACACTACACAAATCTGGAGCGGAGTCCCTAAGATAATTGGATGGTGCCTTGTATGCCTCTTGGCAGTTCCTGCAGCCAAGCTGGTGCCAAATATATTCATTTCCTTACCTTTGCTCGACATCAGTGAGGCCGGAAGCCATAGGCACAGCCACTTCTCCTTTCTTCTTCAGCAGCAGCAGTTGATCTGTTGGGTGCTTGGATCTGCTGCCCCTGTGGATCTTGCCAGCTGAAGCAGAACTGCTTCATATTGCCTCATTAAAAGGCTGACCCTGGGTGCAATTCTAACCCCCAGATATACCATGTCCTAAACTCTCCCAGCTGATTTATCTTGTTTCCTGCTACTCAAGAGCTGTGACTCTCCTGACCAGAAGCCTATGTTCATGACACCTAGAGTAGGGTTACCAAAAGGGGGAAATGTGATAATGCTGGAAGAACGTCTCTTTCTCCTCTGCCTCTATGATCTTCACAAAAATTTCCAAGCCCTGCAGCACAATCCTGTGTATGATTACTTAGAAGGAAGTTCAGTTTTGTTACAGATGGGAGCCCCAGTATAGATTACAAAAAATAATTGTGATTAATCTGTGGGTTGATCTTAACAGAGATATTGCAAACTGTGGAAGATGGCAGTGTACTGGATTTACTCATTGAAGGTGAGAAGCAAATGGTGAATTGCTGTTGGGTATGGGAAGCAATGGGCGTGGGTGGCGCTGTGGGTTAAACCACAGAGCCTAGGACTTGCCGATCAGAAGGTCGGTGGTTCGAATCCCCGCAACAGGGTGAGCCCCCATTGCTTGCTCCCTGCTCCTGCTAACCTAGCAGTTCGAAAACACGTCAAAGTGCAAGTAGATAAATGGGTACCGCTCCGGTGGGAAGGTAAACGGTGTTTCCGTGTGCTGCTCTGGTTCACCAGAAGCGGCTTAGTCATACTGGCCACATGACCCAGAAGCTCCCTCGGCCAATAAAGTGAGATGAGTACCGCAACCCCAGAGTCGGTCACGACTGGACCTAAGGGAAGCGACTGGCCCTTTACCTTTAAGGGAAGCAATTACTGTACTATTTTTAGGTCAAAATTGCATTAGCATTTTTATCAGTGTAAAAAGCTCCAATCCAAATGAAATGAGAAATTTCATAAAGGTTGCAATCCTAAACTCACTTTCTTCAGAGTAAGTTTTATCAAACAGTGTTTTTTAATCTGAGTAAACACACTTAAGGTTGCACTGTGTAAAGAGTAACTCAGCTTTTAAGATTTTCATACATTCTTAATGAGAAAATACATATGGAAATAAAATATTTCTGTAGTAGTAGCTATGGTTAATGCAGAGTTTACACATCAGGACCCCTTCCAACTCTGCAATTCTATGATACAGATTTCAGTAGAAAACGACTCAGTACAGATATTGTCATGACCCTTGAACCCACCAGCCCAATCCATTCTTGAACTGGGTTGGAGTTCAAATTGTTATATCAAGTGAATTGGCATCAAATAAGTAACTGGAGCATACTCTTAAGTGGCTTTCTTCTCTCAAGCCATATTTTCAAATACTTTCCTAGTTTTTAAGGAGCTGTGTAGTTTAGCAAGGAACCTAAGGAGGTTGACTCTATATGTCTCAGCTATTGGAATTCAAAGAACACACCCAATTCTTGAATCAAAATTACATTAATACTATTTATTCAAACTAGGAAAATGATTTACCAGCTTCATATGAACCATCTGCTGCACTCTTCTTAACAAAGCCAAGGTTTTCCATGAGCTTATTTTTTGGTAGAACAGATGGAATAGGATCACTGTGCAGTGATTATGAGCCAAGAAAATACGTCTCAGCTGGTGGGTGTTGAGGAACTGAAACACTTATGATATGACTACCTGACAAATTAATTTATGTTTCCTGAGTTGTATTTCTCTCTCTGTCCTGCTCCGATATGTGGAGGAGAGAGCCTAGAGTATATTTATGAGAAAACAATTTTGCCCTCACCTAAGCCTGAAAAATCATTCTCTTGAGAGATTTGCTGACATCAAGACCTATTGCTCTGGTTGTGGGTAGGGATTTGCTATTTCTTGATTTCTCTTCATTATAAATATCACACATCGCTGTTGACTTCCTTTCTGTTATCATGTATAACCTTATGATGTAGTGCTTGAGTTAAAGGGAAAGAGCAAGATGCCCTTTTCTCTGATAAGGAGGCCACATTTTCTCCCCCACTCCTTCCAGGCAAATGCTCTGTAGGGAAGAGCTGCACTGGAAAGGCTGGTGAGGCAGGTGGGGTTCAATATTTTATTATGTAATAATGCCAGCTGTAGGGCTCATCCACACTTCCATTTGCCCCTCTGGAAAACTCGCGGTTTAGCGCTGAATCGGAACCAACGACAATCGGGTTTTCCGTGGATTGCAATTTGTTCCAATTTAGTGGTAAAGAGTGGGTTTCTCAGGGGAAAGCAGAAGGACGGAGAGAAAACTGCTGGGACCCGTGCCTTCTAGGCATGGGATAAGTGGAAGTGTGTGAGAGACAGAAGTCACAGCAAAACCTATTAAAAGCAAGTGAGAAATAATAATAATAATTAATAATAATTTTTTTATTTATACCCCACCCTTCCTGGTTCAGAAAACTGGGCTCAGGGTGGCTAACAACAAATTTAAAACAATTGATGCAACAAAAAACAGCATAAAATACAGTATAAAATGTGAATAACAATAAATTCAGAATTCAAAAATCAATTTAGGGGGAAAATGTGTTGTGCCTAACCTTCCCCTCCTTGTGTTCAGTTTTGGTACTGCTGGTAGTAGGACTGAAGATGGAGCGGTACCTGCACTATCTATTGGATGAATGTCAGAAAGAGGTTGGTACAGATTATTTCCTTGCTGCTTCAAATGTACAGACTCCCACTCCTACTTATACACATTCAGTATGGCTCTCGCTCTCAGGCTTCTTGCCTGCTTCCAGTTCAGCTCACATGCAAAACTCTGATCTTTGTCTTTCTCACTACTAGCCAGGCAAGGGAAGGAGCCCACCCAATTGCCCTCTGGCACAGAACAGCTTCCTTTGTTATACTAATGACTAGACTTAGGTGACAACTTGTGGGATTCAGGTGGTGCTGTGGTCTCAACCACTGAACCTCTTGGGCTCACTGATTGCAAAGTCAGCAGTTTGAATCCGCAAGACAGGGTGAGCTTCCGTTGCTGTGTCCCAGCTCCTGCAAACCTAGCAGTTCAAAAGCATACCAGCGTGAGTAGATAAATAGGTACCACTGTGGCAGGAAGGTAAACAGCGTTTCCGTGTGCTCTGGCTTCTGTTATGGTGTTCCGTTGTGCCAGAAGCGTTTTAGTCATGCTGCCCACATGAAAAGCTGTCTGCAGACAAATGCTGGCTCCCTAGGCCTGAAAGCGGAGATGAACGCTGCACCCCATAGTCGAAAGTCGAATTCAACTGGACTTAACTGCCTAGGGGTCCTAGGTGGTAACTTAGGTGACAACTACAATCCTTGCTTGGCTAATTCAACAATGGAATCCTTCATTGGATTTTAACCCTTGCTGAATGCAGGACCTCAGGAATTACAAGGGACAAACATCACACTTATTAACCCTCCCTCCAACACACAACAGTATTACTCTCCTGCAATAAATTGTAAATTCTTTTATCCTAAGCTTTCATCTCTTGTCTATTGCTAATTCAGATGTCTTTGGTTGCTAATTGGTGCTTCCTGTACACAAATGTTTCCCCAACATATGCGCTTGAAGATAAGTGATAACAAACTTGTATCAGTTCACTATGTGGGTGGTGGTGTGAGGGCACTTCCTTCTGAATAGCAAGTTCAAAGAATGCTAGGGTAAGCAGAACTATATGGACCCTGCCATGCAAGTTGCAATGCGACTGTATCTGTGAGGTAAAGCGCATTTTCAAAAAGATAGTCTGCTGAATTGTCTGGTGTGCTTTTTTAAATGTAAGGACATTTTCTCACTGCTTTAATTTTTCACTTGTTTGCCACCACTATAGTTATGCAAGGTAGCAGCTACAAGAAGCAGCTTGCCCATGTTTATTCTTCTTGGAAAACTGGCAGACTCCATCCCAATTTTTGCTGATGTATGGGTGGTTGAACACAGTAAGTATTACAAGTACAGTGGTACCTCGGGTTACAGAGGCTTCAGGTTACAGACTCCACTAACCCAGAAATAGTACCTCGGGTTAAGAACTTTGCTTTAGGATGAGAACAGAAATCACGCGGCGGCAGCGGGAGGCCCCGTTAGCTAAAGTGGTACCTCAGGTTAAGAACAGTTTCAGGTTAAGAACGGACCTCCAGAACGAATTAAGTTCTTAACCCAAGGTACCACTGTAAATGCAATGTTGGAACTAAGAACTCCTGTGAAGGTGAGAGATTATGTCTTTTTTAAATGCTCCTAAATTTTTTTGTGATAGCAAACAAGGAGACTAAAATGTAATCTTGGCAAAGCTCATGAAAGCCATTCACAAGACTACCTGTTCTTTTTTGGAGAGGTGGAGGTCAGCCTTGTAAATTTAACTAAGTGGAAATGAGTGTTTAGTCTCTAAGGGGCATATCTTTAAGGGGCATAAAACATTTTGTGGTTTAATAGGAAACCTTTCCATATAGCTAATAGTGACTCATTCAACAAATTCCAAAAATACTTTCAATTTCCCTATATGAGGAAAAACCACAAGCTTATGTCAAGATCCACAAATATGGTGTATTGAAACTGGACATGAGCAGTCTTTGTGAGACTGGATTAGTAGATCAGCCTGCTTCAAGTTTGAATAAGTATCCAAATGAACAAATCCAGGCAACGTTTCGGTGAAGGAGAATGTTTTTTCATGCCTATATGTGCAAACACTGGGTGAACTATAGAAGGAGAGGCACACAAGTGGGACATGATAAGCAGTAGCAACACCAAGCTGCTGGGACACAACAACTGGAAACATGGCAAAAATCTAAACTGAGAGTGGTTAGCTAGGTTGACTTACAGGTCTGTGTATGCAGAGGCAATAAAAAGATCCAGGAACTTGAGACTAAGGGCAGCATGTGAGGTAGTAAAAATGAAAAGAATGGAAGCAGCACAACTGTGGGGTGACCTTACATCAAGGATGACTTGGAGATTAGGGTTTTGGTCATCTGCTATTTGGAAATAGCTGAGTTTCACAAGTCAGTAGGGTCCCCATTTGTGGATGGAGGAAAGATTCAATAAGGTGCAAGGTTAAATTGTGAAAAAACCCAGAGGTTAAACATACATACATACATATACATAAACACATACATTGTGTTTATTTTGATATCTCATTAGCTATCTTATCAGTTATCAAGAACCAAATTGTAGTTTCTGTGTTTTTTAAGCAAAGGGATTTGTACCTTGATGTGCAGATGTAGTACATAGGCTCAGTTAAATTTTTTTAAAAATCAGTTTGCTCAGCATACAGAACTAACGAGCTTTCTGGGGATAAGGGTGCTCATGAGGAATAATTGCATGAAACTCAGGATGAGGGTGACTGTCTCCTCTGTCTCCCTTAAATGATGCCCCTGTTGGCCAGCCCACAATTGACAAAGTTAACAGTGTTTTCTCTCTTTACAATTGCTTTTTCTGTTCTCTCTGCATGTAACATGATGGAGCATCTGGCTGCAGGTTTGATGTACCCAAATGAGAGCATAAAGGCTGCTGTATGTTATCTTTATGGCAAGCTGTACTCTGTCCCCAGTGCAGCAGAGAGGCTGTTTGTTCATTTCACAGAGAGGCTGTGTGGCCTCTTTCTGACTACTCTAAAGAATTCACAGACCAAGGAGCTGCAAGTTAACTGTATGGGTAAGGTGCTCAATGAGTGGAATAGGAGGGGAAGAGCTTGGGATGTTTTCACAAATGCTGCTAGTAACGCCTTTCCTTCTGGAATGCTTTGGAATAGAAAGCAGAAGAAAGCAATTTTAAAATCCAGTCTCTTTTATCATTCACATAAGGATTTAATTTGCCTTTCAGATTCTGAACCCATGTGTAGGCATGTTGCTAGTTTTTTTCAAAACCAAAAACACCCCCCCCCAAAAAAAAACCACCCTCAAGGCAAGGCACCTAACACAAATTTGGATATGCTGTGCTATACTCTTATGGTCAAATTTTAAGCAACAAAAGTTGAATTGGTTGATTTTTATATGTATATATGCAAATTTAGATCTATGGCATATTAAGTTGGTGAATGGCTGGGTTCTTGCTGGCCCTGCACATTGTAGAATGCCCAGCTGTCCTGTTAGCAAAATAAAAAAGTTGTTTTTTTAAAGTGGGGAAGGGACAGGAGATTTGGAAATTGGAAGCGTAACTCCTTAATAGCTAACCATCTGTTCCAGGCAATATCAGGAGTCAGTTTGACTTTTCAGAGCCAGAAAAAAAATGTTGAGGGACAATGACTTTTTGCTTTTCTGATGGAAAATTGAAAATAAATAATCTGATGTAGATATCTGTACAGATAATACAATATTGCTTATAGAGTGGTCAAAATATTTTTTGGTAGTAGAGCAACAATAGAATCGGAATCATAAAGACGTTTCAGAACCCAATGAAGTGATGTTTAAATATCTCTTGTTTTGTTAGTTTCTCATTTTCTTTCCCCTTGCTCTATTGCAGGTTTGCTAAAGCAGCTGCTGAAATATGATAAGTTTGTTTCAGTTATTATGAGTAATTCAGGAAAAGGAGCAGATTCTCCAAGCCCAGAGTTGTTTGAGCGAGAAAGTCCATTACCTTTAATGATCAAGAAGGTAATTGCCAAAAAGATTTAACCCATCCTCCTAACATCTGCTGCCAGATTTGTTATTATTCCGAGTTGACGCATTAATGGTAAATGCTGAACTTGCTTAATGGCAAGTTTTTGTTACATATTCCCTAACTATAGGTATTAGTGAATACCTTGTGTTGTAGAAGAAAATTAAAAGTGCTATGCTACATCTAAATGTATTCTGAGAGAATGGGTGGGAATGCTTTTTCCTGGTTGCACATGGGGTAATTTTCATAATACTGTTATGAGTTTGTGGGTGCAAGACACCCATAGCTCTTGGGTTTAGTAAGTGTTGGAGTTTAATCAGTGCTTGGAGTATTACGATGGGCTGCCAGATGCTGAATTTATCCATGTCAAAATACAGTGGTACCTTGGGTTACATACGCTTCAGGTTACAGATGCTTCAGGTTACAGACTCCGCTAACCCAGAAATAGTACCTCGGGTTAAGAACTTTGCTTCAGGATGAGGACAGAAATCGTGCTCCGGCGGCCCGGCGGCAGCAGGAGGCCCCATTAGCTAAAGTGGTGCTTCAGGTTAAGAAAAGTTTCAGGTTAAGAACGGACCTCTGGAACGAATTAAGTACTTAACCCGAGGTACCACTGTACAGGCCAAACCAATTTTTCTGTGCTTGAGAGATGGGCCATCAGCAGAGAACAAAGATAGGGAGGTGGGCCATCAGCAAAGCAAAGACTGTACAAGCCAACAAATGGGGGGAGCCCCTCTCTGAGCTCTGAGATTGTTAGTCAGAAGACAGTGCCAGTTTTCTAGGAAGTTTTCTAGGGTTTCAGTTCCTTGTGGCAGGAAAAAGGAAAAAGGGGTCAGCCTTTGAAGCTGGGGAGGGGGCAGGGCGGTCAAAGCATAATGTGGGCTGACAGTTTGAATCCAAGGTGGCAGCAATGGGAGAAATGGAACCATCATGGAGTGTAATGCTGGAAGCCCCTCCATTGTAGGCTTAGGTTGTATATATCTGTAAATAAGCCACATATCATAAAGACGCTGCAGTCTCTGTTGTGCCTCATTTCCAAAGGAAACACAAACCTTGGGTAAGCGCCTGGACCCCTAGTACCTCGCACTGCACAAAGATTGGGGTAGTGTGTAACAATACAGTGGATGACGCCCATTATGATTACTAGAAGCAGCATATACAGCTGTTTGATGTATTTGCCCATAGTTTTGTGATTATTCTAACACTATTTTCTCTGTTCAATTTAGAAATAAAATCTATTCAGATGGTTTGGTTTGCATGCCAGAGTAAGCCTAACCATGGTTTAGTGTAAATGCATGAGTGTGTGGGCTCCTAGGGAGGAGTCTGTGGTTGCTTTGCTTTCCTCCAGTTGTCTTGCTGCTGTGTTGTACTGATCTAAGCCATGGTCCAAATTTGGGCTTGTGGTTTAGCTAACTAGATTAACTATGAATTGTAACCAAGGTCTGTCATTATTTTTTTTTACTTGTAGTGTGTTGGGAGAACTAAGTCAAGAGCTCTAGTTTGCAGCAGCAAAATGACCCCAAGAGTTTTCAGTGAAGCAGCTGCTAAAATGTAGAAAAAACCCTCTGTTAGCAGTATCTTCCAGTTTATGGGGTGATGTCAGATGATTGACAGGTAGTTGGTCCTACCTCGTGTCAATTTTGGCCCATGAGGCACAACCTGATCAAGATCTGGCCTGCAGAGCCAAAAAGTTTGTCTACCCCATGCGTAGTGTGACGTGCGAACCAAGACATCTGAATAGTTTAAAATAATTTTTTTAAATAAATATTTGAATGCTAAACCATGGTTTAGCTTAGTGTGGCTCTATGACAATAGCATTTCTTTTTAGTTTAAATTATTATTCTTGTTCTGATTTGCATTTGGTCAACACGTTTTTTCTAATGCTGCAGTAATTTAGTGTAACAATGGCTCTTTAATACCTAGTCTTATGTCTTTCACAGCTGTTACTGTCTAGAGATGAGGTATTACAGGTAGCAAGTGCTCAGTGTATGGCTGCTGTACTGGTGCATTCTCCAGCAACATATGCTCCTGCCTTTATCAATGCTGATATCCCAGGTAACAAAAAGAATGTGCTGTTGTTTATTGTTTGCCAATTTGCAGGTTATCATGGTACTTGATTGCAAAGCTATGTTTGGAATAGTTGCAGCTATTGCAGCACTGTTAACCAATAATACTTCCGAGTGACGTAAACTAGAAATTGTAAGTACAGTATAAGAAGAATTTTATGCCCCACGAATAACACTTTGCAGTAATCTAACCTAGAGGTTACTAGAGCAAACAAACAGCAACAAGAACCCACCCCCAATTAAAAACAGTTAAAATAATTGTAGCAGCAGAGTTGCAACTTGCACAGCAGCCAGGTCAGTAACAATCTTTTCCCCCCTTTTTCCTTCAGCACTCACCCCCCCCCCCCGGTAGTTTCAAGATGTGTCAGAGTTTTAAGTTAACATTTACTTCTTTTGTGTTTTTCTTTATTTCCCCTCCTTTTGGGAGTAGTTGTGTTGGGCTCAACTGATGCTAGAATACATTTATTTTTATTTTTGTTTGCAGAGTTCCTGTTTGAGTGTCTCTTCTGCATGAGCGAAATTCTCACCTGGTCAATTTATTGCTGCCTGCTGCTGCTGACTGAGGAACAGCTTTTCTTTTCCAAGTGTCACACTGTCTATGGTAAATCACCATTCTCCACAGCCTGATGGCGTTGCTGCCATGCCATTCAACATTTCCACACTAGCCATTTTGTTTGCAATTGCTATCCATTGTTATCGCATCATTCTTTGTTCATTAACTTTTCAGAGAATCCAGATGATGACATTGCCCAATCATTGCATTCTAGGGTTTTGTTCGTTGTCCTTCCATAAGTTTTCAAATTTTATTTGTGGCTGTTGTTCTGGGGTGTAATACAACTGCAAATCTACAAGTACTGCTAAGGCTTTTAAAAAGCTGCAGTGTCTTTAATCAAAAGCTACCTGTTCTGATCATTTATTGTGTCCTGTTCGGCATGACTGGGAGACAGGTGATGAATTGCCCCTTAATTGCTCGGCTTTTGTTCCCTGTGGCTTTCCTTTCATTATTTTCTTTTCACTTTTATAGCAAGATAATGCCGCTTCTCTGTAAAAGGACTGGGGGGGAGGGGAAACCCAGATTGAGAAAAGCAATGAGTAATTAAAGTTTCCATCCCCTGCAAAATGGGGAACTGAAACTGACTGAGAGCACGACCTTGGGAATCCTGCCATCTTCCATTCTGTGGACATGACCAAGGCAGCTTAGACATCATTGAGACAGGATGGTGAACATGTTGGGAATGTGTGTTTGGGAGAACACATCTTTTTTAGAAATTCTGTCCTGCCATGTGCTACCCCAAATCCTTGTGATGCAGTTCATGTGGAAGGTGTTCAGGCATTGCTCCTGACGGTTATAAGTTGCCCACAACTCACATCTATAAAGCAGCATGTTCAAAGTACTTCACATATGTGGTGATGGGCTAAAATGAGTCCAAACAGCCTCTATCACTTGATGTTCAGTGTTAAATAGTGGGAAAGATGGACGAAGGACACAGCTCTGTTAGATTCACAGCTCTTTATTACAGCAGTTAGAACTGCTCCTGGAGTCAGACTCGGTGCAGCCCAGCTGGCTGCTTTATATAATACTAAGTAACTTGTAACAGTAACAACTCCCAACTAGCTAACCAATCAGAGAGTGACAGTTCTCAATCCTTCATTTGCATACTGGTGGCCCTGAGTGAGAACTGCAGTTAATCTTAATACATAACATTCAGGAAATAAGTTGCCCAAATCTTTCCACCTTTCTGCTTCACTACGGGAACCCCCTTCATGGATTGGGGCCTGCTTAAATATTTTTGACTTTATTCCAGGCATTGAACCCATTTTAAGGAGCCTGAAAGAAATCTTGCATCTCAATAATGTGGAATTGCAAAAGCAGGGGCTTCTACTTTTCACTGAAATTTTAAAATGGTAAGAGATTCAAAGTTCCAGGTTGCCTTTAATTTGCAAAATGAGTGGGGGAGCACCTTTCATGGATGATTTTGGGTTTTTTTTTGGGGGGGGTAGGTTTTAGGTGAAAGGGGTATATCCAGGGTATATTCTCATAAGCGATAACACACTATCCACTAGCTTGCTTGTGAAATAAAATTTTAAAAATTAAGTGGAGATTTTTATCCTGGACTCCATTTGTATTAGACATGAAATTGTATACAGTATATACATGCACAAATATTTATTGTTGCTGTGTTTATTGTTAAATTGCTTTATGCAAAGCAATTCAATAAATAAATAAATGTGCAATTTTGGCAATGAACTCACAACTTAACTGTTTGTTCCTGTAGGTATTTTGTAGCAAAAGCCTTCATGTTGTTCATACAAAACATGCTTAGGATTATTATTGAGAAACTGTTACCAATAATATAATTTAAAGCTTCAGACCAAATCCCAACTGAGCAGTAACCGATAAAGAATTTATTCCTTTACTGGAATATATGCCTTTCTTCTTTTTCAGGCAGCCAGCAGAAATCAAATTATTTACAAATACCTCTGTCTTTAAAGATGCAGTTAGTGTTCTTCTAGAAGCTTTAAACTGTCCTATTCTTGAAGTAGCAGCCGAAGCTGTGAAAGCTGTGGCTGCAATACTGAGGTAAGTGGGAAACAATTTGGTGAACTTTTTCTTTGTAGCTGGACACCCAGGTTAGTCCTTTCTTGCACTCTTGATTTTGCTGACATCTGGACCACCATGAATTTCTGTCTCCCCAGAGGTTTGCTTCCAAGTTAATTGCCTAACTTGTCTTACTACTCTTTTCGCTGCAGAAAGGATCATGTGACCATCCCTCCCGTACTATACAGAGAGTTACAGAAGCTGGTCGAAGGTGTTTTAAAACGATGTAGTGATCTTCCACTGCCAATTCTTAATAGGAGGCTCATGGTTAGTCATTCAGTCTTGTGTTTTTATTCTGATTGGCAGGTAATGTGGGCCAGATGTGTGACCAAGTCCTCTCTTCGTGCTCCCACCCCCAAATAGTGGTGGGATTCTGGCAGTCCTTTCCACAAAAAGCCCTCCTCTCATGTTAGCAGACTTGTTGCTATGCTTGAGATAGTTGATCTGCCTCACTCCTTTCCGAAGGGTGTTCTCTGAATCTTTTTTATATTTGGGACTGAATTTTCCACTTGGATTTCCACATAGGACTAACCTAGTAACATGCATGCAAACAGCAGGGATTTAAAAGAAAGCTGGTCCAAATAATGGGATGGCAAAACATGTGTTTTCAACAAAGTTTAAAATATAGAAATGAATAAATGTTTGCATGTTTATGCTAAGCCTTCTGGTGTAGCCCAAAGTCAGGAGTACTATACTGGGGATCGCAGAGATGGTTACAAAGTGTCTTGATGGAGAAGAAACGAATTCTTGTCGTTCCAAAATACAAGAATGAGTGACACCCTCTGCACATGCACTTGATGTTTACCTGCTTTCCAGAACATTGTGAGCATGTGCAGCCAAATCTTATTTGTATTTACTTGGAAGTATAGTTTACTGAGTTCAGGTGGAGTTCCTCTACAGTAGATGTGTAAATATTGCAATACCACACATGTAGGATGAGCAATTTCACAAAATGTGACTTTTATGTGCATGTTGCAGAGACATTACACAAGTATTGCAAGTATATGTGCAGTGCAGGAGCACATTTTCAGAATCAAGCAATCAGTTTGCAATGACATTAAAACAGAAAGAGGCTAATCTCTAGAAGAACTTAGTTTTATTCTTTCCTGTTTTTATAGTGTGACAGAGTTACTCCTTTTATCTATAACGTGCTGTAACCCAAACATTTGGGAGTTACGAAAACTTCTATTGTTATTTATTGCTGACTAGAAAAGCGGGAAATTCTCTTCTGCCTTTTTCAGTACAAGAAGCTGGTGTGCATCTGCTGAACAAGAATTAACGGTGGCTCATGATAGCAAAAGAGAAGAAATGGATGAGCAGCCTTAGTGTTTCAAACAATTAGAGGGCTTTTCAAGCTAACGTTTGGTGACTGCAATTGTTAATTTAATGTGATATTCTGGTGGCATGAAGTAGAAGGTCATAAGAAAGTCCTTTTCTCTCATCTCAATGTCATAGGGTCAACCAGGCAGCAGACATCAGAACAAAACAGTTTCACAGCAGGGACAGTTCCTGCAGAGTGCTTTAGAAAGCTTCAGAAATGCTTGTAGGTGAGGAAGTTCTGTCTGTCTTTAGCCTAAGAACATTTAAGAGAGATCAGATAGCAATTTGTTCACAGCTTTCTGAAATTGTAGGGGAGATGCGCAAAGCTTGCATCTGTGTCTGAGGATATGATTAAAGGGGTATGAACCAGGGTTTCCTGCTTTGCTCCTCTTCATTCAAGTGGCTCAATAGCTGATGACCTGGAGATTTACTCTTCGTATGTGCTAAAAATATCAGGAAGCCACCTTTGTGCAGCGGATAAGGTTGTGCTCTGGCTGGGAGCCAAGTTGGCTTTGGGATGGGTTGGGGGGCCACTGTTCTGGCTCTCACCAGCCCCAGGGACAAAGCCAATCCAAAGTTTTAGCAGGCGCTGGTGGGAGGTGGGGAGTAGAACCCAGTGGGGCCTTTTAAAGTAGGCTCCCCCACCCAAAGTAGCAGCATTTATTTATTGGTTGTGCTGCGTTTACACTCTACCCATCTTCCTAAAAGTTCTTAGCGGTATCCTTAAGATTATCTTTGTAACAACTCTGGAATTCAGGCAGGGTTGAGTGCTTGGAGTCATACTCACCTCTTCAAAGTGCATGGAAAGTAAAGCAGGAACATACCTGGTGGCCATGTCCTTTACATGTTCAGTGGAAGGTGTGACTGGAACTCTGTGCCTACATATATATATGCCTGATGTACAACTGTGTGTCTGTAGAGCTCTATCATCTTCTGCCGAATGTGCGGAACTTGGGAGGGGACAGTAGGCACAGTCTTGGTTTCTTTCCCCTTTCATGAGTTTGATGAACACATTTTGAAGACGTGAGAAGGGTTCTGCTGACAAAAAGCTCTCTGAGAGGCCATTAATACCAAGAGGAGATTGAACACATTCAAACTCAACATTCTGGTTACGGAGTTGAGGTCCAGCCAGGATGCTGTAGAAACATGATGCAATAGCTTCTGCCCGTCTGACAGTCCTGTGTGTCTTTCTAGATTAGCTGTGGAATCACAAAACGACCCTGTGGCTCAGGAGAATTCTTTCACTGCTCCCAACTCAGAGAATGAAGATACACTGAAAAGCTTTTCTGAGTTTCTGCTGAGGATCTCTGACTCTCTTTGCATTCCCATAGTCATGGTAGGGTCTCCTTTTACCCCACCCAAACATCAAGTGGTTCACATATGTTTATACGGAAGCAAGGAACACCTAGTCTAGCGTCCTGTTCTCACAGCGGCTAACTAGATGCCTTAGCAGGACCTGAGTACACCAGCACTAGGAAAGTGAGCATGACAGAGTTTGTGCCCCATGCAGAAGAGATTGGCTGGTGGAGGCAGTGATGCTGTGCCCTTCCCTCTACTTCCTGCCCCAATTATTAGGTATGGGGGGAATAAAGAGGAGCATCCAAAGTTTATAAAGGTAAAGGTAAAGGACCCCTGACAGTTAAGTCCAGTCGCAGATGACTCTGGGATTGCAGCGCACATCTCACTTTACAGGCCGAGGGACCCCGCGTTTCTCCGCAGACAGTTTTTCCGGGTCATGTGGCCAGCATGACTAAGCTGCTTCTGGCACAATGGAACACCGAAACCAGAGCAGCGCATGGAAACGCCATTTACCTTCCTGCCGGAGTGGTACCTATTTATCTACCTGCACTTTTTGGCATGACAGGAGCTGGGACCGAGCAACAGGAGCTCACCCCATCGCGGGTATTCAAACCGCTGACCTTCTGATCGGCAAGCCCAAGAGGCTCTGGTTTAGACCACAGCGCCACCCGCATCCCTTTCCAAAGATTAAATTAAGTCTATTGTCAGAAGTCATTGTAGATCTAGATTCTTGTTACAAGCTGTTTTTGGACAGGAGCTTTCTATTAGACCATGCCCTGTGGTTCGGAGTTATCAAACTTGTCAGGCCCATTAAAAAGATTTCCTCATGTCTTATCTGAGTTGCATGTTATTTCTTTCTGTAACAGTGAAAGTATATTTGCCCCCTTTCCCTGCAGAAATATTCTGAAAGAGCTGTCCACCCAGCTCTCATGGAAGTCTTAATTTCGACCCTCAACATCTTATTCAGTGTTATGCCAGACTCAAGTAAGAGATTCTCCATGAAGCTGGGTAAGGAAAACTGGAAGAGGCTATTTTCTATATTTCTTTCAGAAGCATATTATTAAGCTGTAGAATTTGTTGCTGCTGAATGTTAATGTGTCATAAAGCTCAGTAAGAACCCCTAACATTAACGAAGCATCTATTAGAGTAGATGTGTTTTTGAAATGTTTCATTCTCCAATCAAAATGGAAGTGTTCTGTACCTAGAGTGCCTGCAGGCTAGTGGCTCAGTTCTCCCCAATTATTGCTCTTCTGCTGTAAGCTACATGCAGAATTAAAATTTAACTATCACACTTCAGGGAATATAGCACTTTGTATGTGTGTGTACATACTGCTTTGTTTCATCCACATTAGTGAATTTGACATAGCTGTGAAAGAAAGGATGGGAAATTGAGTTAAAAATTATAGCCATTTTTAATATTCTGTTTAATTTGTACAAATACACTTTTTTTCTTTAAGTGTTCTTGCATGATTTATTTAATCACTTTTTAAATAGGCAGACTTAAACTGCATTGCAGGGGGTTGGACTAGATGACCCTTGGGGTCTGTACAACTTTACAATTCTATGATTCTAACAGTTTAAAACAATTAATTTATAATACCATGATGCTAAAATTGTGCCCTCTGGAAGGGCATCTTGTCTTTAAACATTTTTAAAGATGTGCTGAAATGCCTTTTCATTTAAGCACTATTTGCACAAACGAATTTTAGAAAATCTGTTAAGAATGATTTGATTTAAGGCTCATCCACACTTCCGCTTGTCCGGTGAGTAGAAAGCAGGGGTCCAATAGGTTTTCCGCTTGTCCCGTGCTTTCCTGGCATGGGCACAAGCTGTTTCCACCACTTTCCCCGGGAAAACCCACTCTGTACCGCTGAATTGGAGTAAACATCAGTCCGCAGAAAACCCAGCTGATGTTTGTTTCAATTCAGCAGAAAAAAAGTTGGTTTCCTCGAGGGAAACGGCAGAACAAGTGGAAGTGTAGACAAGCCCTCAATGGGGCCAGTTGGAAAGGTAACAATGAAGACAAGCCAAAATGTAGATGTATATGGATAGGCTCACCTGAATATGTCACTGTGCACTTCAGAACCAGACCTTTAAAAAGACAGAGGAGTACTTGTACCTGCAGAGACTACGTTACTGTTTGGCTCTACCATAAATTTGGATTATGCATGATCTGAGGAAGAAACGAGGAGCACGAGGAAAATGCAGAAGGACAACAATTTGATGACAAAATCATGTAAATGCCCCATAAAAAGCAAATAATTCCATAGTGGCAACTCTGTAATCATCTCTAATGACACTTGGAAATGTCAGCGAGACATCGTGAGACATGAAATCATGTTTAGTATGTAGAGAATCCTTTAGAATATTCAGAGCCTTGAAATTATTGTTGCCTTGGCTTGAGTAAGGCTTGGCTGGGTACTCTTCAGATTCTCTTAAGATTGTATAATTGAAAATCCTAACTCAAACATTTTGTGTGAACACTGTTATCCTTCCCTCCAGCATCTTCCTCTTTCATCCAACTGAACCTGGAGCTGAAGGCCAAATTCTGCACTGCACAAAGGTATTAAATTGGGATAGTAAAACTAATTCTCACGCTCATCTCTCTTGAAACATTTCTCTTCATTTCCCGTGTTAACCTGTAGACATTCTAATAGATTTGTAATGTTGACCCTTAGACATGAGATTTATGATTTTCATAGAGCACCAGGTTAATTTTGGATGTTCTGGAAATGGCAAATAAAGCCTACAATTAACTACTGCCTTAAGCCTTGGTGACTTCAAAGCTAATGATATTAATAAACTAGAGATGGTGTCTTGACCAAGTCTGCACCTCCAGTTTCTCATTTTGCATAATTTATTTTCCCTTTCAAGTAACCCTGGTTTGAATCATGCTTGTTCAAGTTTCCTGCATAGCATATGCCTCAATCTTCATTCATCCTCAAAGAAGCCGGAGGATTCTTCCCAAGAGGGCAAGTTTGATAAAGTGATTTCTGTGTGTGTGATGTGTCTTTGAACCTGGCAGCATACAGCTGGGTTTGGGAACAGAAATAGTGGCAAAAGGTTTGGGGAAGATACGCTCTTTGAGTTAGCTGCCTTCAGTGACATTAGCTGTGTATACATTGCTAGCTTAAAGTGCAGCTAGGTCATTCTTTTTCTCCATTTGGATTGAAACTGGTTTGGAGGAAAACACATCAAAATGCAGTATTTCTTAAGAACCAACAGGATAGATACAGGACAGATACAGGATTGTGACCAAAGCCCATTGCTTCCCAAACCAATGATGGGATCATACACAATGCAGAGTAAACAGGGTGTGTGTACACAGCTTTGTATTGTAAGTAGAGGCTCTTGCAACACCTGCATGGCCCATCCCCCCACCCCAAATCTTTAAAACAATTGAATGTAATCACTTTCTGGCCAGTGGTCTCATATAAGATAGCATGAGCTATGGAGCATATTTTATGTTCCTGTCTCTTTTGTGGAGTAAGGTGAAATAGAAGGGCAATATGAGAGAAGCATAGGTGGGCAGGAGCAGGGACGTGGGTGGTGCCTAGGACTTGCCGATCAGAAGGTCGGCAGTTCGAATCCCCGTGACGGGGTGAGCTCGCGTTGCTCGGTCCCAGGGCCTGCCCACCTAGCAGTTTGAAAGCACGTCAAAGTGCAAGTAGATAAATGGTACTGCTCCGGCGGGAAGGTATACGGCGTTTCTGTGCGCTGCTCTGGTTCGCCAGAAGCGGCTTAGTCCTGCTGGCCACATGACCCGGAAGCTGTACGCCAGCTCCCTCGGCCAATAAAGCGAGATGAGCGCCGCAACCCCAGAGTCGGTCACGACTGGCCCTAATGGTCAGGGGTCCCTTTACCTTTACCTATGAGAGAAGCATGGATTATTACAGTGGTACCTCTGGTTACAAACACTTCGGGTTACAGACTCCGCTAACCCGGAAGTAGTACCTTGGGTTAAGAACTTTACCTCAGGATGAGAACAGAAATCGTTCTCCAGCGGCCCGGTGGCAGCAGGAGGCCCCATTAGCTAAAGTGGTGCTTCAGGTTAAGAACAGTTTCAGGTTCAGAACGGAGCTCCGGAACGAATTAAATTCGTAACCAGAGGTACCAGTGTATTATCAATATTTCTTTTTGGGGGAGGGGGGTAAACAGACATTGGGGTTCTGTGCTCCCAGCTTTTTATTTTGTGTTTGTGTGCTGCTGCCATTTTCATGCCATTTTCTTTTTTTTTTATAAGATATTTATTAAGATTTTCAAAATATTACAAAATAAAAATAAAAAAGAAGAAAATACAAAATAAAAATGGTTAAAAACAACTCAATCTTTCCATTACTTATTTTTCATTAGCTTGTTTCCCGGACCTCCTCACGCCTCCCTTTTTTGTATTCCAGTTCGGTTTGTTGGTTCAGCAAATCCTTACCCTCTTTGTTTATCCTAGTCTTTAATCTTAAAATATTGTAACGTTAAATTTTTACCTATTAATAATCCATTTTTCATATTCCCTTATAGTATTACAGCTGAAAACCACTTAATTTCTATCCAACATCATTCTAACATTCATTAATTTTACAATATTTCTGTAGATAGTCTTTAAATTTCTTCCAATCTTCTTCCACCGACTCTTCTCCCTGGTCTCGGATTCTGCCAGTCATTTCCGCCAGTTCCATATAGTCCATCACCTTCATCTGCCATTCTTCCAGAGTGGGTAGGTCTTGTGTCTTCCAATACTTCGCGATGAGTATTCTTGCTGCTGTTGTGGCATACATAAAAAAAGTTCTATCCTTCTTTGGCACCAATTGGCCGACTATGCCCAGGAGAAAGGCCTCTGGTTTCTTCAAGAAGGTATATTTAAATACCTTTTTCAATTCATTATAGATCATCTCCCAGAAAGCCTTAATCCTTGGGCACGTCCACCAAAGGTGAAAGAATGTACCTTCAGTTTCTTTACATTTCCAACATTTATTATCGGGCAAATGATAGATTTTTGCAAGCTTGACTGGGGTCATGTACCACCTGTATATCATTTTCATAATATTCTCTCTTAAGGCATTGCATGCCGTAAACTTCATACCTGTGGTCCATAACTGTTCCCAGTCAGCCATCATTATGTTATGTCCAACATCTTGTGCCCATTTAATCATAGCAGATTTCACCGTTTCATCCTGAGTATTCCATTTCAACAGCAAGTTATACATTCTTGACAAATTCTTAGTTTTGGGTTCTAACAGTTCTGTTTCCAATTTTGATTTTTCCACCTGGAAGCCAATTTTCTTGTCCAAATTATATGCCTCCATTATCTGATAATAATGAAGCCAGTCTCGCACTTTATTTTTTAATTTTTCAAAACTCTGTAATTTCAGTCTATCTCCATCTTGTTCCAAAATTTCCCAATATTTCGGCCATTTGGCCTCCATATTGAGCCTTTTCAGAGCTTTCGCTTCCATCAGTGACAGCCACCTTGGGGTTTTATTTTCCAATAAATCCTTGTATCTCATCCAAACATTAAACAATGCTTTCCTGACAATATGATTCTTGAATGCTTTATGTGCTTTGACCTTATCATACCACAGATATGCATGCCATCCAAATACGTTGTTAAAACCTTCTAAATCCAAAATGTCTGTATTTTCAAGAAGCAGCCATTCTTTCAACCAGCAGAAAGTTGCTGATTCATAGTAAAGTTTAAAGTCTGGCAGGGCAAATCCACCCCTTTCCTTTGCATCAGTTAATATCTTAAATTTTATTCTGGGCTTCTTGCCCTGCCAGACAAATCTAGAAATGTCTCTCTGCCACTTCTTGAAGCAATCCATTTTGTCCACAATTTGCAATGTTTGAAACAAAAACAACATTCTAGGCAATACATTCATTTTTATCGCAGCAATACGACCCAACAGTGAAAGCTTCAAATTTGACCAAATTTCTAAATCTTTTTTCACTTCGGCCCAGCATTTTTCATAGTTGTCTTTAAATAAATTCCCATTTTTTGCAGTCATATTTATCCCCAGGTATTTCACTTTCTTAACCACTGTCAAACCTGTCTCATTCTGAAACCTCCTTCTCTCAATCGGTGTTAAATTTTTCTCTAATACCTTGGTTTTTAACTTATTCAGTTTAAATCCTGCAGCCTGACCAAATTCTTGAATCAGTTCTAAAACCCTTTTAGTACTAGATTCTGGCTCCTGTAATGTCAATACTAAGTCATCTGCAAATGCTCTCAATTTGTACTGTTTAGCTCCGACTTGTATACCTTTAACCAACTGGTCCCTTCTAATCTATTTTCATGCCATTTTCTGATTGCCTTTCTTTTTAGTGCATGACCTATCAGAACTTTTGCAAAAGAATCTGCCACAGTTGAACTTCGGGATACAGGAAAGCCTCAGCCTCTTATCTGAGACCCCAGAATCTTTCTGTTTAGATGAAACTCTTCGTAGTCACCAGTATAGTCTCCTCCTTCTTTTCTACTTTGCTTTTAGTCAAGGAGACAAGTAAGTGAAGTGACTGGAACGGCGGGGGGGGGGGGGGATCAGTAGGTGAGATCAATCCACTTAACTTAAAAAACAAACCAAAAACAAACCTTCTTGCTCTCAGATTTGTTCCAGAAACAGAGCTTTTCTCAGCTATAAGAAGTTTTCTTCTGTCAATCCAAGACCAAGGAGACTGTCCACCCCCATATGTCTTCAAAGCTGTTTTGTACCTTCTGGCAATCTGTCAAGACAAGACCGAAGCTTTAGACTTGGTAATCACTGCTTCCAAGAGCAGCTTTTAAAATCTACACTGTCACATTTCTGCAAGTTTGTTATTGATGTTCCTTTCCAGACAATTAAAAGTCACTGTTTTGTTCTCTTAGTACTAGTATCCAGGATACAGCATCAGCAGCACAATATCTCATCTGCTTTCTCATAAGAAAGTAGCCTTGCTATAGGAGAATAGCCATCATTCATCTTCTGATTTTGCGTAGGGTTGCAGTGTAGGACCCATCTAGCAAGGAGAAAACTCCTCCTGAATAAGTTTGCGGAATAGTGAGACAGTACAGGAATACTGGATGTCTACTGTGTTAGATGCCTGATCCAGTGCTGTAGTAACACACTCGGAAGTGAGAGTGGAAAAGAGTGTACAGGAGGCACCAAGAACATTGAAAGAAACGAGGCAGGCCTTTGCAAAAAGATAGTGAGAGGATTGTCCCCACACACAAATGCTGTCATAAATTGTATCCAGAATGTGCCATTTACATTTGGAAAATACACAGCTGTTTAATTTTGTTCTAGTATTCAAAGTATTATAGGATGCAGTTTTTAATTTTTAAAGAAATGTTGTGCATGTGATGACACTTTTAATGAAAATGGTATTGTCTGCTTGTGAAGCTGTTGACTTCAATTTGCTTTCATAGTACTATTCCCCTTGTATAGATGAATATAACGTTGAAATTCTTCCTGTTATAATGACTTTTAGGAGGATTATGTTCCTCATAAGAGGGACTATAAATGTACCAGTCCCTAAAGAGGTTGTTTTGACTTTTCTGATTTCCCCTTCCAACTCTCCAAATCCAGGCTTCACTCTCTGCTATAAGGAGGATCCTGGATAGTATATCTGATCTGAGCCTGGTGTATGTCCATCATCCTCTGCTCCTCAATTTTTTTTTACGCTATCCTGAATTTATGGGAAGATTTGGTCACCGCATCCTTCATCTATGGCTTTCCTGTGAAGACTACAGCCACACTGAATCTGAAGATACTGACAAAAGACTCTCTGCTGGCTTTTCTGACTCCTTAAACAACTTTAACAGTTTGCTTTGCATGCTGAAGGGCAATCCCAGTGCTTTACTTGTCTTGCTGGTATGCAATATTTTTTAAAAAATCAATACAAGATCACCTTGTAGAAACATTTAGATTGCCTACCCAGATTCCATGTGTTGCAAAATTTGTTTTCATCATCACCATCAGCAGCATAAAATATCACACACATTTAAAGTGGAAAAGTAGCATGCCTCAGATTTGTTTTCTTAGAATGACGATCATTGGAGATGGTGGTGTCTTTGTGATGTAAGGTTTTATTTGTACATACAGGCTGAACATAAGATGGAAGGGTTTGCAGCGTTGACACTCTTAACAGATCTAGCCATAACTGGTTTTTTTGTTTTTTAAAAAAATGCCATACCAAAATACTTACAAATATTGATACACATTGATACCTTTCATACATACAATATTATCCATATTTATTAGAATTTATTATTCCATAAATTTAATTAATATTCCTCAAACTGGAATTCCTCTGATATCTACAAAAAAATCTTTTAATTCTTCTTCCTTGTCTTTTTCCATCCTTAGTCCAGTAAATTAACTTAGCCAGTTTAATCAATGCTCAACTTCCCAAGCTATTATTTGGGGGACTTCCTCCTTTTTTCCAAATATAGGCTACTCATATTTTAGCTGACATGAATAGAATATAAATCAGTCCTTTTTCCATCTTAAAAACCTAATAACACTTATGAGATAGAATCATAGAATTGTAGATTTGGAAGGGACCCTGGGGGGTCATTTATTCCAACCCCCTGGAATGTAGAAATATCGTATTTTTCGTTCTATAAGACGCACCAGACCACAAGACGCACCTAGTTTTTGGAGGAGGAAGACAAGAAAAAAATATTCTGAATCTCAGAAGCCAGAACAGCAAGAGGGATCGCTGTGCAGTGAAAGCAGCAATCCCTCTTGCTGTTCTGGCTTCTGTGATAGCTGCGCAGCCTGCATTCGCTCCATAAGACGCACACACATTTCCCCTTACTTTTTAGGAGGGAAAAAGTGAGTCTTATAGAGCATAAAATACGGTACTGCCCACAGCCATCCCTGGGTGCCTCCCATCACTCCTCTTCATCCAGCCAGGCCCTTGTTTGTGCTACTGGGTTTAATAACAGCCAAGAAACATTCTAATGACCTTAATTGTGCATTACACAAACACACAAATAATTTTGATCTTAATGGTTTTAAAACGTGTTGCTAATTTGACTGCATTGCAGCAGAGCCACCCAGTTTTCTCTTGTGGGTAAGGGTTGTGCTTGACTGCACCTTGGCTTTTATTTTAAATAATTAGGCTACAAGAATTATTTTTGTAATTCAGACTTTAATTGTAGCGCAGCCTGTTGATTAAAAAAGTACTTCATTTGACTATCTGCATTGCTATGATGTCTCATGCATCCAGGTTAGTATGATAACTTGACGATTTTGGAATTTGGCTTCTAGGTAGGGATCCAGATCAGTCTCTGTGCCATAACCATAGAGAGCAGCAGCAGCAACATTCTCTTAAACTGGGCCTGGTCTGCTTTTCTTCTCAGGATCTAGTCTGTGTTGGCACCAGTGAAGTAGCCCACAAAGTCCTCATTACCCTGAAGGCCTTCCTGAAAATAGATGAGAATGTCCATGTCTGTGACCTTCTTCGAAGCCAATTTCTACAGATTCTGCAGAATCTTCTGGTAGAAAACAATTCCAGTGTTTTGCAAGGTGAGTGACAGACCTGCCTTAAGTGCAGGAAGCTGTGGTTGGGTACCAAATGCCCTCAAGTAATTTAAATACTGCCCACATGAGCTCTTGGGCCAAGTATTTCCCTGTTCCTATGTGTCAGAGCAAGACAATATTTTGGGGAAATTTAACAGAGGAATTTGGGAATTTTTCAAACATAACTGCAAGTTTAACCCTTAGCTATGCCTGCTAATGTAATCTGTCTCTTCCCCTGATTTGCTTATTTGGTGGGTTTCTCTCTCTGAGAAAAGCCTACTATTTGCCATGCGGAGGGTTAGTAAATGGTGCCCCTGGACATGACATCACCATCCCTGCTGTGAAATAAGTGGTGGCTCTTCATACTTCCTCCATTATGCTACTTGATTCTTCTTTCTTGATTGGGATAGAAATGGTCAGATATGTGATGAATTAGCACTGACACAGTTTTTTATCAAACAAACATGTTTTACACCCATCAATTGGGCCAGCACTATGTTTGAATCAGGGCAGACATTAAAGTCTTTACTAAGAGCACATCTGTTTGCAGGGCAAATCATGTTGATCATTGTGCATCCTTGCTCATCTGATATGCAGCATGCCATCTGTTAGTTGTATATCAGCGTCCTTCTGATGCAAAATCAGCTGACCCTCTGCTGTAATGCAACACAGCCTTAGAGTCAATCTCACGTGCTGATTTGAAATGGTACGTGTTGTTTAGGACAGCCCACAGCAGCCTGTTACTTTAATTATAGCTTTTCACTGCTTCTAACAGGACATAATGACTCTTTAGCTCTCCAGATTAAAAAAAATTGGTTTCTGTCTCTGACAAAGAAGGTGTTCACCATGTACACAGAAGATAGTTCCTGCAGCACTTGTTTGTTTTCTCAGTTTTTGTAGTCTAGAGGCCATTAAGTAATTTTCTTTCATGTTTCTTTTTAGTCAAGCAGGCCCAGCCCCTTTTATTGAACCTCCTCTTCCTGGTTCAACTCAGGCATGCGACAGAAAGAGAGCTGGACAGCACGGATTTCAGATTGCTTCATCTGGGTGAGCTTCTGAATTTGTTCAGTCTGGATCTTTGGTTTAGAGATGAGAATATTTTATCTGGAGCATCTTAGTTGACGGGCCTAATAGCTACAGTGTGTTGTTGTGGCTAGAGTGCCAGATTAGGGTAAAAGAAATTCAGGTTCAAGTTCCCATTCAGGGACTGAACTCACTGGGTGGCATTGGCTGAGACATTTATCTATTTGCCTAATCTCAGAGAGCTTTCTGTAAGGATAAAATGGGGATGAATAACTCCACTCTGAGCTCCCTGGAAGATTTATAGATTTATTTATTACTGCATTTATTTCCCACTTTTTTCTCCAAGGAGCTCAAAGTGGCATGCATGGTTCTCCCTGCTGGTTTCACAGATCCTAGTCCCACATTCTAACCACTAGGCCACTCTGGCTATGTGTCTGCTTTCCCCAGGTTTTCTACATTCCCTGTAGTATGTTTCTGATGGTAGCAATAGTATCCTGCTTTAACCTCCAAAATGTATGCTGGTGAGGAGTTGTTAACATATATCCTAATTATGATGCACAGCTGTGGCAATATTTATTTCAGGATTTCTTGTGCTCTGCTTTGAAGCCAGATGGATTTTGTCAGTGTCTGTGAATTGCATTGCACACTGATTTGATTGGCGGTCTGAGCAGGTGTAGCTGTTTTCATATTGAGCCTTTCCCCCCAAATATTTAGCATATTGGAATCTGAAAAAAGATGAAAATTATATTGAGTATTTCTATCACACAGTCAGCAATTTGTGTGGAAAATGCAGCCCAACAGACCATGAAATTCTGCATCCATCCCTCAACTACCTGTATTGGAGCCTTCAGCAGACAACCCCAGCCAGCCAGAAAACAGGTAAAAAGTGATAAATGGATTCTAACTGCCCACTCCCCCTTCAATCTTATTATTAATTAGATTTGTGTACTGCCCTATACCCGCAGGTCTCAGGGCAGTTTGCTACAAGGGGCCTGCCCCTACTGGAGCACTGTTGCTGTGTGAATCCACATTTCCCCCATTTGAATTCAGCCACTATAGTATATGCATGTGCAAAATGCGTTTGTCCCCCTTGTCTGAAATCACAGTTTCTCTGGTCCATACTAGTAGGTGTTGGAGCTGTTATGTACTGAAGTTCTCACCCTGGGCCAGCAGGGGGATACTGTAGATAGTTTTCACTCAGGTCCACATATGCAAATAAGGGATTGAAAGTGATGTTCAGTGATTGGATAGTTACAGAAAGTTGTTACAGTTGCGTTGTAGTGGAGCTCTAATAAGCAGGCTGGCTGAACCCTTCAGTTCAGTTCCGTTCTGGCCTGTGAATAAACAAGAGCTGTTTGAAGAATTGTTGTGTCGTCTGATATGTTCACCCACAACTTAACAGGAGCCATGTGCAGAGAAGAAAGGAGGAGGCGCCAGGGCTCCATCTTGTTAAAGACTGAGGGAAACAGGAGTGGGAAGTTCCTGGAGTCCTCCTCCCATTCCCTGCCAGTGACAGGGGTGGAAGGAGAGAGAAGAAAGGGAAGGGCATCGCACATTCAGGAATTCCCCCCCTCAAAGCCCCCACACAATGAGGAGCATCTTCCATATGGCCAAATACATGGCAGGGGCAGTGGGAGGCCTGCAGCCTCTCATGAGATTATTTAGCCAAGTCGCTGCAGTTTAGCAGGAAAGTATGGAAGCCACCGAAGGTCCAGTCACACACCGAACTTCCCACCCAGCATAAATCCCTCCCCCAAAATGAAGAAGTAGAAAGAATATGCTGTAGGCAGCTGGTTGTGATGGGAAGGCAGGAGGAGAAAATCCTTCTTAGAGGCTGTGTCTGGAGCCTTTCTCCCTCTTTCAACATCTGACTATGAGGACTGCTAAAGACATGGCATGACAGGAGAAAAGGCTATTTAAAAAGGCCTCTCTCCTACTTGTTCATTCTGCACATATATCTCATTAAGTTAGTTTCAATTTAAAATAGGTATAGAGCACAAACTTAATTGTGATTTTCCACTACATGATGCAAATCTACAGGAGCCCTTGTAGGGGGCACGGGGAGGACATTGAACATCAATTTTCTGACATGCTGGGGCATTTGTTCCTTCACTGGCTTTAAAAATTCTGAATATTTTGTCTGCCTATCTTGTGCAAAAGAAGGGAGGACAGTCACATTTATCTATCATCTATCTATCTATCTATCTATCTATCTATCAATCTATCATAAAGAGCCTACTTGTACTTAACAAGCATTGTTCAGTATTACATTGCTTAGTAACAGTATCATGCATGTAGTTAAAATATATTATTTGATAGTCCAAGAATCTTGGAGTCGTGGTGGACTTGGGGCAGAAAAGGATGGTGCCCCTTAATTTCAGTAGCTGCTCATGACTGGTCCTTCCTGGTGCTCTTGGCAGCTGCTGCCTTTCTGCTATGCCAGTTGCACATGGCTTGTTAGACCCTTTCTTCCTTTACAGTGGTGGCTATGTTATTTTCCAACACACCTTTGCTAGAGCTACTTGAGAAAATTATCCACCTCACTTGGTTGCCTGCCTGTTCTTCTGAACCTGCTTTGCCCTCATCCAGTGAAGCACTTCTCTGCTCTGCTTGGCTGCTGATTTCTTCTCTCTTGACTCAACAACACATTTACAATACAGAGGTTAGAAATACTGTAAAACTTTTGCATTAGAAAGTACAGATAAAAATTACTGCTTTTATTCATAGGCACAATGCACAAAGTTTAAGCATTATTAACTTTTTTTATTATTGTTTCCCTATATCTATTGCATTAATTAACTGTAATCCCAGTCAGAAAGTTCATATTGGTTTATTAAGCTGAGATAATAGTTAGCCTTTTGTCTGCATAGGCAGCCCTTTGCTCCCCTCTTTGCAATTTGATCAATCAAACCAGGAGGTCTCTAATTAGCCATTGTTTTCTTTTCCATCGAAAATGATGGTTGTGAGCTTTGGAACTACTCAGGTCTTAAACTAACTTCAAATTAAGGTTTAGGATTAATAGTTTCCCAGTTCAAATGAAACAGGAAACCATGGTTAATTGGAGACTCAAGAATGTAAGATGAGTATTGCTGGATGAGACCAGAGATCTATCTGGTCCAACTTTCTGTTCCCACAGTGGCAAACCAAATACCCACAGACATGATATGTATGTAACAGCACTCATGCTGGTTTTATTGTTTACGCTGTGAAGGGACTGGTGTATGGCAAAGATCTGGTTCCTATCTTGGCTTAATAATGAACACAGACATAGTTTATCATACCCCAGCCTAGGAATAATTTAGCCCAATGGCAAAATCAGCATTTCAAGTCCCAAACCATGTTATTCCATAACATAGATAGGTATTATATGTAAACGAGGCATTACATGAATGGCTTAGAAACAGGTGATATAAGGTCACTGTATTGATATCATATTCAGAAATTGAACTTTAGTTTATCCTGTGTGTGCATTAGGATAATTCCTGATGGTCTCCTGTTGTTTGATGTTGTTCCCTCAGTTTTGGCAAGCACAAAATGTTCAGAATGGATAGATGGATGCGTCTAAAGCTCATGAATGTGAGCTAATGTTGTGCTGTTCCCTAATCCTCTGAAGGGGAAACAGCAGTTTAGTAAATGATTAGCCTCATTCATTTTACCAGAGTGTTAATAATGAGGATGAATCAAAAGCAGATTTGCATAGCTGACTGCCTGTGTTCCCTCATTCTGTCTATAATCCCTTAGAAGTCATGGAAGCTCTATTTAATTCCATAAGTGAATAATACTGGGAATACATTTAATGAGCTGCAGATCCAGTGTCTTTTGAGGGGTTGGTAATAGACGGCTGGACAAAGAAAATTAGCAGCCCGGCTGCTTCCTTCACTCCAATCGCTCCCGTCACCAAACATTTTCTGATTCATTTCTGAAAGGTTGATCATATCATCTGCCTTGATGTGGACCAGGTCTTCAGCGCACTTGCCTTCAAGAGGAAGAAACCCACCCTGTTCTTTGGTAGGCTGCATATTTGCCAGCATCAGCTAAGAGAGCACTAAAGGCTGCTTCACATGTTATAAAAACGGAAGTCACTTTTGCTAAGAAATGGCATAAATCTGGCCTAATGTATAAATCCCTGGGAAGCTGCAGTCCTTTGTGGTTTCCCAGTTCATTTATGTATGCAGGATCAGGGCATCTTATCTATATGCAGGGCTTGCTCAATTCCTACATGAAACTATATTATTATTATTAAATTTATTGTTTTAATATAATGGTGAACGTTCATAAGTAAATATGGAACATTCCCCCCTCCCCCTCTCGAACATGAAACTGTATATTATTAAGCAAAAAAATGGGGGGAGGCTTGAATTTCCCTCCCCTTTGACCTGTTCTTCTGTTTTAACAGCTCATACTGTTCTCAGTGGTGTCTGCCTGAGCACTGATCAAATCTACACACACTTCAACAGTGCTGCATCATCAAATGCTCCCAGGCCATTCACTGGGCCCCAAGTGGCTTGAAGATCATAGCAGCATTTGAATACATTATAGATTACTATATAAAAGATGGGGGGGGGGGACTAGCAAACTTTCAAACATTAGTTTTTATTTTCTGAGAAGGCTAATCATTAAAATGGGTTTTATGTCTTTTTCAGATGCATTTTTTTACCTTATAATCAAGTCATATTGAAAAAAAGTACTTGAAATTAACACTGCATATAAATAAGTCAGCTAATCCATTTTCTTTCCCAAAACAAATCGAAAAGATTAATCCAGGCATTAACATACAGAGGCCTGATAGGCCAGAGAACAGTAGATTCAAACAGAAGTATAAAATATGTTTAGGACAGGAAAGAGAGTGTGTGTCTTTGAGATTTGGGGGGAATTTTTTCTTTTTCTTTTTACATGTTCCTTGGGAAGGCTGTGCTGCTGTAGACTTAGTGTACCAGCCTCTGCTAAACATGCACTGCACATGTAGGATGGGACAATGCAAGTTGCTTAGAGATACCTGTAAGAAAGGTAACTAGCAAATACAATTGTCGTCATCATGCTAGAATAGTAAATCATTGTTGCTAAAGCACGAATGTAAAGTACTAATAGATGGTTTTATACCCAGTCAGCATCCTTCAGTTTCTGAGAGCCTTCTTTAGGCAGAACCTCTGCTCATCCTTTGTGAAGTTTGCTGTCCGGTCTACAGATGAACATGGGAATGAACTTCCACAGTCAGAAGGGGATGCCTCTCTGTGTCCAGTAGCCATGCGGCATGTAGTGTCCTTGGTTATCCGTCTACAGAACCTCCTGCTCCAGGTAGAAGTCTAGTGGTAATAACTGAAACCATTTTGCCATCAGCAACACTGTCAATCTATTTCAAACACAGGAGAAGGCATACAGTCCACTGCCGTCTCACAAACTTTCCTTGTTTCTAGAACTGAACTGTTTCACTACTGAGAGGCTTTTTGGATCATTATTTAATTTCCAGTGCAGAATGAATATACATCCCAGGACTTTGTCCATGACAAGTCTTTTTTTAAGTACTGTACTGTAGCTTCCTACAGCTTAAGTCCCTCACTAGCAGCAGCTCACTTCTGCTACCTTACTAAAGAGGCTGCAATCTTAAGAGTTATCTGAGCAACATTTTGCATTCTTTCGCAAGTGGAATGGGGGTGGGGAGCCACTTCTACATCAGTTCTAACCTAATAAGTAGTTTTGTTGTGGGATTTGGTGGCAATGATTCATGCCCTCACCCTTTCCCTTATATTTGCAGAAGGACCTTTTGCTGTCTCAAACTGTTATTGGCTGTCTTGAAGTCTTGTTGGAATACCTGTATTCGAGGAACCCGATCACTGGTACTCCTTTCAGCATCCTTATAAGTGTTCACTTGATTCCTTTGCTTTGCTGTGATTGTCTGCATCGGTGGGCACAGTATCTTCACCAGTTGCAGGAGAGATTTTTAGTAGCAGGGGAGGGAAGAAGCTGCCCTCTCATTTTCCGGAGTGTTTCTTGCTTTGCATCAGGGTGGTAGGTGGTTGAGAATGCGCTCTACGTAATGGAAAAGCAAAATGTAAGTTTCCAGTTCTAAGAATCTCATTCAGTTCCCAAGAAAACATTGCAAACTCTCTTGCCTATACGGCAATCTTGGTCAGAGCCAACAGGATACATTCTGGTCATCCTTTACCAAGCAAAAAGGTGCATTACTAGGACAGAGAGTGTTTGGTAAATTATTCTATGGATTAATGGTAACCAGCAGCATAAGGGTGTCGCTGACAATTGCCTTAGAAAAGCACCTGGGCACAATCTGCACCAAAGCCCCTATCCCAAGATATTCCTGTACTTTTTGCAAATGCTGTTGTTGCTCAGTGATCACGGTGTAGTTCCTTATCACTCAATTCCGTGACATACATCACTGTAATTAGTTTTAATTGCACAAGGAAGTGGGTGGTATTTGAAAGATGTTTTCGTTTCACTCAGGTAAAGTGCACGTGCACCTGTACAGACAGTCATTTATGCTTAAAATGTGATGTGCTTTCCCCCTTTTCCTCCTTGAAGGCAAACACATGCACCTCTCTGCATGCCTATTAAATAACTACAGGTAGAGAGATGTGTCATGTGACCCACCAGAAGCAAGCAAAAAGTGGCAATCCTGCAAAATAATGCTGATATGGATTGTACCCTGGTGTAGGGAAGAGTTTTATGGAAGGTTTCATTTAGATGGATTTGAAATGGTGTGTCACTGACCACTGTGAAAAAGCTTTTTCAGTATTAAGGTGGGGTCTGTTGGTTTCTATTTCCCTCACTGAGCAGCAACTGCAGTCACAAGACATTGTTTTACATTCCACAGTCTGTACTGTTGGAGTTTCTCACGGGAAAGGGAGACTGGATGTGACGTACACTGGTTTCCTGTTTTTTCACTGTGTGATTCTCTCCGAGCTGAGAGAGGAGAGAGGATGCATTTTTCTGCTCCTGCAGAGGCAAGATGTCTTTCTGTAATATACCAGCTTTGAACTGTAAATAAAGCAATATAGAGTATGTAACACATTTTCCTCATCCTTCCGCTGGGCAACCAGACTCTGCTTTAAATCAACACGTGGTTATGGGCTCCAGAGGTCGAATCGGAGTGCCGGCAGAGGATCGGAATGCAGAGGGACGGATCGGAAAGGAATCTGCTCTGCGCGTAGAAGTGATTGATGAGGTATGTGCTACTGCTCCGGGCAGCCTGCCAGCTTCAAGATAATGGCTTTATGGCTGGACTTTGAACTTTTAAGCCGGTTTTGCCGGGAATAGGCAAAAGGCTCCCAGGCACAAGTCACTATGCTGGGGAAATCGAAAGTAACTTTTAAGTGTGCCTTTGTAATGAGGCAGCTGCAGCAGTGACGCAGCAAGATTTAAAGCAGCATAAATATGACGCTGAAGGCTAATGCCAGAGTCATGATGGCCCTTCAGGATGCTTGTGGGATTCCTAAGCTCAACAAGAAAAACTATGCCAACTGGGTTCAGTATGCAGAGGCAATTCTGCGGAAAGAGGGTTTGTTTGAGGTGATTACAGGAACCCCCCCAGTTCCAGTTACAGATGCATGGGAAGCTAAGGATTCCAAAGCAAGGGGAACTCTTACATTGATAGTATCCCCAGAAGAGCTCTGTCTATTGCGTGATAAGACCTCAGCCAGAGAAATTTGGGACGCTCTGAGAGAGGCTCACTTAAGGACAGAAGCTGGATCCACTATGTTTTATTTTAACAAGCTGCATAATATGGCTCTTGCTGAAGGTGGAGATGTACGTTTACATCTAATGGAGATGCAAAATCTCAGACATGAGCTGCAACAGAGAGGACTCAACTTTCCAGAGGCTGTGTATTCTTTCATGATACTACAATCTTTGGGTTCAGGTTGGGAGTCTGTTGCAACCCAGATTGCTGTGCAACCAACTGCTCAGCTGACAGTGGACTTTGTTACTGCCATGATTTTGAATGAAGCAGATCGCCGGGGTGCTAGCTGCATGGGCAAGGGGGAGTCTTCACAGACGTCATCCCATAGTGCAGTGGAACCACCAGATGGCGCCAAAGCTTTGAAGGCAGTGAAATGCTACACGTGTGGACGTCTAGGCCATATGAAGAGGGAATGCAGACATCCCAGGGCCAAGACAGAGCAGCGCAGCGAAAGCTCATCGCGCGGAAAAGGCCGAGGCAAAGGCAAAGGTCCGGTGTCTAGGACAACGCAGCACAAGGCTATGGTTTCACGCTTCACTCCAAAGGTTGCAGAGGTCCAGAAGACGTCTAGATCTTTCTTCGTTGTTGATTCAGCGGCCACCCACCACATGTGCAACGATAAGAAACTGTTTGTGTCTTTTACACCGCAGGAAGGTGCGATTCACCAGGCGGATGACCACACTATTCCCAGTAAAGGCTACGGAACTGTTATTCTTCACAGTTTGGACTTATCGATACAGAATGTGCTTTACGTGCCAGACGCCAAACATAATCTGCTCAGCGTTGGACAGCTGAATGAGCGGAACATTGACGTTTCCTTCAAGAACAAGAAGTGCATCATCACAAAGAAAAATGATTATGTATTGCATGCAGAATATGTTGATCATTTGTTTGTTTTGTATTATGATGATGTGGTGCAGGATGACACTTGTTGCATTGCAGGTTCTAACAAAAGTTTACATGCAGAATGTATTCACGATTTTCATCGCAAATTTGGTCATTTGCATATTGAGGCAGTATCTAAAATGCCTGCCTTGGTTGAAGGTATGACTATTAAACCCTGCAGGTACCACATGAAGTGCAAAGCATGCGCAGCAAACAAGGTGAAAATGGCTGCGAAAGGTAAGGTGTCTAGTAGGAAAGCTACAGAACCATACCAGGTTGTTCATGCTGATTTGGTTGGTCCACTTGCGCCCTCTTTGGGTGGAAATAGGTACTTCATGGTTCTCATTGATGCATTTTCTAGATATATTTTTGTGTACAATCTCAAGCAGAAATCAGAGGCTTTTCCTAGGTTCAAGGAATTCTGTGCTTGGTTGGAAAATGTGCATGGTAAGAAGATAAAGACTCTTTTCAGTGATCGCGGGGGGGAATTCACTTCTCAGCAGTTTGAAGCTTTTCTGACTGAGAAAGGAATTCAACACGATTTGTCTAGTCCTCGCTCGCCATGGCAGAATGGACTTGCGGAACGGGCAAATCAGACATTGCTTCAAGGCTTAAAAACCTTGCTGCATGATGCCAATCTTCCAGAGAGTTATTGGGCCGAATCTCTCTCGTGTTTTGTTTACAGTTACAATCGCAGGTTATCTTCAGCGATTGGTTGTACTTCTATGAGAAGATGTTTGGCAAGAAGCCATACATCAAACACATGAAGATTTTTGGTTCTGACATGTGGGTTCGCTCACCACAAAACTCCAAGTTAGACAAGCGTGGATTGCATGGTATCTTTCTAGGTTATCAGAAAGGGTCTTACAGAATAATGATGACTGACTCTAAGACAATTAAGCTCACGAGAAGTGTCGAGTACAATGCAAAGTGGGGGAGAATGTGGGAATTTTCCAATGTTATCCTGATGACGGTGATGAGACTGAGGATAGTCAAAAGCAACCACAACAGCCCACACCCACTGATGAAGGTTCTGAGTCTGAATCTGAAACTGAATCGGGTGATTCAGAGGATTTCAAGAGTGCGAAAGCCTCTATGCGACCCTCTGAAAGCTCTGATCAAGAATTGGAGGAACCATTGTTCACAATAGGTCGTTTTTCTCCTAAGAAGGAAGAGGAGAGTGTTGAAGACTTAAGGCTAATTCGTAGGTCACAGAGAGCCACAAAAGGCAAACATCCAAAGAGATTTGCTGATGAGTTTGCTAAAATAGCAGTAACAGCTGTTAAAAGCTCCAAGAAGGTATTTGAACCTTCAAGTTTCCAAGAAATCCAGGGTTTGGATTCAAAGGAAGCTGAGCCATGGTTAAATGCCATGAAGGCTGAGCTTGATTCCTTAGAAAGGAACAAAACATGGGAGCTAGTTCCAGTAGTTCCAGGAATGAAACTGCTTGGAAGTAAATGGGTCTTCAAAGCGAAGACAGATCAAAATGGCAAGATAGTCAGACACAAAGCCAGATTGGTAGCCAGAGGTTTTGCACAGGTACCAGGTGAAGACTATCACGAGACCTATTCACCCACAGTGAGATATGAAAGCATTAGGCTTATGCTCAAGCTAGCTGCAGAGGAAAATCTACACATTAGTCACCATGATATTAATACAGCTTTTCTGTACGGATCTCTAGATGAATCACTTTATATGCTTCCACCTGATGGCGTACAGGTAAAACAGGGATTTGTTTGTGCTCTGAAGAAATCCCTTTATGGTCTCAAACAAAGTGCACGGTGTTGGCACACAAAACTCACTGAAGTATTGTTTTCTCTAGGTTTTCAGCAAGGGAAAGCTGATCCATGTGTATTTGTCAAAGAGGAGGGGCAAAAGAAACTGTACTGTTTGTTTTATGTTGATGATTTATTATTCTTTTGGAAAGATGTTGCAATGTACAATAGCGCCCTAGCTCAACTGAAAGAGCACTTTGACATGAAAGATCTTGGTGAGGTAAACAACTACCTATCTCTGGAAATAGAGAGAGATCAAGATGGTAACATTCTAGTACACCAGTCACGGAAAATTGCTGATGTGTTAAGCAAACTAAATCTGATGGATGCTAACCCTGTAGACACACCGATGACAACAGGTTATCAGGTAGATGACACTGAAGAAGCATTTTCTGACACTACACTGTACAGGAGTGTGCTAGGCAAACTAAACTTCATTGCCAGATGTTCAAGACCAGACATTGCTGTTAGCTGTAATTTGCTAAGCAGACAAGTCAACAATCCTAGTGTCTAGGATTGGATAGCTCTGAAACGCATAGCGCGGTATTTGAAAGGCACTATGCATTACAGACTGAGATTTAACAATCAGAAGTCTGGTGGTCTTGAGATATTTGCAGATACAAGTTTTGGAAGTGACGCTACAGACAGGAAAAGTACGTCTGGAGTTTGCTACATGTACAATCAGAGTCTGTTTGATTGGTCATGCAAGAAGCAAACAACAGTTAGCTTAAGTACTTGTGAAGCCGAACTGAATGCACTGTCTTATTCACTTAAGGATTGTGAATGGTTAGTACAATTGTGCAAAGATATGAAAATTCCTGTCAAATGTCCAATCCAGGTTTACCAGGACAACAAAGCATGTTTGGCTTTGCTGAAGTCTGAAGGTTGTAAGCAAAGCACAAAGCACTTGCAATTAAAGTTGCAGCATGCTAGGGAATGTATTCAGAAGGGACTCGTAACGGTGTCCTATATGCCAGGTAATGAAATTCCTGCTGATGTATTGTCCAAGATTGTATCAAGGGATCAACACTGTACCTATGTGCAGAAGTTGGGTTTGTACTGATATTGTGCGAACACGCTGCCCAGTGATGTTCACAGAAAGGGGAGGATGTTGGTTTCTATTTCCCTCACTGAGCAGCAACTGCAGTCACAAGACATTGTTTTACATTCCACAGTCTGTACTGTTGGAGTTTCTCACGGGAAAGGGAGACTGGATGTGACGTACACTGGTTTCCTGTTTTTTCACTGTGTGATTCTCTCCGAGCTGAGAGAGGAGAGAGGATGCATTTTTCTGCTCCTGCAGAGGCAAGATGTCTTTCTGTAATATACCAGCTTTGAACTGTAAATAAAGCAATATAGAGTATGTAGCACGTATTCTTCATCCTTCCGCTGGCCACGACAGACTCTGCTTTAAATCAACATGTGGCGTTTATAATGGTATATTCAGCAGTGAGGTAGAAGTAGCCTTATTGAACAACTTTCATACTATATTTCACATAAAGTAGATAATATTCCAGTGGTCTAAGCTCAATTATGATAACATAGTCACTTTCCTAGACCTTGCCTTCCCTGAAATTATTATTTCTTTTCTCTGCTTCACTACTCCAGTACATTTTTGTTGTGAATGAATGAATTAGGTAAGAGTTTAAATTATTACCAGCAATATTTTTTGCAGGGGGAGGGGCAGGGAGGTGCAATAGTAAATTTTATCTCCGGAAATTCTTTTTGATGACTTCAAGGAAGTTTCATTCCATATGAGTAAGTCTCTTTAGCTAGAATGTTTTCCACTCGGTTGGTTTTTAAAAAGCTAACTGCGATTGCTTTCTATGTTTCTAGCATCCCATATTGTCTCACAACCATGGAATAAATTCCTGCTGATCTCACTCCTAGATAGTGTCGATAATTCATTTCTTCACCCTGAAATTCTAAGACTAGTTGCTTTGGTGAGTATGGGGGCTATAAACTGCTATCCTGAAAGTTTCTAGTATATTGTTAAAGAACACAGTGTATCTGCAGCTATTTATGCTGTGTACATTAAAAATGGGTAACATACAGGCAAATTCTGTAGCCCTGTAGTGTTTGTTAGGGCCAAAACAGGTATAAATAATTGAATTTCCTGATTTTAAAATAAAACAAAAACAATCAAATATAGTTGTTGTTAGCTCTTATTTTGATCAGAGCTGTGGCACTGGAGAGAAGTTACTTGTCCCTTTATCCTGCACTATTTCCTTGATCAAAATCTTCCCCCGCCAGCTCTGTATAGTGTGTCTTCCACTCCAGAAAGGCAACAGCAGCTTCACTGTGCGAGTGGCGTTTTCCATCAGGGAAATGTTGGAGTAGGCAGGATTAAGTGCTGCTTCCCCAATGCTCTTGCTCGAGTCAAAATTGAAGACCCACTTAAATAAAAAACTTTTTTTAAAAAAAGTTGGGGATTTTGTGAACAGTAGGGAAAGATACCCCACCACCACCACCCAGGGACCAGGGTTAAGGAACCTGTGACCCTACAGATGTTTCTGGACCCCATCATCCCTGACCACTGTCCATGCTAGCTGAGGCTTATGGGAGTTCAACAAGACCTGAAGGGTCACAGCCAGTTCTTCATCCCTGACATCTCAAGGTCAGCAAGTTCTGCCTAAAAAATGGGGAAGTTGTTTTATGATACCTCTGGAGCATAGGAGCCAATTCCTAGGAGCCACGGGGGCTTCGGCTCCCACAATAAAATCACAAAGTTGATGAGCATTCCCATTCAAATGCTGTGTGTGTGCGCACTGCATCATGTGATCAGTTATGCAGGTGGGGTTTACCTGGGCCCCCACAATATTTTATTCACGTTGGCACCCCTGCTGTGGAGCCGGTGTTTGTATCGTACTTGAGGAAAGCTGAACTATGGAACTCCATGCCACAAGAAAATAAATTAACTTTAATTACTATGTTTTAAAGTTTATAAGGTATCAGAACACTAGAATTATTTCTCCAATTGAAATTGGCCGCATACTTGAAGAAGCAGCTAGTACTAAATTGCCAGAACTTTCTGATGTCACAATCAGTGCACTTCGCTCCTTTCTTGTTCAGGTGAGCCCTTTGGAAATGATCTCGTAACAGTAAGCAGTAACTTGAGAGTGATATCATAAGAATGGTTGTTATGGGTTGTTGTTGTTGTTGTTGCTGCCATCATCATCTTCATCATCATCATTAATGGAAGTTCATTTCACATTACAGCACTGATTTTGCAGCCTCGAGTGGCGGTTTCAGGCCTTGGGCGGAATCCTTTAGTCTATCTTCCTAAATGTGTGTGGAGGGGTGGTGAAGTGGCGACCCACGCCTCCCTTGTGGCGCTGATCCCAGGGTTCCCCGTTAAAGGGGTCTTGAGGGGAGGCATTGGCCATACGCCGAGAGGTTGTCATTGCTCTCCCCTGTGATGGTGGCAAAATGGAGGGTGGGCTCTCTGCTTGAACATATTTCTCCAGAGACGGCCCAATTCCCACACATTCTGGATAACCCTGATGTCTCCCAGATCCCCAGCTGGGGACTGGGAAGGATAAACACCCAGTGTCTAAGCCAAGGTCTCCCTACATCTGAAACTTAATAAAGTTGTGGCCAATTTTAATCCCATGGCACGTTGTCTTGAGTCATTATTCCACTCAGGGGTCGCCTGCAAGCAGGTTAAAACATTAGCAGGATTTTAACCACACTTGTAAAGTAATAGAATGTATGGATAATTTAGAAGGATCAAAAATTTGGATAAGTATTGCTATGTAGTTGTAAATAATATATTTAGGATCCATGGAAGGGGTGGGGGGAAGTCAGGAGATTCAGAGCAATCTCGATATTTGGATTCGTAACTTTTTTTGTTGTATGTTTATACTTTTAAAAATCAAATTAAAATATTAATTTTTTAAAAAAGATAACAGCAGTCTTTTAACTGGGATTGTAAACTGCCTTAGGATATTTATTATGAAGGTAATAATAAATACCTTAAATAAGATGCAATGATTCCTCAATGAGAGTAACCTCCATGGTGATTCTGAAATGGTTCTAACAGCTTTAGCAAACAAAAGCCACTTGCTTCAGGCAGCAGATTGCAGAGGGTTTGGTAACTTAAGTCCATTAATTTCATTGGTTTCCTCTGAGTATGACTAATGTTAGATTCCATCTACAGTTACTTATTCCTTAATTTACAGAAGCACTCTTTCCACGTACCCTTTGTTGCTCTGGTTCAGCACTACAGCACTAAGCCAGCATGGAAAGCTGACATATGGCTACACCTTTGGCTTTTATTGCTACTGTAGGAAATGAAGGAAAGGGAGATAGGAAGAAACAAACCTGTTAATTATTTCTGTAATTCCTTTCACTTTGATGTAAGCTTCAAAGGGGAAAATGTCAGGTGGATTCAACTCAAGCAGCATCTGTTCAGACCTTGCTGGAGAGCCTCCCATCAACAAGCAGCAGTCAGCCGACCTTTCCAGGCATGATGTATCCTTTTGGCAGGATGCGTGCGAAGTTACTGGGGTAAGGTACAGGCCGCCATCTGCGTAGGTCTGAGGTTGAGACTAGACCGGCTATTTTGTGACATCCACTGGGAAGAGTATGAAGATACTTTCAAAAAGGTAAAAAGAAAACCCTGTCAAAGTGCTTTTTGCCTTTTCACCACTTGCACTCAGACAATGTAAAGCATTAGATATAAAGGGCCCTACTTTACAATAATTGCTTAAGTCCTAAATAAAGTAAAAAGTCCGGTTTTGAAAAAGGCATCCAAAGGCTTGCTGTTTGCCTTCCTCATTGTTCTATTAATATTTTTCATTGTTCGGATTAGATTGCAAACAAAGCAGTGCTCCGACTAGTAATGTTTGCAATGAAGAACAGGGAGTCGGTTTTGTGGCATTGTGCGGAATGTCCCTGGGTGGCTCCAGATTGTTACTTTTTTGCATGAGCAATTGAAGTGCATACTGGAACTTTGGGTTTGTGCAGTTTAAATGGATTAATGGGTTCTGTTGCCTTGGCACAGGCATGGCCAAACGTAGCCCTCCAGATGTTTTGGGAGTACAATTCCCATCATCCCTGACCACTGGGCCTGTTAGCTAGGCATGATGGGAGTTATAGTCCCAAAACATCTGGAGGGCCTTAGCACAACCAAGGCGCTTGGAAAAGAAGACACAGGGAGGAATTTAATATCATGCTATGTTGATTGCTCAGTCAGGGCAGGCTTGTCAGCTTGCCAGATGCAACCACCCCCTCTCTCTTCACCTCGCACAGCTGTTCCAGGGGTTCTCCTGACACACACACTCCAAGCCAAGTTTATTTGGGGAGAGAAGACCTGTTGTGCAAGTGGAAGTTCTTCCTTGTGCCAGCTTCTACTTGCAGGACTTACTAGTTGACTCCAGCCCACACGGTTTTTTTGTGCTTTGGAAAGTTATGGGGGAAAGTATAAAATAGAATGCGGATGGATATGGAGTGTAAACACTCCATAAGTGTTTTCTGGACATCAAAGTACTGTGTATAGGATAGATTTAGATACTGACAGTCAAAACTTCTGAGCAGTTTATATTTTCTGCTCTCTTGCCAACATGTGTTCATATGGCAAATATTTCAGAGTTTTCGGGAAAAGAATAAATGAATACATTTTCTAAGCAGCGTATTATCCTTTCAACACTTTATTCTTTCACTCAAGCCTTTGAATTCAGATGTCTTGGAGGAGTGGCAGTTTCTCTCTCACATATCAGAGACTGAAATGAGGAGGCAAACAATACTGAACAGAGAACATAATGAATAAAGCAACTTGCCTTTATAATTTCTTACCAGCCAAAGGCTTAAAGGAATATAATACAAGTGATTAAAGCCTACAGAAGTGATTTTGTAATCTAGTCGGTAGTTTATGTTTAAACTTGTAAATTAAAAACTTTAAATCTGTTTTTTGTCTGCCTTGGAAATGTGTTAAGCGAAGCATGCATTTCAGAGTTGTTTTCAGCACTGATAAAGAAAAGAATTTGCAGGCACTTCTGATAAATTCCCTAAGTGCTTGACCTCAGTAAATAATCTATTTTGCTACTTTACGCATCACCTTCTTAATATTCAGGTGCCATGAATCATTGTTTTGGTTAATGCAAAATGATACCATGTTAAGAGTAAGCTTTTGTGGATCAAGGGTTTTACTATATCTAGCCAAATTCAAAGTCAGCACTCATTTGTTTTTTACACACACACACACACACACACACACACACACACACACACAAAAATACGGTTGGCAATAGCAACAGTAACAATGCTCTCAACCCTTTTGGTACAATAGCTGAACATTCTCTGAAATCTTCGCTCTAAGGGCTGATTCTCAAATGTGACTACTGGGAAAATCTATAGTGATAGATCGTAATAGGATGCACCCACATTGTGTTGCTCAAATTGTAGTAATTGTAGCATTTTTTAATATGTTGAAAGGATGTTCTACCTTTCATTTAACAAAATATTATTGTCTGATGCTTCAGCAGTTATATAGGTTACCTGTATGTATAAAATCTCTAAAACCACTATACAAAAAAGGCAGAAGTGAAACAGCCACTGCCCCTGTGTTTACAATACAACCAAAGGCTTACAGCCTAATCAAAGACAAGACACACTGCAAGGAAAGGGAGGTGATATAAAAGAAAGGATGATCAGGAGAGGCATGCCTGCTGCTAAGTGGAAGGGCACTTTCACAGCACAGAGCGGCAAGAGAAAAGGCCCCAGGTGCAACTCAAAGGGTAATCTTAGGTGTAACAAAGAGATTGGTCAAGTGAAAACTAGAGAATTAGGCAGTATCAAGGAGTGAAACAATCTGAATGGCAAGTGGGAAATAGAACAGATAACAGCAGAAGAGGGCTAAGAATAGAAGCAGGAAGCCAACAAGAAAGATACAAGAGTAGTCTATTAAGGAAATAAAATTAACCAGAATGTTGGGGGTGACTGTAGAGGAATGTGAATCCTAGTTCTACTGATCAACTGAAAATGGCGAGTTCAGCAAGAAGGACATGAATATATAGAAGAAAGGCCTGTAGCTCATTGGTAGAGGATCTCCTTTGCATGCCGAAGGTCCAAGGTTCAACCTCTGGCATCTCCAGGTAGGGCTAGGAGAGCCCCTGGACAGCTGTTGCAAGTTAATGTAAACAAGGTTGTAAAGTCTGGTGCCGCTTATATGTTGGACTACAATTCCCATCATCCCTCACTAATGGCTATGTTTGCTGGGGCTGAGGGGAGATGGAGTCTAGCGGCATCTGGAGGGCATCAGGTTGCTGAGTTAGATCGTCCAATGGTCTGACTTGACGTAAGGCAGAATTAGCATAAGAAAAATCTTTTGAAAATAATCAAACAGTTATTTGTCTTCCGTGGTTCCGAACTTGAGAAGATCAACATTATCAAGAATGTGAGAAAGTGTTTTTTTAAAAAAAACTGGGGATTTGTCTATTGAGAGAAGTGTATGACTATTGCAGCAGTGCACATAAATTAAAGGCCCATTGTGACAAATACAAAAAGGGGAGCATTTACACTACCTAGGTTTCATACATGAATAAACTTACTTGCTGGAATGGTTGCCCCGTAATGTATTTTTACAAGCCTGTCAAATCTTAATGAGTTTAATTAAATCATTTATATTTAATTGCATTTGCTTGTTTTAGATAATGTATGATTCCATAGACAAAAATCTTCACCAATTATTGGAAAAGGCCATCTTATTTTCATTATCATCATCCCTACTACAATAGCACACCAAAACAAAAGTAGCCTTAAAAAATTACGAAGTATACCTGTAACTTCTATGCCCAAATAATTAAAATAAGCCCTGCCAAATATTCAGTAAAACTGATTATCTTGATTAAAGAAATCTACTGAGATAAGGAATTTGCATGTAGGGTAACATTTCACAGTTTGACCCAATTTTCTGCTGTGTAGTTAGCACTCTGCTCAGGTTCTAAACCAATTATAAAATATGTTTATAAAAGGAATAAAGGGTTGTGTTATGTATCACTTGTGATGCCACGGACACTAGCCCAATGGGTGCATGTAAGATGTAGCTCTGAGACATGTAATGCACAGTAATTTGAAGCACAATGGATGCATTGGAGATGAACAAAAATGACCTAAGTGCTCTGGGAACAAGATATTGCTGGTTTGTTTCCCTGAGACAGTCATGAAAGCTTCGAGAAAGTTACTTAGGTAAGTGTGCTAATTGCATTTTCCAAAGTGCTGGCTTTGGCCTCTTAAAGCCTTAAACCGCTCAGGATTCCAGTATCTCAAGGACTACCTTTCTTAGTATGAACCTACCTAAAACCTACAATGGTCATTTGAGACTATTTCCCATGTGCAGCTTCTAGGAGTGCTCAGAGGGTGGTAGACCCGTTCGTTAGTGCAAAGTGTTGCTTGCTTTTTGCATTAGGTAATAGGACATTCCTCTTCACTCAGGCAGCTGGGCTTAGCTATGATTTGGCCATTGTGGTTTTGGTGCTCATCTTGTGGTTGAGCGAAACATAATCACTTCCAAGTCTCTAATTTAAAAAAGCAACAAATAAATAAAATTTAATAATTTATTGCTCATAAGTGACTGGAAAGGCTGGAAATCCTATTCTCACTCACCTAAGGGTAAATCCCAGTGACCTCAACTTGTCTTACTTTGGGAGTAACGTCCAGCAATGCACTTATTTTTGCCTGCTGTGATCATGCAATTGTTGGGGCTTGTAAAGCGAGGCACCTCTCATGTCCCAGCCTAGCCAGATGGATATTGGTAGAAGCGTCCTTCATATTTATAACAGAGACAGAGTACCTGTGCTTGCTAATTATTATTGCAACTGATTAAACAGCAAGCAGGTGTTCTCATTAATCACTAATTGCTTCCTGCGCTCACCCCGCTTCTCCCGGACCATACTTGCGCGCAGTCTAAAGAACTCCTCTAATTGCCTTTCAATGCTTATTATGATTTACACGCTGCTTCTCCCAGTATGTGCAGTACAGTAATTGCTTCCGAAATTCTGTGTGTGGGTTTCTGGTTTTTTAAAATTCACCACCCACCATGCAAATCAGCACCTGGCATTCCCCCTATTAGTAAACGTGGCTGTTTCCCCTGCTTACAGCTTTGTAAACGTGGTGATGGGGAGAGATCTACCTATTGGAAGAACTACAACACAGAGGCCTCTGGGAAGCACACGGAGGAAATGACGCGCCCGTGCAGGGCATGCTGGTTTGCTTAGCAAGCGAGGCCAGTCCGCTGGGGAAAGCTGCCGGGAAAAGGAAGAGCGGCTCCAGCATGACAGCCTCGCCAGAGTGAGCTGCTGCTGCTGCTGCTCGGGCGACTGGAGACGCCGCGTGCCCTTTTCCGGGCAATGCAGGTGAGGTTCCTTCCCAGGGGCTCGAGAGCGAGGGTCGCTTGGGAAGCGGGCAGCTTCCACCCCGTGCGATCCCAAGCTGGTTTTCGACGGGCAGGTTGGGTTCCCGAACCCCAGATCGCGCTGCCTGCAACTGCCAGGCTGGCAGCAAACTGCTCCGTAGTTCTGAGCGCCTCCGATCCTGCAAATGCAGCGGAGGGAGAAGGAGGGCAGAATGGAAACGCCAAAGCCCTTCGGGAGAGCCAGGCCCCGAGGAAGCGGGAGGTCCCGGGAGCCCCAGTGGATCGACCAGGGAGGGGGGCGGCGGCAGCAGGTGGCGGGGATCGGACTTCTGCTGCAGCCGCGGATCCGCGGGAGAGCGCGCGCTTGGGCGATCCGCTGCCTGGAATCGGGAAGGACCGCGCGGCTGCGGGGAGCGAGTGCGGATCGCCCTCGCTTTCTTCGCTGTTCGCGTAGGAAGGCTGAGCGAGGCGGCCGAGAACTTGTCTCTGCAAACTTGGGGGAGCGCGCGGGGGTTGCCAGCGTCGCGCCCTTCGGGAAGCGAGGTCCTCCGGGGTGTTAAACTAGACTACAGAGATGTATTTAATCACCACGTAGCTCATGCTGTCCGCTGGTGAGACGCCCCTCGGAAGAAATAGCTGCGGAATGATCATGATCGATGCCACAAAGAAAGAGGATCCTGTCACAGCAGTCATTCTAAACTAATAGAGGAAGGTGCTCTGGTCTACACCTTAGTAATGATTTTGGTGGTGAATTAAGGTGCAAAGCTCTCCTCCGCCTCGTGTCTGTTCGGGTCTTTTGCACTTTTCGTATTCCCTGATCAGCAGGCCCGCATTTCCTCCGGCTTTATAAAAGGGTTCTTGATGTCGGGCACCTTGTACCCATCGCATCCTGAGTCCCAGGACTAAGCAGCAAAAGGGGATTCACCTTGATCTTGATTTTATATAGACGCACAAAATGCAAAATGAATTATTTTCTTTGTGTTGGTAAGAGAGAGAAAAAATATTTTTATAGATTCGTTTTTTAGTTAGCACCACAAACTCTTCTCATGTTATCTAGTAGCTACTATACAAGTTCAGTCTTGCAACGTTTTATATATATATATATTGGATTATCTGAAACAATCTTTTTAAAAATGGTTAAAGAGATCTGCACATATTTGCCACACATTCTGAAAAGCTCTCAGTTTGCAGATATTTGGGGAAACTGGAATAGTATGCACCTAGATTTTACCCAAGAGTCGACCCATTGAAATTAATTAAGGTTCATTTTAGTGGATCTACTCTGAGTCCAAGTTAGCTGAATACCAACCCCAGTAGTTGCAAATTGAGGTTGTTGGGGTTTTTTTTTTGGTCAAGTTGAGCATATAAAAAACAA